GACAAGATAAGCATAGACTGTTTTGTCCACAGGGGGCATCAAATTGGCAAGTTGACATTGACCAAAAGCTCCTCACAGGAGCTTTACGGAAACTATTGAGGATAGTGAGTCTGCTTCTTTATGTAAACTACTTGTTATTTATGTGACATGAAACCACCTTCACATAAAGCCCCTGTTTCTGCCTGGGTAATGGAACTCACTGTTCCCTCCACCCTCCAATGTTGTGTTCATTTGGTGGTGGGTGTGACTCCAAACATGTTCTTGGGAGGCAACTGCTCTTGGAAAGGCCCTGAGACACCATCTTGGTGTGTTTTTACTTAAAAGCTGTTCATACCTTTAGAAAAATGAGCAGCAGTACAATTATTTCCCTTCACAAGGCTATCATGAGTGAGTTGTTTTCAGATTTAGATTTCTCTCTCTCTATCTCTTTCTCTCTCTCTTTTACTCTCTCTTCCTCTCTCTCTCTCTCCTGTCTGGATCAGTGGATATTTGATAGTAGCAAAGCAGGAGGAATGATAGTAGTTGGAGAGTAGGTTCAGCCTCTATAGCAGCACAAATTCCTCAGCAATGAACAGTAATAACTGTGATACTTTTATGGATCCTTATATAGAAATTCTTCACTGCCACGTGTTCCCTTCAGGGAGGTCAGGGGTCACTTAAGTATTTCCTCTGACAGTCTGTGGAGTGTATAAGTATGACTCCTGCAGTTTATTTAAGCCCTGGAAGAGAAATGTTCACTCCTGGATGTGTCACTTTAAGGGTTATAATCACTGTTACGCTCATAAAAACTGACTTTATTTTGAAAACATTTAACTATTTACATCATTATTTGTTCAAATATGATATTAGCCATTAACACAGTACACAAAACTTGAAGTATTCACAGGTGCTGGACATTCTGTTTACAGGACGGGTGAATTTCCGAAGCAGCAAACTCAGAGGAATTCAGCCAGATCCCTACCTCAGGATACGTTTAAATACTGAAGAACCTGATGTTAACAGGGACATTGAGGTGAATGTTTAACTACAAAAACTTGGTCTCATCACTACAAACATTTCTCTTGACTGTCCTGTCTCTGTTCAGTTCATCACATCACCAGATATGACTCAATCCCCAAGCAGGGGGTTTTGATTTGACAAAACTTGATTTACAGAGCACTAACACCCGTCCTGCAGGTCTGTGTAATGAACTCCTGTGCTGCATGGGTGATTTGGATGGCAGAGCTATAAACTTATGAAACCCCCACACTTCTTTATGCCTAGCTTGCAAAATACAGGGCTGTACTATTTACATTTCATTTACCTGCAAAGTCAAACCAGCGAGCTCTCAGCAGAATCTCCGAGTTTCTTTTTATTGCCTATAGTCTTTTACACCAAATTGTTTTTGCTGTCTTTGTTGCTCCCCTGACTGCTGTATCTGTCGCTGGTGAAAGTGCGTCAGCCTCTCGCTGAGGTAGTTACTGCACTGAATGACTGTTGTTGTCGTTTCCTAAGTGCAGGTGTAGTATAAATGGTGGGTTCTAACCTGGCTGTGGAAAGATATATGGCTTGGTGTAAAGTCCTTACAGCCAGCCTGAGGGAGAGGAGAAAGTCTGAGACACACACACACACACACACACACACACACACACACACACACACACACACACACACACACACACACACACACACACACACACACACACAGGACATGATTGTCTTGGTTGATTGGTTGATGTATTGTTGAGCTCTGAAGTGAAAGAGCATTTGTGTAAACTCTGAGGATCCTTCAAATCTCATTGTTGGTCATTTTGCAAAATAAAGTTGTTGTTTGTTTTTTTAAATCATACAGAAAAATAAGTATTCATCACATAAAACATTTGTAGACTTATTCCAAAGAGGTCAAAATACTTCTTCAATTACATGATTACACTTCTGTAAAAAGTTACCATAATATTTCTACTACTGGGGAGTGTTTCTGTCTGATGGCAGCAGTGAACTCTCTTTTTTCCAGTGTTCACACAGTGGGCTCTGTATGAGGGGAAATGTGTCAAAGAGAAAGCAAACTTTAAAACTTTGGATTTACTTCTAAAAAGCTGAATCACAGTAATGACGGAGACAGAGCAGAGACAACCACAATTCACAAGGACAGCTTATTTACAGGAGAGTTGGGGTGTCTGTGAGGTTCAGGATGAGGGCTCTGTTCATTATGACAGACCCTGAACACTTAATTGGACAAACAGGTTGGTGACATGATAGTAAGCCCTGTTTGGTTAGACGACAAGAATGAAAAGTTTGGTTTTCTAGTTTAAATGAAGCTAAAAGCTTGTCACTGTGAAAAAGACCTGGTATACACCTTAGGAAAATGCTGCTGCAGAGTGTACACTAATGCTGGGTTTTGCTGTCAGTTTGAGTGGATTTATTAGAAACAATAGATGCTTATTGCTGATTCAGCATGACACTGGAGCACCAGACAGAGGGATCTGCTCTTGCCACAAATCACCTCGCTACTTGCATCAGACCTTTGTTTTAGGAGGTGAAAAGTCAGACTTTTATCAGGTTTAATGTTAACTCAAGTTCATTTCAAAGAAGACGACTAACTTTTCTTAAAGCTGATGATTTTGTGAATGCAAAAAAAGGTTAAACTTTTCAGCAAATTTCCCCATGTCTGCCTGTAGGCCACATCTTATTATTCAGCCATCTATAAAAACATTTCCAAATGAGCATCGACATACTACAGAAAAATAGATTCAAGTATCTTGTCACACTGGCATGCGTCAGTGGATGGTATCATAGACCACATATACTATGGAGAACTTGGCTTCACCTCCCTTCATTATACAAATTTGAAGCAGCTCTCAACCACTTGCACAATAGCATTGTACGCATTTGGTGGGAGAGTCGTTAAGAGTCGCTGTGATGTCGCTTCAATAGCGTATCCCCCGGGTGAGCTATGCAATCTTCGTACCCCCACAGGCTTTTTCAAGTGCCAATCATAGAAAACATGAACCCCCTAATAATTTTTAAAAATGAAGCTGTACAGAAAAAAGAGAACTTGAGCACAAACCAGTCTTACAATAACTACATGTCAACATTGCAACCTGGGAGAAGAAAAATTTTTATTCTGTGTAATTAATTTCTCAAGTTAGTCCATAACTCCATAAAGAGGCTGAAGGAGGGGGGATTTATGATCTACACTGCAGCCCGTCACCAGAGGGTGCTTGTCGCACGGTGGCTTCCCCCAGCAAGGATGCAGATGAAGTCCATTCTATATACAGTCTATGGGTGGTATTTGTTGGATTGCATCTGTGGCAGAGACAGACTTTATTGGCCAGGGATGGCTAGGTGTGGTAAACAATAGGGCTTATCCTAAACCCAAGGGTGTTAACTAAACCAGTGACATTGACTGTAACTTTTGATTTAAGAACAAATGTCACATTGTTGTCTATAATTGTAACTCAAAAAGGTAAATCAACAGAGTGCAAACACTTAACTCTGGTGGTTTTTAGTTTTTTAAGGACCCATTAAGAGGATGTTTGCCAAAAATTGACCATATATGCTAAAAGCAAAAGATGATGTTCATTAAAAATGAATGAATGAAAATAGCTACTAGCAGCCTGTTAATATTGATTCCAATCACAGTGTCAGCATTGGTATGGCAAATAGCCAATCAATGTTGAGGATTTGGGTGGTCACTAGGGTGGCCAATCAGATTTTAGGGGAGGTGACAACTCCAATCCACATTTTGTCTTCAAAGTTGATGAATTAGAGGTCTGAAAAATGGGCAACAGTGGGCTAAACTGTGATGGCCAAATTATTGTGTCATAGCATCACAAGAAGTGCACCTCTGGGTTTCCCCAGATCAGCACCTACCAATGTAGTTTAAAGAAGGACATCAGTGAACCTGATAACAAGGTCAACAAGCACATTGTGGAAGTAGGTGGGGAGTAAAATCTGGCCCCACGTTCCTAGAGGAGCTACTGGGGCTGCAGTAAAAGTGAATGCTGGTCCTGACAGAAAGGTGTCAAAACACATGCATATGAATTTGAGTGTATGGCGCTGTCAGGTGGTCAGGTGAGCATTAAGTGGACAGTGTACCAATTGAAAAACATGACTGAGAAGAACAACAACAGGCTGAAGGTGTTGACTGACCTCCAGTTTCCCCGGATTCTGATCCAATAGAACATGTTTGTGAATAAGTGTGCTCAGTGGAGGCCCCTCCATCCTATGGAACCTTAAGTGTTTGCTACATCAAGTTATTAAGAGTTTAGTGGAGTCCATATCTCACCTGATCAGGGCTGTTTTGAACCTGGTCTATTGAGAGGGGGGCCTGCACAATATTATGGCTGTTTGTTTTATATAATTATAAGAAAAAACAGACATTAAGACATGCCAGTTAGTGACATCATCTGTTATACTCTTATATACAGAGCTCCTGTCAGTCCATTTGTCATTAGACTGCAGTTAAGTTGGGCAGCTGAGAGTAGGAATGTGTGTGTGAGTGAGTGAATGTGACATGCAGCATCTTTCTAGCTGTATTGATCTAGACTAAATAGGTTGTATAAAGGAGAGGTATACCTCCCTTTTTTCATGATTAAAAGATCATTCAGTCATCATGTTTACCATAAAGAACAATATATATATATATTTTATCTAATCTTTTTTGGTCAGGATTTTAAAAACAAATAAGAGTCGAGCTAAATAAAAATTTAGAAATAATCATGGTATATTTGACCCCTGAGAAAGGTCATTTAAATAGGGTTAAGATATCTAAAATAAAATCATTTAACTGTAAAACACTGTGTGTTACCCTCAACGTTGAAGGCTTTGATGAAGTGCAAGGCTTCATATCCCTCATATTATCTGCAGATAAAAGCATAATTGAAAAACTGACCCAGAACTTTCCCCAGACCGCTTTAAATCTCTGTCTAGACTGTCTCTTATCAAATCCATCAAACCGAAAGCTTCCAGATCACTTTTTTCTCTCCTAAACGCTAGGTGACGCTGTTTTACGCACAGCCATCGAAAACCAAACCTTGTCTGAGGTGGAACTTTTCCGCTCTTTCCACGTTCAGTAATCTGACACCCAAAAGACTCCGAGCTGAAGGATGGACTCTTAACTCGGGCTGGAGGGACGGAAGGAAGGAGCAGTCATCCAACGAGCGCAGACGAGAGGGGCCGAGCTGAAGCGAGAACGCTGTGCGCAAAGAACAACCCCGTGGCTGCAGCAGCTGAGAGGAGTAGAGCTGGGTGCCTGTGCGTCCCCCCAAAAAAATAACTGGCCCCGACGGAGTCTAATGATCTCAAAGCGACAAGTTCACTTCACACAGGCGGATGGGTGACTTTCCACGGCGCTTTGTGAGGAGGAGATGATGAAGAATTTTAACAGCAGTCCCCTTCACAGCAACAACCCGACTCCAAACCACATCAGAGAGCGAAACAACAGAAAGTACAGCAGCTTACTCTCTGCGATACCGTTGCGATTTTCCTTACGGGGTTATGGTTTCTGCATGGCTACGCTCTTCTTCTTCTGTTTCGGCTCCCTTTTTTACCAGCTGAACGGAGGACCCCCGAAAATCCTGCTGGACATCCGACAGTATCTCGGTAAGAACTTTTCCCTTTTCTTCTGGTGGCTGAAGCGCGTGATCTTCAAAGATTTTTTTTTTTTTTTTTGGATAAAAAGTTGCAGTGCATGTCTAGCCGCCCTGAAGAGAAACATTGGTGCACCACTGAATGAGAGATGCGAGTGTCTCTTTTAGGAAACTCTCCAGAGGCCAACGTGGCTGTCTTGAATCTGCCTGACCATTCATAATCTTCAAAGCACACAGAAAACCTGTGTGTGAGAGGTTTGCATTTACACAGCTGATGACATTTAAAAGTTAACCAGAGGCTCAAATTTGAGTTCAAGACCTGAGGGAAGTGTTCCCCTTTGCACCATTTCAATATCCGCCGTGACTTGTCAGTGCATGGTTGGGTCTCTTATGGTAACAAGAACGTAGCGACTGTTCAGATTGATACAGTGAGTGTGAATGCTGACTGACACCTCTTCTTGTGGAGCCAGCTGGTGCGCTCCAGCTACACAGCGCTCATTACGCACGGCTGGCACCGGCGGAACAAGGCGCAATAGTGTTCCTACGGGCAAATTTATGCTGGTGTTTGGAGACAGCCAAGCATTCTGTGTCGTGAGCTTGACAGTTCTATAATTGATACAGTGAGAGGCATGTGGAGCTGTTGTTTTAAGGAGGAGGTTGCCAAGTGTTTCTACATCAAAGAGCCAAGTTTCCAATTTAAAATATTAAGTCCTGAAGGAGCATGTTTTTGTTTGAATATGATTTGGCGCAGTATTACTTTCATAATAACTCTATTCACTGTTGATGAAAGTGGGTAAGACCCGTGGTAAAAACAGCCTTAAGTGTGGCTTCATCTGCATATCTGTGCTATCTTTTGGCCTTAAGGATGTATCAAGTGTCAAGAAAAGGAAGTTTGTGGTTGTGGTCTGTTAATACTTACCTGAACAGACACAACAAACACTGAGACAGCATTTCCTCTGATGAAACTTTGCAGTCTAATTGGATTTAGAAATCCCAGCAGTCTGTACATGTTTCTCTCTGTTTCCTGGTAAAAACAAAGCTACCGCATGCACAGGCGGCGGTTAGGTTCTCACTAAGAGCTCTCCGCTTCTGGGAAAAGCAAACAAGCTCACTAACTAAAGCTATCTGCCAAATCTGGAACATCCTTTAACATACAGAGATGTTCAAATCTGTAATATATGTGTGTGTCTAAATGTGTAGTATGAGCTCAGAAAGCCATTGCAATAAAATGGAATTCAGAAGCAACAATATACAGAGAGACATTACTAGCATGGGAACATATGTGCATCATGAGTGTGAGGAATCCCTCTATCAGAAGTTGTATAATGTCGAGGTCCACCTGCATGACAAGTCCTGTAGAAACCCTGAGAAGCCTGCATCTTGTCAAAGACTAAATCCTCTATACTCTACTGACTACAGGAGGAGGGCTTCCTTATGTAACACAGACAAAAGCAGACTGTAGACCCTTCCCTGGGGGTCTCGATGAGTAATCTCCTCCACTTTTGATGCTGGTGCAAGAATAAAGAGTCCTGTACTAGATGGGTTTTCCCATCTGTTATCTTTGATGTAATGTGCAGCACTTTGGTTAACTTTGCTGTGTGCCATTTTAATAAAATGAATTGGACTGGAAAGATTTAGAATCTGCCAGTTGAAATAAATCTGTTGAATTTTTATCAAACTTTCAGGTTACTTAAAAAAGCTTTCCAGAGGAACTTTTTATGGTTTATTAAATGGCTGTATGAAGAGATGGCCACTCCCTAAGAGTGAAGCTGAACATTTGGAGCTCATCCTGACTAGGGATGTGTCGATATACGATTTTAAATGGCCGCGATGACGAAATCGTAAGGTACTGTAATAATCGTTCCAAAATGATAATTTAAAGACGAGTGGCAGCGTCACTCAGCGGAGGTGAGTGAAGCCGAGTACTTACCAACCTAACCCGCTTGTAGTCTTACCCAAAACCTCAGTAGCAAAATGTACAAACAAACCACCACCAAAGTAGTCCCAACTCCAAAATAACTCTTGAATTAAGCACATTAATGCCAGCCTAACAAAAACAGGAACATTAAAAGAGAAAATGAAGAAATTTTACAGCAAAATGCATGGCCACTCACAATGCATTGCGGCCACCCAAAGCACTGTTGGAGCGTGTCCACAATGCATCCCATCCGCTCATTAGCTTCTTAAAGTGGAGGAGATATGATCTGATATTTTAAAAAACACGAGTATTGGATCATGACAACATGTCAAATGGAGCAGCAAACTTTCCCCCTGTTTTTATGTGTCCCAAAAATGCATATAGAGATGTACTTGGGTACATAAACTGTACAGTAAGCTGGTAGAGAGCAATATATTTTCGGGACAGCAAATATTCCGAATCAGAGGGCTATTGTTTTCGGCTTATCTGAATAGTCTCAATGAAATCATTAAAGGTACACGCGTTTGAATCCACCCAAATGTAAGAAAAACTTTTCTATTTCGCCTTGTTATGGACTTTCAACAGTGCTCCCGTCAGGGGTTCATTCAATGGCAGGGGTTCGTTCTACATCATAACACCGGACCAAGAACAGTCGGAGACTGAGAATGACGAAACACCTCGGCTGTATCCTCCTATTAAAAAGGTTTCGTTGGCAGTATGTACGTTTAACGGCTTCACAAAACAGACGGAGCAGGTAAACCTGACACCGATCTGCAGGTTATGCCGTAGGGAATTTGCAGCGCCGTTGTGTAACACTTCAAACCTACGTGCCTACCTCTGTGAACACCATCCATTATTGTTCGCCCAAATTTAGGTAAAAACAACATGACCGCAACAAGTTTGGTCTACTCTACTGCTTATTATTGACAACGTTAATGACGTTTCTGCTAACTTTCGCTCCAAAAAGCTAATGCTCCCAACGTCACATTAGCTGCCTCTTGCTTATATTGTTCGTGCGTGTCATGCTGTGCACAGAGAAGTGATTTCGCAGTTTTTTTGCCACTTTTAATAATGTTAAAAGCAATGCGCTAATATTGTGATAATATCATGTATCGTGATATTAAATTTTTCATATCAGCACATGCCTAACCCTGACAGACAGGTTTCAGCAAAGGGTCTGAAGCTCTCTCCATGTTGGCAGATGGGCCAAATTATAAAATGTAAATACAGTTGTGCATTTCTGTCAGTATAGCTAGCTTTTTATCATGCTAACCCATCTTATTTTTTGTGACAGTTTATTTGTTACGTTAGGCTGTCAAGTGAGTATGAAATACTACTAGTGACAGATCTGTAAACACAATAGGCTTCTGTGGCACTGTTTGCAATAGACTACCAGTGAAAAGGAAGGAATGGAGAGAGGACAGAGTAGCCCCTAGGTTGTTGAAATGCAATTTAATGAAGCTTTTGAAAGCTCAGTAATTTTTTGCAGCACTCACAGGACAGCTGAAAAGTCCTGAAATATTGAATCAGGGTTAGGAGAGATGAGGGGATGACATGCGGCAAAAAGGCAAGGTCACAGCCAAATCATTGGCCCCTGTAATAGCTTAGGCCTCTATATATGAGGTGCATGCGTTAGCCACATAGCCAGACCAGCTTTGCCAGCTTTTGCAGATTTATTACGGAGTTACGGGATGTTTTTGGTCAGATGATATCATGGTTCTGCTGACTAAGCCATACTGAGCAGACTTTGGTTTCAAAACATGTTACCAGTGCATTAGGTCAGCATGTATTACTGGGGGATTTTGTCTTCATTTTTGCAAAGCAGGATAAGTTGGAGATGAGTCTTCAGTGTACAGTTAATGTGTCCATTATAAGAGGCAGGATGTTGGGTAGGAGAGAGGAGAAGCTGTAAATCAATATGTTTGATGTGGTCTGCTTATTGCCCTAATTCCATAGAAATGTGTAGTCTAATGCACTTAGAGAAATCTGTGGCAAAAGGGGGAAACTTTCAGAGCTCACAGAATGTGCACAATATTTCGTGGCAAAATTTCTCACACTGAACCCTGAGAGAAAATTTGAAAGAAAACAATTCTTTGCAAAGAAATATTCACGGTTTTCTCCTTTTTATCACTTACTGTCCTTTAAATTATTAAGACCCAATGTCTAGCTCCATCTCCATCTCTCTCAATCTCCATTCTACTAAGTCTTTGCCTCATACATCAAGGACTGGTGAGTCAGCAACCAAACTTCTCACCCCAGGAACAGGAATTAGGGAAAAATATCAAATTAATAATTTAGCATTTTTGAGCAAGTGTTGCAAAGTAAATGTGTGTGTGTGTGTGTGTGTGTGTGTGTGTGTGTGTGTGTGTGTGTGTGTGTGTGTGTGTGTGTGTGTGATGGATGAGCCGATGAGCGTCCAGTAATCAGCTGATTTATTTACTTTCAGCTGCCTTCTGTTACTCTTGCCTGCATTATGTCAGATAAAGGTGAGGGTTCCTGGTGGGATTATTGACTGTGGGTGTGTGTGGGAAACAGAATAGTGGTTTGATTTTGTCAGAGTGTACAAGCTGAGTGTGTGACTCTCAGTTGGACGTGCTGCTGAGGGAACAGAGCCTGTTTTGTTTGGGCTGGAGGGGAGGTTGGTGTGTGAAAGTGTCACTCAACGTAAAGCTGCAGTAAGTGAAACGTGCAGACCTTTAGACCAGGATTGACAGCGTGCCAGCCACTGTGTGTTCCTCATCACTGACTTGCTCTCATGCTTCCTTGATTTTTGTTTCCCTCTCACATACAAACACACTGACCTTCAAACAATCCAGCTTCTTTGCCAAAAAGCTTTTATTTGATTGCCAGTTCGGAGAGGGCCAGATTGCAGTGGCTGCTTGCAGGGCTCTCGAAAACCCCTCATCCTATTGACTCTGCTTCCTTGGCTCCACAGTAACACACCTGCCAAGTGTGAACTAGATCTAGTGAATTGTTCTGTTGTTGTGCATAGGACCATCAAATACACAAACACACAGAAAGACAGACAAAGATTCCCTCTGTTATAGTAGGATGCTGCCAGTATACTTTGGCCACCAAGTACACAAATGCCACGAAATTTGTTTTTGTATCTCTCATTTCAAATTGACACATTTCCACCAAATACAGCTCCAATGGGATATTCATGAGGTACAGTAACCCACTATCTAAATATCATCCAAGCCCACACTATTTGAGAGAACGTTGAGGTCTAGTTGGAGCAAGGCTGAATTGAGAAAATCTTGAGAAAAATTGAGAAGAAAAGATGTTATTTGCCGAAATTGATGAGGATGGTTCCAAATTTCCATGTAGTGGAGCCAAAAATCCTGTCTGGGAAGAAATTTGGAATGGTGTCAACCATCCGTGTGACTTAAGTTTCTAAAACTTGTGCTTCAAAAGCTACAGACTACAGTGTTACTTCCTCTTTAAAACTGCTACCAGCAAACCAAATCACATAAACTCTAACCCTACACTCCTTTGGCTCCTCAGCAATGGCCTATCCAAATGTGAGGTGGATCAGGTGAATGGCTGTGAAGAAAGTCAGCCTACAAAGAAACAAAACTTCCTCCTCTTATAGTCAGACGTGCCTGTGATGCTCAAGTGTGTGTGTCTTCATGTGTGAATGCACCTCAAACCGGACTGTGCTGCAGTGATTCCCCCCTGATATTTGTCTTGGCTGAATAGGAAGGTATCAGACCGAGACATGATTAAATTCAGTTTTAGAGGAAGGTAAGACAGCTTGTTTCACTGCTGTATGCCTCCTTGACTGTTCACAGGTCATCTGGGAAACATTGATGCAGATCTAAAATTGTTCAATATGTGAATTACCCACGAGTAGTAATCTTATTATTGTACCATGTGTCAGTGGCCTTCCAGTCCAAAACAGTGCTCACAAGACACCATTATTTGAAAAGACAGACAGAAATACAGAAGAACATCTGTTAGAAATAAGACACAAATTAAACATATCAAAACTTTGAGAGACAGATAAGGATTTACATCAGATTATTTCACAAGAGCTGAGAAATTTTTGTTCTGGGTTTTCTGCACTTGTTGTTATGAAGATAATAAGGGAGTACATTCTCCTGATACAAAATTAAACCTATCTCATACAGCCAAGACACTGCTAAGTGTCCCACCTGACTGCAGCAAATCCTGTCATCTCTAAGGCCAGCTGGAAGGTTAGCTGTTCTCAAGTGTGCAAGTACAGATCATAGACCTTCGACCTTTGCTTGATTTGCTGTAGGCTCAGGACTGTAAATACCTGTATATTGGTTCATCTACATGAATGCATCTCCAGTTTGACAAGAAATTTGTCGTCCATGTTTCAAGGAACTTTATTAGAAGAAACTCTCCTAGTTTTGGTCAAAATCTAATAAAGTATTATGAAAGTAAATATAAAAGGACCAAGCAAAGTCCAGGCACTACCAGTTTTGAACAACATGCAACAACATGTGTTTGACTCTTTTAACTTCTCTCCAACTCTCTTACAACTTTGGAGACATTTACACACTAGTTTGATCTCAGTTTTATCATAAATCCAGGGAATGTGAATGTAAGAATTTTTACTATTTTTTACTTTTGGTAGATTGCTATCATTACTCTTTATCTATTATTGTTATTTTGACACTTTGCTATCTTAAAAATTTAGCTTTTTACTGGTGTAATTTCTTTGCCAGCTTTCTCTCTCTGTCATGATTTCCTACATCGCCGTTGTGGTACATTTTCACTATATCACCATTTTGACTTTTTTGCCTTTTCTTTATTTTTCTAGCATCTCTGTTTCTGTGTCTTTTTAAACACTTAACCATTTTTTGGCATTTTCTCTCATTTGCTGTTCTTACAACTTGGCATTTTTTGCTTCTTTTCCACTTGTACTGCTTTTGCTGTTTACATTTCTTTGCTGTTTTAACTACTTTGCCTATTTTTGGTACTTTATTATTTTTGCTTGTGCACCTTGTTTCTCAAGAGAAGAAGGGAACTCAAATGTATTCCTCTGTATTTCCTCTAATCTTTGAATGAATAGATTAAATCCAGGGTGTATGAGACCCTAGATATTTGAATAGATGATGTACTGCACTTCTTAGGACTGTTAAGTACACAGGTCTTTTTCTGTGTTCGTTTGTTGTTACAGTTCTGCATTTCTCTGCCATAAATCATAAACACCAGCCACTTGGTGAGCCTGTCAGTCTCTCACAAATATTGCTCACTTCTCAAAAGAACTCTGTAACCTTCATACAGTCACACACATAAATTTAACCAGCCAGAAGCTGTCCAGGGAAAGTGCTGGAGGTGCAGACTGCAAGGCGGAGGAGGGGATTAGACAGGTATGTGAGCAGACACAGGAGACACTTCAGAATACCTCTCCTCCCTTCAATTCATGTCTTATTTACCACAGCGCTGGGCAGGAAGTGTCAGAAGTAAACTGTTGAAGTGGGTTTAAAAAAGTTTCATTGTTTTGGACTTGAGACAGTCCAATATGTGCTTCAAATAAACTTGTATGTATATAAAGACTAGGGGCTCTATTTTCGTGGCCGCCGGCGACGCGGCAGAGGGTGGCAGACCCCGTGCAGTGGTATTTTTGCCAGTTAGGTATTTTCGTGGACTCAAGCGCATCGAGGTCCGCCAAGCTGGGCGTGGTGGTGTGGCAGGGGGAGGTGTTGACAGAATCAGCGGGCGCAGTGACATTTTCGTGCTCACCGCCGGCGTGAAAAGTGCACTGAAAGCTTGCCGATTCAAACCTGGTCAGCTTTCAGCACAGGCGGAGCGCAGCTGGTCTAGTGGTATTTTGGTAGACTGGCGGCATATCGGCATACGCCACCGATGCCTCACCGGCAGGTTTCACATTTCAGTGCAATAAATAATCAACAACTAATAATAAGGAGGATGTGAGAACCCCCAGTTTAATGGAGACGAAACAAACTCAGAACACTTCAGTCATGCAGTTTGTGACCTCTTACAGACAGATGCAAACAGACAGAATTTAAAAAAAAAGCAGTGAGTGATTTACTTTACTGAATTAAAGATTTTAAAACCTGACATCTTTGACCTGTAACTTAATACAAATATGTATGTTCTGCAGATGAGACAAAAATACAGTCTTAAATTCCTGTCACACACCCAAAGTTTAAAAATATTTACCTGCTGAGAAATACAACACAATACAGAAAAGAACTAAATGGTCATATTTCTACTCTACCTCTGAATATGATCTTGATCTTGACTGTCACATATACAGATGTGTACCATAAGAAAAAAATAAAATAAAAGAAAATAATGATAGAAGTAATTATAATAAAGCTAGTACAGGAGTCTGAAACCAGCATTCTCTCTAATGGACAGAGAGGGGCCACACTGTTTACGGAGGAAAGTGACATGGTATTAGCCTTTGTGAGTGATAGACAACTTTTCAAGGCTTTAGGTATAGCCATAGTCACATTCTGAGTGGATAATTGTTTGCTTCCTGGCACGGTTACCTGTGACAGATAAGTAACTTTCTCAAGGACAGAGGCTTGGCGATATGACCAACTCCCTTCGTCTGAATTTGGTCACTTCTACCCACCCAAAAAGACAGCCCAAATATCATAGCTGCAAACTCTACTTCCTAATAGCCTATGATTGTTTGATTTTTATTTTTAATTCTTGCAGTGTATCTTGTGTACATGTTCAAACCCACTCCTCTGTGTCCTCAGCTATAAGTCTTTTTTTTAAAGCAGCATCACCGTCATTTTCCCCATTCTCCTCTGTAGAGCACAGACCTATAAGTCAGAGGCATGTTCTACTAACCTCTAATCTGACCTACCCTCATTTGCTTGAGTAAGATTAAAACATACTTAGTCACACACGTATTCTACACTCACTGTTTTACTCAGACACACACTGTTGTGAGGAAACAGTTGCACTAACTACACACATGCAAAAGAGCTTTGTTGAGGGAGCCAGACATGCAAGTGTGATTTTTGGAGCAAACTCAGTGCTCCTTTTGCACCAGAACGCCCACTTCCTGTTAGAGGATATTAAAAACAAGGCCCTTATTTCATCTAGTCACTTTTTTGTTCTACAAAATGGCAAATTTATTGCACTGAATCTCGGACTGAAATGATAAAGTGAGTCTGTGCTACAAGGAAATCTACCAGTGTCAAATAAAATCAGGCAGAGGGTGGTAGAGCCATCAATCAGCAATTTAAAATATTTTAAAAACAAGGTTGCCAGGTGTGGACCAGTGAGACTCATGGAAAAATACCATAACCGTGCATTTATTTTGTACTCCTTTTTATTTTGTGTTTACATGAGCAATGTTTGAACCAAGGTGGCAAACCAAAGCAAAATATGTAACTCTATTTTACATAAAGGCTGCTTCAGGGTAATTGAATTTTAGGGGCTGTAGATAGAATAATATTTTTGCATCCATCCAACACCTCCAGCTGACAGGGCTCATTAGTAGGTGAAGGCAGGACAACTTGGCCTTCTTCCCCACCTACTGTACATTTGCCTTCATGAAAGTGTTGAGGAAAACTAAGCATTACCTCCAACAGACCCCAAAATGACTCCTAACTGGCGTCACATCCAGCCTAAATGCCAAAACAATCAGACAGCTCGTAATTCCCTGTGGGCTGGTAATACAAGCAGCCCTCTCCACTAAGCAGAGGCCAGCCGTGCTCTGTTTGTTTACCTGCTTTCTAACGTGCATGCCAGCTTGTTAATTGGGTTTAAGGGTCAATAAAGGGATAATACTGGAGGGGGAACTAAAGAAAAAAAGACTCACTGTGCTCTGATTTTAATTTAGGGATTTAAAAATAAACAAAAGCATAAATTAGATTCAGACTTCACGATCGTTTCAGGCTCGAGGATCAGCCTGCAGTGGTTGGATTAGCATATTTTCTTTTTTAAAAAGCTGTGATGATTATTTGCTTGTCTTGTTTTCTGAACTGAAATATGAAATGATTAGAAAAATATCTTCATGTTGACCCTGGGATTACATAATAGAGGCAATTAGCCTCACCAATTAGTATCGCAATGCCTGAGAGGCTGCTTATGCCCTCTCCAGAGAGATGGGCAAATAGTAAAACAACACAGGGTAATTATCCTCCATTAGAGCATTTGTTTTCACCACATGAAAAGGAGAGCTGATAAAGAAAAAATGCTACAAGGCTGTTAAACCATGACTGCTGTTCAAAGCTTGCTGAGCGACGACAGATTGGACTGAAATCCAAGATTCATTTGTTGGGAGAGGTTTGATGGACATGTGGTGGGCTACTGCATTTGACAAATAACCTTAAAATACCGAATACATACAGTCGTTGTCAATTACTGTACAGAGCTGGGAAACCTAGCATATATAATAAATTCAACATTTTCATCGTTCATTTACTGCTTTATGGGGTATTTCTTTTTTCGTAACCCTTTTTCTAGTCTTTGTGCTCGTCATCTGTTGAAAAAAGCCATACAGTATAAACGTGAGATCATGAGGGCTGTGTTGGTCTACTGTGATTCTTGGTTTACATGAGGATTTATATTGTTTTAAGTTATCAGCTCAAGTTGAGATTGTTTGGCACCTGAGTCTGAGACAAATTTTTCCTGAGGGGGCAATAAAGTGCATCTTGTCATATCATATTGTATCATATCATAATTCACCACTCTAATGCAACACAACATAACACAATACAAGCCTTTATTTCAGCTGTTTATGCACTGAGTAGTGAAGAATACTTGGTACAGCTCAGAAGTGTGGGTTGTTTTTGGCACTATTTGGAGGGGTTGCCAGGACACTGATGATGGTTTCTTGTGGTGACTTTTATGCTACCTCTTCTGGTGGTATGTAAGAGGGTGGGTGGCTAAGTGCCCACAGCAACTGGGTGGTACCCTGACTGATGCTTGTAAGAGAGCTACTACATAATGCAGATCCCATAATTGAAAAGATCAGCTCCAGGATAAATAGAGGTCCTTTGAAAAAAAGGTGTCTTTTTTAATGCTGTTAGCTTTGAACAAGTTTGCATTTAAGATGAGCCCTCTAATTTAAATCCAGGTCCTTTTATGACAGATTAAGAAACACAATAATTGTAGTCCACTCAGGGAGCAATGTTGGTTTTTGGATTAGCATAGCCTTCCCTGGTATCTCTGTGCCCTGATGTCGTTGGCCTGTTTTAGAAGTTTCTTTGCTTTCTTTGGCAAGTGTTAAAATGCTCCACATTCCTCTCTTTACTGCCACAGAACACCCAGTATGTTACCTTCTTGTTTCTGTTTCATCCATTATAAATACTTGTCATCAAACAGCTCCAAGTAAGCAAACAATCATGGTTCAATTTGATTCAATAACTGAACGCTGATTTTCTCCTCAGAGCCCAAGGTGGCAGACATGCACCCCAAAGTCAAGTAATTGGTCGTTATGGGACTTGTCAGAAGAAAACATGTTGTCCAGTGGTCACTGAAATACCTTGTTCAAGGAGCATGCCTATCTTTATTCTCTGTGAGTTTACCACAGCTCTTTTGCCAGCCTCTTTGAGGGCAATGAAATAATATATAGTGGCTTAAAATAGCAGCCTTAAATATATAGCAGGGCAGATAGAGCACCAATGCCCAGCCCATGTTGGTAAAACCACAATGTGCTGGTTTGGAGGAAATGTTGTGCCATGCACTTCAAAGCTTGAAATAGTCTGTGCCTTTTTAAGGTTCAGCTGAGTTCAGTGAGAAAGACAGTTTTTCCATCATTAGCTATTAACTAAGGCTATCAGCCTGAGTAAGTCTGCACAGTAAGGTATACCAAAACTCTTCAAAACACCTTTGAGGAGTTTTGCAGTGGCCTCTTTGGGACCTTCAGAAAACAAACAAAAAAGACCATCAGCATCAAAACAATTCCTGAAATATAGATTTTATTGCCCAAAACTGTTGCTAGGGGGTAGATGTCAGACAGGTGATGATAGACAGCACCTTGAAGAAAAAGTGACACGTTTGACTGTTAAAAGAAAGCAGGGTGATTTTTTCAATACAACCCTACTGTCTGTTCCCCATGTTTACTGTCTCTCTGCAGCTGTCATATCTGACGCACAGTGGCAGAGCCAGACTTTTTTGACAGGGGTGGCCAAATCGGGGCACAGATTTCATTTGGGGTATTAGCGAGATACTAGTATTACAAGATATAAGCATTAGGGCTTGGTAGAGACCAAAACAAGGAAAAAGAAAAGAATGAAAAGGCATCAACAACATGACTTTAATAAAGTCCAATGTAACATGCTTGGAGACAAATTTGCAAACCTAAAGTCCAACATATTAGGTTAAAAGGGGAACTGTCATTTTCTCATGTAACTTTTTGCCCCTTCCCCAACAGATTTTCACATCTAGTTGTTGTCATTCAATCTTTTAACTCCTCATTAATTTCATTAGACCTTATGCGGTCATTTTACTGGCGATTCTCTTTTATAAACACATCAAACGCTGTGGTTGTTGTGACTTTTCAAAGTATTCTGCAAATACGCAAAATGCTACACCGAACCATGCTAACCCTCTTTTACTCTGCTGTCATTTGACATAGACTGTGTATCTTTTTTTAATTGTAAATGTCGACAAGATGCTAAGATATTTCCCGCAAATATTTTGGGGGGTATTGCTGTAATACAGTTAATTCACGACAGCCACATGACTACATAATTTTTGGGGTCTGCACAAAATTCAACTTAGAGACTATTAAAATTCTGATATCCTCATTATTTGTGTGAAAGTATTTAGATATAAATATCTTCCAAAGCTTGTACTAGGTTGCAAAATGAGCATTACGACAAAGCTGGGAGAACAACCATACAAACATGCTTTCATGCTATTTCAGCTGCTGCACAGCTTACATAAAAGATTTAATTGTTTCACTGATTATATGCGACTGCTGCAAGAAATGAAGCCTTTTTTATTTTATAGTGCTGTGACATTTTTCTTGGTCTAGTCTAAGAGCTGCATTGTTCGGGCCTTACACTGTAACTCGAAGGTTTTATTTACTAGAAACAAACTCTTCACACAGCCTAGGAAGAGTGCATTTAGTTTTATGTAGAAGAGGATAGCTTTTACAGAGCCACTCCACATATCTGAAGGCCAAGCTAAATAAAGAGAAAACCTCCAAAGATGTCTTGAAACCCCTTTCTGCACCCTTCCAAACAAAAACTTATGCAACAGGTCTTTACATCTGCACGCCACTCAGAGAGTCATAACTCCATAACAGAGGGGTAGAAAGAAGAAGCTGTCAACCTCAGGCTTTCTCTGGGTTCTCCAAAGTTTTAGATGCCCTTTCAGGGGAAACTTTCAGTTTTTATTATCATTTTACTCCTCTTTGTCATCTGAGACATATACAATAAGTGAACACTGAAAGTATATTTGGTTGGAAATCTGCAGATGTTTGTATCATGCAGCCAATATCTTATGTATTCTGTATTCTGATATCTAAAAAGTCTTTATGGACAGTTCTTCCTGTCTTTTTCGGTCTACTATGTGTGCTTTAGACTTGGGAATCTCTCAGCCCCTATTCCATCTTGCTTTGCCTTAATACTTTTATTAGAAGTGGCTCTTCCCATTCCTACTTGCCCCAGGTAGAATAGTACTGTAGCTATCCTTAGAGAATAACGATATTAAACTGCAAGAACTTTTTGCCTGAACTGAGACACATTCAGGCATTGATGGCAAAAGGAGGGAGTGGATGCTCTGAGGACGGCCTAAAAAGCATTTTTGAAATCTTACCATGGAATGTGGTCGTCCCCCGTGGAAAGCAAACCTCACCTCTGCCAAATCTCACACCTCTGTCACAAAATGTGCTCTCCTCTGAAAACCACCTTTGTCTCTTACTACTTCCCTCCCTCCCTCTCTTTTGCTGACCACCTTTCCTCTTTAAACTTGTCTCTCCTGTAAAGAGAAGAGAGAAAAATGCAACTGATGGCTCATCCTCTAAAAAAGTGGAAGTTGGTGCTAAAATTCACACCCCACTTTTACCTGTCATATGACTCAATTCCCAGGCCTTTTTTTCTTGGTGTTTATCCACCAAACAACGTGTCCTTCGAATACTAAAGCCGCAGAAAATGCATCACTGTAGTGCCACAGTAACCTCATACAAATGTTCTGGTTGGATGGAAAAAACACATTTTCTGGATGTTTTGATGGGACATCTTGAGCTGAAGCAATAAAGTCCAAAGTTAACAAAGTCTTTATCCAAAGACACACAAACGCCCAGATTCCAAGAAGTTGTACTTTTCCTGTTCTGGTCCGGACTGAGGTTGAGTTCTTTTTCTCAGCAGGGGATTGGTTAAGGGAAGAAGTCAATGGGTGTGGTCGGTGATGTTAATTACACGGTTGGAGAGCTGCAATGGACCAGTTTAAGTGTGTCCGTGAAAGAGAGAGTGATGGATTTGAATTTGAGTTGTTTAGTTCATCCTATGAGGTTAGGTCAGAAAAGAAAACCTCTTTTCAAACTACTAACCCTTCAGATTTTAACAAGAGGTGAAAGGTCATGTAAGGATGAGGTGAACTGGGTAACTCTATAGTTTAGGGATGATTCTTAAAAACACAGTATTACAGCGCCCCTTGAAAAGCCATCAGTTGTCTGGCCTTTTTCATTGGCTCACATCCTGGTTGTGTAGTGTGTTTCCACTGGCCTGTCCCAGAACAACTTGCCTGACTTTTGGCCCACTAGCACCTTCTCCTCACACCAGTCTGGTTAGGACATGGCTGAAATGGTGCCAGTTGGACCTGCATGTTCAGTAAATCCATCCATCAGTCTGCTGAAAGCTGTTCTAACTCTTTACCACAAATTATCACCCCAGGAACTGCCACGCTTTCTCTGACTGTTTATCCAGACTCTGCTTTCCTCCTGTCTTACACCCTCTAGCCATCGTTTTCCATCCTCTGTCCCTTTGGTCTTTTCCCTGATATATCTCTGTGTATTCTGTTTCTGTCCTCTCACTGTTTCCTCTCCCGGACAAATGAAAACAACTTACAAGTTTGTCTTTTCTTGGACAGCAAACTCTTAAGCTGACAGATGCAGCCTCTGTTTTGTTGTACATGCTGTGGTGGATGTGTTTGATGCTAACACAAACACACAGAAACCCTGAGCAGTGCCACTGGGTGCATTGGCTGTTTGGTATTGCCAGCTGAATCTTTCTCCACCCATCCCCTGCCCATGCATGTACATGTGTTGTTGTTCGGGATGTTTTACTTCTAAAACTTGTTTTACCTAGCCTTGATAAAACGTTTGCACATTCTTGTACCTACATCTGTCTTTACTCTAGCTTGGCATCACTGCAAGACTCATCTCATTAGTAATTTTAAAGCAGTTTTATCAATAGCTCCAACCGTTGACTGAAAAAAAAATCATGGATGTAATCTTGGGGTGCTTTTTGCTCTGGAATATTTACAGAAGTTGTTCCAATAGAGGGGTTGTTTCCCTCTTCGGCTAGATCATCTGGACAGATGTGAACTGCAATCCAATGTGGAAAAAACAAGCAAGCTTGGAATACCTGGAAAAGGTGGGATGGGCTCCCCTCCAGTCATACCCCATAAGCTACCAGCATGAGACTCAACAACATCTACCAGATCAACAACTTGTTAGTTCAGACAACTTCTTGCTCAAGAGGATTGTCCTTCTCAACACTAGAAACATTGCTTTCACCAAGCTCGTCTTGTACTTTTGCAAACCCCTGTTAGAGTTTCTTGGCCTTTGTACAATACCTTGCAAGTGCAGCAGTCTAAGCCCATCAAGTCTATGTGTTGATTTACAAGTTGATAAACTGTATATTTTTGTAAGCAGTATCCGTATTTTGGCATCCAATCACTGATAAGCATTTTATTTCCTTGCTGCTTCAAGTCAGCCCAAGACTCATTTTGTTGGTCTGTTAACTGGCCATCACAACAGGGCATTCTGGAGCTAACTTTCATGCCAAGTGTAACAAGTATGCATTGATGACATGACCATATTAGTAATGTGTAGACAACCTTTCTTTCGGTCACCCTGGAAACTTATGGTTGTAACTGGCCTTCCCTGAATCAGTCTGAATGTAAGATTGACAAAATGATTTATAGGCTTGCAGATCTGTCTGGGTCCATGCTAATTTTTGCTTGTGTAGTATAAGTGCCTTTGGTATGCCAGCTATGTGTGTTAATTGCAGTACATTAAAGTTGTTGTAAATTCCTAGACATTCTTGACAGATTTATACAATCTGGGGGTGTAAACAACTGATGTTTCACTGTCTGGAAGGAAAATGAACTTTTGTTTGTGTCTGTTTATGAAATGTGCTGAATACAGTTTCTAAATGAATTATAAGATGAAGTACAACACTTGTTTTTCTAAAGATGCTGTCTTTGAGAATTATACATCACAGTGAAGCTTGGCGAGTCAGTCTGTTAATTTAACCATTTGTAGCCTTTTTGACTCTTTATGGGTTCACTGGTTCCTCCTAAAAGAAAACACCTCTCAGGTGAGGCTGACAACAGCAGGGCTCTCAAGTCATTCAGCGTGTGACACACGCATTCCCACCTGTTCACATGCTCACACGCCACACATTGTATTTCTCACGCATTTTAATGAACATGGTGATGTCCACCAAGTTGCACTTCTTTTACTATGGAACAGGGGGAAATCAACTGAGTTCCTCCGAGAGTTCAGAAGCTGCGTGCCACGCGCAAGCCAATCAAATAAAGTATATGTACTGAACAGCCAATCAAAAAGCAGCATTGGTGTATCCGGGTAGATTTTGATATCTTGCAGTTTGACAACAGAAGAAGACAGACATTCGTCGAAATAGAGCAGGTTTTTATAAGGATGAGATAGACCCGATGATTACAGTAAGTCAGTAACCTACACATGCAGAGACCTCAACACCTCATGGCAGATAAACTCATATGATAAACTAAAGCCCTATGCTATTGCTATTAACAGCTGCATTGATGAATTTAGTCTCTGTACAGCCATTTCCAGCCATTTTCCCCTCCACAAAAGCAGCATTTCTCATATATTCTTTTTTTAAGTTCTGATACTCATGACAGTGTAATGCTCATGTACTAAAGGATTAAGTATCTCCATGTTTGTGAAACCTATACTAAAGTACAATTCATCTAAATGCTCCACAGTGCTGATTTTAGCAACTCTCCTCCACAACAGGTAACTTTACAACTTTTTTCTTATATATTAATGACTTTATTCTCTAAGATTTGAAAACGTTTTTTTTTTCTTAATGTGGCCCTCATACTCCATTGCATTTAAGAGATTATTATACTAATAATTATCTTCAATCACCCCCCCCCAATAGGAACAATCTCAGTCTGTCTTTCTTATATTGTTTTTCTCTTTCCTTTGGATGTTAAAACAGGTTGCAAAAGCCTTAGTACGTAGCTCAGTGTCAGCGTGTGTATAATTAGCTGTTCTGTTTTGAGGCTCAAGCTAACCGCTGACCACAAGCTAGCGTAGCTTTACCCTCAAAGCTAAATTAAAGAGAGGCTAAATCTTCAAGGCCACGCTTAGCTGCTGCCCTATAAGTCGTATGCCACAGCCTGGAGCACTCCAGTGAGCAGTAAACATACTAAACATTGAGGGGAAAAAAAATAACATTTTGTTTATTTCATTTGTTTAGCTGCACCATGTTGGGATTATATGCCCTGTGTTTGCTGTTTTTGCAGTTAACAAAAGAATCCAGTGGTAAAATCATGCTGGTGGACTACACTGACCACAATCCTTTGCCTTTTTAAAGCAACATGTGGACATGATATTGAGGCGGAGACATTGTTCAGTCTACAAAGGTTGTACTTATATGGTTACTTTGCAGGGCTGAGATAAAACTTGGTTAAAGGCTCACTGAGTCAAATGTATACCTCTTTATGTTTCCTTATGTACTACAGAAAAATAGTCTTATTTTTCTCACGTCGACAAACATCATTTAATTCTTTTTGTATCACTCTGAGAAGCTTTACTGTAGAACTTGTGGGAAAAGTATGTATCAGGGTTCTAAGTTTGTCTGACACCTCTTACTGCAGTCCTGGGTGATAAAACTAACTAAATAAAATTAATTGCTCTTGTTTTTAATAGTCTTCTTTGCTTTTGAAGGTCATACAGAGAAATTTGCTTGACAGCATTCATGCTAAACACAACTTTTGGGCCAGTTGGCTACAAAGCCAATGTTTGGTTGTGGTCCATAGGCAGGAAGATTGGAAAAAAAAAAAAAAAAAAAACCCACACAATTCAATATGAGTATCTCTGAAAATTTGTAAGTTTTACAAATAGTTTATCAAATAAAAACAGCCTACCTATCATAAATTAGAACCAAAGAGATGCAAAAATGCACAAATAAATGCATTTTACTATTTACTATAATGTTGTCTTAATAAAAAAAGACTACCTAGTGTATTACCTGCAAAATGAAATGAAGTGCATTCCATAAATTCATTAGTCAGATTCATCATGATATATTTTTACATTATTATTGACACATAAAAATGATATTGCATTTCTTTCTGTAAGTTAAGATGAAGCTACCTTTCAACTATATTTGTATATTATAAACTATTTTTCCACTAATCTATGATAAATACTCAGAACTGAGATTTAATTTAGATTTAATTGGAACATTTATATATTTACTGCATCCAGATGACTAAAATGGACTGGTACTGAAATACAGTACTGCACTTATAGGGCCTGATCTACTAAGCTCCAAAATAGGGAGTGCTAAATTGCGTGCGCAAACTAAAGAATTGTACGTGCTATTAGTGGGCGTGTTGCGGGGGAACTGCTATTATTGCGTGCGCAATTGATAACAGGTGCAAAAGTGGTGCAGACGGCCCTCTTTAAAGGAGGATTTTGCGTGAGCTATCGGCTTTCACCATGGAGAGTTTGTGAGAGCAGAGTGGTCGTAGATGAAAAATGAAGTTTGAAGCCATGGAGTTGCGCATATCATTTTGGGGAACTGCATAAAAGGCAAGGGATGTTTATTTGTGTAGCTCAATTCATACACAAGGCTACACAAAGTTCCTTTCAGATGCAAGAAGATTTACTACAAATAGAAAAAGGGATTAAAACGGTTTAAAATCAATAAGACAAACTGAATTTTTTTCTTCTGTTTCGTGTTTGACTATGGTATTTGGTATTTGATTATTTATGAAAATCGCCATTTACCAGAAAAACGGAGTAAACCACAAGCTTTTGGACAAGGATCATGGTGTCTATCATGGCACTTCTGCATCCTTCTCTCCACAATAAACGTGTGTACAGTAATGCTGTGCCAGTTTGCGCGTGCCTTTCAAAAGTGCTAAATATATATGCAAAACAGCGACCGCAATCAGTTTCCGGGTTTGATAAATTTCATTGCAGGTGCTTAATGATTCCATTTGCATCTGCTCCTCCCAGAATTTTGCACGTTCTGATGATCTACATACATTCTGCATCAGAGCCGGCCCAAGCCTCAATGGGGCCCTAAGCAAAATTTGATTTCGGGGCCCTCTGTTTCTGCAAATAATATTAATTGTTGATTGTTCACACACCTACTAAAGTATAAATTTAATGTGTCTGACATGTCTTTACATATGTAAGGGGCTGGCCTAGGTAATAACATAAATAACACCAATGCAACCACACAAATAATACCAATGAATGACTGTTGAATGATGTTCAGGGTGACACATACGGTTTTTAATCTCAAAATGTAACACATTCAGGTACAAAAGCAGCCTGGGGTTGATTTTTACAACATTATAAGCGATAAAGCATTGTGTTCGCTGTAAAAGTATCATCGGCAGTAAGAATCATAGGCCTACATCATCAGCAGCACTAAAATGTTTTCACTTTATTTTTACAATAATATATATTTGATCACACAGAAAGCATTACTCATACATGCAAAAAAAATAAAAGATATTTCAAATTTTTTTTTTATTGCTCTTGGGGGGCCCCCTACTGGCCTAGGGCCCTTAGCAGGGGCTTAGCTTGCTTATGCCTTGGGCCGGCTCAGTTTGCATATTCATGAAGGCAAACACGCTAAATTGATTGCGCGCGCTGTTTTGCAGATTTGACAGACACAATCCTCGGTGCACCTGGTTAGTAGATCAAGTTTGCATGCGCTATCAGGGTTGCACATGTTTTTGCACACGCAAACCTTTAGTAGATCAGGCCCTTAGTGTAATGATAGTTACTTAAAGCAGGGGCAGTAAATTCTACTTAAGCACCCCCCTGCTCCGTGGTGAGGCACACATCACTTAGTCCCATATGTGTCAGTTACATATGTTTAAATAGACTGTGGTGCACACGATGCTGTCTGTATATTTAGAGTACAGGATCTCTGTGGCAAGGTTCAAATAAAGGGGTTGAGGGACGAGTAGAAACGGAGCCCATGTTGGTTATTCTTCCCCACAAAACAACTCCCAGTCTTCTACGGCTGCATCCCTCCCCAGAGACTCGGGCCACAGCACTCAAACTAGGAGTCAGTGAGCTATGCTTGATATATGATTTGGATCACTTGGTGTATTTCAGCTGAGACAGCTGAGGAGCTGACGGTCGTTTTCTGTCTGTCCCCCCATTATCCAGATGTTCTTTACTGTTTTGACTCCCCGTATCTTTTTCCCACCTTTTTATCGCTGTTTCACTCCTTTTTCTTTAATCCCCTCTGGCAAGTTGTTTCCCAGACTAAAGAGTGGACTAGATTCCTGCTCATGTATTTATAGGCAGTGCTAAAAGCAACAGGGCACATTGATTACAGGCCAGGACAGACTGTCTGAGTCTGTGAACTGTGAGCAGGAGCAGCATATGGACCAAAATGACCAGGAGTGACCACAAGTACAGTTGGACCAATGCAAAAGCAAAACTGGTGTGTGGTTACGCGCTGACGTCTGAAATATGTCACTGAGGTTTCAAATATAACTTGAATTTAGCCTGCATGTAACCAAGAAGTTTAGAGGGTGCAAAAAGGTGCAGGAGCTACGTTGCCAGTGTGCTATTTTTCTGTTACTGTCTCTCTGTGAGCAAGTGTTAGGCCTTAATCTGAAGTCGTGCCCACATTTCCGAGAGGCCAGTAGAGGGTGAGAGAGTTTACCTCACCTCAACACTGTGCAGCTGTACCGGTCCTGTATTAGCATGAATCAACAGCATCAGCGTGTGGATGCTGTGTTTATTTTCCTCAGCTTTGCATGCATGTGGAAAGTAGCTGTGTGTGTGCGTGCGTGCGTGCGTGCGTGCGTGCGTGCGTGCGTGCGTGCGTGCGTGCGTGCGTGTGTGTGTATGTTGGGCTCAGCAGGGTGTCTCTTTAAAGGAGTACAGCATAGGGTTTCAGGGAGCTGCCTCTATTTGAGATGTGCTAAACTATGTGACCATGTGCTAAAACAGCAGGGGAAACGTAGCACCGTAGCTGATAGGAGGAACACTGAGGGAGTCAATTTAGTTGCTTTTCACTTGGCACTGGGCTGGTACAGTGAGGAAACCCACTTACTGAAGAAAATACGCTCCTAATGACCCATAATAAGTCTATATCCTTCATTGCTCTTATATTAGAGCTTGAGGTTTGTGTGTAGATGCCAGAAAAGTGCAGGAAAGAAGCAAGGAAGTGGGCAAAGAAGAGTATTCCAAAATGTAGTCACACTCCTAAGTTTTATGAGCATGTGTCGTGTCAAAGCGAACATTAGAAGAATTTGATTTAAGTACCAATGTCAGTTTTGATTTGTTACTTTTAGATGTGAAATACTTCAGGATTTTGCTGGGCTCTTGTTTTGCCTCCTTCTTATTTTCTTATCAGCACCTGGACAAACATAACTTGGACATTCGTACAAAGTAACCACCTCCGTACTGGAACAACTATTAAATTAGATTGAGTCAATATTCAAATGAAATTTAGATATTGAGCATTAAAAAGAGGAATTGAAGGAGGGAATTCACTTAACTGTATTTGTATTCTAACATCACCGCTTTATTCTCTTATACTTACGTCATTTTTGCAAGAATTATGTTCTTGGTAATTTAAGATTATAGTCTCCTAACATTAAAATGGTATTCCTTTAATAAAATAACTGTATTTTTGTCAATTTATCTTCTTTTTGAAGTTTCACCTCTGGCCATATGGTGAAAAAGTAAGGGTAATAAATGCTCACATATTTTTTAGGGTGTTTTTTTTTCCTTTTACAGAATGATTTTAATATTTTATTCCCTTTCTGAACAGTTTGCAATTTGTCTAGCATTGTCAATTTTTTATTTTTATTTTGAGGGGGATTTAGGGGAGGGGTCGTGACTCAAACCTTAGGGCAGTTCTTTCCTTCAATTGCTAATGAGTTTTGAGTGACAGCCCCATGCCTCAGGCTATGTGCTATACAGCACAGACATCATAATGTATGTGATACAGATAATTATGTAGTTATGTAGGAATCCACTGAAGTCAGCTTGTAGGCAGTGAATGCCTCCTGATTGTGTTAAAGAAACCTGGGGGGGATTCAACACCCAAAATCACTGAAATGACTGGAAGCAGATGACTTCCAAAAAAGAGTACATGTGAGGCAAGTTCTAAGATGTCTTTCTGTCCAATTTAGCAAGTTTAAGCTGATCGATAGCAATGTTTTTTGTGAATATTCAGATAACAACTTCAACGCAACCCCCAATTTAGTGCAGCCTGTTAAGGATGTCAAGATCAAAAATCGTACTAAAAGAAAAATCAAATAACCAAGGCTTAATGCTGAAAGGTTGAAAGATACCCAAGAAGCTTTGTCTTTACATGTTTGAACTCAAGGTATGAATGAACCTTCAAGTCCTAATTTAATTTCTTTCCTAACCCAATCTTATTAAAGTGTACTTTGTGCCTGTTATTTGGGTTTGGTTTCCTTCAGTCACTGTGACTGTCCCTTTAAACTTGTTTGATTTATGATGATGGGGAATGCATACATAAAAGCCTCTATTGTTCATGCGCTGTGCTGCTTGTTTCAGAGGCTTCATCTATAAATACTCTTTTGCTGTTCTTGGAAGTGTGAGCTGCCATCTGTTGTTTATTGCTTTCTTGTTGCTCTTTGCTCTCTTTTTTCTGGCCACTGTGGTCCACTGGGGTGCCAAACGCTTGTCATTGCATTATCACCAAACATTCTCACTCCATTTAGATTTTTCAAGTGAGTTCATGCAAAAATAGTACAGTGAAGATGCTTGGTCATGAGGACAGTGAAGATGTTTTGGATTTTGTGAGCATGATATGCAATATCTCAAGTGTTATTTAGAAACTTTGTTAAAGTTCTCTTCTTTCTCTTCATTTTCAACATGTGCTCAACACATGGCTTTTGCATTTTATTTGGCACCTGATGAGGGCAGGGAAAAAATAACGTGGAGAGAAGTGTGTGTAAATGTGTGTATATAGAGTTTCAGGAGGCACTACACAATGATGTAATGGGGTACGAGGTGGTCTGCTCTAGACGCACATCCTGTGGCTTCTGGTAATGGGCACTGTAAAATGTCCTTGCACACTTCACAATCAAACACATACTTAAATACACATTTCTTCTCATAGTCCCATGCAAGCATGCTTTTTTGTCTTCAGTTTGCAGGTAATCAAATGTGCACACTTTGTGCAATTGTTACCCTCCTTCATGGTCAACTCGTTTTTAATGCACTAGTATCCTGGAAGAATGAGCACAAAACAAGGGAGAGGCAGCATCCCAGTCCAGCAGTGGCTTAACCTGGCACTGACCAGAACTGCTAACCCATATGGAGCCTGACAGCAGTTTCCGTCAAACGAGTATTTATGTAACAGATGATGTAGAGGCCAAAGCTCTGCCACCATCCACTGTGTAATTAGAGAGAGGCATGGGGTTTCATGGGCTCTGGTTATACATGTAAATGCACACATATATATGCAAGGTACAGATGCTATAGAATTATGCATACACATATAGAGGTTCAAAACACACGTTTTAGATTACTGCACAAATACACAGTCATGCAAAAGCAAAGCAGCAAATGCTGAGCATCTGTAGCGAATGGGAAACAGTTGAAAGTTAAGAGGGAGAGTCATGGTTTGGAAGAGTTCAATTCTTCCTAAGTATTACTTTGGTAAGGAAATGTTACCCAGATATGTTCACGATGATGATGTATTAGAGGAATTAATGGAAAGCAATTATCTTACTTAGATGAATCAGTCAGGGCAGGATGTAACTTTGTATTCTCCTCTCCTTTTGTGAGTGTCCTGTAGAAACATGCCAAACTGCCTAACCTGATTGTATCTGACTGCTCCTACTCTGGGAAAAAGGGTTTGTTAATGAATTATACTTTGCAAAGTAAGTTGTTTGGGCAAACCACTTTTTCTCAGTTTTCTATGTTTTTTTGCCCTTCTCCCTGCTGCAGATCTATTTTTGGAGTCATGGTGCTTAGTTCTGCTTTATTTTAACCACAAGTATTTACTATCACCACAGTGAATAGAAATTGTTATTCAAACTATGATGAGGTCTTAACATAGAAAACTGAGAAAAACTGGTTTGCCAAAACAACTTACTTTGCAAGGTGTAATTCATTAACAAACCTATTTCCCAGAGTAGGAGCAGTCAGATACAACCAGGTCAGGTAGTTTGGCATGTTTCTACAGGACACTCACAAAAGGAGAGGAGAATAAAAAGTTACATAGGTTATGGGTCAGATATTTCTCGTTTTCAACATTACTGTTTCATAGGTTGTTTTATGCATAAGTCAGTCAGTTTATGAGTTACTTTATTATTGACTTGCAGAAAGTTTTTTTCTTTTATTCTGTTTCAGACTGAGATTAGAATCCCCTGGAGTCTTTTGCTTTGCTCGTGTTTTGTTGATTGACAGTCAATGATAGCCAACTTTTATCTGCTGAGACACAAATCTCATATATGTCTGTCAAACAGAAAAGTGTAGGTCCCATAAAGGTTTATAGTGGGGGCCCATGAGAAAAGTGGCTCATGTTAAAGGTCAACAATAACACATTGAATGTAGCTCCCACTTATTACCCAAGGGAAATATTTCATGACCCGCGTCTCAGTTTTGACACAGCTATCCAAAATACTTCACAACTACATAACTCTCCTTTTTTTAAACTGTCTCTTCATTCAACTATTCCTCAAATCTGTGCTTGTTGCCTTCTGTGGGAAAGTGTTCTTTTTCCCTAGCTCACTCTCTATCCTCCTCTTTCTCACTTCTGCCCCTCACTTGAGTGTGAGACCTAGCGCCACACAGGCCCCCTTTATGCCGTCTGTTTGTTCTGCAGGGCTGAGCTGCTGCGGCACCATCCTCTCTGCACTCAGCAGTGAACAAACTCTAAATGGGGACTGCTGGAGACAGAGTCACAAATTTAAAGCTATTTCAGATCTAATGCACAAAGTAATCAATAGCTCTAAAATCTGCCAATGTGTGGCAGGCAGACAGATTGGTATGAATACACTTCTGTCATTGTTCATATCAATGCACAGACAAATGCATGTATCCCCTGCTGTCATGCAAACACAAAGAGTCTTTCTCACAGCTGGTGGAGTCCCCACACCAGCACTTCCTGTCAGGATGTAATAAAAATCAATCACACTCCATGCTGCTTTGTCATTCAAACCATAAATCATCATTTGACCTTTTATTGCGTTTCAGAAATAATCACATAAGCTATCCCAAGACACCTAGTTTTTCACACTTTTTTGAGTGATTTCTGCCTTTATATTAGCTCTCATTTGGTGCTGTGCTTAAACTGTACACTCAGTGGTGTATCCACGTCTGTTTTAGCATGAATCAGTGCGTCCTGGTGAAATCATTATGTTTTGCTTTGCCGAGGGGATTTCAGGCCAGTGAGGAATGTCTAGCTGCCAGATAGAGCAATTCATCTTCCTCTGTCGACCTCCGCACAGGGCTCACAAACTGATTTGATAAAAATTTGTTCCTGTCCTCCTCTCTCTGTCTCTCAACCCTTAATTTTTTTTAACTTTTCATTTCCTCACTGCACTGTAGACTACAGCAGCTGCTTTTTCCTGAATCTGTTACTGCTGTCACATGACAACCCCAGAGGTAATCTGGCTCCTAACAGTAATTTACTTTCTGTTTGAGATCCCTCTATCATGCAGTGCTATGGTCTTCCTTTAATTTTCCCACTCTGCATCTATAGGGTTCAAAAATTAATTTAAACTTACTGTACAGGGTCCCACAGGCATTCTTCATGTGTGCGTGGATCTTGTTTTGTTTGTTCTTTTTATATTTTGCAGTTAAAAAGCAAAAGAAAAGAAAGGATATTGCTTGTGAAGAAATGATTCAACTTTTTTTCAAAGCAATGGTAAACAAGTTGGTTGGATCAGGTTAAAATTAGAAAATCTTTCCTACTGTGATGCTTTTACACTAAATATTAAGGTACAGACAGCTAAAGTTGGCCATAGAGCTCATCCATGCTACAAGATAAGCTTTGAAAGCGTTGGGACAGATCTTTTTAGAGAGCTAGGCTAGCATTTTATAAAAAGGTCCAAACTTATACCAAGGTCAGACAGCACAGTCTCTTGATACGCCATATAGGTTACTGTGTTAGACTGGGCAGACTGGGATTTGACCAACAAACATATTAGACCACAAGATGTGCAATCAGTCTCTATTACCCCCAAGTGGGTGAGGGAACGAAGAGGGACAGGGCTAGAAGACACCCGGAAATGCTAACGGCAGCTACTCACTGGGTTGTTGCAGTGTGTCTGCTATTTTTTGACAACAGCTCTCTTCTTTTAGTTCTTTATAATCATCCAACAATGACACATCATTAAGGCAGGGATTTTGATGCCAGAGCTCCACAAACCTTTCCCCTGTCCCACTGCTCCATCTCAGCAGTACCACCTTAAACATTCCTCTGTCAATGTCTGTAACTTGAGCACATGTGTCTAATGTCACTAGCTTGAAGGACAAAATCATAGTAGACAGAGGGAAAAATCAAACCTGCTAGACTTTCTGTTAGACAGATGTGAGGCATTGCAGACATGTCCTTGAATATCATTCACCATGACTCGCTGCCATAGTCCGTGTAATTAATGGAAATTGCATTAGTGATGTCACCCATTTGCTGGTTGTGCAGAGTTTTGAAGCCAATCTCCAGCAGTCCCAATATTAGCAATGCTAACTTAAACTAACTTATGGTCAACCTACAAGAGGTGAGCCTTTGGTGTCAGTATGCTGGACTGTCAGTCAAGTCAGCACACCACTGTCTGATTTTTCAGTTGTTTAACCTTTGAAAAAAAAAATCTAACATTTTAGACTTTCTGTCAGGAGGTCATGGGGCGTAGCAGATGTGTCCTACCTTGTTAGTCACTATGACAACAAAATGATTCATTGTCAGGTTGATGGGTCATGACACCCCACAACTGACATCACTTTTCCTGACGTGTGGGCACGTGGCACATACAGAAGCAATTTACTCATCATAGCTTAAAGACAGGAAACAGGGAATGTCTTTCTGCAGCTTGAAAGTAGAGCTGTGCGAGATTTTTTAAATTGTTGGGATAGCTTTTTATTGCTTGTTCCATGCCCTGTGTAAAGCTAGGCTAATACAGTGGCTAACATAAAGACAGAAAACAGGGTAGAACGGCTAAAATCAAGCTACCTATATCAAAAGTGTTATCATCTGAATCTCAGTAAGAACAATAAGTGTTATTCAGAATGACAAATAATTCCTACGATTTGGATCCAAACTAACTCAGGCTCCTCAGAGATGTGTTTCACACGTGTGTGTGTGTGTGTGTGTGTGTGTGTGTGTGTGTGTGTGTGTGTGTGTGTGTGTGTGGGTGTCCTTGGCTGTGGGGTGAAAGTTATGGCTCTGCACAGCTTTGACAGTGGCGTCTTCAGATTCTGGTCTCTGTCTGTGGCTACACGCGAGTTCAAGCATGAAACCAAACCCGAGCAGATATCTGACGCCCAGTGTGAAATCACACACTGTGGTAGAAATCCTGTAGGTTTCAGACATGTAAACCATTTTTGTGTTGTACACAAAAAGTCCAATTATGTCTCTTGACATATGACAGTGGGAGCTTTTTGAACATGATAGCTCTTTTTTGTGTGTTCACTGTAAAGGGACCAAAGGAGTGATTCATAAAAGACATCATGACATAGCAGCAAAAACACCAGATAGATGTTAAGACTTGGTTTAACAGCAGTCTAAAAATACATGATTTGGTGATGATTGTGCAGCCACGCATGAGCGCGCACCCAGTCCTTTGTGTAATTCCTAGCTTTTTCTTTAGCATGCCGCATTTGTGACTCAGCACTATCACCAATGAGTACTAAAACAAGGGAGTAGATTGTTTAGAGTTCCCACAACTGCCTGTTTTCTGTTTTTAATCCACATTGTCATGATGAATGGGTTTGTCCTTTAATTCCTGTGCCTGTTTCATGCTTATAGTTACTGGTTGGAGCGCCACATGTGCAAGAAGTTTTTCAGGGAAAATAATCTGTGTCATCTGTGTTGAAAAAAGTGATCATTCATCACTGATAGTTGTGATGTTATTTAAAAAAAAAAAACATTCTTGAACAGCACTGGGTGCCACATGTAGACCATAAAAATAACCTCGAACAAAAAATAAAAGGATAAAGGATAGGACAGGGAGTTATGAACAGACCAGTGCAACAGAAAAAAAGACAGAAGAGATTAATTCTGTCAAAACTGAACTTTGTGGTTTAGGTTCAGGGTCAGAAGCGCTGTCTTGTAAACACACAATTAAAGCTGGGTGTTTTGCAGGCACAGCATTCTGAAGCACAGCTGAAGCGTTGGTGGTATTTGTATGTAGTCAACCCTTGAAGACTATGCCGATCAAACGAGACTAAACTCCTTTTTTTCATGAGTGCGTTTTTAAAAAATACTAATCCACAGGTTTAAGTCTATTGAATACATCGCTGTGCTTATCTAAATTTCCCTCTGCATTCTCATCATTTACTGTGTTTTCAGTTGCCTTACAGTCAAGATACAGAGAAATGAAGTATTTTTTGAGGGTATGAAAAAAGAAAATTTTGCTCGTGCTAATTTCTCAACACCTCACAACAACTACACAAACTGCTCTTGAAACTCTGAATTTCTGTTTCAGCTCCTCTTATGACCTACACAGATGTCACCAGTAGTACTTGTGTGTTGCTGTGGGGGCCAGCCATTTACACATCGTGCATCGCCACATCTGGCGTGGGTTTTGTGAAGGGGTGCAGCGAGGTAGAGGCCGAGTAGTTGCCTGGTTGTGGTTGTATTTAATGAGTTGGCTGCTTGAGTGGAGTTGTATTTGTCGCTGTACATTGGTCTACCGTTATTTAAATTCCACAACATTCAGAAATTCAACACATTTCAAACATTTTAAGAATATTTTCTCTTACTTGGTGCGTAGTTTAGTTTCAGGAATACTAAATGTTCTGTATGTGAAATTCCCCCCACCCCTGTCAGTATTGTTGTTTTTGATACATTTTCTCTCCAAATGTACAAGTAAGACTTAATAGGACCCCTCCATTTGACTTTTTTTGTAGGGGTGTGTGGGAAAAATCACTGGTCAGTCAAAATGGCCGCCGGCAGTCTCTTTATCCATAAGGACAGGCTAGCAAGACAGCTGGTGTCGTGCCCTCATGTCCACAAGGCAAGGCGAGGTACGTACAAACTGCACAAGCACTTTGGAGAGGAAGTGGCTCATCTCGATGTAGCTGACAGCATGAAGTCTTGCAGAAATATCTAAAAGCATAACATCCTGTGAATAGTTTCTGTTTCTGACGTTTGATTCTTTGTCATGGTTAACCACAGGATATCATCTCAAAGAAAGAGCCTCGGTATCACTTTCTCGTGAGCTGATGAGTCTGCTCCTTTTCTTTTCTTTTCTAGTTTGGTATCAGAAATCAATCAGGCCGAAAATTGTGCACCGTTTCATCTGCTTCACAGCTTATTTTTTCATTTCAAAGCTGCACGGTTTCCTGAGGAAGTGAGACAAAGAGACAGGTCTCAGGAGGTCATAATTCAAATGTGTTTCTGTCAAGTACTCAGACATGGGAACAAAACAGGTCACAGTTGCCCCACTAACATGCATAATGTACTTCCCTCCTCTAAATTAAAATGATAACTCTGCAAAAAAACACCATGTTGAATGCACCTAAAGAGCAGCAGATGCCCGGGGTAGTTAATTATGAGTCTGAAAATGCTGGAAATCCTGCTTTAGGGAGGATGGTAAATTAAGGAGCGCTGTGACCTTTGGGTTTAACAACCCACCACTTATGTTAGTGTACTTCCTAACATGTCTCAGTTTTCTTGATTTGATTCTCATGACTCCATGTTTAAATTCATATACATCAAATGGCACGGCAAGGTTCAAATGTGGAGCCCGGTCTGAAATGGTATGGTGGGAGTCAGGAAACGATAAGTCAAAGCATGTTATTTTCAGCTTTCATTCTAAACTGCTCTGGTGGCTATGAAGAGACCTAACCAGCTGTTATCTAACAGAACATGCACAATTTGATTTAAATGCGCTGTTTACTCCAATTGTGTCAATTATGAATAATTAGGGTTGTCATGTTGCATCTCTGTCAACCGTGGCACTTGCTTAAATGTTGACTACCCTGATTATAAAGCACAAAGACATCCACATGGATGATTTAGTCATGAACTACATGAGTCACTCCTGATTCCTCTTTTTAGTAGCAGAACAGGAGCTTCGGAAATTGTTAAACTTGACTTTTTTTTCTTGTTCTGCAAAGTAAGGGTTTTATTTTTGACTTCTGGCTTTAACCACATTTCCACTGGGACATCAGTTTAGTGGTTTGTCTCTTCCATACACTGGCAACCACAGGTGTGCACAAATGACATCCTGAGAGTCTTCCTGAAGTCTCCAAACCTCTGCACATCTGTACCAGTGTTTCCTTTTCAGGAACCAAAAATTTAGGGGAACTAAAAGTCAACAAATGAGTCTCTATACCAGGTTTTTGTTTCATCTTCGGTCACCTGAAAAAACACAGGGGTTGAATCAGCTTTATTTTGAATTTACAAAGCAGCCCAGCCACTGTTGATCCTTGAGTGTTTGAGGCATGCCGTGGAGCAGGGCACTGTGGGTGGAGACCCTGACCCTTAGGCTTAACTCTCTTCTGTAATTAGGCCAGTGGGTCATGCTAATGGAGAGCCACTCCCACACTCTAAATCAAAGGGTTGGCTGGCCACACACATTTCAGACCCAAAAACACACAAGAAAGTGTGTGTTAAGCCATATACTTCGTGTGCGCTTTCTATTCTGCCTCGGGTGTCTGAAACCACAGACATGCGTTTAGGTGTCACTTGGTGGGTTCAGAGCCGATTTTGGCTCTTCAGATGGGAATTGGCTCTATATGCCTAATATAGTCATAATGGTCTTGCTTCAAGCGCATCAAGCACACATCTTCAGTCTCTTTAGTTTTCTTCTGTGGCTGATACAGAGTCTACAACAGGATGTGGTATAGGATGTGAAAGTTTAGTCTTCAGAGTCTGTATAACCTGTAATCTGGTTTCACATACTTGTAGAACATTCCAGCGCGTCAGCTCAGTAACCCTCCATCTTTGCTCCAAGTCGTGTCTGGTAGCGAAGCAAAGAAAAAAACAAGAGGCCCCTTAACTTGGACCCAACGAAGCAGCCATTCCTGTGTGGTTTTCCACTCCCTCCTTTATTCCCTATTCTGGGATGTGCTCTTTTCTAGGTCCTACTTAGCCCGGTCACCAATTTCACAAAGAAAATGAAATGTTTTATGCTGTAAATACATGTTTAGAAAATTCCCAATCTCACTGTTGCATTCCTGAAGCAGGTCAACATTCAGACGGAAAATTCCAGAGCCTGAGGGACCTGTGCTGGGTTGAGTTTGGAAAGTTTGGTGGGTTATTCTCCTTCAAATTTGGTGATTGTACTATATGGTGTAGTTTTAAGGGTGTAGTTATATTCATTCCAAGACGTTTATCCTGCAAAATCTTCACAACCTTTTTATGCAAAGCATATTACTCTGCTTAATTCAAAACCTCTGGTTTGCTTCATTTAACTTAACAATTTTTCCAGTAAATGAAATGGTTCTCCTGATGTTGTTGTTTGACACCTTTTCTCCTGCCTAGAAATGCAACCAAGAGTAAGCCTTTGAAAGCAGAAATTAATCTTGACAATTATCTTGATGAGATATTGCTAGAACTTTGGAGACACAGCTTGCCACAATATAGCCACAAACAAAAAATGGTGCAGCTTTACACCTTTTTATTTTGACTTAATATGAAAATGTAACAAATTTCTCATGTTGTTACACCAAAAAAAAAAAAAAAAACCACTGTGTGAATTAAAAACAATTAAGTGAGATGACTAATTGATTTGGTTTGTCAAGTAGTCTTTACAGCTTCCTAAACAGATGCATCACAGTTCCTTTCAATGTTTCACAACCTATCAGAAGCTCTTTGTAGCAGCTTTAAGATTCCTACAGACTAATGAAGCTGAATAAGGCTCTGTGTAAATTTGCATTAGGAAAGTCAACTTGTGTTAGACAATGATGATCATGCTGGTGTATCTTGGTTAATTTAATGTGTAGAAGATAGAAGACAACTTGAAACGTCCTTTTATCAGGCAGAAACCTTGAGCAGAACCTGACTCATTAGTGAACAGCTATCTGCAGCAGCTGGATGGACTAAACAGTAGATAAGACTGTGTTTGAATGTTTGATAGGGAGTTGTTTTAACTTGGTGGAACTTAGTTTCTTTTCCAAACTCCCACAGCAAAAACAGTTTGCACCTTCTTATCAGAGTCACTTTATTCAGACTCTAGTTCATTTTTGATTCATGCAGAAAACAGCATCTATGGCAATGATCAGCCTCAGAGTTCAGAGTTAAGTTCTGCCAAATAAATCTTATTGCTTAATAGCTAAGCTTTCACATGCACTCTTTTGACTTTTATCTTGTAATGCTTGCATGTGTTCTGTAGAAAGACCATCAAATGTGTTGGTTTATCAACACATTTACATGTTGTTTTGCAGATGTTATACCTAAATTTAAAGTTTGTTTTTTTTCCTTTTTCTAGGAAAGGCTTGTTCCTTTAAAATTGGCTTTCACGTACTTTTTTGTTACCCTAAAGTGACATTGATTGAAAACACTCTGTCCACTTCATACACTATACTGAACAATTGAGGTTGGTTGTTTTTATTTGATGGTCTTATCTGGGTGTTTTATAGGCTTTTTTGGACTTCCCTGATTAAAACATAAAAGCTCCCCTGATTTAAGTTTTCCATCTCATTTTATTGATCAGATAATTGTGCTCAGGAATTGTTCTGCAGTTGCTCTTAGCCAGGGGTCAGTCCATAGATCTTGTGACACAGTAATCCAATTAACCATTTAGCTACATGTCTATGCATACTGGCACTCCAGTTAGTTTCCCCTTCACTCTCTCTCTCTCTCTCTCTCTCTCTCTCTCTCTCTCTCTCTCTCTCTCTCTCTCTCTCTCTCTCTCTGTAACACACACACACACACGCACACACACAACCACATTCACACAGAGAATACGCAGGACAAACACATGGATGGGTTCAAGGAAGACATTGACCTCCATTTGATTTGTGAACTCTTTTTTCACTTCTTAAATGAGTCCTTTGACCCCTCACACTTGACCATTCATTACTATTATTATGTATCATAAGTACCAAGAAAAACAGAAAGGTGACAAATGGAAACCAACGTAAAGTGCACAAGTCATTTTCTGGGTCAGTGGAAGCTTTCCTCCTCTCTTTTGAGGGCCTTTTCTTCCTTTGGTGATCAATTGTCCTCTAGAGTTGATTGTAAAGATTTGAGCCAGTACGTCCATGAGTACAGACATGTAAACTACCCAGCCTGCAATGTTTCATGATGTTTTGCAGAAACCTGAATATCTGTTGCTGTTGTTGGAAAGCCAAAGAAGCGGTCCAAATATATTTTTTAAGATTCACAGTGACACACCTCTGTCCCAGCTGCTCTGCTTCAAAACAAGGATCAAGAAAAGTGAGTGGGAAATACACTCATGCTGACTTTTTTGTATGGAGCTTAACTACTGTCATGACTATACACTAATTAGACTGGGCACAGAGAAAGGAAACAAGGGAAAAACCTGGTCATGGATTTAACCAAAGATCAACAAGTTCAATAGATATTTTATTTTTTTAAAGGTAGATGTATGGCTGTCACAATATACCAATACCTGTAACCTGCACACATTTATGGACTTGCAATTTTCATATGCTCCATCTTTGTTTTATCCTTTCTCCTTTTAACTTACCATGTTGTTTTAGATTTCAAGTTTTCCATAATTATTGTGATATTGTTATTGTGATATTTATGATATGGGTGTCGCACATGGATAAAGGAAAAAAAACCCGCTTGCAAATTTGCACAAAGAAGTTGACGTAAAGCTTCTCCCACCCACATATATAAAATTTGACAGACATATGAGGCCCGATGAGACTTACAAAAAACCTCCTGGGGCCAAATCCTGACTACAAGACTTGATGCAAATTCTTATTGGTGCTTTTTTTAAATTTTTTTTTACAGTATTTACTGGAATTTGTTCCGAATGTGTATCATGTGTAATCTTAACTAAATACATAGAGGTGGTTTAATGCTGTGCTGGTGCTGAAAGATATTTCAGGGAGGTTTTGTGAACATATGCCGCTGTATAGGGTGCAGACTTCAATCATCAAAGTCTGGATTACTGTCACATCATGTGAGAAATATCAAATGAGGAAAAATGTACAGTATGAATCTTTGTCTGCTGTGTGCTTTGTTCAGATTTGGAATTGAAGTCAGGCCAAGGAGTCCCATGAAATTCTTCATCCTCCTCCTCCTCACTGACTTCTCACTGTGGGCCAGGAGACAATGAGGTCGACAAGTACAGTGAGCGCGGTACAGTGGCTGTCTAAGTTCATTTCCTTCTCTGTGGGTGGTGGGGGCGCAGGGCAGCTGTCAGCTCTTTACGAGCCTTGTGCCCTGGAAAAAATTAGTTCCAAATCCCCTTTTCCCAAAAAACACTAATGAGAAGCACACACAGGAGACGGACATAAAACGACGGGGAGGGGGTGGGGGTCGTGTGTGGGGGGTTTGCTGGTCAGTGATGGACAGCAGAAGAAGGAACATAGATGTTGAATAGCCTGTGAACTCACCATGCTGTGACCTCAAATGCCTCAGAGAGGAGCTGTAACCGTGCACAAGTCTCCCTCAGCATTCCTTCAAAAACTGTGTCAGTCTTAAAAAGGAGACAAAACAAGTGCAGAGATGGGGACTAGAAACACCTAAGGGTGCAGCCGTGTCATAATTTATAGCCTTGATGAATTAATGAAGCACAAAACACAAGAGGGTAACAGGTTCTCTAAAGCCATATAAGTAATGTGTGTGTGTGTGTGTGTGTGTGTGTGTGTGTGTGTGTGTGTGTGTGTGTGTGTGTGTGTGTGTGTGTGTGTGTGTGTGTGTGTGTGTGTGTGTTTGCAACATTGTAAGAGATCCAAACCAACACAGATTTTAACTATTGAGCCAGATTAACTACTTATATCTTGCAAACCACTATCTTTAGTAAACACTACTTAAAAAGTCATCCAATTCTCTTCCAGCATAAGCACACTGAATGAAAACATCTCTAAGTGAGTTCCAAGTTGGAACCCTTGGCTGTCTATGAGCTGATGTGTGTGTCCAAGCATAATTCCTTTCTATTTTCATCCCTGCCTATCAGATCACATTGCAAATGCACAAAGGAAAGATTGTTCCTTTGAATTGCTGTACTCCCTCAACATGTTTCAAATTGTCTCCTCTTTTTCTCTGGGGTGAAACATCTGAATGTTGTAAATGTGATGGGAGGTGATGAGTCTCTGAGTGTCTGGTTGGTAAGGCCGGACTGAAGCCAGGGTCTCGATTAGATGAGAAAAGCCAGTGTAGAACGTCAGTCTGTGGTGGACTTGAATAAGCTCCTTTGTTCCAACATTAAACAGCCTCAGTGTTTGATGCTCAGTATAAAGAGGTTTTAACTCTCCTCAAAATGAATCTGAATGATTTTTTATAAGTTTAGCCTAGAGCAGAAAAAATTTTGAGATAGATCTGAGATGGTGAGTTGATTCACCAACTTGTTTGACTGAGTTTTTGAAATAACTGGGTATAGTTGCACAGGGAGCTCATATTGAGTGAATCTGATTTATGTGGACAAAGTCAAAAAGATATACTGTGATTTTATGCCAACCATAGATTGTACAAGAAGTAGATATAGCAAAGATGATGTTATCCATCAGTTGGTTTCCTGCCAGAAATCTCAGGTTTTACATTCATCTCATTACCATCTTGCTTTTTAATCAGAAGTGAGCGTCTTTGGATTAGTATGCTTCTGTACCTGTCAATCACAAGTAGTCACATTCTTAAGGGGTGATAGAAACCATAAACTCATTCAACAAGTTCTTCCAAAATACTAAATAAATTTTTTGGATGATAGGGCAGTGGATAGGGTGGGAAACTGTGAGGGAACTGGGTCCCCCACTTTGAGATTTTGGTTGTGATACAGCTACCAAGCCAAACTGGTGCCCTTGTTTGAATAGTCATCTAGTCATCGATTATTGAAACGATTAAAGCTCCTGTGGGTAGTTTTTTTCTTATTGGTCTATGAGATAGACCAAAAATGATATCAATGATTTTATTTTTTTTCTTGATATCCAAATGCAAACAAGACCATCAGCAACATGATTGATCTTTTTGATGCCTGAAACCGGTGTGAGGGGTTAGATGTCAGCCAAGCAGTTTGAGAGACAGCTCTGTTTTTTCCATTTCTACAAAAAGTATTTACAACAAATGTTACATGTCACTGTCAAAAGTCAGGAAGATGAGATTTTTTGTCAAAAGTCTCTATGCAGGCATGTAGAGGACAAGATAAGCAAAGACTGCTTTGTCCACAGGCGGCCTTAAAATTGACACAAACCAAACTTGCATATGGGAGCTTTAATGACCGGTACATTTACAAAAGTTTATTAGTTAGCGATCAGCTTTTAAATTTAACATTACTCTATTTAAGGCATAATATGCCATTCAAAGCCTCAGTTTAAGCCATAGTTTAGTCTTCACTTTAAGTATAACTCATGGTAATGTAAGATGAGTTCATTTTAATGTGTAGCATGGTTACTGGTAAGAGTTTTCTCCACTGTTCAATGGTAGGAGTGGGGGAAGGAAAAAGATAAGGAGGAGAGGGTCATAGACTGTATAAAGCATGGATGTAGCCTCAGTGATGCCACCTATTGGTTTATGAAGCAGAGTATTGAAAGCTAAAGTTAGGTTGAGTGATGACTCAACCCAGGTTGAGGTGGACCGTCAGCTGCCACACTAACAGCTACGTTGTCATTTAGTATGACTTTTTTTCAATGACTCATGCCCCATCGATGTGCTTCCATGATCAACAAGGTCGCCTTTCCAGTTTCTGTTTGAAGCTCTTTTCTTTTGGCATTACAGTGAAACTCTGACACTATACAAAGTTTAGGACACAATGAAGCTGCACTGTTGCCATTCCTGATGTAGTTTGTGTGCGCAACTCACTGTATAGATGGTAAAGAAGCAAGGCAACTCCCCCTCAGTAACCCAGCACTGAAAAACAATCTTATGTCCTCTAAAAGCATTACAGACATGCACAGTTCAACATTTGTTTGAGGGTAAGTGTATTGGCTTCTCTTTTGGAAAGCTACAATACCTACATAGTGCTAACATATTAGCTATGTTGCAATTAACCAAAAGATATATTGCCCCCAAGTCACATTATTATTATTATTATTAATATTATCATTATTATTATTAACCCCCTTAACCCGATCTGCCCATCGACAGGCCAAGATTTTGCTGCATGTAGTTAACCTCTTAAGCCGTAAGCCTATTTTCAAGAAAAAACGCCTAACAAGACATACCCAAAGTAAATGAGAAATTACTACACTTTACTAAAGGGTATATGCATGTTCTCGGTGTCCTTGGACATCTAGAGACTTCAGAGAATATGTTCCAAGTGTCAGAAGTGTTGTATCTGTCATTATGCCTGAGTAAATTGGAAGTGGAATAAACCAGAGGGGAAACTATGTTTTTTTACTCTTGCCAAAATGTTTTCTTTTTTTGACAGAGGAAAACACAATGCTAGCAATGATTCCATGCCCCCAGATGCCATTGATTAGCCTCATCCACTCCTTGACAACAAATTTACCAAATTTGATAGAATTTGGATAAACAGTGAAGCCTACATGAAGGTTTTTGTAAGGATACACCAAGGCGAGAACTCAGTTTGGCACAATTTGGCACACTTTTGTGCCAAATGGATTATTTTCTACCTTTGATGAAAACTCCAAATTACAATTAATTTCCATGAGACTAGTCTCCTACTACCTATTGGAGCTTTTAGATATGAAATTTACCTTTTGCCTCATCAATTTCTACCATTCTGCAAAATATATTTGTTTATATGTAATACAGAATAGTGAAAAATAACAGGAACTTCTACATTTCTTTCTTCACAGGGAGTATTTTTATTTGAAAAAAGTGCAAAAAGAGAAACAAACAAACATTCTGTGCAAACAATGTAAAATAAAAAGTAAAAGTTCAACAAATATTGTAAATTAAAAACAATATATAACAATATGAAATATTATAGTGTATTATTTCTTTTAGAGACCAGAATTAAACAAATGATCAGTACACAAACTTTGATACAAGCAGAGTCACCTTTCTTGCAGGTATAGGTGGGGGTGGGGCGACTGGTGCAGGGAGTACTGTAGGTGTGAAAACTCCTGATAGGGGGGTAGATGTGCCTCACCCCCTCTTCTTGGTGGCTGTGAAAATGGTGATAAATTACTATGTAGAACAAAAATAAATAACATTTGTACATTTCAATGAAGGACACAAAAGTTGTGGAAATATATAAACTTATTCAATAAATTGAGTAGCCATGAGTAGCTAAAACACGGGAAAGCAGCAGGTCCGGACAAGGTGTGTCCAAGACTGCTGAGGACCTGTGCTACAGAACTGGGGGAACCACTGCAACGCATCTTCAACCTTAGCCTGCAACTAGGGAGAGTGCCCATCCTCTGGAAGACATCCTGCATAGTTCCGGTGCCTAAGAAGAACTGGCCCAGCGAGCTGAATGACTTCCGACCGGTGGCACTCATGTCCCACCTTATGAAGACGCTGGAGCGGCTCTTCCTCGCCTTCCTCAGACCCCAGGTGCAACATGCCCAAGACCACCTGCGGTTCGCCTACCAGCCAGATGTTGGGGTGGAGGATGCCATCCTCTACATGCTCCACCAGACCCACTCCCACCTGGATAAGGGAAGCTGCACAGTGAGGATCCTCTTTTTCGGATTTCTCCAGTGCTTTCAACACAATCCAGCCCCCCTTGCTACAGGACAAACTCAATCGCATGGGAGTGGACCCCTACCTGGTAGCCTGGATCTCCAGCTACCTAACAGACAGGCCACAGTATGTCAGGATGAGGGATGCCACATCCAAAAGTGATCAGCAGCACTGGAGCCCCCCAGGGCACAGTGCTGGCCCCTCTTCTCTTCACCCTGTATACATCGGACTTCTGCTATGATTCGGAGCTGTGTCATATACAGAAGTACGCCAATGACACAGCCATCGTTGGGTGTATCAGGGATGACCGAGTGGAGGAGTACCGGAGTCTGGTGGGGGACTTTGCCTCCTGGTGTCGCCTTAACCACCTGGAGCCCAACACCTCAAAGACGAAGGAGCTGGTCATAGACTTTAGGAGGTCCAGACAGAAGCCGAGACCAGTCCTGCTCGAGGGAGTTGAGGTGGAGTCTGTCGACTCCTACAAATACCTTGGGCTGTGGCTGGACAACAAACTGGACTGGTCAGCACACACCAGCCACCTGTACCGGAAGACCCAGAGTAGGTTGTACTTCCTGAGGAGACTCCGGTCCTTTAACATCTGCAGCAAACTGCTGCGGATGTTCTACCAGTCTGTGGTTGCCAGTGTCCTTTTTTACACTGTGGTGTGCTGGGGAGGCGGCACATCCAAGAAGGACGCATCCAGACAGGACAAACCGATCAGGAGGGCTGGCTCTGTGGTCGGCATGAAGCTGGACCCTCTGGTGATGGTGACTGAGACCCGGACACTTAACAAACTGTTGGAGATTATGGACAAGGCCAGTCATCCGCTACACTCTGTCATCAGCAGCCAGAGGAGTCTGTTCAGTGAGAGACTGCTCCTTCCCAAGTGTCGGACCAACAGACTCAGGAACTCCTTTGTCCCCCAGGCCATCAGACTGTACAGCTCCTCACTGGAGGGTAGGAGGTGACTGAGGACAGTAGGGAAGAGGCGGCAGACACCACCCACCTAGCTCACATGCTGCAACCATCCACCCATCACGCACGCATGCGCACACACACGCGCGCACACACACACACACACACACACCATCATATGCCACTTCTATATTTTATTAGGAGTGTATTTCTTTTTTCCATCTCTATGCGGACTATGTACCTTTTTCAATGCGCAAGAGTCTATAGAAATTATGTAGATTGTGTGACTTGTATTTTATTTTATTTTATCTTATTTTATGTTGTGGCTACATTTTGCATGCTGCACTTGCACCTTTTTTTTACCTTTTTACTTGTAAAAGCTGCTGGTAACCTGAATTTCCTGCGGGAGTCATCCCAAGGGATGAATAAAGTTCAGTCTAAGTCTAAGTCTACTATATTTTGTTTGCTTTTTTATTTACTTCATATGTTTGTTTGTTTTTCATAAAAAATATATTCGAAGACAGATAAAATGCAATATCTGCAAGCAAAGTAAGCCCAAAATAAACAGATACAGTGAAACTGCAGTAATATTTAGTGCTATTGCATTGCCATACTTACTACTGTGTTTACAGTTTTATGACAAAGGTGTTCTATGCATATCAATTTACACAACACTGAGCCTTATTAATAAATGCAAATACTCATTAGCAAACTGGGTCCACTTATAATGTAAACAATGCCTCCTCCTCGGAGCCGACGTCATTACTGCTGAGTCAGACGAGTCCTCAAATTCACCGTCTGAGCCCCGCTGAATTTCTAATAAAATGTCCGCCATATCCCTCTTAGAGTTGAATGTTTCTTTTCCATTGTTAAAAAGTACTCAAGAGAAGTTTTATAAGTGGTGGAGAAAGTTTACAGGAGAGTCCCGAGTGATCAGCGTGCGATGCAGCATTCTGCCTTCGTCTGTGGGGCACACATAGACTATATATACTATGGACAACTTGGTTTCGCCTACCGCCTGTATATGGATTTGAAGCCAAATAGCTCTCGGTATTTCAGGGATTTTTCTTCATTTCCTGAAACCAGGGCTGTGCAGTAGCGTTGTGCGCATTTGGCCACGCAGTCGCAGAGAGTCACTGTGATGACGCTCGGCTCAAACAGCGTATCCCCCGGGAGAGCCACGCAATCCCTGAACGCCCATAGACTGTATCAGGTGTCAATCATAGAAAACATGAACCCCTAATAACTTTTAAAAACGGAGCTTCACAGAAAAAAAAGGACTTGAGCACAAACCAGTCTTACAATAACTACATGTCAACATCACAAGCAGGGGGGAGAAAAAATTGTGTTCTGTGTAATAAATTTCTAAAGTTGGTCCACAGCCCCATAAGCTTTGCTGGTGGAGGCGGGATTTATGACCTATACTGCAGCCCATAATGAGGGTGCTGTTCTCGGAGTGGCTTCACCTGGCGAGGAGGCAGACTCTGTCCAATCTATATACAGTCTATGGGGGCACAGATTACGAACACTTTACGCCCAGCTTTTTCCAAAGCAGGGAAATGTAGTCCTTGGAAAGATTGATGTCAAACGATTCAGTAGCTTCTCCCCTTTCAAATGACTACAAAGATGGCAGTACGGACCCATTCTCCGCTACACTGTAAAGCTTTGATTCGGTGGTTGTCGCAAAATTTAAATGTCCAGATTTCGCACCAAGACAGATTAAAATCGACACAAAAGGTAACGTTTGCACTAAAACATACATCCGACCCAGTTTTGTGAACATTAGAGTCTAAACTTTGATTTAGAATTGAAAGTAAACACCGCCGTCAAGTTTCAATACATTTTTTACAGCGTTTAATGTTACTTGGGGGCACTGACTACTTTTTTTTTCCTTTAGAGAATCACATAGGAAAATCCAAGAGCTACCAGCTTCTTTAAACTTCATCTGGAACCATGTATACTGACAAATAATGAACCTCTTTTTGTGAACGAAAAATGTCACAGTTCTTGGCTTTGAACAACAAATGTGTCAGCTAATCCCCTGGGCTGTGAATGGTTTGTGTATCTTTTAAGAAAGAGAACTCCAAAATAGAAACAAATCATCTCAGTTTTCCCCTAAAATTTTTAAGCCAAATTTGTGGATGATCGGTATGTTCATGCTGTATTGAACATGAAAAGGATGACTTGAATTGAACATTGACAACAGAACATTTGAGTGGATAAATGTGTGGAATTCTGAGTTGCTGCTATGTTTACCGCCTTCCTCAGACTTACCTACTTTGGACCAGAGTGCCTGAGGGCTTCTCAATCTGGAAACAGTTTAAATACCAAATTCTTTATGCCGATGTAAAGTAGTTGTATTTGGTGCTTTGAAGTTAAAGCCTTCTGATCTCCTATGAAATCCTTCTAAACTGCATGCCCGAATCCTGAAACGTGTACTTTCTTGTCGTTGCAGGTGAATCCACATATCTTGATGACCACGGACCCCCTGTTCCAAGAGTAAGTCTGTTTCAATATCTTTCTGCCAAATTGCTCCTTTTTTTAGTCTATTTTCCCTCTTTTGTCCTTGGTCTTTTCCTTTCTGTCTCTGATGTTTTTCCCTACATTTTGGAGCCAGTTCAGTCCAGGCAGAATAAGGGTTCAGTCTATGCAAGCGGGCTGCGTGCAAACTCTCTCTAAATACCAACTACGCCAGGCTTCAGTGCTACAGTAATGCTCTGAGTGTTACACAGGGGCCTTGTATTCATCCAGCTGTATGTCTGCATGACTATCTCTCCTCTGTGCTCCCTCTTTCTCCCTCTGCCAATCTTTTCCCCTCTGTCTGTTCATTATCCTCACCTTTAGTCAATCACCACCTCATTTTCACCCCATCCCTCCTCATTTTTTTTATTCTTTGGATCTGCTTTTACAGTCTGACAGCCATTTGGTGAGTTTTTTTTCTGGTTCTGGCAGAGCAGTTAGCATGTAGCTTAACTTAATCTAGTTTGGTACCAGGTTTGTTTGTGAGCAGCTGTACAGTCAGGTCACATCTGGGTTTTGTTTGTGAGTTACATGTTTACTTAGAGAAGCCTGTTCTTGCGGCTATAAGCCAAACCAGACGGCCACAGCGCATGTGTCATACAGATAGAGGTGGAGTGTTATTTATACGAAACAAACTGCAGCTCATACTGGAGGAATTCATAGCAAATTTTTTTTAGTTCAAGTTTTGGGCAAATTATAAACTTTCACTTAAAACAGGGTCCCACTGACATTTTACTTTTTAATACAGTTGGTCTGTTGCCAAGCTGCCGATAGGCCTGCAGAAACGTAATGGTAATTATGTGATAAATCACTTAAAATTTCATTATTTCCTATCCAAAATTTAGTAAAACAGCTTGACAGTGTCCTGAGGCTATCCTAAAGCATGCTGATTATTAATATTATTACACAAACACAGAAGCTGGAGCTCATTTTGACATTGAAAAGTAAGATTTTAGTGCAAGGTTCAGTCTCCAAAAAGCAAAGAAGGCCATTAAAGATGGATTTCCTCCAAAGTTTCAGTAGCTTTTCAAAGCATGGTCTTTAAGTTGTATGGTAATTACTGTTGTTACACAGACTCAAAAGCAGAAACTATGAAAGATTTATGATTCACACTTTTCTGGGATTGCTGGAGCTTGTCAGGGCTTCACGAAGCCTGGTAAGAACAGCAGTAGACAAAATGTAGGGTTTAGAAAGTGCTTTTGTCTTATAAATGATTAAATCATATTTTGTGAGGAGCTTTTGGCTGATCATACAAAGGGTTGCCTTTCTAGGACCTACCAAAGCAATGAGACCAACAGCAGCAACAAGACTAACAATGTCTGTAAGTTTTTACCACTGTTGTCGTTGTATATGCGTGCCTGCCTGCCTGCGTGCTTGCGTGCGTGTGGTAAGGGGCGGGGGGTGGGAGGCAGGATAGATGATTTACAGCGTGCCATAGGATCAGTCTGTCTTTTTTTACCCCACAACTTAATACGTTATAAACCATGCCTATAACTAGAATCTAAAATGTAACTAGAATCGAGTAGAGATATTTGAGTTGAAGGGGGCCAGAAGGTTGTATAATCACGTAAATTGTGAAAAAGGTCCGTTGATTGGTCAAAGATTGATTGATGAGTAGTTGATTGATTCATTCATTTATTCATAAGTAAGCAGAGATGGACAGAAAACTTGACCCCAGTACTTGAGTAAGAGTTCAAATACTCCTAGTCCAAATTTACTCCACTACAAGTAAGAGTAGCCCAGTCAATACGTTACTGGAGTAAGAGTAAAAAAGTACTTGCTTTTAAATGTACTTAAGTATTCAAGAGTAAGTAAAAGTAAGAGTAAGTTCCTATTTTTTCACATGAATTACTGTCATTTTGCAATTTTATTTTGTAACTCTTGTTTCAGAGAATTAACTATTTGAAACCACCTGCACTGATGTGCTGCCTGTAGAACCATTATGTTATACTGTACCAATGCTGCACAAACAACCCCCCCCCCCCACACACACACACACACACACACACACACACAAGAGCCAGAGTTGTAATTGTAATTTGTGACAACCTTCAGGATTTTCCACCATTGCTCAAAAAATTCAGCCACAGTTAAAAAAACATTTGATTAAGCAACTTCTGTACACCTGCCCCCTCACAGTAGTCACAAGCATTGAACATTACATTACAGAAACTGTCAGTCTCATCACTGATGGTCTGATATTGCTTATGTAACTCATACAAAAATCGACTTCTGTTTTCAACCTGTTTCATGACCAGGCTTTAACTCCTCACAGGGATTTAACTAAACATAAGCTGCTAGCTTGACTGATTTCATATCTGTCCTAATCTGATACAGATGATGCTAATGTCATGTCTGTCAGCCACGTCACTTTTAATCTTCCTGTTGACATCTTGCTGAAGCTGAGATTGATCTCCCACTCAAGTCAGAGGTCGGCTGTATTTCAGCATGTGCACTCAGTTCTGGTGAATGTGGGGAAAGATCAGGAATCAAGTGGAAAGCTGGATGTAAATGAGAGTGTATGGAAAAACCACAGCACTCTCAGAGTACAGTTAGGAGTCTTTATGTGTGGGGGTTGTATTTCTGTTTAACAAATGTGATTTTAAATATCACATAAACACCTTTCAGCACGTTTTTCTCCCAATGTAGCTCTAAATCTTAGGGGGAATCATAGGCATTGGAGTGTTTTCTTTTATTGAATATGTTTTAAGCCATCCATGATCACTCTTTGAAACCATGGCAGGTGTGTGTGTGTGTGTGTGAATGTGTGTTCAGGCTTTGAAATGTTACAGCAGATCAATTTTAGATGATTTAAAGTTAAAAATGAAGTGAAAGTAACTAATCTAAGGGAGGGAAATCTATTAAAAAAAACTAAAATACATTTAAAGAGTCTTCAGAGACTCTATGAGTGATGACAAAGAAGTTTTGTGTTGTTTTGCCCAAATGCTTTTATTATTTAATGATGCAAGTGAAGAAAATGGAGCACTCAGAGTTATACTAGTGGACTGTTAAGTAACTAAAACGCTGTTGGTTAATCATGAAAAGCATTCTGATCTTTGATTTTGATATTACATTCATCATCTCTTCCTTGTCCTTTGGGGGGGGGGGGGGGGGGTAGAAAGTAGCTGAATTATGACAGAGGGGCTGTGTAATTTGAACATGTATATTGCATAAAAATAATCTAATTGATCATAAAGCTTTCCTGCAATAATGCAAATTAACACAGAGTCACGGTCACCTCAATTAGCCCTCAGAGATCTTCAATGAAAAACACTAAATTAAAAAACAGTAATGCAGACCCTGTAGATAAGACAAGGAGGCAGGAAGGAAGGAGTGGGCCATGATAGACTGCAAATAATGATAAAAGAATATCAAATGTCTCATTAACATGATGCCTTCTTTTTCTCCATAGCTGTGTGGTGTATCAGGGAGATATCATAATGACACAGCAGACTCAAGTATGTTTTAACCATGAAAAATGGACAAAAGGTCAGCGTCATTAATGCACAGATCCAAGTTATGACACATCTGTCTCTTCACTGCCCTTCACTGCCCTTCACTCTCATTATAAACTCACAGCCTTTACTGTGATTAATCACTATGAATGTTTTGGACAAAAGTTTAAGTGTTGCTTAACCAGTTTCACTACTAAAGATCTCTTAAAACAGCATGAAGCATTTGAAGGTTTTGGTGTACGTGTGGGGGCAGCATGTGAGAAAATAAAGAACAATGAGCAAATTAGAAGGGAGCATGAGAGAGAGAGGGAAAAGGGTAGGACTCCTCTTCTCTAAGATGGCACCAGATCTGTGAATACAACAACAGGCTGTCTCTCAAGAGTAGGAACACCCAGACCTGACAGTGAAAAATAAAACAGACCTGTTACATAATACATTTTTTTTTTCTGATTGTAAACTGACTATTGACAGGAACCCTTACTGGCAACATTTCTCACAGCCAGTATGAGAAACCTCAGCTCTGCAAGGAGAAATTGACAACAGCACAATGTGAGAGGTTGGCCTTTCAGTGCTGTCAATGTTACAATGTTGTTACACGCTCTGGCCTCCTGATAGCATCTGTGGTGTTATTCTTCTGTTATACAACAGTAGGCTGTTAGAGGTCTGACACAGTCATTTGTCATCATATCTGCGGGGAAATGGTGTGCTGCAAAACCCTGCATGTATTTTAACCAGATTGTTTTTATTGTGATAAGCTGAGGAGTCTGTGATAAAACATGAAGGAATGTTAGAGAGCTGTCCAAGAGAGCAGGTGCCTGGTTAACTGGAATGATTCCTATTTTAACACATACTGGATTTTACATGAGCTGATATTTTTAATTTTATCAATGTTACAACTCAAATTCCATCAATTTTGAACTGTATTTAATTTAAAGAATTGTCTGGGAATGATCAAGGTATTTTGCCTTGCCCACACCATATCAGGTACCCTACCACTCCTTTTTCTTCTCTTATTAGTTTATTTTTGGCCCTTTGATGCCTTCATCTGGAGACAGAACTGTGAAAAGAGCAAGAAACTGGGCTCAGGATGAGCTGTGACATGTGGTAAAGGGTCAGGAGCAGGAACCTTTGATCAGCTTTGCAAAGACACAAGCAAAGAGGTGGTGTTCAATAGGTTTTCAGCCCCTAAATTAGCTTCAGTTTTTCAACACCTGCTTAAGCCACCTGATTGGTTAAAACATATGGTCTTAATACCCAAAAAATGTATTTTTTAGCATACTGTATATTTCAACAATTTTAGAGGGTCCAAAGTCAGGGTGTTGCACTGCCTCCTGCTGGCCAAAGTACCAGCTAATTACTATTTAAAGCTCCGGTGAGCAACTTTCAGGTTGTTGGGCAAAATAGGCATTATACTTGTCTCGTTTTCTACATGATAAGTAATAACTTTTTGACAGTATGTTACAGCCAAGTGTATCATTTATTGTGGATACGTTTTGTAGAAGTTGTAAAAACAGCTCTGTTCCTTTAACTGCCTGGCGGTTAATGATCCCCTCACACCAGTTTTAGGTGTCAAAAATTACATCATATTAATATTCATTAATGGTCTTATCTGCTTTTAGATACCATGAAAATTCATCAATATGTACTTCAGTCTATTTCATAAACCTACCGAGCTTCAAAGTCCATTTTATTTTGTTGTGAGTATTATTCTGCCGAACATGTCTTCTTGATTTTGACCTTAACTTTACTGACATTAGTTTTCTTCCTCAACTGGATGATTTTATAGCCTGTCTGTTTTGTTTTGATGTCTTCGTGATGTCTTTATTTCTTAAATATTGAGAAGTGCCAACAAATTTTATCAGAATTTCCAAAAATTACCACAATAATAATAATAATAATAATAATAATTGTTATTATTATTATTGCTAGGTGAGGAGGTGTCACTGGTGCCTAATAATCCTACTTCATGTTCAGATTTTGATGTTTGTTTTTCAAGGACTGCGTGGCTGCCTTAACCTCTAATGACAAGAGCTGAAGCGCACCTCTCAATAAAGCATGTATAAGCTTGTTTAAGCACAAACTACTTCTGTGAACTGTTTTTTCAGTTTACTCTTCCTCATCCTGAGGCAGATTTTCCCACGTCTTATTCTGACATAATGTCAGACTGGTTTTGATCACTCATAACATCCAGCAAGACACTGATTATGGGAAATTCAGTAAATACCCTGTCATCAGATTGTTTCCTTTTTCAGCTGTCTTCGTCCTTTTTTTGGTCTGTTCCTTTTTTACTGTGAGTCATGTCCTTTTCGCGGCTGTTTTGCCTTGGGCTGATGACATTCAGTTACTCTGGCTGTTTTTACTGCTGTTTCTTTAAGGGACGCAACAAAATCAAGACGCGTGTGCGTGCGTGTGTGTGTGTGGCCAGCCCTGTGGGTTCTGCAGCGTTAGAGATGAAAGAGACTGATATTTGCTAAAGATGAAAAGTGATTTAATGCCAATGTGGAGAGAAAAAGAAAGGAGAGAGGAGAATTTAGGTAGTAAAAGTCAGTCACTAATGAAACAGTTAAGATGAGTCTGTTTGATTGTTGAGTCCCACGTGCAGAGGTAAACCTGGTAATTCAATCAGACAGATACAAAATATGAGGACAATTCTTTTTGATTTCTATAGAGAGCTGCTGATAAAAACCTATTTTCCATTCCTGACTTTTAAACATGATAGCAATTCATCTATTTCTGTTTTCCTCAGCCTGATTTACAGGAGAGTGTTGCTTATGAATAACTGAACACAATATAAGACATATTATCAATTAGAAGGAGCAAGACTAAATTATAAGCCTTTGAGGTGTTGCTCTGATATCATTTCACTGACTAGCGATTTTTGAGCTCTAAAAGCAGCATATGATATGATGCTGGTGGAGATCCCTTAGGTGGCCCCTGTTTACAGTCACTCCTCTTCTTTCTCATGAATTCCTTCAGCTTACATTCATTCTTAAGGGGCCACTTGTGTAAACCCTGAAGGCCCTCAGGGATAATTGCCAAATTAATGCATTCTTGCTGCCCTGGTGCTAAAATGAGTTTCATGTTCAGTATGCATTACGGCCAAAAACTTCCTCTTTTCTGCAAAAGAAACCACCACTTACACTCTTTCACATTCAGCTCACTTGTGTCTCTGATTCATGGCTGAACTACTTTTTTAATTGGTGAGTCATGTGGTTCATATGTACACATGCTGCAGCTTGTGTAAGTGTGTGTGAGTTGTGTCAGTAACATTTTGAAGTGAAGTCAGCTGAATCTCTGACTCATTGGACTGACAGGAGAAAAAAAAAGTATCTAAGGAGAGAAGATGAAAGCACTCAAAATTGTGTGTGTGTGTGTGTGTGTGTGTGTGTGTGTGTGTGTGTGTGTGTGTGTGTGTGTGTGTGTGTGTGTGTGTGTGTGTGTGTGTGTGTGTGTCAGAGCTGAAACGGAATATGTTGCAGGGTCAATTGAGTGCAGACCCAGGGAGAGTGCATGTGAAAATCAGGGGTCAAAGGTCAAAGAAAATGAGGGAAGAGAATCCAGCCAGTGTTTGATGAATTTCTGTAGTTTCTCTTCATGTTTACTCCTCTTCATATCACTTCTTACACTTTGACCTCCTGTTTTCAGCCTTGTATAAACGGATTTCTTTTATTCCGCACACCCGTGCAACCCCAACTCTAAGAAAGTTTGGATGCTGTGTACAAGGTTTAACAAAAACTGATTTTGATGGTTTGTAAGGTATTTAAACTCTGTATTCAATTAAGGATGGTGCAACTTATCAATTTTAATTGTTTCATATATTTATTTTAATTTGATGCGGGTAGGATGCAAACAGTCGGGACAGGGAGCATGTTAACTACACCCTCTAAATGTCTGGGAAACCCAGGTGACCAGATTTTGTAGTTTTGAAAGTGAGCAGTTGCCCTGTTCTTACCTGACATTGGACTCCAGCTGCTTCACAGTTGTGTTAGTTGTCTTCTCACAATGAACCAAATTGTTTGCAATGGTTGACAAGTTAGGTCTGCAGATAGCCTCACTTTTATGGGGCTGTGCTTTTGTAATCTGTGCAAAATGTGGTTTGGCATTGTCTTGCTGAAATGATGCAAGGTCCTCCCTGGAGCCTAGAAGGCAGCATGTGTAGTAACAAAACCTCTTTTTATCGTTCATCATTAGAGATGCCTTTTCAGGTGTGTAAGCTACCTATGCCATGGCCACTAACACATCCCCATACCATTTGAGCTGAGATCAAGCCAGCTAATCCCTTTCCCCTTTGGATTAGAGAGCTGGCATCCAAGATTTCCAAAAAGAATGCCAAGCTTACATCTATCAGAACTTAGGACAGTATTACACTAAAACTCAGTCCATCTGTGGCACAAAAAAGTTCCCAACATTGAATGAAATTTTTGTATTTGAGGTTATTGAAAAAACCTCAGCAAAATTTAAATGATTAATTCACCATTTACAATGGAAAGCTGTCAATTTTCATATGCATATCCATTTTTTTGTCTTTCTTTTTTGTCTCTGATTTTTGTTTGTGTGTGTTTGTTGGCAGGTGCTCCCATTCCCCTCCCAGGTGGTATACAACCGTGTGGGGAAGTGTGGCAGCCGGACAGTGGTCATCCTGCTGAGGTTACTGGCAGAAAAACACCAGTTCAACCTGGTTTCCTCAGACATCCACAACAAAACACGCCTCACCAAACATGAACAGGTGAGAAAAAACTGGGTAAAGGTTAGAAGCCAGGGGTTTAGTTATGCATTAGTGATTCCCTGGTACACTTTAAATTCATTACTTTCAAAAGGATGTGATTTTTCGGTGACAAAAACAAGATTCTAATCCGTACATTTTTCAGTATTAGGAGTGGATACAGTGAAACCTAGCCTCTGTCATATCTCTGAATCCTTAATATAAGTTAAATCCGTATTGCATGTTAAAATAAAATAAAGTTGACACAATTTTAATTGTTTGGGCCATTGTGGTTTTCAGACTCCACTTCTGAGGCCTTTTTTATGCATCCACCATCTTTACATCAATATCATATGAATTTGAAATTATTGAACTTTTACTTAACAGCATCTGCTGTCAAAATGTATCCCTCTGGTACAGTAAGTATGCAGAGCTTACTGCGTTCAGGGGGGAAAAGCCAGATGGATTGATATTTTGCATGTGAACCTCTTGGTCACAGTGAGCAGAAAAGCAGCAGGAGCTCATTCAGTGTTTGTCTTTCATTCAGTGTGAGAACAAGGCTCAAGAACAGGGGATCTCTTTTATTATTTCCTGAAATATCTCGAGGACATGAGTGTTGGCTTAACGGAGAGAAAACTGCTTTCGTTTAAAAAAAAAAAAAAATTACTGCTGCCTTTCAGACACTGAGACTCGCCGTTTTGTGCCAGTGGGAATGCCAGGGCAAATGTTGGAGTGGGAGAGTCGTGGAGAAAAAGCATTGGCTTTAGTGAGGAAATACATTAATCTACTTCATGTGTGTTTTTCCTCTTTCCCCTGAAATGTTTCAGTTTTATAACTACACAAATAAATTACTGAAATAAAAGATTTTCCAGCAACTTGAGGGTTAGATTTACTGGGCACTGTGTGTTGTGAACATGACTGTAAACTGTATTTCCAAACAAAGCCCTAGTTTTGGCAGGCGGGCTTTCAGACAGTGAGCTTGGACAGGATCACTTTGGTTCAGGCTTCTGTCAGAGCAACTAAAAAAGGTGCTGATTGCATTACCATGGACAAAGATGTGCAGTTCACATCTATGTTGATTTTTTTTTTTACATCAATTATTTCAGTTAGTGCTGCTTTCAGAGACACTTCTAATTTTTCATTCCAATGATAAGAGTCGACAATGAGGCAATAATACGCCAAAACTCATCTTTTTTTTATTTCTCTGACAGGAACACGACTTTCTCCTTAAACTATCACCAATACTCAGAGGTGGCTAACAATTAGCCACGTATTGCTGTTTTTATAAAGGGATACCACATGTCCCAGTTTTTGGCACAGTCTTTTCAGGGTCCTTATACTTATAACAGTGTGGTGCTGAAGGGGCCAAACATCAGGGACCCACATTCCTCATTTTGGCACAAGCAGCTGACTCCTCATTAGAAACTACAGCTTTATAAACAATTTATTCTCGTATATATAAAGTTTTTATACTTTTCACAACATTATGTTTGTAACAATCTGCCTTTAATCCCTTCCACTTGAGTTTCTTAAGGCTTTACAATGTCTAATCTAATGACTTTGTTCTGGTCGAAATGATTTCACAACAATTTTATTGTTAAAAAATGACTTAAATTGGCATTATGTGATAATCTGTCACATTCCAGTGAGACTGACAAACCAAAGTGATGTTAATGCACTTTTGTGTTTATAAGTAAAGGAAAAGAAAACCAACTAAATAGAGTGTATACTGACACTGACATTCAGTGTTTGGGTTGGAGTTTCTAATCTGAGAGGCTGATCTGTGGTTAATACTCTTACTATTAACAAGTTCCTCAAAAGGCATTATGATTTCTTCCTTGAATTTTGCAGATCAAAATTATGACTAAAAATAAATTTGAACCATCCAGCGTTTGCATGGTAAAATTTTAGCACCCAATCCTAGTACTCAGGTGATTGTCAAGTACTGAAGCTCCAGAGTTTCTGCTCAACCCTTCTTCTTTGACCTTTCCTGTCAAGAGCTAAAAAAAGGAGATCAATGGTTTGCAGTAGAGGTGCAGAAATGCAGAAGTTAATTTAGATTCTGGATCCCAAGAGCCAGTGCAAGGCCAAGCTTCCTCAGACCCACATCTCACTTTGACATTTACCACAAATGCAATGCCTCCTTTTAGTCATCTGGGTGAGAGGGTGAGTTAACTTTGGTAGGAGGATTGCAGCAGTGACTCACATCCTCTCGTGACGTTATTGACAACAGCCTTCAGGATAAAAGCTTCCGCAAAACCACTTTTGAATGGTCAGCAGATGCTAAATATGTAAAACTGTTAACCAGTGATCTGATGTAAATGTAAAGCCAATATTGAAACTGTGACTTGTTTACCCATTCATCAAACTGCTGCTGTGCACACAGAGGCTGAGCACCATCAGACTCATTAATTCTCCAGAAATAAAACATCTCTGTGATGAGTGTTTTGAGCTCAGAAAGAGAGTGAGCATTCTTGTTTCTTTGCAAAGGGGGGTGGGTCTGTTTGTTGAGTGTATGTCTGTGCCCCTGTGATGCTGAAGTTTGTCCCTTTTTTTTCTGTTTGCTTGTGTACTGCTCTGTGTGTTGATATATGCAGATCCAGACACGCGTCCCCTAAGTTTAGAGATGCTGGTCTCATCAGTTGTGGTTCTGGCTGGAGACTTCGGTGTTTCGAATGTTTTCCAGCTGGCTCCCCTCATGGTCTGCTAATGCATTTGCCCATAGTTGATGCCCTGTCCATGGGTTTTGCCAAACAGTGAAGGTGCCTCATTCCTCTGGAACTTTTTTGTGGAGCTTTCTGCTGATTTGAGGTGCATAGTGACACATTTGTCCTTTTCAGCATGAGGAGGGCAGACTGAGTGAGTAAGAGAAGTTTCCTTGAAAAAAAAAAGTGTGGGGAGAAAGTCTTCCGTGAGTGCCTTAAGACAGAGAAGACAGTATCTTTATTGTGAAAGTGTCTGAGTACATGTGGCATCCTGTTTCCTCCCTCTTACCAAAAACATTTAGCAGCAGACAGATGCTCTGCAGCCATGAGCCTTGTGTTTCTGCATCACATAGCCACAGATACGCAAACAGGGAAAAGTGTCTGGCCCCAGCACAAACAAAGACTGTAAATAGTTTTTCCCTGGTAGCATCTGAACAGCTAAACTCATAGCAACAGTTTGCCTTTGGTCAATTACAGAGAGATTGGGTCAGATTAGGGTTTGAAAAGAAGTCCAGATGGGGTATAAAAAAGTAGCTACAGAGACTTTATGTGCTTGTAAGTGTCACTAAAGTTATTTTAATACAATACCTGGAAGTTTTTATTTATCTATGACAGTACTGGTATTGATACCAGTATATACCAGTTCCAATATCAGTACTGACAGCAGCACGATAATCTCTAATGGTAACAGTGTCAATATCATTATCTACATTGGTATGCATGATGGCACCTATTTCAATATAGTTTTTATGTATTAATGATACCAGTATCATGATTATTTTTTATGATTTGTATTGGTACTAGTATCAGACAGACACTAATATTGTTGTAATTATTGATGCCAATACTGGTTGTGATACTAAAAGAAGTATCATATTCTGTATTGTTTTTGGTTACATGGCAGTATTAGGGTGAAACCATAGACTGTATATAGAATGGACTGCATCTGCCTCCTTGCTGGGTGAAGCCACTACGAGAACAGCACCCTCTGGTGACGGGCTGCAGTATAGGTCATAAATCCTGCCTCCACCCGCCATCCTTACGGGGCTGTGGACAAACTTTAGAATTTTTTACACATGATATAATTTTTACTATCCCCTGCCTGCAATGTTGACCTGTAGTTACTGTAAGACTAGTTCAAGCTCAAGTCCTCTTTTTTTCTGTATAGCTCCATTTTTAAAAGTTATCAGGGGGTTCATATTTGATTGACATATGATTGACACTTGATACAGCCTATGGGCGTATGAAGATTGCGTAGCTCACCCGGGATATAAGCTATTTGAGCCGAGCATCATCACAGCGACTCTCTGCGATTCTCCCGCCAAATGCGTACAATGCTACTGCGCAAATAGTGGAGTGCGTACAACGCTACTGCACAATGTTGGTTTCAGGAAGTGGAGAAAAAAAACACGGAATTACCGAGAGCTTTTCAGATTCAAATCAGTATACTGGCAGAAGGCGGAGCCAAGTTGTCCATAGTATATGCAGTCTAGGGGTGAAACCAGACCTATTGGCCTTGATCTGCTATCTGGTATCTAGTTTGCACCAACCTGGTACTGTCCTTGGGTAGCGCCCCCAAAATGGATTCATTTTCAGGTTAATCATCCTGTGACTACCACAAATTTAAAATACTCAAGTACTTACTAAAGAGTGTTATGTTAGCAAAACCAGTAAAAAAGTAGCCATGCATGTTTTTTCCACCAATGATATGAATCAGTCAATATGAATGTCTTGTGTATTGCAGTTGGTATTTTAGGTAACTATGTTGTCAAAAAATCGTTAAATGTCATCAGTTACTTATTTTGGAGTAAATTCTCATTACTTTGTGGTTAAATGTAGGAGGAGCACTCAAGATAAATAAGCCGCTATGGTAAAATCCAAAGTGATCCACCACATTTGTCTCCACCACAACCAGGATTACCTTGGCGTCTTGAGTCTTTGAATTCAGATACAAAGAGACAAAGACAAATTGAACCAAGGTAAAGGCCAGGCAGCAGTTATAGCTTTCTGCGGTTTTTGGCTCTTCCTCCCATTTCCCCTGATGAGCCCTGTGTGGACGCCACAGGGGCTCAGGAAGGAGGAGAGGGGGGTCGACGGGGTTGCAGGTATGCATGGAATCTCAGACTGTCCTCCACTCTCCCCTTCATCTCCCTGCTGCTCTGTCTACTGAATGAGAGGAGGGTCTGGCCAGATGGACACATCCACAAACACACAAGCTCATCAAATGGCCAAATGTGTTCAGGGTCTATACATCAACCTGGAGCTGATGGAGGGGGCACCAGGGGTTAGCTATGGGCTAATTGGTCTGGACTTAGAGTCATGCAATGGGTTTTGATGGGGGGGGGGGGGGTCTTTTTAATGTAGAATTTTAAAGATGACTGGACCCCTCTTTTTCTGAAGTCTCTCTGGCGGAGTGCATTGATCAGCTGAGAAACTGCATAAATTTCCTGCTTCTTTTAACCGTGCTTAGGCGCAAATTACATCATAGCAACAGTATTTGGACAGCAACAGTCATATGTATACTTGTTTATGTACACAAGGCAGCTAATCTGAGGCCCCAGTCAGATTCCGTCTTCACAGCCCCCTCCCTCTCCTCTATAAACTCAGTACATTTCCATTTACCCTGCCTCCACTTTCTAACAATCCCTCCTGCTGTAAAAGTTTAAAACTTTTATTAGTCCTATAGAATGAATTTCACAACTCTGCGTCACTTCTGCCCTGCTCTGTCTCTGCTAGGAAACTTAGAAGATAAGACCCAGCTTTATAAAGGAAAAAAGAAAATCTGTTTATGGGACTGAGATTTAGTTTGTATTGATTTGGGAAAATGATAAACGCTTGTATTGGATAGTTAGTATTGATGGTTTACACTCTGTTTTCAAGTGTTCGTATTTTATGTGGTTTTATGACACGCTCCTCCTCACATTAAGGGAGATTTAAGTGAAACGAAGAATAAAAGTTGACAGTTTGATTTGTGGTGAGGGATAAACAACACCTGGCTTGAATGCTGAAGACATACAGAGTGGGCGCATATAGGCCCAGCCAAGCCATCACTTACCATTGGCCAATTTAAAAACTGTTCCTTATACTGGCATTTTCCATGCCTTCTGCACCCAGCATTAAGTTTTCAGTCTGTTTTCAATCTTTATGATGAATCATTCTTTGTCAGATATCAAATATATTTTGGTGTGTAGCACTATTAAAGCTTTTTAGCTGTGCTACTTGTGCTCTTTAAGGGGCAATATGGGTAGGTTGATGTGTTTCCTATGGATAAATTGTAAGCACCATTGTGTGAACCAAGCTATCACTTTTCCACTTTTTGTATGAATTAAAATTATTATTGATATTTATATTTAAAGGTGTTAACAGATGGTCAAATCCCAACCATTTGACTGCGCTTTGTGTTTAGCACCAACAAATTCAACAGGTTTTCTCCTAGGCAGTCAATCAGATCCCAATTTTGATTATGATCATAGCTCCCTGCTGTGTTGCCTGTCCTATGTATTAAATGAAGCTCACCCTTCCTCTCTTCCTTAACAGCAGAGCATGGGCACAGCCCCTACCCTAAAAGAGCTTTAACTTTCACTTCATCATGAAATGCTCAGATTGATGTGAAAGTTTTAGAGCAGGAGGAAGTTGCAGCTCCAGCTAAGATTGATGATGTCTTAAACAGCAAACAGCATCTATTATGCATAAAAGGTGGAGAGAGGGGAGCAGGGAGAGGAGCAGGAAGAGGCAGATGTGTATATCTGTGCTTGTCTGAAAAGCCAAGGGACAAAAAGAGCATGACCAGGAAGAGGCTGTAACAATCACGAGTTTGATCGAGCACTAACGAGTTCACCACTGCTTGGATAAAAAGTGAAAAAACGTAATAAAGCTTTGTTATCCCCTGATTTCGGAGGTTTTATTTCCATTATCTTTTTGTGCTACTCACTACTGAACAGACAACTTTTAAAATGACTAATTTCTCCTATGTATTTGAGGAATAAAAGGCTATCACAAACAGAACTATTCCAATATGGGGCTGTTTATTTGCTTAAGAAGGAGACCTCAGTAGTATGGTCTTCATTTAGAGAGTTCATACAATTGCTCTGCACTGTATATGGTGCTATTGTGATATCTCTATGTTTGTTTTGGCTACTGTGAGCCTGCCTCTCAATTCAGAACTGGAACACCTCTGAGGTGTTTTTTTGTTTGTTTGTTTTTGCAGCAAAGGAAGAAGAAACTTGGAATAATTGCTTTAAAAAGGTTGCCTTCTTGAGGCAGTCAGAAGAGAAGTCAATCTAGACTGGTGACTGTTATTACATGAACAAAAAACAGTGATGTTGTGCAGAAGTGGAAGCAGTGGTGAGTTCAACTTGTGGCTGAAGAATCTTCAGCCACAAGCTGACTGAATTAAGGTGCACTCAAAGCTAGGTAAATAAACACCCTAAGTGCATATTTTCCATAGTCATAACTTCAACTTTATCAGTCAACTCATCCCAATGGGACTTTTGAGTTGGTTTAATGTAACTAAAATAATGCTGTAATTTTTTTATGTATTTGCGCTTTGGTTGCTGAGTGCACTCATTTTCTGTTTGAGGCATGGACTCTATGAAAATGAATGTGGGCACATTGATGACACTCTTTGACTTGTTGACCCCTCTTGGTAACGCCAGATTTGGTCTTTTAGTGGTGGCCAGCTTGGTCTTTTTCACAAGAAGTGTCCACATTTACATATCCAAACTGACAAGGCTTTATAGTAGCAACTTGTCAAATGTGAATACTATCATTATGTCAAGATTTAAAACTAGACAGTTTTACAGAAGAGCTAAAAAGTGTCAATCAAAACCATACACTAACCAGGGAAATGTTTACTGTTGGGCTAAGTCCATTCCTTGTATCCATTGTATGTTTTGAATTCATTGTACACTGTCAGGTTGTGGCATATGAGTATTTTTTGTCACTAACTACAATAACAGTTTGATTTTTACTAAGACATTATGCACTTAGGATTGGATCTCTGTTTGTCAATTTTCTTATTTTTTGGCATATAAACTTCTATTTATGTAGTGTAACATATGTAATGAACTTTGTGTGTTTTCCTTTGCTTCTCAAGGTGGATCTCATGAAAAACATCAGTAATATCCCTCAGCCTTTCCTCTATACGCGGCATGTTCACTTCCTCAACTTTACCAGGTACAATAAGAATAAGAGTAACTTTTTTTAATCCCCGAAGACAAAGTCAATAGTAGTAGTGCACCAACACTTATCTGCATGCCTTAATTTATGTTTCTTTGTCTAAAGGTTCAGGATAGAACAGCCTGTCTATATCAACATCATCCGGGACCCCATCAATAGGTTCCTCTCCAACTACTTCTTCCGCCGCTTTGGTGATTGGAGGGGCGAGCAGAACCATCTAATCCGCACGCCCGGGATGAAGGATGATGAGAGATATCTGGTGAGGCCTTTGTTTAATGCAATAGTGATTAATTGTGTCTACAAAGCTTTTAGTTAGGCATAAGTATATGACTTACTGAAATTTGTTTTCATTGATGCGTGTCAGGAGGAAATATGTGTCTAATATTGATATTAGGCATTGATTGATCGATTTACCCGCCTCCTCAGCCTGAACTCCTGGCTTCGATTACTCTGCAGTACCCTCTCCACCCACTTTATTGACAATTTTAATCTGTTCTGGAACCGATCGCCATTTTTCTCCCATGACTGACTACACCCAAACAAACTAGGCCATTCCTAACTTGTCACCAACATCCAACACTACGTGAACACAAGCTGACTAGCATTGTTTACACCCTCCCTGTCAACTTCTTCTTCCTCGCCTACCACCACCCCACCTGGAAACAGCGCCCCCCAGAGCCCCCCTCTGGAACCCTCGCCCTCACCACCCCCACCACCGAAAAATAGCACCATCTGCTGTCCACATCCGGTACCCCCTCACATACCACCTCCAACTGCAAGTCCTGCCATCCTCATCCCCTTCCCCTCCCTCCCCCCTGAGTTACTTCCCATACCTGCCTTTTGAACACTTCGAATTCCTCCTTCCTCCCGACGTCATCATCACAAACAACATGCAAACCTGTCCCATCTCTGTCCCCTTCCCCGATCCTCACAATCCACCACGCAGCATCACCAACTGAAACTGGCCCTGCTCAACACCCACTCACTCAACAATAAAAGCTACATTCTGCACGGATTTCTCATGGACAGCAAACTCAACCTCCTCTGTCTCACTGAAACCTGGCACAAACCCCTGGACTTCTTCATACTCAACCAGACCACACACCCCAGCTTCACTTACATTGAAAAAGCTCGCCCAGAGGGGCGGGGAGGAGGCATTGCTGCTGTTTACAGAAAGGACATGAAAACTACCCCCATCTCCATCCCCCCTGTGCTATCCTTTGAGCACATCGCATTCAAACTGTCTGGTCCCACTCCCCTGATCACTGCTGTCATCTACCGCCCCCCAAAGCCACACCCCTCCTTTCTCTTGGACCTTGCTGACTTCCTGACCCCCATATGTGCCATCTCTCCCTCTGTTCTCCTCCTGGGTTACTTCAATCTCCACATTGACGACCCAACCTCCACACCTGCTACCGAGTTCTTGGACCTTCGTCAATCCCTTAATTTCACTCAACACGCCAACTTCCCCACCCACACCCATGGCTGCATCCTGGGTCTCGTCTGCTCTACTGGTCTTGCACTCCATCATCTCCACAGCCTCGACCTCAACATCTCTGACAATCTGGCAATAACCATGGACATTGACATTCCCATCCCCAACTCTAAAGAAAAACGGAAAATAACATTCAGGAATCTCAAATCCATCCCCTCCTCTGCTTTCTCATCAGCCCTTGCCAGCAGATTGTCTGCCTCCCCTGCCCCCCCGTCTGAAAACCCCTCTGAACTTGTCAACTTCTACAACCATACTCTATCCTCCTGCCTTGACCAGCTGGCCCCCATCAGAACCAAATATGTCACCTTCAAACACTCAGCTCCCTGGTACACCACCGAACTCCGCCACATGAAAGCTCACGGGTGCCAACTGGAATGCCAACTGGCAAGAAAACCAATCTCAATGTCCACCGCCAACTCATCCAACCCCAAGGTTCTCTTTTCCACTGTCAAACATCCTCATCCTCATTTAAGACATCCTCAAACCCAATAAAAACATCACATATGTCTTCACAGCCACAAAGTGTAATACCTTTCTGTCATTTTTTCAAGACAAAATCATCTCCATCCACCATAACCTGGCCACATCCACATTCCATGCCCCCCCCCCTTCTTCAGCCAGCCTCTGTCTCAGTTCTCACCTCTGTCACCAGCCGAGCTCCCTGCACTCATGGCAGGCATTGAAAAACTCCACCTGTACTCTGGATCCCATCCCCTCCAGCTTCATTAAGGACTGCCTCCTTGTTATCTCCCCACTCATCACCGCAATCATCAACTCCCCCCTCAGCACTGGATTCGTCCCCCCATATCTTAAACTGGCTGCTGTCACCCCCATCCTAAAGCAACCCGGACTCAACCCTGAAATAATGAACAACTTCACCACCACAACGCATTCCACCCACTGCCTGACCGATATAAAATCATAGATGCAAACCAACTTCCTCCAGCTGAACGCCAACAAATCGGAACTCATCATCATCGGCCTTAAGACCTCCATCAACAGCGCGCACAACTTCCACCTCTCCATCGACAACTCCACTCTGCTCTCCTCCCCACACATCTGCATCCTTGGTGTCATCTTCAATAAGAACCTTTCCTTCGGACAACATATCAACCACATCACAAGAACCGCCTATTTCCACCTCAGAAACATCGCACGCCTCCGCCCATCACTCTCCCCCCCAGCTGCAGAAACCCTCATCCACGCATTCATCACTTCAAGACTGGACTACTGTAACAGCATCCTTTATGGCTCGTTTCCAAACTCATCAAAAAACTCCAGACCATCCAAAACTCTTCCGCCCGCCTGTTCACCCACACCCGCTCCTTAGACCACATCACCCCTGTCCTCCAAAATCTCCACTGGCTCCCTGTTAAACACCATATCATCTTCAAAATCCTTCTCCTCACCCATAAAGCTCTTCACAATCAGGCCCCCTACATCACCACCCTGCTCCACCGCCACAATCCCCCCTGCAACTTCCGCTCCTCCAATGCCAACCTCTTGTCCCCACCCCTCCGGACAACTCATCGAATCTGGGGGGACAGGGCCTTTTCCATTGCCGCACCCTCCCCCGTCCATATCAGATTCTGCACCGATTGCCCTCCTTCAAATCCCTTCTGAAAAACCACCTTTTTAAAATAGCTTTTAACATGTGACTGTTTTACTTATTAATATTTATTTATTTTATTTTATTGCTATATTCAAATTGTGTGCTTTATGTAAAGTGTCTTTGAGTATCATGAAAAGTGCTATACAGATAAAACGAATGATTATTATTATTATTATTATTATTATTATTATTATTGATGGTTCTTAGACTGAGGAGATTGCTTTCTTACAAAACTAATGCACTGGCAAAGCACAAACTTCTGCCGCACATAAATAGTTGATGTAAAGGTTTCCTGGATGTTTTGGGTTTGAAGTCAAGTCTGTGTTGGTATGAGCCACTTAACAGCTTAATCTACCATGTTAACGTGAGGTGCATTGCTTATCTTTGGTGCTGTCATACAGAACTTATAGTTGATTCATAGCTGTAGTTTTGTGGCCATAACTTTGCACCTGCCTCTGAGATAGGAGAGGGGTTGAATTAGGAAGGAGAGTGTAAACCTTTTTCAGGTTGTGGACTATATTAAGTTATTTTGCACAAGTCTGATGTGGCATGACCATAACAATTTCATATAAACTCCTTGTAAGGAGTTTCTTATTGGTTTTGATGTAGACTAAAATAAACACTTGAATTTACATGTGACCAACAAAAGCATGTGAGAACATAACCAACAAGATTAATTATTTCATTATAGCCATTTTGTATGCCTGAAACTGCTGCAGCAGGGTAGGAGTCAAATAAAGTGATCAACTACGTGCAACAAAACAAGACTTTGTTTATGTTTTAAAGAGAAGCTTATTTGTTAGCCTGTCTTTCCCTCTATTAACCTTTTATCTCAGCCCACTGTCCACAAATTCCCTATTCTGACATAGTCATAGACTAAATCAATGCCATAGACATTTGTGAGCTGAAATACTTATCTGTTTGACAGAGCTGCACAGTTATTTTATGACTGAATCATGGCCAACAACACTGCTTTGAATCAGTATCTGTTTTGGTTTGAAGCCAGGTGGTTTTATAAGCCAAGTTGTGGCATGAATGAGATGCTGTATACTCGTTTGTTACTCTGGTATGAACTTGTTTTATACTGATATAATAAGTCATGTTAGCTAAGGAGAAACAGGAATGATACTGATGTGCTGTTTATATAAACAAGTAATCCTCTCTAACAATAATATCAAACTACTGAATTTTTCACTCCTTAAGCTGTCAGCCAAATTATTTGTTCCGTGTATTTGAGATGTTTTTAATCAAACTGTGAGAAAATTCTTTTTCTAAATGTAAGAACACAATACAGAGTATTTCCCCAACACAAATAAAAAACACACTGTGCTCTCTTTTAAGAAGTCAAATACGTGGTGTAGCTTGAGGGGGGGAAGAAAATTGTAAGGCCACAGCAGACTGATGCTAACCCAGTATTTAAATGTGATTATGATTCCAACTACAGACCTTTATTTGGTGTAACCACATGAGAAACTCAGTATTCTACATCTGTTTCCCTGAGGTGTTTATGACCGTAGTATCAAACTGAAGGCAGAGAGTGTGATATTTTGCAGAGCATATCATTTAGGGCTTTTCTTCAATTTAAAGTTGGTATTTTTTGATCTCTGTGGGGGAGTGGGTCAAACACAGTCTTGTTTCACAACACTTATGGGAGCACAGTTAGCTGTAAAGAGTTGCACAATTTATGAGGGGAGAACTTCAATAAAGAGCACAAACTGCAGCAATTGAGATTATAGGAGAGATTATGGCAAAAAAATATTTTGGCTGTACTAACAGGTCAAAACTGTAGTTATATTGATGATTATTAAAGATTTTATGGTGAAGTGGTATCTCAGGTACACTACTAGTTGTTCCTTCTCACTGTCAGAGACCCTGAGAGCTCAGGAGGAGTGAATGTCATTCTGGCTTGAGTCTGACTGGGTGTAATTAAGTATTGCACTGCTTTCCCTTGAGTTTCGGACCATGTGAGTTGAGTTATTAAAGTATGCAGACCACGGGGCCCCTTGCTACAGTTAAAGGGGAGGGAGTGGGGTGACTGTGTGGCTGCAGACTGGCTTACCTGTGAGTGTGTGTTTACTCTTCTGTTCCAAAAGGCCAAAGAACTTTGAATGGAGCTTATAACCGTAAAAATCGAGTGAGTGCTTTGTTTTTGGCTAGATCAGATCTGAAACAGTGATATTTCGCCCAAAGGATGTTTTTTTTGTTGTTGTTGTTTTTTTTTTTGTGTGTGTGTGTGTGTGTGTGTGTGTGTGTGTGTGTGTGTGTGTGTGTGTGTGTGTGTGTGTGTGTGTGTGTGTGTGTGTGTTTAAACATTCCTTTGTGGGCATTGTTGCATTAGCCTTGATTTACTGAAATTGTTGACCTCAACAATATACCTTTACTGCCAAATCTTGTATTTAAACAGAGGCTGCTAGCATGTTGAGCTATCTTATTCACCATATTAAAAAAAGGGTTTGATGAAGCTGTAAGTTTCCTCACAAACATAGCCTTTCAGATGTGTGTGTATGAGCATGAGTGCCCTGCTATGTCAACACTGTGAGTTGAGGCTCGTCTTGGATTTATCCCCTGCCTGCTGTGTGTTCGCCTGGCCTGCCCTGCGCCCCGTGTATGTGAGAGGTGTCAATGAAAGAACACTGTCAGTTTGCTAGCAGGGGCCGAGGGAACCTGATGCACGTGTTACTGAGACATTCCTGTGGTCTGCTTGGGTTTTCCAACAGTCCCCACACCCCTTTTTGCACACATATACACTATACTACAGAAATGCATGAGCTGGACACATACTTGAGCTCTGGACTGTCACGTAGGACCTATAGTATAGGCTTTTATTTAGAGAGAAATTGGAGCTGACTCTATGGGGTGTATGAAAATGATTAATTCCCAAGAAGCTGTTGTGAGTGACAAACCAAACCCACCACAATGTGTGTGCATGTTTTAGCACACTTAACATGCAAATGATTGCAAAATGTCTGTGTTGTAATTCAGTGTCAGGACCCAACCAGAACACATAATTTCTCACTTCTCAGAAATACTGGTTTGATTGGTTGATATTCCCACGCTAAGGTAAAATCATCTGCTGCCAATTAATCTGACATATACAGTGACACGCTAAAAAAACAAGTGCACCCACAATGAAAGAGGCTGTACTGGCATTTTTCATGTCTTTGCATGTCCTGACATTAACAAATAGAAAGGTGGTGTATCTGTCATAAGGTTGATTGCCAAAGGTGCAACCTACTCATGGTATTTACTGTTAAGGTGCTGCCTTCAAGATATCACACAGAGTATCCTAATTTAATTTTTGAGGAGATGTCTGCGATTGGCAAATATGCTGTTTCATTTTTTTTCTGGAACAAGTTAAACAAACCCATCTGGACTGTTAAAGAACAGAAAATGAAAGCAATTGTCTGGAATTCGAAGTTTAAAGCAGCTTTAACTAATGATTTTATTAACAGTGGACGATTGTGAGGTGAGTGATCTGTTTTAAATTGCTTAATAGTCAAAAGAAATAAAGTTTTAAAAAAAAGGGAAATTAAAACAAAAACTTGTACTGTGCATAATTTCATATCAGGAAAACTTCAACATAAAATCAGTCAAAATACGAAAGGCAACACGAGGGCAGAGCAGCACATTACTTTGTTAACTTTACCAATATACCCATTTAATTTACAAATTGTCATCCATTTCTCATTTCTCAAATCTGATTGAAAACAACAATTAACAGAACAGTAAGAATGCTTTAAGCACAATATCAATGTTAAATCTTTCCAAAAGGTTGATTTTGGTCAACACTGGGATAGCCCTACTGCACATTAGCTGGAATCGGTTTCATTGATATTTCAAACTTTTTGTTCTGGTTTATTTTGTCCTTAATGGTTACTGCTGAAAGTTAGTAGACACACAAAACTAGCTTGTTAATATAGTAAAGGCTTGAGCGAAATAGCCTGATGGTTAACTCCAGATTTGAATGAGAGCCAAGTCAGAGTTCAATGGAGATTGGATGAACAAGCACATTATTCACTCTCTATAACAGGAGGAACTTGCTTGTAAACTTCACATACCAGGGACATTTAGCAGCTAGACTGTCTGACATTTGGCTAGATTGTTTGGAAGCATAGACTGTATATAGAATGGACACCGTCGGCCTCCTTGCTGGGTGAAGCTACTCCAAGAACAGCACCCTCTGTTGATGGGCTGCAGTATAGGTCATAAATCCCGCCTCCGCCAGCAAAGCTTATGGGGCTGTGGACAAATTCTAGAAATTTATTACACAGAATATAAATTCTTCTCCCCCCTGGTTGTGATGTTGACATGTAGTTATTGTCAGGTTTGTGCTCAAGTCCTCTTTTGTCTGTGCAGCTCCATTTTTAAAAGTTATTAGGGGGTTCATGTTTTCTATGACAGCTGATACAGCCTATTGGCGTTCAGAGATTGCGTAACTCTCCCGGGGGATATGCTGTTTGAGCCGAGCGTCATCACAGTGACTCTCGGCGACTGCGCAGCCGAATGTGCGCATCACTACTTCGCAGCACTGGTTTCAGGAAACGAAGAAAAATCCAGGAAATACCGAGAGCTTTTTGGCTTCAAATCCGTATACAGGCGGTAGGCGGAACCAAGTTGTCCAGAGTATATACAGTCTATTGGAAGGCTCAAGGGCTAAAAAGAGAGTGAATATTGGGTTAATTTGGCTATTGGACAGAAACATGACTCCAGGTGAATGCTAATGTTTATCTGTCTGCTAAATGTGTAAGTTTGTAAACTTTTACCTAAGAACAGAGGTGAAAATATTTAAATTTTGTGTAAATACTTTATTTTCTTTGCCCAGGGTGAATTATTCTCCCATTCCCTTGTGAAATTCATCAAACAATCTAGACCTGCTCTTTTTCTTTGGAGAGCGTCTTGGGATGATGACTGTTGTGAATTGGTGCTATATAAATAAAATTTGATTGATTGATTGATTGATTGATTGATTGATTGATTGATTGATTGATTGAAAATGAAGCAAGTTGTCCCATGGGAAAGGTTTACATCACCAGTTACTTCTGATTTTATTCATGCACACAGTCTATTCAGGGAAACAGAAGGCAGTTGCAGAGATTAGGGCCTGCATTTTCTGTGACTGCTCAGTTGGCCTAATCCACAGTGAGAATAGGAACAATGAGCCTGAGTGTGCACACAGGAGCACTCTTCGAAATACTAATGGATGCTTTAGAGAGAGTGCTTATTGTCTATCGCGCGCGCGTGCGTGTGTGTGTGTAAATGAGTTGTGGCTTGATTCCCGGAGGCCCCCTAAATGTTGGAATAAGGGTTCAGTATCAAGTGTCGAGCAAAGCTGAGGAGAGACTCCTAGGCATTGAGCCTTGTTTGTGCCGAGGAATGGCGTCACACGTGTCACTTCCTGTTCTCTTTTCTATGTCTTTTTTTGTCTCTGGCTCTCACTCACTTTTTCTCACTTATTCTGTCTCCAATTTGGTTTGTAGTGATTTCTCAGGGAGCTTTTGTGCTTAGCTTCATTCAGGCTTTATTGTAGGAAAATCCTGTCCGCAGTCATTGCCAGCGTCTGTTTATTAGCATTGCTTATGTGTGTGAAAAGTTAGTCAATGTTACTTTTGTTTCTTGGGAAATCTTTGCACATAATGATAGTTTTTTTTACTCACACGCTCATCTAATATTTTTTTTGTGTCTGACACTGTGAATTGTGGGCGATATATTCTTAATTGCACTGGATGTTATGTTATTGCTAGCTCTTTGATAGATAATAAGAATAAAAGGAAGAAAAAAAAAGATAAATGGCAGACAAGCCCCGCAAACTTATTAGAAGTCTGGACATGACCCTCTCCCTAACAATGCTGCGATACTGAGCTGTTCTCCAAAGGTTCCTCTGGGGTTTTGTTGTGGTTTCTTTGAAGAACTTGCAGCGGTGTGCTTCACTGATCACCAATAAGTTCTGTTTGCACTGCACAGTGGAGCTCTGTCATGAAGTTCAAACAAGCCCTGCAGACATTTGGTGAATCAGACACAATTGCACCACAGTTTTCAGCTGAAAGGAAAAAATAATCGTCCAAGTGCATAATGGATGTCATCCCAGTTTATGTTTGCAGACTTAAGAACTGCATTCACTCTCATTCTGGTAGAAATTCATAGAAGCATAGGAGAAATTCAGAAGTGTAGTATTCAAGGTTTCCATTAACATTTAAGTGTATGACGGTATAAAGCTGGAACAATTATGCTTGAAAATCTATTTTCTGTGCTTTTATCCATGTTAACATCATTGTCCATAAAATGGTTTTGACAGTTTTCACCTGGCGCCCTGTGTTCACCCACAAGGCCCCTCACATCTCACCCTCATTTGCAGTCTGCGCCCTGTGGGAAGGTCTGAGCCTCTGGTTCTGTCTGACCCAACTTAATCTCTGTGATGGAGCATGTCGGCCTCAGTGTCGGCTTTGAGAAATTGCCCTGTTTAAATCTGCCGTAACCAGTTTTATCAGAGTATAAATCTTAAAGGGCAAGGTTGCACATTGAATTTGCTTCCACTTTTACATCTCATTTTGGCCTGTCGACACCTTTTCCTCCATGTATGTAGCCCAGTATTAAGGTATTTTCAGGCAGGACTACAAACTGGTACACTCACAAAGAGGGATAATGCCCCGTGGTGGGTTTTGCTGCTCAGACCTCGTTGCCGTCCATAAATTTACATCACCTGACATGGATTTGACTATAAGTTCCACACTACTCAGCTGCTGGCTGCTTTCACTCTCCTCCTGAATGTGTGCTTTTATTATTTTACTCTAGTTTTTTCCTGTTATTTTCTAACTTTGATCTCACCACTTTATTCTTGAAATGTGCTATCTTTGCAGTAACGTAACCTGATATCTGCAGCCTGACTAAAGTAATTCCACCTTAGATATCACAAATGTCTTTTTCAGGTGAGCAGGGATCTGTTTTATGATTTAACACCTCAGAGAGCAGCTGGGGTGAAGGGGCAGAGCTTATCTCGGTGCTAAGTTTGGCAAAGAGCTCTTGTCTCTCAGATGACTATTAGGGTTGTAGGGCAGTGTTGGATAAGAGCTCCCTCTAGTGGCAAAGACTACTTATTACAATCTTTTTGAGTACAGGAATACAAACCATGAGAAAATGAGAAATTAACACTTACAAGATATGTATTTTCTTCTTCCTGTAGGATATCAATGTCTGCATTTTAGAGAACTACCCAGAGTGCTCCAACCCCAGAGTTTTCTACATCATCCCCTATTTCTGTGGACAGCATCCTCAATGCAGGTACCTTCTGCACAACAAATTATGGTGATATTTTGACTTCTCTTGTCCTGTCTTTGTTTTCCTATCTCTCACCCTGTTTATTTATTTATTTATTTATTATTATTATTTTTTTTTTCATCAGAGAGCCTGGATTATGGGCTCTGGAGAGAGCCAAACAAAATGTTCTGGAGAACTACCTACTTGTTGGTATCCTGGAGGAGTTAGAGGATGTTCTGCTCCTGTTGGAAAGGCTCTTACCTCATTACTTTACTGGAGTACTCAACATCTACAAGAGTCCTGGTAGGTGCATGTTCATGAATGTTTCTTACATGAGAAAATAAAATAGGTATGATATGAATAGCGTGACTTTGAAGACTTGAGAATTGAAAGTGACTAATTTGTTCGGCAAAGTACTTTTTCGACAAACAAGTGCTTGTAGATTTCCCTGATTTCCAGTAGTGCACCTAAAATCGTTTCTCAGGCTTTCATTAAATAAAAAAAATTTAAATAGTTAAACATCATAAGCTTAACTTTTACTATTTCTGAATCTTCATTCTCATGTTATTGGGCCCAGGTTTGCAGTGAAGTCAAACTAAACCTGTTTTATGGGATTCATACCTCAGTAATAGTTAAAGCAGCCCCTATTTGACCTACATTTTACAGTGAAACTGAGACCCAGCAATAAAGTACAACTCCCTGCCGTAGGCCTTCAGGCATTCACCGCATATAAAGATGCTATGGTCCTTGTTGCAGCAGTCACTGGTTTGGCTCCCAGCTGCACCTTTCACCCCTAATTTCTTGTCTTTTTTTAACTATCCTATCTACTAAAGAGAAAATAGTCAAAAACCATCAAACAAAAGTGAAATCTCCAAAAATGAGGTATGATTGTAATCCAAGAAACTCCAGCTTTTAGTTTGAGGTCATATCTGGGAGGGAGGAATATTTGTGTTGCTGTTGAACCAAGCACACTTAAATCAAACTTGAACAGGGAGCACAATACAAATACTTTCTCATCTCAAAGTCTGACCACACCTCAATAGCCATCTGATACTTCAGTAATAAGTTGGGGCAAAACTAGTAAATAAATGCATTGAGCTGTGCCACTGTCATTTAATTCTGGACCATGCCCTTGTAGAAATATAGCATTTCAGTCATACATGTCCTTTCTTCAGGAAGCATAAAATGGCCTAGCAAAGGCATGTTTCTTAAAGTTTTGAATGTGCTCTTTCTGCAGACTACAGGAAGATGGGGAACATGACAGGCACCGTACGCAAACACACCCCCACTCTAGAAGCCCTGCAGGTTCTGTACCACCGGATGCGCTACGAGTATGAGTTCTACAACTTCATCCGTGACCAGTTCCACCTCATAAAGAAAAAAATCGGCCTCAAGTCAGTCTCCCAACCCACTGCCTACTCACCTGCTTTCCTCAGAGAGCTGGCTCTACGAACCCCAGAGCCCCTGGATGAAGATGAGGAGCTGGACACAGACCTGGAGGATGCTAACAGCTGGCTGGTCCATCCCTAAGACCTGTTTGACAAACAGTGGATGCAGCCAAAAGGAGCTTATTGGCAAGAATTGGCTGGAAAGAGCTGGAGGCAGCCTGCGGGCAAAAGGGGGAGCATTCCCCAGCTTTCAGCATTCCTAGAAAAAGTGAGGTGTTTTTAGGAGTGCGTGTGGTTCCTGACACTTGTGTTTGCACAAGCACTGCTTTCCAATTGCAAACTCCTGCTCAGCACCAAGGAGTAGAGGGTGGAGTACTGGAAGGCCGAAATGTTCTATTTAAAATATACCAAGAACAATGGGAAATAATGCAAAGCTCCATGTGCTTGATCAAGTTTGATTTGAACTTGTTGATGGGTTCCTTCAATAAAAACGCATTATTGCTGAAATCTCCAGTGAGATTAGTGCAAGTTTGAGTGATTGAAAGTGTTAGGAAACATTCTGTTGCTGTTGCTGTGGGAGAGGACCTCAGAGACGTTATCCAAGAAAGAGGATCAACAAATGAATGGGTGAATGTCCTTCAAGCTGGAATGGGAAATGGTATCCACCATTGAAAAAGTACCAAAACCCTTTTTTTGTATGTTAGTTGTCTAGGGCTGTTGTAAGTGCCAAATCTCACCAAGAGTTCCAGCAACCTACAGGTACTTTTGTCAGTTTAGAAAGTACTGGTTGAAACGTGTTGTTTAATTTGTGAGATATATTTAGGTTTTAATGAGGGTTAAACAGTAAGCACTCAATTATGAATTCAGAGAATTCCATCAATGTGTGCAAGAATGATCAAGTTTGACTGGCCGAAAGTGTATTTTAGCACAGATGTGTCATTTTGAAGGTTTTTTTTTTTTGTTTAAAAATAGGCTGAATTTAAGGTCAAACACTTAAAGAGCATTTATGGTGCATTATTTCTTATACCCAAAGTTGAAAAGTTTGCCAAATATCAGTGTTTCTACTGCGATGCATTGAAAAACTGTATGAATATACTGCACTTTTTCTGAGGTGGCTTTTCCGGAAAAATTCAGCGACCATATGGTCACGAAACTGGATACTAATTTGCCTTTGAGTTAAAACAGGATAATATTGCTGTTTAAAGGTTTGTTTTTGTGTTGCTAGTCCAAGCTAACTCTAATTCTATTTCTCCAGCAGCTACTCTGAGTGCATGTCTTTTTTATCACTCGTGTAAAAAAACATCCAGAAAGCAGTAACCATAAGCTAATGTGAGACCATCATCCTAATCCTTTTCTCTATACCATCCTTGTCTCTTTACATTGTTCTGGTTTGTGTTCAGTGTTTCCTTATTTTGCCAGTTTTATTTATTATTTTGTATTCATTTGCATTCCAGAAAAGATTCTCAGGAAGGAAAAAAATGTCTATCAACTTGATCATTTGTATCTTTGGTTTCTGGCGGCTATCAAACAACTTTTGGCATTTTAAGTGTGTTGAGACAAAGTTTATACCATCAGCTGAAAACTGGTTAACAATAACTGATGCAGTCAATCATTTTACCGTCTTCAAAATAAATGTCCTCTAACTATTGCAGCTTCAGTCTCTGCTCAACTTGTTTATTGTATGAAGTTCATAACCTCTTTCTTAACCTGCTCCCACTCTGATCCCACTGACAGGAAGAGACTACAAGAGGTCTGGAGAGACCATCTCCAGCACTATCCCCCTTCAGCTCTCTGTTCCCCGCAACAGCATGTCTGTTCGTCACTCCACCCCAGACTATGCCTGCTTCTGGCTCCCCAGTTGTTAAATTACATCAGGGCAGCACTGCCTGTGCTATGATGTGGAAGAAAAGCATATTGTCTTAAGAAACTTGTCATGTTCCACTCTCACTTTGTTTTCCTCCACTCACACTTAGACTTAGTTGTGCTGTCTCAAACACTAAAGAACTCGATGTAGTGTCCAACTTGTCCTAATTTTCCTGGTCTTGAAAGCTGCATTTAATGCATCCTTCGTGGCCCCACTTATCTTGTGATTCTTTGCACACTAATACAACTGAGATAGTGTTTTTTTTTTTTAACTGCCAAGTAACACAGCATTAAATAAAAGCATTTGGTTTTAACTCAGCTCCAGTTAGTGAGTCCTCCAAAGGCTGGTTCTTTCAAAGACTGCAGCCCCTGGATTGGGACACAGCTTGTGATAGCTGTGATATATTACTGCACTAGAGTAAACAAGTATCAGTCCACCAGTGACCCTCAGTAACCCTATCTGCTCTATATTAAACAGTACTGACCTAATAAGCAGTGTATGGTAGACTTTAAACATGGGGAGGAGTTACAATGTTTCTTTGAATTGAATCAGAGAGAAAAATGATGAGCTCGGCCTGAAGAGAAAATAACAACCTACAAACTTAAATGTCACTGAAAGAAATCTCATCTTTACCTTCAGCTGACATAACTTGGCATCTAGAAAATTTCACAAGTTTTGAACCTCCTTTAGGGAACTTTCAGTTTGTGTTGGTTTAGCACCCCCTGTGGACATAGTCATACCTGTTATCTCTGCCAATATTTTCTGAACATGAGAAATTAGTGGCTCCTCATGAAAACTGTCTCATGTCTTTATCAAAGCTACAATTTCGTCCCACCTTCATTTGTAATGCTGCCCCCATGAGGACCCTCGCTGACATATCAAGTCTCCTGATCCCTACTAACTACAAGAACAGACACACGCTAACAGGACACATGCTGAAGCCAAACTTCTGACACAATCTTCTCTCCATGGTGTCCAGTTATAATCGCACATATTAAGAGGTATCAGTGACATGACAAAACTAGGTGCTAGCATTTACAAATTGAAGGTTCAGGGCCAGTACACAAATTTAGCTTTCCAGTCCTCCCAAGAGTTTTCCTCTTCAAAGTTGAACACAGAGGGTTTATTCATGTGCTGCTGGGCTGAGCAGAGGGAGCTGTTCTGTGGTAAAGGGACCTCCTCTCCATCAGCGAATAGGAAGCTGTTGGTGTTAGTGGGCTGTTGCCAGAACTACTTCATGTTCCACGTATGACGAAAATAGATTCCCTTCTTTGCAGCAACAAGTTGGATGAACCCTCTGGTTTGACAAACAGAGGATATTTGACTGAGGAGGGGCTTATTTATTCAGAGAACTGTATTTTCTCTGTATTATTGTAAACTAGATCAAGTGAGGCAAACTGCTTCAGTTTCTTTTCAAATTGTTTATTTGTCCAAAATGAAATAATACAATGCTAACAGATAAAAATTCATAAAAAATATGCAGTTGATATTTGAGTGTTCAGAACTGAATGCATCACCTGCACCAGATTGTCACAGCTTTTGTCCTCCTTCAAAATTTAACACCATACTGGGCTTTATAGTGAATAAAACAAACTAGACGTTCACCGTAAAATGAGAAGCAGAGGAATTCAGCTTCACTGTAATGCTGTCAATCATCCCTGCCTTTGGTCCACACTTCTGCAGCATCATTCTGGATCTTTGAAATATAGTATTGTAGTATTACTCCAAGTATTTCCCTCAGTGTGTCCAGTATATGGATTTTTTATAAGTATTTTTATGGCATTTTGCATTTGATAGGACAGCTGAAGAGAAACAGAAAATGTGAGGAGCAGATACGATGTAAAAAAGGGGGGACATGCAGCAAAATGTCCAGCCTGCGACCACTGTGACAAGGCCTCAGTACACAGGCCGCACGCTTAAGCCACCTGGCCGACTGGCACCCAGTATCTGGATCATTTGAAAAGTAAAATTAGTTTGAAAACTTAAGATAACTATTGTCACACGCATGCACACACACACTCAAACACACTCATACAAAGCAACTGCACCTTAATGCGAGGATACTGTCATAAACCATTAAGGTAGGTATAGGTTACAACATCTTCACAGTGATATCCAAAATTGGATGCCCTGAGATTACAAGAAAAAGGTTAAAATATTACAATTGTTTTATGAAATTAAAAACAAGGCACTTGGGAATAAAACATTGTCATTGTCAGATGAATAGCTGTATTCATCATATCCACACAGCCACCATTTTCCTTGGACCTCACTCTAAGGGGGAAAGGTTTTGAATTAATTTTAATTCCTCTAAAATGTCGAACCCCTGTGTCTCATGTGTCAACTATGTAAATGTCCTGTAGATCAATTGTTACAATTTTACTGCTGCCTAATCAGTGAACAACTATAAAAATGATTTATAGTGAAATCTGGAGGAAAATCTGTCAAAATTTGAGTTAAACAATACATTTATAATCTGTTTCCAACTGAATGCTACAATTCAACTACTACATATGAACTAAAGAAGAAAACCTAGAGCTCTATATCTTTTCTCATGCATTCCTGTAACACTATACCTAACTAGCCTTTTAAACAGCTATGTCCTACACTTGGTCTTGATCATTACATAGCAAGTGCTCACAGCAGGTAGTTTTAATAGCAGACTGATGCCATGACAGTCAGATCATTGCTAGAGACGAGGTTCTAACAACTAAACCCAGAGGACTAGCTTTAAACTCAAACATTGTCAGAAAGAAGAAGTCAGGTTTGTTTAACAGTGGGGACAGTAGGATAGATGACATTTTCCACCATTTCAGCAGTTATGGTTTGTCAAAAAGTGGCAAAATTATAATATGAACATTTAACACAGCTGTAACTCTTACTAGCATTTTAACATTACCTCTCAGCGTGACGGCAAAGGAAAATGCCTGCAGTGTGAATATGGTCAATGCCATTGCTTTAAAGAAATTATAATAATGTTGCATCTGCACAGTTTAATATGTACATCCTAGAAAGGGAGGCACAGTTCTGATACATACAAGCAATTAGTGAGTTGTCTCAATAACATAAATTGAGAGTGATTCCAATTTATCCCTCCTTAAGTCTTACTCCTGCAGATTTTACACAGATTTTTCCAAGTTATGTATCTCTTCAAGAGGTAGGCTGAACTTATTAGGCAGAAAAACTAAAGGAAAATGGTCAAACTCTTTAGATCTGGATTTTGCACAGTACATCCACCGATTGTCTGTTTCTACCTGAAACTACTTAGATGTCACTGAAGAAAATTGTGATAAATGAAACAATCTTATATAATCCTTCATGTCTCCTTAGTCACACACACACACACACACACACACACACACACACACACACACACACACACACACACACACACACAGGACATGATTGTCTCAAGCAAGTACTTCATAAACGCTGTGATTGCACCTTTTCTGAGGTTGGTTGATATTTTGCTGAGCTCTAAAGTGAAAGAGCATTTGTGTAATGTCTGAGGATCCTTCAAGCATCATTATTGGTCATTTTGCAGAATAAAGTATTTTTAAAAAATCATTACAACAAATCTGAAAAAAAGGCTTTTCTTTCTCAACATTTTTTCCTTCCTTTTTTTTGATAACTTCTCTCTGTGAGTCTCTCTGTGAGTTTCCAGCAGTGTCAAACTCAGGCTTCCACTTAATGTGAATTCATCTCCATCGCACCCTCTGGGTCTTTACTGCGAAGCGCTGAGCTCTTCTTGCCAGGGTCACGTCCCAAAGCTTCAGCCTCTTCCAAGGTGGTTGTTAGAGGCTTGCCAAGGGTCTCAGGCAAAAACATTGTCAACACTCCAATGATGAACGCCAAGATTCCAACAATCAGCTGCAAGAGGTTAGATTACAGGAATAAATGGGGAAAATATTAACAGTTAGTTTTGGTACCTGTGTATCCTTGGTACAAATGAGTACAGGGTGCAAAGGTGATAAAATGTTACAGGTTAATACATGTATTTTTACACAATGCATGAGGACCAAAAGTTGAGAGGAACTACAACAGTGTACCTGAGGAAGGTAGACCCAGACATCAGCAAGGTACACACAGAATGGGGCGACCACACTGCCAACTCGGCACATCATACTGCCACTACCCACTGCCAGAGACCTGAGGGAGATCACATTACAAGTACAGTTCAATCAAAAAGTTACTTTTAAATAATGGAAAAAGTTTCAAATCTGCTGAAAGATGTGGTTTAGATATCTAATTTATGAGTCTGTATGAGTATTTCAAATGTTTTATGTTTGTCTTTTGAGACTGTATTATTTTACCTGATGATAGTTGGGTAAAGCTCACAGGTGTACAGGTAGATAAGACCAAAGGCAATGGCAATAGCAAACTTTCCTATCATACTCAAAGCAATGGCCAGAGACTCAATGTCCTGTGGAATAAGGTGGTAAAGAGGTCGATTAGATCATGTTTTGTACAGACATTAACACTAAACATGTAAATGATAAATTAATTAGAAATAAGCAGCAAAAGAAGCAACACCCTGCACCCCAAAACACCTTGCTCAAATTTACATCATTATCATACCACTGTGACATAAGATCAAAAACTGTGAAAAACATGGATCTGATTTTAGTGACATGGCCTCATCGTTTCTGGATGAAAATGATGAGTGCCTTCTTGAAAATGCTGACTCAATTTGACTTCCAGTCAACTTAGACGTGATCTGAGTTCCAGATCACGTATTTCTGCCATCAATACGCTGTGAATCTCTGGCAGACCCAAATGGCAGGTTTAGACACAGTGGGATTTCCTATGTCACAATTGCATGCTCTGCTCTCGGCGCCCCACTCTGCAGGCCAGACAGAGAGAAGTAGAGAGGACGATTGCAGAACAAATTTGTGCATAAGCGGATTGCAATGCTCCTAAGAAAGCTAATTATGATATTAACTTTCATCATGTCCCCAAATACATTAATGTCTGAGAGCTGAATAGCTCCTATGTTACCTGTTTCTGTGACTACACTGGCAATGTGAGGCTACAAGCTAGCGTGAAGAGGAGTGTGCAGAGCAGCACTGTCTCCACCCACGACTCAGAGGTGAATTGCTTATGAGCTACTGGAGCTCTGCAGAAGAAAAGCCCTTTAATATGACACATGTAACGTGATTTTGGCTAAAAACTTTATAATCACAGTTTAAAGACCACTGAGAACACTTTAAGCATTAAAAAAACAATCAGAGGGACTTTAAAGTGCGGTGGTGGAATGTATTACGCCTGGAAGGAGCCATGCTAGATGTTTTTCGATCAATGCAAGGTTATGCTAAAAGACTTAGTTTTATACTTAATGAGCAGACACAAGTAGGGTGCAATCATTTTATCGAACTGTTAGAAATTATGTGACTATTTCTTACAGTGTAAAACCCCTCTCAAAGGGAAAACATAATTCAATACACACTGATTAGTTGACACTTCATGACTTTTACACCAGTGGTTGAGAGAGTAAAAAAATATCTGAACTACATAAACAATGTAACTTTCGATGACTGTAGCAACTAGGAAGGAAGCAGCTGTGATAAGCTTTCCTTCTCAAAACACTGAAACTGTAGAGCTAGCTGGACTGAGCTGTTTATGACCTGGTCTCATTGGATTACAAAAGAATGTGGGTCCATTATATGAAAGTCTTGTTACTAAGCAACTGTCACCTGAACAAGTATTCTTCATCATTAATGTGTTTCTTGACACCTCCTTCCACCAAGAATTCTCATACCTGCTGTAGCTGGGAAAATGGCATATTTGCTCACACATCCACAGGTTCTTTCAATGAGAGTTACTGTATATATGTATGTCACCAGAGAGTGAGCCCTTACATACATGTACACTTAACTTAGGTCTTACTCTGCAGAGGCTGCTTCAACAGTGGTGCAAACAATGAGTACAGAAAGAAAAAATAGATGACTCAGGCAGTGCTCTCTCCTCGTTTTTTTTTTTTTTTTTTGGTCTGCTCACAGAGTGAACTCTGTTTGTTGACTGCTCTGCTCAGGGTGGCTTTCAATGTCAAAGGTCATATTTACTTGGACATTACGTAGCAGCTGTTTGCCAGCCCAACCATAAGCAGAGCTAATTTGGGTCAGGGATCAGAACACCAAAAACGGGAGCTGCAATTGTTGTAGGTCAGCTACGACAACAGGGGTCTAACCTCCCAGGGCAATGTCATGACAAAAAAACAGAGACTAGGGTTCAGACAAGTTACTTAAAAAAGCTTTGTTTTGCTAATAAAAATAAGACCAATAAAAGGCCTAATAATTCAGATTCTTTCTGAACAGCATGTATGACTAAACCAAATTATTTCCTGTAAATCATCATTTACAGTCCAGAGGAAATGTTTGGTGATCTGTGAAGCTGTTGTCTTAAACAGGAGACAGGTGATCCCTGTCTCTAATCATCTGCTTCCTGTCTGTCTGCAACGCAAGAAAGCGTAAGATGTGTGTTTCCATTGGATGCTAAAAGACTCAACAAAGACATATGACAACCTGTGAATGAGGGGATAGCTGTAGTGATGGTGGGCAAAGAGCAAGAACTTAATCCAGCATGCTCTTGCACATTTGTAAGGAGGTGTGGATGGGTTTACAAGTTTCTAAGACCTTTACTTCTGTTAAACAATCATAAAATAAAGTCCCACTTCTTAATTATGCCAAGTTATAGTCTCTTCAGTATTTTCTCTTTACTTTATTTCTCTAATGATTAACAACTGCTGTTCACTCTCCCTCTCTTGCTTAATTTCCAGGTGTCAATTTCCACATCCAACTTATAGAGCAGTTCTCTTCTGTTATCTCTAATTACATGTACAAAAATTAAGTCAGCGAAAAAGAGCAAAAAATTGCAGTTCATTGAGTGTCCACTTGAAGCTGGCTGCAAAAGCGGTCTCCTTTTCAATCTCCAGTCTTCTATCAAAAATAAACTTGTTTACAGCCTGGACTATAAGAAAATGGTTTGCTATATTTCTTTTTCGCATACACTGTGCAGAGAATGATTTTTATATATAACTACGATATCCATTAAAATGTTAAAAAATATTTGTGCAGGAATTTGCATAAATTGCTACTGCTGACCTAACAGTTACGTCTGTGTGGTTGTCTGCCAGTAAGCAAATGTCCTGCCTTAACTCCACCTCTTTGACAAGTTGACTGAAATACTGAGTCAGCATTTTCAATATGGCCAAATGGCTTAAAAACTTCTTCTCAGAAACCAGTGTTTCCCCTAGAATTTTTTTCAGCAGCTGCGGCGCTCCAGACAGGATTTGATGTGTTCATTGATGACTCAAAACAAGTCGAAAATAATGTTGTGTGTTGTTCTGTGTAGAAATCGTTAGTGGCGCATTGGTATTAATGATAATGTGAAATTTCACAAGATCATTAAAATCAATGTGGTGTGCTGCTGCTGAATGAATGTAGGGGAAACACTGAAAACCAATGTGCAACATCTCTGAGACTACATCATCTACAGCACCAACAAAGGTGTTACACGGCACAGCCTAATAAGTTTACTTAAACATAAGTCCGGCAGTAATAAATCAGGAAAAATTGCTTTTATTTCATGAAATATGTTTGGTTTCATGTGGAAAGTATAACAATATTAAGAGAAACTTCTGTAAAAACTTGAACTTGGTGACTCACTTATTTGAATTTTCAAAAGTGGTCAAGGAATATATGCCTGTTCAGTTCATTAGCCCTAAAATTTGAACCATTTTTTTAAATGAGAATAATAATTGGGAATAAAATCACCCTGTGGGTACTTACAGCCGGTACCACAATGATGAGCATACAGGCAACTCCAGCCAGGAGCAGAGCAGGGGCACAAGTCTTCTTTCTGCCAATCCGATCCATTGCAAAGCAGCCAACCAGATAAGAGGGAAGCTCCACTAGACCTAGACACAGCCAATCACAACAGCTCTTGGTCAGAGGTTATCACAGCCCTGACAAAATATGAGAGAGACATGCTATCCAGGGGACCTAAATAACCAACATCTGAAATGCTGCTGAAGCTGAGCCTCCAAAAGTGTACTCTACAGTGTGTCTTTACAAAAAAAATTAATTGAGGTATTACATAGTCTGACTTACTTCACAGGAAACACTTTGCAGTATTAAGAAAAACGACAACAAATACATAACATTTAGTGCTTGATTCCCATGTAGTAATTCCCAAGTGGTACTTACTTCTAATGTCATATTTATAACAAAAAATCAAGTAAAAACAGATGGAAATCCCATGGGAAAACCACATACTTTCAAAACAACTTTAATTTAACAGCACAGCGATCTTTGATATGTTTCACAAAAACATGTATTACGGTGCAAAGCTCATTTTCTTTATTAGATAAAAACCTTTGGGACACTATGAAACTTTTAGATGAGGAGCTTTGGCTTTCCTTGCTCTTAGGCTCATTTTAATGCTGTGGTACAGGAAACAGAGTTGTAAACAGAGACAAACCAGAGGGTGTAAATAATCTCAATGCTTTCCCAATGTCATAATATTCCTCTGACAAAGATTCATCCCACGGTAAACATAATAGTTCATAATGTTCTAACACTGCCAGCTAAAGGTAGAGTGAAAGTTTAGACTCTTTGAACAGTTAAAACAATAGCCTCCTTCACTTGAACACAGGGCTGGATTAAGCTTTGGGTCATCTCAGTTTACATAGAGAGAGGTGGATCTGCTATTAGGCTATCTGAAAAAATACCCAGCCACACTGCACAAGCATTCAAACAGACACACAACTGCACAGTATATGTGAAAGTAAAACATACACATAACTGGACTACCTAAAATGTCATGAGAAAGTGTCATTGAGCTATCTGTTACCACTGTTTTCATGCTCTTTCATTTGCTCAGTGACTTGCATCAGTAAATCACTTACCAACAAGGAAGAGATTAATGTACTGGTTCCCTCCTAGGTTAACTGAGCCCAAAGAGAAGACGTAATAACCAAGGCTTCCAATAAACCAGATGGCCCACACTGTGCACGTCCGGCCCGCCATCCTCCAGCTGCCAAACAGATCCAGGATCGACAGTTTCTTTTCAGACTGCCCATGCTTCTCCTCTGGTTCCTCCACCAGAGGTCTACCATTCTCCTTCTCCTCACTTTCCAGCAGCTCCTCTGCTCTGATCCTGCATTCAAGGCCATTAACCCGGGCTATCCTGTCCAGCAGTGTCTGAGTGTCCTTGTAGCGGCCCTTTGCCATCAGGTAGAAGGGCGTCTCAGGGAATTTCCAGCAGAAGAAGAGGAAAGGCGAGGTGCAGGTGGAGAGGATGATCTGGTAGATCCACCAGACTCTAACTAGGTAGCCAGTCAGAGCCACCACCATGATGCCAACAGCAAAGGCAGCGTGCACGTGCATGGAGGTCCAAGTGCGCACCTTGATGCCAGTGTACTCTGTGACATAGACAAACACCACCACAAGGTAGCCACTGGAGACCTGATGAAAGGAGAGATGCAGTTAGATAAAGGAAAGAATTAGGGAGAAAGGACAAAAGAAAAGAATTTAAGAAGCAGAGTAGAAAGAAAGATAAAATATTCCTTTATTAGTCCCACAAGGGGAAATTCCAAATTTACAGCAGCAATAAATACAAAAGACAAATTAAAGAATCAGGAAACTTAGGAGTTAAAGGAAATAAAAAAATAGAGTGACAGTACAGCATGAGTGTACTGTATCTAGTAGTCTAAAAAGTGGAGGTAGAGAAACATTAAGATGCAGGAATTGGAAACCTCATTGGTAGTTTGCAACAAACGTGCTGAAACAGCTCAGAAACAAGCAGCACAAATGTTTTAAGATCATTGTAGTTTGTAGTAGTTTAAACAGTGAATGGTTTCATTGCATGTAAAAGCTCTTGGGGTCAGTGTCGTTATCACATCAAGCACAGTGGTGTTTGAGTATTTATGACTTTTAAATGCTTTAAATGCTTTGGAGTTCATATTTAGCACTTGTAGCTATTATTGAAGGATGAATCTATATCTTTGAAATGCAAACTTTTTGACAATCAGTGATCATTGTGTCTGGGAATACTGACGAAGTCTTGCTTTAAAGGAGAAAAATAGAACTTTTTGTACCAGATGTACATGCTGTTCATATTACAGGCAGTACACAGTGTGATCTTAAGTGTCTAAGTATGAGTAAATTCATCTGAAACATTCCCATGTTGTTTTCTCAGTTGGTCCATGTTCGTGGAAGTCTGCTTCTACGTCTGACTCTGCTCTGTGTTAAGTGTGGCAGTGCAGCATGAGTGTCCTCTATCTGGTAGTCTGATTCTATGTGAAAACAACAGCTGTAGCCGAGAAGGACTGGGGGATGGTAGAAGGCGGAGAGGAGTGAAACAGTGGATCGACTGTGGAGACTTTAGGACAACTTTACTGCCATGCCTGCTTGGAGCAGTAATGACTTCCTCTTTTGCCTTAAAAAAATGTTTTTAACACACTGAATACATAATCAGAAATTCAAATGTGTGGATACATAAAGAAATTCTCTTACAGTTCTCACATCTGATCATTGCCTACTATTATTATTATTATAGACTATTTCAGTATATGATTTACTTTTGATTTGTGAAATGTCATCTGATGTTCAGTTTACCTAAAGGCCTAACATTAACTCCACTCAGACACAAATACTAACCCCTGAATTTCTTACAGTCCCTTGTTTTTTATGGACCTAAATGGCTTTTCAAAGCTTTTACACTATCATCAAGTCGATATTCTGTCCGATATGATGTTAAATACCCTCATAAATGGTTTTAAACAAATGTAGCCTAAACACAACATCTGATCTCAAAGAAAACAGAATACATACACCTACAGCTGCATGGGTACAGATACAGAAACTGCAGCTAACATCCACCTTTGGTTTGGATGTTGACAGCACATCAATATAACCAGAAAGAAGGAGTTCATAATGTATTTAAAGAAAACTTTTGTAATTGGCTGAGAGGAAATTGAACACATGCAGAACCTTAAATTTCAAGAGCAAGAATACATATAATAGTATGTGATACATATGCAAGACTCACCATGGCAAGAAGGAAACGCAGCACCACAAAGAAGTAATAGTTTCCAGAGAAGGCCACAGCCACCCCAAGCCCAAACTGACAGAGGCTGGTGATCATCAGAATCCTCACACGACCCACTCTGGGGAAAAGACACACCAGGGGCAATGCCAGACACAGAGTTAACATGCTTAAGTTAGCAATGCATGAAACAAAACACCTACCCCCTCTTGCTGATTTCAAGTGTTAAAAATTACAATGTAGAAATCATACTGATCATGCTGCTAATAGTTGAGTTTACTTTTTGCATACCCTGAAATGCATCAATATGGATTTCTGTCTATTACATACACATTACAAAAACTCTTCACAGGAGCTTTAAATATCTTATATTCTTAGAAAATATGTTTAGAGATCACAAATGGTAATAGTAAAATTTTAACATGGCAAAAAATTTTAGTCATCACTTTTTTCCTTCAGTGACAATGAAATGTGTAAACTGTAAACTGCACATTATTTAGACCACAGTTTTATCAACATGTGCATAAAAGCAGTTAATCATCAGTCATGATGGGGAAAACCAAGGATAAAAACATTAATAACATATAAGATCCAGTGAGGCTTGAGTGATGATGATTAACTCATTCATAATAATAACCACTTCCATCTGCACTTAATCTTCACCTTCTTCTACATTAACCCTGTAAGTGAGATCCTTTATTATTCAGATGTTTGGGCAGGCATCAAAGCAAGTTTGCCCTCCTCTCTGACTTTATCAGTCCAAAGTCTGCCTTCCTCATGCTGACTACTACAGTCTTGGCGGAACAGCTGTTGCCAAGTCACCTGATGTGCCCACAGTGTCCCCAGATATTACCCCAATCCCATCATCCACTTCTTCCTGATTACAGCACTCATCATTCCTTTCTTACATGTTTATGAAGTAACAGCAGCTAAATTCAGACCTGCTCCTCCAAGCACATGCAAAACATAGAGTTCATAAGGGAATGCAACAATGTCTACCATAATATGGTGACATATAGAGTTTTTAAAAAGGAAGCTGGGGTCTTGCTCCCATAAGGGAAAAGAACTTCCTAATATGGTGAAACTTAACATTGTGTGTCTTCTATAGAAAAGGTTCCCATATAGTGTAAATTCACTTCCATTCTGGAGTACTTACCTATCAGCAATGTCCCCAAACACCAGCGCTCCAATCAACACCCCCATCATGAAGGTGGGTTGGCACAGCTTGGCGAGCCATTCTTTCTCACACACCAAATCCCAGTCAGTCACAATACTCTGATAAACCTCTGTGTGGTCGTAAACAAAGCTCCCATCACAGGCTTTCACTGTTTTGTTGCCGTCAAAGCCATAAGTAAAATCTCCTGGGTTGATGCGCAGGGCGGAGCGGCACTGGCTGAGCTCCCACTGCTCTCCCTTAGCTGTCCTCACCACCAGAGGCCCCTTCCCTGCCTTGAAAACAGGCAGGATGTCCATCAGACTAGATCCTGTAAGGTTCCCATACAGGATCTCTGTGATATTATCAGGCCCGGCACACACAAAGTTTGGGGTCTCCACCAAGAAGACGGAGGCCAGGTAGTGGATTCCACAGGCTATGGCCTGGAACACTGCTGCAAAGTACAGACATGCCTGAAACCTAGAGGGAGGGACAATGTATAGTAATGAACACAAGTTGACATCAGAGTTAAAGAAATGATAATGATGTGTGACATGGCAGTGAAACAAAGCAATCAGTTACATTATGATCACCGGTATATTTATGTGGGTAAAAGACATCACAAACAGCTTTGATTTAGGAAAATGATGAGTACATTTAACTGGGCTTTGGCAAGGGGAGCTGGCTTATCATGTACATTACAGGCCAAAAGTTTGGAAGCAAGGCCATTACAGGCCGAACAGTTGGGAGTAACTTCAAGTTTTTGTTCACAATGGTTTTTTTTTAAAATCCAGCATGAGTTTTATGTATTTTGGGATGTATTTACTCCATTATCAGATGTTGCTTTCATGGAAATGCACCATTTTACTCCATTTACCTACATTGATTTAACAGACCATTGCTAAATATATGTCCGCAAAAGATAATAATGGCTTAGTTTTAGGGTTGAAAACATTTGCAAGAGTCACAACTTCAGTGCAAAAGCAAAAAAACAAATCACAGTTGGATTATTCACTTCAACTTTTTGGCTATTGAGAGTCTGCATACAAAAATCCTAATAAATCTAAACTGCGTTCAAACTACCACAAAAATGGCTAGAAAGAAGCAACTGAGTAAAGAAACATAAGTACAGATTTGTACATTGAGGAAAGAAAGATACACAGAAAGAGAAATTGCAAAATGCCTAAAGGTGTCCAACAAAGGAGTCCACTACACTCTGAAGAGACTCGAGGAACCTGAAAGTTATGATGAGAGAAAAAGACCTGGACGAAAGAGAGTTACTGCAAATACCTAATAATTATAGTCAAAATGTCTTCTGATAAGTTACTCTTTACACAATAGTCATGTTTATTGAGTTGCAAGGTATATTAATGAAACTATGATCTTTTTTATACAAATCTGATCTTGCTTCCAAACTTTTGGCCTGTAGTGTATATACTGTATCATATATTTGTGTGTCATAAAACATGAGTTACATATGTTTAAGGAAAAAAACTATGTATAGTTTAATTTGGAACAAAAGGACAAGTAACACAGACAACAAAACGTTACAATATGGTGTCTACAAACACACGTGGATGCATTTCTAATGAATATAGCCCACTTCTGTTCTTAAAATGGATTAAAAATTGGCAAACTGGAGGGTAAAAAACACTTTTTAGGTTTAAATGTATAGAAAAGGAAGTGATACAAAATGCTGTTACCATGACACTCAAATGAGACGTAGTTCTATTAACGGCTAAAATACCCAAACTACACTCGTTTATTGTCCACGTGTGAAGGGTTTGGCTTGCTTAATCATCAATAATGGCCGTGCGGTATAAAACTATTAGTAATGTAATGTAATGAATAAGAAAAGAGTGAACACCAATGTTTGTTTTCAAAAACGCATTTGTGAGCTGGAATAAAAATAAATTCGTACGTTAATGTTACTATTCAAAAACTACCTGGATAGTATCTTAAGTATCAACGAACTTATTCACAGTGTAAGTGATAAAAAGTTACTAATTGAGTTTTAAGCAGAGTCTAAAAGCATTTGGTACCTTTTGAAATGTCCGAGCTCGTCGAATATTCTCTCTACGCTCATTTTCAGAAAGGTTTGTGTCTCGAGCCTCCCTGAGCGTCGTTCCCTCGGCGGGCTGTAGATCCTCAGTGCCAAACTATACAGGAGTGAGGCTTTCGCGGAGGGGAATGGGGGTGGGAGGGGCGCACACGCTCACACTGTTGTACAAAAACGCACGTACATATATAGCCTTCACACACGCACATACAAACGCACAAGCGAGGGGTCCGTTTTCAACCGCCAAACCAGCGGGAAAAGAACAGCTTTGGGTGGAGATGGGTACGTTTTGAATCATCACACGGAATTAATTCAATCAGGGGCTGCATTTCGCCTGAGTGAATCCATCTTCATTATCTCTTTGAGCATAGGGGACTTAATGTTCTTTCTTTAATTTGCCACTATGGTCCATTTTTAACCTCTGATTACATCATTCATGGACATGCAGTGATCTGTGTTTTCCCCATGAAAGTGACTGACTTGACTTGTACTTGAGAATGAATACAGAGAATGCGGTGGCTCTCAAGAAACACTTGATAGCTGTCTCTTAGGCCATTTTTTAAAGGTCTTAAGTGTAGGCAAATCCACCACTGAGAACTGTTTTAAGAAGTGTTGCAACACTAAAAAGACACATATTCAGCAAATGCAGTAGACCTTAAGGTATACTTTGTTGCCTTTCATTTGATTTACATTGAACACACTTGATTATGAATATAATAATTATATAGTTGCTGCGAAACTCGCAGTAGTTTGTCATGTTTGTTATCACATTGCTATGCCCTGAGTAGTGTCTGCAGGTTCTTTTAGGCTCCTCAGGGTAGAGTTGTGGCCTTTAAAGGCAGAACTCTGGGAGGAAAAAAAGCACTGTCTGTGGCTTTATTTATAAAGTCAAAATAGCCAAATAAGCATAAAAATACAAGCTATTCAAGGAAGTGCACAAAGAGCTTAATTCTCTCACAGACAAGAGATTTAATACAAAAACAGTAAAGGACGCCAGTCATCTCTATCACCGAAAAATGAGGGTGGGAACAAAGACACACCATAACATCCACTGAAATCAATATTTTCTTTAATAAGTAAGTCCTAATACTTGATTTCACCTTTTTTACACTGTTAAGGAGTGATTTTTTAAATTATTTTTCATTTTTTGTACACATGAAAACACCTTTGTTTTATCAGTATGGCATTATAAGATATGGGTGACATGACTGATAGTTATACACACTGTAACTGTTCGCAAGGACACTAAGAGCCAGCCTCAACTTCAACTCTTTGCCTCCTTTAGACAACCCTTTTGCTGAATATTAAGTTGACTCAGCCAGGGAGTCCAAGATGGAGACTGCAGCTTCAACACTTCCAGAAACATCACTGGGACTTAGTCCATGTTTTTGTGTGTAATCTGTGCTTAAGTGTATCAAAAAAGCAAATCAAACCCCATTAGCCAACAGTTCTCAACTCAAAAGCAGAATTAACCCTGTTCAAAAATATTGTGGATAGTTCTCTCGTGTTTTTACTAAGTCAAGATCTAAAGTTCACACTGACTTTTTTCAGAGATTGAAATTCCAGCATTATTTTATTAACATTTAATCACTAGTTTGGACCTAGATGTCTGAGCTGGTCATGAGTGGACTAGTCAGAAGTAAGTTTACTTATAGATTTACTCCAACTTCACTCCAGAAAGTCAGCATAGACGGCCAGACTGCCAAATTAAGTGCTTCAAAATGACAGTCAATAAACTAATGGTAACTTCATATATCCATTTATTTATATGGTCTTTGGTAAGTTAGCATGGCTCGTTGCTTTGTTGTTGATTTACCTTGTACAACAGCAACCTATTGTGCCTCTGCCTCTGACCTCATGGAGTCATATTTCCTCAGAGGTGTTAGCCTGTCAGGATTAACCCTCTTAGAGGCCAATTAACCCTCTGGTTCATAGTGGTCACTACAGTGGACAGCTACCAAAAACTCTTTTTCTCTTAAATGCAATGGTTTCTATGGTGGAAGTGTATATCAGCCTCTAGGGTGCTCTCTACTGCCCTACTCCATTGAGTTACATTTAGTGAGTAATCAGTGTAACTGCAAGTAAATTTCCTACAAATCCAAGATGGCCGAGAAACAGCCACCCCTGCTGACTACAGCTGGCATGTCCTGTCAATACTTCTATAGTAGAAGAACCCCAGCTGTAAAAAAAATATGATGATATACTGTAACATCTAAGGAAGGATATTATCCATTTGGAATTGAAAATTTCATGTCCAATATGTAGAAAATTACAATTAACCATGTGTCCAACTGAGTGGACATCATGCATCACCCAGTATTTTTTTTAACAGGAGTCATGTAATTGCTCCACTGGTACTTGTGGCTGTTTTGGTTATAAATCAGTGTATACAGTGTAATCAGTGTGTAACAGTGACCAAGAGTGGCTGCCAGAGAAGAATAGACATGTAGGGGCTGAGGATGATGGAGATACAGACAGTCAGGGTGCAGAAAGGGTAGATGCCTATAGTCAAGTGGATGAGGACCAGGATGATGAGAGGCAGGATGCAGGGGAAGGTCAGCATGATCAGGGAGCTGTGGAAAATGGGCACATGACACCTGACCATTCTCAAGCTCGCAAAAATTTCTGGAAAGTCCAAGACAATCACTTTGATAGAGATATGTCTCCTTTTCTAGGAGAGTGGAAATTCAATGTGGAGGGAAGAGAGCCTATAGACCTATAGACCAGACATCTGTTTCCAGCAGATCTCATTGATGATATAGTGAAAAACACCAAGTTGTATGCTCCCCAGAAAGGGAAAGAAAATCTGGCAGTGACAGGAGAAGAAATGCAGACTTTTTTAGGAATCAAAATGATCATGGGCTACATTCGTTATCCCAGGGCACACATGTACTGGTCTAGTGAGGATGGCCTTCGTCTAGGGATGATTGCAAATGCCATGTCTGTAAACAGATATGAGCAAATCCTGTGCTCATATAAAGCCTGTGTGCCATTGTGCCCTGGATGCTTTGCCAACTTTCATACATCCTAGGTGTGATGAGCAGAGACATGTTTAGAGATGCAGGAACTAAAATATCAGTTTTTGTTGTTGAAAACAACATGCTCGTATAAGGGCATGGTAATGTCAGTCCTGAATCTTTATAGTACTGTGGGGATTTACAATATTGTTTCCAATGTTGGAGATAGTTTGGCATATTTTGGTGTACTGTACTTTTTACTGTAAGTTCATAATGTTTTGTGTTGAGTGCTCAGGCGCATATAGTCCACTTGAATGGACACTTCTGTAGTTTTGTGAAAAAATAACATTTTTGGAAAAAAACAATTTTACATGTTCTTTTATGTCCTGAGAATGATAAAAACACTTATGAAAAAAATCTTGATCAGGGCTTTCATAATTCATGCATCAGAGGGTTAAACAAACAGCTGCTGTAAATATGCACAGCGTTTACAACTTAAGCACAATGGAAATGAGCAGCTGGGTTTATATTCATCACAAGGTCATGGTTGTGCTCTGAACTAACAACATCCTTACTGATGTCTGTTTACGATAAATCATGAAGAATCCCAAAATTACTTAATATTTCATCTGGACTGCATATTTGTGCCTCTAAGTCAAGTGGCAAATGATCATTGATTAATCAGAAATACTTTTCTCTATCAAATCAATAAATCTACCCATTATATGCCTGTGTGTTTAATGCTTGGAAAAGCATAAGAAATTGACTGATGCCCGTCCCCCCCCCCCCCCAAAAAAAAAGGACATTACATAGTCTTAAAGCTTACGAGGTCGTACTTGGGACAAAATACCAAAATATTCAGTATGATATGACATTCTACAAAAACCCCAGGCCAAGTGTTCATAAAAGCATCTTCAATCCTAAATGGGCCTCTCTGTGTTTCTGTTCCTCCCCTTCTGGAGTCTTTCATTAATAATTGATATGTGCAGTAGTTGTGGCTTTATTGACTTACTGTCCCTTGTTTTGACTGGATCCAGCAAGACTAAAAACCATGTGTTTGCCTTTGACCACACACCAACATGTCATCTGCTCCAAACAACTTTCAGTAAAAAATAGTATTTCAGTATAAAAGGAGCTGTCATATCAGAATGAAACAGATTGATATGCCACAGTAAACAAGTGTCTTTAGATGCAGATTTATAGGAACTGAGTCCAGAGTGCTGTAGACAACATTTCCTGAATTCGGTCCATTTTTGAAGAGCTATGTTCAACACTGACTTTGGCCTCTTGTTTTTGACTTTCATTTAACTGTCAGCTTTCATTTCACCAACCTCCCTACCTTTTTTTAATTCTATGTAAATAAAACTGACAGAACGTCACATCTGCTTTATTGTTTGGTGGAGGGGTAAAAGCTTGAACAGTTTTCAGACTTTAATAAATACAGTACATATATTAAGTCAAGGATAATTGGATCAGCCCTTAAATACTTGTAACACAGTTTTTTAGGTACAGTTTTTTCTAGCATGTGACACAGGGGCATATAAAGTGTGGATCTCTCTTTTTGTGAGGGCACTAGTGTGTGCATATTTTATCTGACTTTTTGTGCTATTTTGGGCCCCAGACTACTGCAAAAATGATCCAACATTACCTTACTCCTGAAACAAATGGCTGCTTCCCACTGAGTAAGATATAGATAACTTTTACCAGGTGTTCAGGCAGAAAACACCCTTTATTTCCCTGAGTAAACCAACCGTTTCTACCCAGAGTCGAGTTTGACTCTGAGGGCTCTATTTTCGTGTCCGCCAGGGACGCAGCGGAGGGTGGCGGACCCCGAGCAGTGGTATTTTCGTCTGGCGGAGCCCGGCGTACAGGCAGTTTGGTATTTTCATTGACTGAGGCGCACCGAGGTCCGCCAAGCTGGGCATGGTGGCGTGGCAGAGGAAGGTGTCGACAGAATCAGCTGGTGCAGTGACATTTTCGTGCTCGCCGCCGGCGTGTAAAGTGCGCTAAAAGCTTGCCAATTCAAACCTGGTCAGCTTTCAGCGCAGGGGTAGTGCAGCTGGTCTAGTAGTATTTTGGTAGACCGGCGGCGTATTACGCATAGGTCACTGATGCCTCACCGGCAGGTTTCCACAGTGTTAGGCACATTTCAGTGCAATAAATAATCAACAACAACTAATAATCTGAGTCAGCACATACATTTAGCCTGGCTGGGCCATCCTGTTGCGTGAAACACTTGCCGTTCCTTCCCACAACAGTCTGGACTTCAGCCCATTGGGAGCTAGTATTCACGATCAGAAAATAACCAGGCCAATCAGAGACCATGTTTCCACTGTTACTCGGACAACAGGGAAAGGCAGCCCCTGATTGGTCCATGTGTAGATGGTGACGTCTAACACATGCTGCAGGACTTTTCAAAGCCCTGTTCATTCAGAACGCCGTTAATTCTGCAGTTGACTCTGCAAAGTCGGCAGAAATCGTTTATATCCACAGAAGATGTCAGATATAAATGATTTCTGCCAACTTTGCAGATTACATTACCTATGATACCGTGGAGAGAGATGTAAACGCAACAGATACACAGAAGCAGGAATTGAAATGAACCAATATTTTTATTGTGTCACAGAAATCAATGTGTCGACCAGCGGCATTCGGGCCATCCCGGCCCCCCGGCACCGGCACCAGCACCAGCGCGCCGACAAGCGGTGGAGCGTCCACCAGCCGTGGCGCTTCCGCTGGACCACCCGGACGCAGTGGAAGGGTCCTCACGGAGGCGGTCCTGCAATCGCAGGAAGAAATCATCAGGGGGATCGCGGGGATCAACGAGCGGCTGGACCGGCTCGTAAATGTCCTCGAGCGTCTGGTGGCGAAAATAAATTAATTTGGCTCATTGAACTGCGTATTCACTTCTTACCCATTCACACTGTAGCGATGAGATTCTCCCGCGCGAGGACGGCGGCCCGGCACGGATCAGCTCGCATCCCTCCGTCTGCTGCTGGTTCGTGATGTGGGGTGACGTGCTGCTCGGCCACGGGGTTGTGGTGCACGCTTGTCACATAGTGAGTCACCAAACACCGCCACACAGCGTCGCCAAAGTGCGAATCACAGTCAACGCAAGTATCGGCTCAACGCCAACTTCTACACCACCTCCTGACTTTGCGTTGATTAGCGCTGGAACCGACGCTCGTTTCGCGATGATAAATCTGGACGTGTGCGCCGATTTTGGCGTACGCAAGGTTTTCTGGCGCCGCCAACGTTGATACATAAGGCCCCAGATGAGTTATTTACTTTAAGCCTACATACGAATATTACAACATTCAGTTTTGTGAGCCAAATTTATTTTATATGACAACATCTATTAAAGAAAGAGCCAGGCCACGGAGCGCGATGCGTCATTACACACAGATGGTTCTGATTTTAATGCCATTTTTGGAGTTTATGTTGTGATCTGTGCGCACAACCCACCTTTGTCACGTGAGGTTTAAATATGTGCAACTTTATGTGAGTGTCTTTATTTGTCGAAAAGGGTGTTTGTCTTACCAGTGGGCCCAACCTTACACACACAAAATCCAACTGTGCTTATATGAGACAGTGTGAAGGGCGCCCTCTGCAGTGCTTATAGCGACACTTTTTGAAAGGCTGCCTTCTGTCGCCATCATGTTGTATTGCTGTCTTCAGACATCTCTTGATCTCTTGAACTACTTCACTAAAATTGTAATACACCTCGCCGGTGGCGGATTTAAAGGTGAGGAGAGGAGCTTATGTGATTGGTGACAACAGGGCTCGGCTGTGTTAAACCCACTCCACACCCTCTCTTCTCCCTCCCTATGACTTACGCCGCTGGGGGGAGCTGAGTTAGGGAGGGGGAATACTTACGCCGGGCTGCGCCATTCACCAAAATACCAAATTGTGCTTGGGAACGCCTTGTCAGGTCCGCCACGCCACCGGCGAGGCACAAAAATAGAGCACTAGGTGTTATGACACCAGCATTTACCACAAGACCCGCCGTTAAAAGATTGTGTCCGGGTATTCCCACCTGCAAATACTGAACACTTCTTGTTTAACTTCTAGAGCTGATGAGGAATTTTCTAATCAGGAATCAAAGCTTGAATCTTCTGATAGGCTGCAATCAGGTATGGAAACAGTGGTAAAGTGATTTTAGTTAATATCTCTTACAGTTTTCACATCAAAGTTATGGCATATGTTATAAAACTTTTCTGTGCAAAATTGAAGTTGTGTAATTTTCAATCAATTGTTTAGGCTTTAATAGGTCTCATTTAAGATTTTTCTGGTGTCTGAACGTGAATAATTTATCTCAAAACTCAGCAGTTGCCAACTTCCTTGCTGACTTTCTCTTCAGTTGTATTGAGTCAGTCTTTTGAGTAAACAGTGGACCTCTGCCTGACCTCATGTTGGCCTTTGCACTGACTTTTGTGCACAGCTTAAAGGGAGGAGCTAGGGATCAAGTTAACATGACCCACGCACTCGAGGAGAGGAAAGAAGAGAGGAGGAAAGAAAGGAGAGAAGAGGACAGAGAGGCAAAAGAGGACAGACATGTTTTCAGTCCATGTGGCTGCGGATTTCAGCCAAATCCAAACAAATAGATCCAATATGAGTACTGCATCTAATTAGGGGTAAACAAATCAGCCACAACAGAAACACCCTTTTTTTTTTATGCAGCATGTGTCCGATAACATGATTCCTCAGCGTTTTGGCCCTTCTTTTGTACAAAACTATAACTTATTACACTCACTGACAAGCACATGATGTAGATGTCACGAACAAACACAAAGAGGTGTGTAGTACACTTGAATGTGTCCTTGTTTGGCTAAATTTATGTACAAATAGGTCACAGTGGCTCTACCAGGGTGCATTCCTGCTGGATTCTTTCACTGCTTTCACCAGCAGCTCAATTACAGTGTGACCTAAATCACTTGCAGAGTTCATTTTATGCTGTAATCCATCCCATATGGAAACCCTGTGTGTTCATGAAATACCATTAGGGGGCGGAAGAGATTTTCCTTTATTGCATGTCTTGATACTAACTTAAAGTACTAAACCAGGCCCTCACATGAGGTAAACTCAAAGCAAGTCTGAACCAATTAAACTCACAATTGATCTACATAGACTTTACTCTGCTATTTCATGTCCAACTTAAACTTTGTACAAGTAAAACTCCACAATTCTGGCATTGTTTGAATAAGCTGATGGGTGGATTAAGCAAAATGGTGAAAAAAAACTGGCAGAACAGATATTAAAGAGAGGCAATGAATAAAACCTTTTATTACAGTTTTTCAGATATTTTGATTGTTTAATTAAATAATTATTAAGGCAATTACAGAGCATTTCTGGGCGCAAATCATTTAAAACCATACACTACCAGTGTCTGTATTCATGTCAGACCTGAGAAATATAATGACATCAGCCCGTGACAAAGTGTGGCTCCCATGTAAAGCATGTTTATTGTCCCAAGTGAGTGCAATAATCAAAGTTATTTTTTATACAGCTATTGCTGTTACATAGGGAAAAGAAAAGACTGTTGCTTATACTCAAAAGGGGGCAGTAGAGAGCTAATTATAAGCTCCTATTTACAAGCACAAATTTCAACCATTGCTTTTAACCAGCCAGAAGACCACAGCTTCAACATTATCATGCATTTCCTCTTTAAGATTAAGCTGTGTCACTGTGCTGTGTGAAGTGCTTCCATCCAAGTGAAAATGTGCAAGTGCTGCCCTTCTCTGTCCAAAAATAATCTGCTTTGGCAGGCCTCATAAATCAGAAGAGCTGCCTTAGTGTAATATATCAATAATGCATTTAATAAATGGACACACAAGAAGGAGCTGTGATTATCAGTTTGCTCAAACATAACAGCAGATTTAGAAGTCTCTGGTGGAGGAAATCGATGACAAAGATAATGAAGTTATTCAAGAAGACAATGAGGCAAGTGCTGGCCAACAAATCAAATCTCTGAGAGTTATTGCCAAAGAAAGTAAATCACAGAAGTTGGTAAAGTTGTCTGAAAAACTTACTGGCAGTATCTGAGATGCATATAGTTGTGAGGAAAACAGATTGCCGGAAAAATGTATGGTTTAATAGTGCACTTTCTGTAGAAGTAAATGGATGAAGTGGTTGTGAGCACAAAAACAAAATCCCCAAATTTTGAACATGTATGCATATAAAATTCCACCCATGAGAGTGTAGTGTAACTTCTGTAGAGACACAGTTATACCCACAAAAACTGTTCGCTGTTTCCCCAACAACAAACCCTGGATCACAAGTGACATAAAAGCAATCCTTCACCAGAAAAAGAAAGCTTTTAAAGATGGTGACAAAGAATGACTCAAACAAGTGCAACAAGAGTTGAAGAGGAGACTGAAGATGGCAAAGCTGGCGTACAAAAAGAAGATAGAGAGGAATCTACAACACAGCAACATCCTTGAAGTGTGGAGAGGAATCAGTACCATCTCTGGACACAGCAATAAAAAGAAAAGACAGTCAGTGGTGGGTGATCTGGAAAGAGCTGATGAATTCAACCTGTTCTTCAACAGATTTGACACTGCTGTCACACCCACTCCCATCGCTACTCCACCTTCCTCTCCACAACAAATCTCCACTACAACTGCTCTTTCCTCCTCCATCTCGCTCAAATGCCTCAACCACTTCAACTACCTCCCTCCTAGAACACCAGTCCTTGTCTGTCACCAAAACAGGGGTGAGGATGAAGCTTGAAAGACTTTGTCCTGGGAAGGCAGCTGGTCCAGATGGTGTGTGTACAAGGCTGCTTAGAGACTGTGCTGCAGAACTGTATCAACCTCTCCACAGGATCTTCAACCTGAGTCTACAGCTGGGGCGGGTACCTGCTCTGTGCTCTCATCCTGCATTGTGCCAGTACTAAAAACAAAATGTCCTGCTGAACTCAATGACTACAGACCAGTGGCCCTCACTTCACACATCATGAAAACCCTGGAGCGGCTGATTCTACGCCTTCTGAGGTCTGAGGTCAAAGACAAACTGGATTTCCTGCAGTTTGCATACAAAGAACACATTGGAGTGGATGATGCTGTCCTCTACAGCACGGATCATGTTCTTTGACTTTTCAAGTGCATTTATTGTATACGTCAGACTTCAAATACAGCACTGAGTCCTGCCGCATCCAGAAATACTCAGATGACACCGCTATTGTGGCATGTATCAGAAATGGACAAGAAGCTGAATACAGAGATCTAATAAGAGCCTTCAGTGACTGGAGTCACAAAAACTGCCTCCTCCTCAACACCTCAAAGACAAAGAAGATGGTCATAGACTTCCATAGATCTAAACCCCCTCTTCAGTTAGTAAACACCTGTGGAGTGGACATAGAAGTGGTGACATCATATAAATACCTACGTGTACATCTATATAATACATTGGACTGGTCTAAGAATATAGACTTAATCTACAGAAAGGGGCATTGCCGCCTTTTTTGCCTGAGAAGACTCCAATCAATAGACATCTGTAGTAAGACGCTGCAGATGTTTTATCAGTCTGTGGTGGCAAGTGTTCTGTTCTATGCTGCAGTCTGCTGGAGAGGAAGTATCAAACACAAAGATGCAAGGCGCCTTAACAAACTGGTGAAAAAGGCTGGCTCTGTGGTAGGACACACACTTCACAACACCTTAAGGACCAAAGGGCCAATGGTGGAGGACGGCTCCTCTCTCTTCGCTGCAGGACAGAAAGATTCAGAAGATCTTTTGTACCATCAGCCATCAGACTTTATAACTGTTGCGTACATAGTAGATAACCTTTTAGAGACATATTATGTGAGATGACAGACAATTGAATTTCCCTTCGGGGATTAATAAAGTTCTTCTTATTCTTATTCTTAGTCTTACTACATTGTTCAGCAATATAAGTGTGGAAATTATGAGAGCTCTCATCCTCTTTAATCCAGGCTTAGCACCAGCATGTTTAGAGAGCCAGCTTGTTCACAGATGCTGAGATGGGCCTGCATGGACCCGTGGTGCAGGCCCTGCCCATGTCTAGAGTTACACAGAAACCCGAGAGTCTGCAGGGCGGGACGGGCAACCCCAGGGAGGGGGCAGAGCTGTAGAGGGGTGTGTGCATTTCTGTGTGTGTGCGTGGTGTGAGCCTGATAGAATGCAAAAAGAAAGCAAATTAAAGGGGCGTGGGTGTTTAGAAAAAAGGGAGAACTTGAGTGTAAAGAGGGAGTTCCCAAAGTTTTCAAAGAGGGCGGCACACATTGTACTTTTAGATCTGTGTGCAGAGCCTCATGACACTCACATACGCACACTTATGCACACACCAGCATGCACACAACACTTCAGGTTAAGATACAGGCGCACATGTGTCGAATATTGTGAACAGAGGTGTCCTCCACATGTTTGTGGTTTGTTAACTTACAACTGCTGGTGTATTGGTGGACTCTGACCCTGGAGGGCATGAGAGACTCGACTTGACGAGAAAAGACGAGAAGAGAAGAGAAGACAAAAAAAGACAAGAGAAGAGAAGCATGGGATAAAAAAAAACAAGAGCAAACCTTACTCGTGGACTGACATGGGCATGGAGCGACTGACCACAGGTTTGCTGCTGCGTTTAGGTGTTCTTTTCACAGCTGTGTGCGTGTGCATTCATGTTTACCTGGAGACAAGTTGGCGGGCAGCACCTGCACCCCTGACACTGGGACATCCCACCCTGTCTGGCCAAACCCGAGGCCAACAAAGTAGAGCCAAGCAGGTCTCTGCAGAGCCACAGAAGCAGGACAGAAGCCTCAAAAGGAGAATTTCATATGTTCGAACGCTGAAAAAGGACAGAAAGAAGGATGAAGACAAAGAGGACCCTTCACCCGCATGCTGTCAACCTGCCCGCCTGCACCGAAAGGTATGTTTAAAATTAGCTTAATTGTTGTGTTTCTTGTAACACAAGATTCTTGTAAGGGTATCTGATCCTGAATCAGTGCAGTAGGAGACAGAGCAGCTCAATAAGAAGCTTTGACTGCTTCTCTGTGAGTCAGTGGCTTAAAGCGCTGTAATCCCAGGAGGGTGATGATTGAAGAACAGGGAGCTGAATCAATGCACGTTCACTAAGCGCTTCTGAAATGCTCAGAGTTAGAAAAGAAATCAGTCACAAGGGTTTCTCACAATGGCAGCTGGTGTGTTTTTGTGCAGATGCAGTCGTTAAAATAATCCAAAACAAACACATTATACACAGGACTGTAGGTAAGGTGTAACATATCTAACTGTATTTCACAGTCAGGTATCAGCAGGTGTTGGTGTATGCAGAAAAGATGGTTTGTGTGGAGAGCAAAAGCAGGCAGTAATCTAGCCATGATGAGACATCTCTCTGCAAGTGCAACTAGTAAATCTATGTGCTCGATCTGCTTGATGTGTTTGAAGAAATAAATCAGGGGTTTAAGTTCTGGAGTACCTGGAATGTGTCAGGAATGATTAATCTGATCTCAGTCTGAAGCTGCTTTGAGGAACTTCTGGTGTCAACAGTTGTCTTTGCTTTTCTTGTCCACTACATGCTCGAGTTGTGATTTATGACAAAAATCTCATCATGCTGACTTTTGACAGTCGCATGTGTTGTTCACTGTAAATAGTTTATGTTCAAATCGTAATAACAGGGCCGTTTCTTTGGCTACAAGGCTCCATTTCATGCATGTCAAAAAAACTCCTTGTGGGAGCTTTAACCAACATCTATTTTTTTCAAGTTTATTTCTCCTCCCCTTGAAGACTGATATGACAAATTTAGCACTTTGACTTTGAAAAATCTTTTATTTTGGGAAACATTTACTCTTAAATTGTCTATTGTGAGCAACTTGTTTGGGCTAATGCCAGAATAAAGCTTCTGGATAGCTTACTATCTACTGAAACAGACTAATGGGCCTAATTTTTGTTTTTTAAATACCATTAACCTTAAAATGACTACAAAACAAACATGATCAACTCTCTTACAGTCATAACACATGTAAGCACGAAAGTTTCAGAGAAACGAAAGCCATACAAATCTGGTGACTTCCCCTCTGGCTGTTGATACAACATTTGAAAATCTATACATACTCAACTCCAACAAAGAGCTTTTATGTCTACCAGTACAAACACAGCTATTCACACACTAAACCTACACGCATTCAGCAGGCTCGACCTTTGACCTGTGAAGGGTGTGTTAAAGTGCAGGCTTAACAAAAGTCCCACTTCCCTCCCTCTGAGCCCCTTGGGGCCTTATTTTTTCTCTTAGATTAAAGCTTTTATTCGGATATCTGATCCCTCCATGCATCATCTCCCTTTTGTTCCCCTTCTCTTCTATTTTACCTCTCTTACAAATAGACACACAATCAGTCTCTTTCCTTGCTCTTGCTCTCCTCTTTGACTCAATCCCCCATTGTCCTCTTCTCTCTGTTACTTTGGGGTAAGTGATGCTTGTTTCACTTTTGTTTTTCTAAATTTTTAATGAGCTATACCAACAAGAGACCGAAGAGTAAAAGCACTGAGTTTTTAAATGCCACAAAATCACTGCAGGGCTGCTACGCCACACTGAGAGATGGGCACTCATATGCTATCAATATTATATACTACCATATGCTCACTCTGCCTGCTTCCTCACAAAAAATTGTCACATAAGAAGCCCTGGAGGGGCCCTGGTGAAATTTCTGTGTCATATGCTGCTGCTGCCATTTAACTCCTCGTCTTTACACCTCTTCTTGCTTTTTCTCGCTGTAGGCTTTCATCTGAGGAGATCACTGTTGCTCTTTTCCTTCTGTCATGTTACCCTGTTTCTGCTCTCTCATCCTCCCTTGTGCTTTTTCATCTCATCTCTGTCTTCATTTGAAACTTCAGTCTCACCTCCCACCTCTAACCCATTTCTCACCTGTTTTCATAGCCTTCTTTAATTCTTGTTTCTGCTCCCTCACTCGTACTTGCTCTGTAGATTAAATACTGTGGAGGTAAGATGAGCCGTTGCTTTGTGGGGACAATGAGGATGCCTTCAAAATTGATGATGAATTGAAAACAAGGACATAAGGAGAATATTCCTGCCCCGTACCCTCATCCATCTTAGCACTCAATGATATGGGCATTTCTGTATCATATCATTGAGTTTGTTTATACCTCCAGAGTGTATTTGCTGTAGGATTGCATCACTTGTCTTAAAAGTGATCGTCAGTAGAATCACTGAAACATAACTTTGAGTGTTATTTTATTTGCCTTTGACAGTGTTTGGTATCTTTTTTTGTGGTTGTTTTCACTGTCAGCAGTGTGTGGAAAAATCAAAGTCTCAGGTGTCTGCAGAGCTTGAACAAAAACTGCTAGTTGCACCTTTATACCATGTTATCTATTTATGAGGTGCTATGGTTAAAACCACTGAGATGTTTCTCAATCCACATAACAGTATCCACATCTACTGGAAATAGTTGTAAAAAAAAAGAAAAAGTTGCAAACACTTACAGGGATAAGGCCTGTCTGAGGTAATTTATTGTGCTGTTGCAAATCAAGAGGGTGTGCCAGGACACCTGTCATTCATTACACTACAGAATAAAAAGCAAAGATGACACAATGCTTGAGCTGTAAAAAAAAAAAAAAAAAAAAAAAAAAAAAAAAAAAAAAAAAAGAGAGAGAGAGAGAGAGAGAGAGAGAGAGAGAGAGAGAGAGAGAGAGAGAGAGAGAGAGAGAGAGAGAGATACTACTCTAAGTTTCACCAACATTTTGAAGCTCCTGTAAGGAACTCTCAGTCTGAATCACATTTTAGCATCTCTTGTGGACAAAGCAGTTTTTGCTAATTTTGCTCTCTATACATTTAAATACTGTCTTCTGACAAAATATCCCATCCTGTTAACTTTTCACAGTCAGATATGTTATTTATTGGGAATATTGATGTGTAAAAAATTAAAAACAGGGCTGTTTCTTCAGCTGTACCATGATATCGCCCCCCTTGCACCAATTTTAGGCATTAAATAAAAGTGAGTATAAAAGTCATCATCCTTGTCTTCATGAAGTCCATATTTGCTTGTCTACTTTCGAAAAATATCAGTACTAATTTCAGTCTGTCTCATAAATGTCAAATAATTCACAGGAGCTTTAAATTCATCTATTTGAAAGATAGTTTTATTCATGTTTACTATATAAGGAAGGGGGTATATTTACCCTAACCCTACAAGATGGCACTACACTACCTAAAGCTTTGAGGTGGCGAGGTGCTTTCATGACTGCCAGGGCAGCTGTCACTATTGCCAACTGCACATCAACTGATACCATCAATAATCTGCCCATACTCAGTACAAGTGGCTGTTTCAGGGTGTAAAGCATGCAAGGGGATACAGCAATGAGGACCAGGTTAGAGGCACCAGTCCTATATGCAAAGAAAATGGTGTTCAGCCTCTGAGTACATAAACTTTGCTGATTTCAATGAAATAACTCCTCAGTGTCAGACAACAAGTGACCAGCCGAGGTGTTTGGCGTGCCTCCCAGCAAGTCCCTCACAAGAAGTGGCTCTGTACCCTGTAGCTGTCAAATTTACGACAGGCTAAGCCCAACTGCAGTATCAGGAGCAGGCAGGATTGTAACACATCAACAGCGTGTCAAGAGTTACACATGAGTTCATCATGGATCAAACTGTGTATTATATGTAGTAGACAGTAGCACAGAGAACAATTTAACATCAAACTCTTTGGATGGAAATTTCTATCCCTGCAGCTCAGACAATGTCCTTTAACGACATCTTCTTTTCTATGCTAGAGTAGGATTTGTCACTGTTGGAAAATGGGTTTATATCATTCTTTATTTTAGGTACCCCATCACTGTGATAGACAGAGGCAAAGAGATACTCTGCTCTCTATTTCATAAATATATTGATTGGTTTTGTCAGCTGTTTATGGCCTTTTTCAATGCATATTTGAAGTTTTATTTGCATCCTTATACTGGCTCAGGTTTGAAAAATGTCATACTTGTCTTGTAAAAAGTGAAATGCCTTTAACTTCACCACATCAGATAACAATATATTCCCTTATTTGTTACTTAGTTAGTGATTGGCATCACTTTGTGTACCACCAAGTTCAACTTCACAAATACTATTCCCAAATCTTTGCTGCAGTTTTCATAATTTGAAAGAGAAAAATAATAATTTTGAGCTTTGAGGCTTTGTTTGAACAGAATGAAACAAAAAAAAGTAATTGAGAAAGGCAAAGCTCTTTTCAAAACTAATTCAAGAAGCTGACAGGTGACAGGACAGACTAACGCTGACAGATTCCTCTTCCCTCAGTGTCAGAGAGAGAGAGAGAGAGAGGGAGAGAGAGAGAGAGAGAGAGAGAGAGAGAGAGAACCTAAGGGTCCTTTTTTGTAATAACCAATCTAAAGGAAATCTGATCTCTTAGCTGTCAACCATCCACATAAATACCCTCACACTCATCCTCTTTAATCATTTACCTCTTGCAGGCTTTTTTCCCCACTGAGGGTAAAGCAGGAGAGGGATGAGTTGGTAAATCATAGTGAGACAGATAAACAACAGCGACAGAGATGAAGGGAGAGAAGGAAAGAGCCAGACGGGAGAAGAGAAAGAAAGAGAAGAGCAGACACAGTATGCACCAATGACTCAGAGCATCGTCACTCAGCCCCCTGAATTTTAACACAGAACACTGGCTCTAAACCACAAAGAAGCACACACACACACGCACACACAAAACATTCCCACTCCAACGCTTTTTTATCTTTTTGGATAAAACTATTCAAAGCTTCAGAAAGTCAAGAGGCAGCAGGCAGTTCAAAAACTCACCTGAAGTCAGCAGATGATGCCATATATAAATTTTCACAGTAATGATTCCAACGCTCTGCTGCTGACATTCAGGGAAGAGGTAATGCTGCTATTGATGACTTGAAAGGGTTAGGCTAATAATAAGTTCTGCAGATCAATATCCAAAATAAACCCTTCAAAACAAAGAGTTGACTCAAGTTTTGAATTATCAGACCACAGAACGGTTTTCCACTTCACCTCAGTCCATCTCAAAAAGACCCTGGCCTGTAGAAGTCACCAGCTTTTCCAGATCATGTCTATGTGGTTTCCACTCAATTTGACCTACGTTGTGTTCATGGGAAATGTGTTTTGGAAATGTTTTTGAGTCCGTGCGGTTACTTCCACCACAGAGTCATGTTTGTTTTAAATGCAGTGACATGTGATGGTCTAAAATCACAGCCATCCATTTCTGTTTTTTGTTACCAGCTGAATACCTCTAAGACAAACCCTCTCTGTTACTTAAGTAAAGATTGATACAAAATAAGTTTGTTTACATTGTTATTAAAATAAGGCATTTCCCTCCAGCCTATATCAGGAGCTGAGTCTTGTAGCTGTTGTAAAAAAGAAACATTTGGTAGGTTACCCCTTAAAAATCCAACAATATTTAGTCAAAATAAAACAATCCTACATGATTTAAAGAAAGGAAAATACAGCAACAGCAGGAACCATCTTGACCTTGCAGTAAACCTCAACAAGTGTCTCATTACTCCTCATAAAGTCAAACTACTTCAAAGTCTGAAACTTTTCTATGCACTGGAAGAGAAAACAGTGCCCTGAGCACCAGCCCAAGTCCAATGGTTTACTGTCAAAAAATAGATCTACACTACTGAATCTACTCCCTGCCGAAATTTCTGCAAGCCCATCATGCCTCTCACAGCTTGGATGTGAAATATTCTTTCACAGCTTACTCACCCAATCACCATCTATTGATATACAGCAAGTGCAAACATCTTCAAATTAATGTACAAATGAATTATTCATGCTTAACTGCTTCAAACAGTCTCCTTATTGCTTATCTATTTTATCAGCCCTCCTTGCCTGTAATCCTATTGCAGAGTGTATATACTGTAAGCATTTCCCTGAAGAGTTTCTCCTAAAGTTACTCAGAGCTTCCTCTCTCACATGTCAACCACACACTCAGAAACAAAGCTCACAAACTACAACTGTGCATCTTTTCAGATATTTCTCCCCGTTTAGACGATTTTATAACCAGACATCAGGTCAGTCTGATGATTGTCTATAGAAGAAAAAAAGGGAACAGATTACCAGTTCTATGCAGTATCTGATCTTTTAATCTCATTTCACACAGCCCAAAAAGGAAGCCAGAATATTAGAGGATCAGATTTCTTAATTATCCTGTAGCCTTTTACCAGCTATGAAAAAAAGCTGAAAATAAAATTTAGATGTTTCGATTTGATCAACAGCATCCTCGAAGAGTAATATGAAAGAAATCATCCAGAGGCAGATTAACTAAGGCCCCCATAACCTCCTAAAATTAGGTTATTTGGATAAAAAAAATACTTTTGATGGAGTCAGTTGATTAAAAAAACTCAAAGCAGCCTGCACTTTAACTCCAAAGATTTCTTTGAATATGATGGGACACAAGCTCTTTTAGCCACAGGGCAAGTATTAATTACTTTTGTTCAAATGAGCCTGAGTTTGATTCCAAATTCATTCTTTTCTCCTGAACATTCATTAGTCCAGCACTGGGATAAAGACAGAGCAGAATAGGCCACTTTGTACAGTCTGTGCCAACCACTGCCAGCCACTTTAAGGCCCCCCAGTGGAATTTCTAATGCCTGAAACCCAGTGACCTTGGTGCAATAGAGAGAGAGAAAGAGAAAGAGAAAGAGAGAGAGAGAGAGAGAGAGAGAGAGAGAGAGAGAGAGGCTGTTACTAAAGAATGAGAGGGCTTGACTTCTGTAATCCCAAAGGTGTGACCAGAGCCAGTTCTCAAGCATCTCTGACCTCCAGCTGAGGTGTCTGGGGAACCAGGAAGTCACAAGGAATAAACAGCTGAAAAGCTAATGTGTCACCCAAGTCACTTCAGTCCCTGTGCTTGAGCTAAAAAATCCCACTATTGAAAACACTTCCTGGTGCAGTTTCCCTCCATGCTTGTTTTTTTCAATGTCAGCTGAATCTAAAACAGTGGTCTTAAAAATATGTTTTAATATATGTCTCAACAAAATCTGATGAATTTCTTCCTTCTATCAGCGGCGCATACCCTCTGGTTCAAGATAGGATTACTTACAGTCTTCATGCTGCGCCAAGCTAAGCTATTGGTCCCAAACTAGAGCCTTCTCTGAAAGTGTCAGCATTTCTAATATGGCGACTGCCACCAAGAAGCTTCAGAAATGAATGGGTGATGCCACCGACACTATGTCTAGCTATTATACAGTCTATGATGGACTTGTGAGGTGTGCTGTCGAATTATGGCGTGCTGACATTAGCAGCCAATTCAGTAAGTTGCAAGCTGTGCTCACCATTCATTTAGAGACCAAGTCCACGTCTTAAACTTGTTGTCATGTTCCTTCACACCACCTTCTTTCTTTGCTCTGTGGTCCAGTTTTGATGCTCATGTGTCCACTGTTGGCACTTTCAGGAGTGGACTGTAGTCATTAATGACACCTCACACCTTTCTATCAGTTGCAGAACTACTTTTTCAGCAGATCTAATAGCTGTTCAGGTACACTGAAACCAACAAGCTGGCTCTTGCTCTTCAAGCACATCAGCAGGCCTCGACCACCAGGACCTTGTTGTTCCTACCTTGGACCACTTTCAGTTTTGGATTTCAGCAGACTAAGATCATCCCACAAGAGCTACAGTTTTGGAGAGGCCCTGACCCTGAAACGTTGACTGACCAACATTCTCAGTATCAACCCAGTCCTGTCCACTGTCTGCACTGATTTGGCAGCCATACTTTCCATCTCCTTCAGTGTTGGCTCTTTTCTTTTGATCAACTACCGCTCAATATCTACCAGCTTCAACTCCAACATTGTAGGCTCAGTCACTGCAGTTTCCTGTGCATAAACAAGTAGAAACTGTAGCGTGCCCCAAAATTGGTGATAGCATAGAAATGACAATGCTGTCTAGAACTTTGGCGAAGTCCTGCAGGGTGATGCAGACACATGATGTTGTGCTTGTGAGGATGTAGACCACTACAGCATAACTATGCTTGGAGTCAATGCAGGACTACAAACCAGGCTTTATACCTGCCCGTCTTTTCTGCCTCCAACACATCAGCATTGAGCAAAAATGGTGTACTTGAAGCTGAACAGAAGCCACTCTTGACGGGTGCCACTGTAAAGACATGATCAATGTTACTCCCTTCATCTGTCTATGGTTATGCTGATCTGTGCATGTTAAGACATTTTTGGATAATTTACCTGCCATGGCATTGCATCCCTCCCTTTGCACGCACCAGCCACCATGAAGAACTGAACAGTTCCACACAGGCTCGTGGCTTTGCTTTCTCAGTGCAAGATTAGTATCCAAGTGTACTGAAAAAAGGGACCAGTATGGAAAGGAAAGGAAACACAGAGGGACTATCCAGATAATCAATCATCCTTGCTTTGCAATGTTTTCAAGTATTTAACTACATGAGCAAGGGTTTAGAGTCTGTTTAACTGTGGTTTACAGCTGAGATTGTATGTTGGGCCAAGAAATTATTATTACTTTGCTTTTATTGTCTCTTAAGCATGAACACAGATGATGCCAAGTGCAACCATTTTTTTCCAAGAAGTTTCTTGCTTGTAGAGTTGAGCCCTGTAAGCATGTGATCCTGACTTTAAATATAGATCACACAAATCCTGTCCCAAACAGGATGATCAAAACCACATGTTGCAGATGGAAAAACAGAGGCTACTCAATGCACTTCAAGTCATCAACTGAATAAACAGTGGCTCGCTTGTGTGTGCTAACCGCCATCAGACAAAGACTCCCACTGGAGGGGGCAAATGTCGGCGTCAAAGTCCAGAGTCTCCATTGCACAATACTCCCCTCAGACGTGGATGCCTTGTCTGGAACATTCCACAAAGTTCTCAGCCTCCCTCCCAGCTGACATGAATGAGTGCATTGACCTCTGAAATAGGACCTCCTCGCTCTCATCTTTGCCACTCACCTACATCCTTCCGTCCATTTTCCAGCAAACGGCACATTGTATGTCACCAAAAACTCTATGGTTTGTTTGTGGAGCCCAATGTGGCAGCATGTGAAGGTGCACTTTAGCCAGCTGTGTCTAGTTACAAAGACAACAGACAGCACTTAAATACCAAAAGCAACACAAAAGGCCAGTGAATTTCAAGAAGAATCCTTATTAGAGGTTTATGTTGCATCAGGCTTCATTTTCAAAGAATATTTCTTTCCATCTGCAGTATTTACTTTGGAGCAGATACTGAATGCTTATGTGAATGAGAGAGATTAAAATAGAAACACGAACATAAGCTAAAGGCTTGTGAAGACACTGCTGTTCAGTAACGATGTAGGCAGGACTCCAATCTTTTTTAAAAACACTGTGAAGATTGCCAATTACTCCATGATTGGGCTAAATATATGCACTTTTCCCATCATCTATTTCATTTTACTCATATTTTTACCTTTGTTTATCCCCCCACTGTGGAAAATAACAGAGAAAGGACAAGCCATGAGAGAAAATTGCTGCCTGTCTTTGAGCATCTTGCTGTCACTCTCTGTTTTTCCAGCTCCATTAAAGGAATAAATGTCATATGGTGCCCAGCGTGCTCCCTATGCTCTGCCCAACTAGACATCAGAAAAACAGATCTCACGTCTGGGACACTGTCCAGGAAGACAGGCCCACATTTGCAAAGACACACACACACACACACACACACACACACACACACACACACACACACACACACACACACACACACACACACACACACACACACACACGCAGGTTTTAACTGCAAGCCTGTGAACAATGCAAACCCATCTGTCTCTGGAGATGTGGCCAAGAAGTGCCAGTCTGATTCAAACGCTGTGATACAGTCAGACAACAACAGTGGTGTCAATCACTTTCTATCCATGTTTTTTTCATCTCAAACACAACCACTTCACTCCACCTAGTGATGAACAGGAACATTAGTGTGTTTGTGTGTGTCTATTTGCATTTCTCAATGTAAGCGTGAGTGACGCTGATATAAAGTAAATGGAAGGGGACTGTGTTTCCAAGGCAACAGTCAGCCCTACAGAGATTTAAGTTGATTGTATGTGCCATGACAAGTCAAAGGGCTCCAAAGTGCTCACTGGCTTTTATGGCTGTACTTGTTTGCATATGTGTAAAAGAAGATAAGACCCACTGTCAAAATAAGCCACACACACCGCAGCTATTCACTTTTAAACCACACACAGCACTCTGTTTATCCTAAAAAGGCTGTTAACACCTGCAAATTGTTGCATTAGATCATGTTTATACTACAAGTACAACTGATGTCAGCAATATGTGTGTTCTTGCAGTATTGGTTTAGATTTTGCTCAGCCTTTTTGTCAGAGCACAAACAGCTTTCCCTGTTTAACTCTATAATGTTCAAACAGTTCTGCAAATGACTCCTCTGATTACTTTGCATTTATCTTTTTTATGCTAGCTTTGTGAACAGTTTGTAAAATAAAGTAATCCTGTCCTTTTTATGCCGGCATTATCTGATAAGTTTAACTTTCATTTGGCTGATAACACTCCCACAAATCTGGGAGTCCTGTGTCATGCTACTTCCTATGAAACTCAAGGCTGTAAAAAATTTAATGGTTCTCTGAATTTAGCACAAAATACAGAAGATGTAGGCAGGACTAAATGTGTTGTACAGTATATTTAAGTTTATGCATGGAATCCTTTTTAGTCACTCATCTTTCAGTTTTTCTGGTCGTATCCAATTGGAAGGAGATGTCAGCGAACAAAAATCTTGAAACCTTAGAACATCAGATGAAATGACTGCTGAAACTGATGACATTAACAATCCATAGGTACAGCCACAAAATATAAAAAATAGTGTTTGAAAAATAATTTGACATGTATTTTAATGTTCTAGTTTGACCCATGTTCTCTTTGTTGTCAAGAGGGAGGTTGAGTTTATAACTTCTGCTGTAGCAAACCAGTAGGGGGAGTCTATGGCATTCAGTTTTTTACAGTTTTTCACAATTGCTAAAATACTAAACCCCATTCTCTAAATCCAATTCTTAGTGGCCTAAACTTATTTTTCAAAATATACAATCCTTAAACATATTCTCACTCACTAAACACATCTCACACTTTGATGCACTTGTGTTGCAAAATTGTAAACACTGACAGCAACATGTAAAAACAACTCCAACACAGCTGTCATCTTTTAAACACAACAACTCAAAATTGATCACACTTGTGCCAGTTCAGAGGGATTTTTTTTTCTTTTTTCGCCATTACGTGGTCAGGGAGAATGTGGCCTGTAATGTGAATGAAGTCCTGTGGCCTGACCCAGCATGAAGACATGATGCTGTGGCTAGATTATTGTAAATACTGTAAGTACTTGGGTTTGAAATTGTAGTTGACACTGTAATGTGCTTCTCATGTATATTTGTTTTTAATTTATTTGTACTGTAAACAGACGCTAAATTCAGAGGATTTCTTTTTTTCAAAATTTATTTAGCCTACTGTGAACAGTAATTTCTACAGCTTCATGTCCTAAGCATTGTGTTTTTCATTTTTTATATGTCATGTGTAAGAACTGCTCAGTAGTGTTTTTCATTTTGATTGACTTGGGGTTTGACGTGACACACTGTTTGGTTTTGAACACAGTGTAAGTGGTTTTGAGGTGATCATTTGATGGTGGAAACATGCCATCCATATTTCATACAGTCAAAAGGCATGGCTTGCTTGCTACAGTTTTATATGGAGAATACTCTACCAGCAAGCTTAGCTAAATAACATCATATTTAAGTTATTTTTTTCTGGCAAGATTTTAGGACTTCCAGGATGGAACCCAGGATTGTACTAAAGCTAACATGTCCCGTGCCTTTCTTCTTCGTACCAACTGTTTTCCTGGATACAGCTGACAACCAATGAATGTAAAAGAATGATGCTACAATTACAAATACAACAATCAATAGAGCCTTTCCAACACCACACGCAGAGTGACTTGCCAGCAGATTCTGTATTGATATGAAGATTAAGATATTAAAGGAAGATGTGGTGCAAGCATGCGAGTTGTCTCTCATTCTGCACAGATTTCACAGAATTTTGTCAGAAAATGACAAATGACAAAATGACAATACACACGCGAAAGCATGTGTATTGTGGGAAAATTCAAAGCCACAGTGTAGAATAATTTACAGGGGTCAATTCAACCGTGCCACAGTATGATACACACTGGAGGGATTTTCATCTGCACACTCACTCATCGAGTTGCTCTTACAGTTGATGCAAAGCAAATGTGGGTTTGTTAGACTTCTCCTGCAAAAGAAAAAAACAGCACAGAGAAGAGAACATTTTCTTCATCTTCTATCTGCACCATCTGTGCCTTACACTCCTATTTTCTTTTCTTTTCTACTCACATACAGATATAAAAGCTTTACTTCCACCCCTTCTCATATGTCTCCTCTCTCCTCCGCAGACTTCTCCTTCTGTCACAGCATCACTCTGCCTTTGAGACTGAGGCTAAACTCCTCTGAGATTACTGCCTTTATTTAAAAAAAAAAAAAAAATCAGCGTAATCATACTCTTTGATTTTGTTATACCTCCCTGTCTTTCACTCTAGACTGGCACTGAGCTGGGATTGGCCATTGAGATGGGCCTGTTATAGGATAGATGACACTGCAGGAAGTGGAGACAGCTGGGTCTGGTCTGGCAGTCATCATCTCTGTATCTCACAGATAAGTTAGAACAATAAAGTTTTATAGATCAAATTTTTCTGAGATCACCCTGAATGAAAGTGAAGTTATTATTTCAGCATCAAATTTCAAGATAAACCTGGAACTACATGGTTTTGCATTGTTTCTGGGGCTTTAAAACCCAATAGGACACCACTAACAAGCATAAAAAAATTACTAAAAACAGTGTTGATTAGCATTGACCATTTTTCTATTTGTATACATTGTACATCATGATTTTTTATTAACCCATTGATTTCAAGATATTAAAACCCAAAAGTTTTGCATATGTAGCCAGGCTTATATCATAGTTGACCTAACAATCTGTCCAAGATTTAACATTAGCATTGCAGCAGTGATGATAATGGTGAGGTTGACATTGAGAGTTGGAGCAGCTAGTCTGGCAGGTCCACACTATTAGGCATCTGCAGCAATAATCCTAAAAAACCTTTAAGACAGGGTAGTCCAGGTGCTTATAGAAAGGGTGGTTTGTGGCTTTATTGTGGCTTTAAGTTTGTGAAGTGCACACAAGTAGAGGGTGGACATTACCTAGACTATGTCCAGGAGTTATGACAGTTGTTTATTTCTCAGCACCATTACCACCCACAACCCACACGTGAACCCTCACAGGTGCCGCACAACAGACCGAACCCATCAAGTAGAGGATCAATTGGCCGAAAATGTCCAACACAAAGGAGTGGGCAAACTTTGATGATGACCTGGACAGAGTGCTTGAAGCAACGCCAGCTGGAACTGCAGAGCGGAAGGCAAATTCTCTCACTGAGATCACGTACAACCTAGGGAAAGAACGGTTTGGAGCAATTGAGTGAAAGGTCAATACCAAGGCAACAAAACAACCAAACAGGTGAGAGAGGGAGATCCATAACCTGTGGAAAGAGATCAAGAGCCTTGATAGGAGGTACAAATCAAGCAGCCCTGAGGAGAAAGAAGGGTTAAAAGAGCTCACAAGTAGTCTTCTGGAGCGCCTCACCAGACTAAGAAGGGCAGAAAGAACAAGAAAAATGAGCAAGGAAAAGGAGGGCCCAGTTCATCAAAGATCCCTATAACTTCACCAGGATCTTACTGGGAGAAGCAAAATCTGGGGTCTGAACACCCCAAAGGTGATGTGGAGGTTTATTTTAGGGAGACGCATAGTGACCCTTAGAACAAACTACCCCTTTGGAAAATTTCAGAAATTGGCAGAGTAGAACCACCCACTATCATGCTCGATACCAATGAACCAACTTGGACGTACAGAAAGTGGTTAAAAAGGCAAGAGCTGCTTCAGCCCCAGGTCCCAGTGGTATACCACACAAAGTGTATAAAAAAAGCCCAAAGCTCCTCCGGCAGTTATGAAAGCTGTTGAGGAATACAGGCTGGCAAAGTGCAGGGTTGCCATGACTTTTAGGGACTCGAGAGACAGCAAGGTCCAGGAAGCGGGAGTAAAAAATAGATCAGGACGAAGTGGGAGGCTTCTACAGCACTGGCCTAAGCAGAAGGCAATATCAAGCTCAGAGACATTATTGGGGCACCCTGCACAGGCAGGCAAGGGGATGACCCACTTTCAAAAGTGGGGAACTAAAGTGGAGAACAGCCAATCCAAGGGAGAGGGAGCCATGGTCCAGGATGAAATAAGAAACCGAGAGGAAGAGCTAAGGAAGATGAGAGCAGTGGAGCTAGGATCCCAGGGAGCCTGGACAAGGTGAAGCCTCCCAAAGAGGAAGCTGACATGGGCAAACCTGAGGAGGCTTGAGCTATTCCAGATCTCTTTCTTGCTGAGGGCTATATACGACACCCTTCCAACCCCGGTGATCTTGCACAGATGGGGTATGAGAGACAACCTGATGTGCAAGCTCTGTGGGAAATATGGGACCATGGCACACATCTTATCAGGATATAACATTGCTCTATCCCAAGGCAGATACAGGTGGCGCCATGATAAAGTGTTAACTGTGCTCGCCGACATCTGACCCCCAATTTTCACTGCATCCAGAATGGCTGTGAAAAGGCCGTATCAGCTGATCACAGATGATCATAACTATTCAAGCTAATGTGTCAATTTCCACCGGCTTCTTTCCGGCTGACCACCACTGCTGGCCCGCCAGCAGGAGGGTGTTATGGTTAAGGGTCGAAACACCCAGTGAATGCTGGTAACCATCTGACAACACAACCTCCTGGCTAAAAGCTGCAGTCATTACATAATGACTGAGAGAAAGCATTGCAAGATGTTGTGTAAACACAGCAAGGTGGACAAGGCTTGACATCTATATGCAGCCACGCTGTCAGAGATCTTTCATTTTTCTCTGACCTGCATTAACACAGACCTCTGATGCACATGTCTCTGATACTGTCTCTGGCCTTGGTTTTCCAACAGCTAGAAACCAGAGGGAAATAAATGTGAATCCACCCCCTGATGTTCAATTAAACCATCACTTCCTTATGTACTCGCTCGTCCATCCCATGTCTTGACCTTTATTTGACACTGCTGTTTTCATCCAAGCTGAAAATGCAGCCCTTTTCTGACCTTAAGATGCTCCACAGAGTTAAAAAAAAAACCCACACATGGTTGAACTTCAAGCTTTGACCTCTTGTCCACACCACTCGGTGCTGTTTTTTAGAGGCACCTTGAGTCTTTATGCCTCTTTAGATGCTCTGACAACACTGTCATCGATCACCATGAACTGACTCTGTTGATTCCTGGAGTAAATGCGTAAACCCCAGCTGAGTTTAAGTCCAACTCTTTAACCAATATATCACTAAAGTGTTATTGATGTAGCTCCCTAAACATGAAGAGTGAAAACACTGCAGTGAGTGTACACACACCTTTTTCTAGGATTGCTGCAGTGAAGAATGTCTGATTTCAGAGCACCTTTTTGAAAATGTAATTCATGTTGCATGAGGCTTTTCTTTATTTGAAGCAACATATTACACATGTGCGCAGCAGCTCAGACTCTCGTCTTTTGTGTCCTTTGGCCAGGGCCCCAGACGATCCTAGTGATAGGTCTATACCCCTCAGGATGGTGCTAGTAAATGCCCAATCCATTTCAAATTAAACTTTTATTCTGAATGATTTATTAACGTCTAAATGCTTGGATTTTTAATTCCTGACTGAGACTTGGCAAAGGAGAATGGAGAACGGCCCCCTGATCAAAATGTGCCCACCTGAGTGTTCTTTTATCAGCACTCCCAGAACCTCAGGATGTGGTGGAGGTCTCACGGTCATCTTCAGGAACTGCTTCAATAATTGGACAGTTGGTACTGGGACTTTTTGATAATTTGAAGTGCAGATGACCAAGGTCAGTTGTTCAAATCCATTTTGTTGTGTTTTAATATACAGACAGTCTGGTTTTAGTAGCTCCTTTAAGTCTGATTTTAATGAGTTCTCATCTTCTATCATTAAGTTGGACAAAGTCCTTATGGTTGGAGATTTTAATATCCATGTCTCCTGTAGATTTGCAGCTGGCTTTATAACTCTCACTGAATCTTTTAATTTTGTTCAACATGTGTCCTGTCCTACTCACATTAAGGTCATACCCTGGATCTTGTTTTTACTCTGGGTTTGAATATTGACTCTGTTTGCTCAGAGGAACTGCTTTTTACTGACCATGATTGTATTACATTTAATTTGTCATCTGTTGTAGATTCTCTGCCCCTGTTAGCGTTTGGTCTGTTCTCGCGTCTTACTTGTTGTGGCTCCAACACTGTGGAACAATTTACCTGCTGATATTCCTTCAGCTGTTTCCATTGTCACTTTTAAAAAGCTTTTAAAGACTCACTTATTTAAACAGGCCTATTCCTCCCCCAGTTTTAACTAATGCTCTATTTATGCCATTGTTTTTTGTTTGTTTGTTTGTTTGTTTGTTTTTGTTGTTGTTGTTCTTTGATTTTACTTGATGTTTGATTGTATTTGTATGCAACTTTATCTCAGTCTTCTTGATTAAAATGCCTCCATACCAAGCCGTGCTACAAGATGCCACATGTCACCTGTGATCTGTATACATCTGTAGCACCCATTAACTAGAACATTTGGCTGGGGCTGTTAGTTCATAAAAAAGTTCAACATACAGCACTTGTATGAAGGTACAGTGGTGTACTTGATTAAAATAACCAACAATAGCTGTACCCCAAGGGCGTTGAATCCTTCCTTGGGCACAAGCTACTTAGAATTAGTCTTTCCTGGCTTGTGTAAACCACTACGGCTGAAATGAAATAAGACATGAGGCAAGACAGTATATCATATTTGTCCCAGTTGCTGTTCCCTCTCCTATCCTTGCATCACAAAGCTTTAGCCCTGTCAGTCCTGGCTAGCTGGCTAACTAGCTCATGTCAAGTCACCTCACTTAACCCATAACCCCAAAATAATTTTTAATCTTTCATGTCTGTTTTGCTCATGATATTTGTTTTTTAAGCTAGTAGACTGAGCTGAAAACCAAAGTATTACATTCTTACAACGTAAAGTGGATTCTTTGGCTTACTGAATTTAGACTTTAGACTTACCCTAGATGTCCAACTTCCTCTCTTCTACCTTTATCATCCTGGCAGACACTTGTTTCTTGTTTTATCCAGTCATCTCTTGTTCATCCAGCCATCCTCTCCTCACTGGGGGATTACTAATGCTTGGCCTGGCTGCTCACACCTAGCTCACACCAAGCTGTGAGGCACACATCCTTGAACACACCCGACTCCATCAGTTCATGCAGACTGTGCAGAAACATCCACATAAGTGAGCAAAAAGGTAGGCAAGGGGAATGTCAAAAACATGTCCTTGTAACAGGTATTCCTTGAGGAGTCATCTCTATTATGAAAGCATACTTTTGAAATATGTGGGTACTTCAAAGAAGCTACCAAACACTGTTAACTTCTGTTGCCCTCAGAGGTGAGACTTTAACACTTGAACCAGCACTATTTTCTCTTATGCTCGCCATTCTGCCATTTCACTCCTTTCACTTTTTATCAATATTTAAGTTGCAATTTCAACTCTTTTTTTGAGCTTTTACCTTTTTTGAACACTTTAGCTGCAGATTTTCAGCAACTAGGAATTTCCCTGAAAGATTCTTCCCCCTATCATTGTGTTAAATCAGTATTTCGAATTTTCCATCCTTTCACTCATGTCAAGGCAAATACCTGAAATGCTCCTGCTGAGGATGTAATTATTGCTAATGTGATGGGATGAAGGTCTGCACAGCTGAGGCTCCACAGCTCTGGGTGATGTTCTGTGTGTGTTTGTTATTAACACTGCTTACCTCTGCTGTCCCTGAGGTGCTGATGACTTGTTGTTGCTTGACTGAACACGAGGCTTTACACTCATCTCAACACTGCAAAATGACGATTCAGCGGTTAGCCAGAGCTCATGGGCATGTAAAATTGTAGGTACATGTCTATTTTGGATCTCAATTTTTTTCCCTGTAAAAATCACGCTGCTGGATAAAAATCTGTTTTTGCAAATTTCCTTAAAAGTTGTAAAACTGTAATGGTGTTCTTACTTTGCACATGCATGGACTTTCTCCTTTTCCTCCTAGCATACATGCCTCTCACTCTTCCCTCCCTGTGCCTACCACAGCCAACTTCATACTCTACTATGTGAGTGCAATGTCCCAGAAATCTGCCCCTGATCAGGAGTCCTGTCCCAACCTGTACCAGGCTGATGTATGGGGCATGCTTGCTGAGCTTTGCAGGGAAATGAAGTGAAAAGGGCAGAGAGTACAGGGAACTGTGGGAGCCAGAGGAGGCCTTGGGTTTCAAAAAAGCTAGATTTGATTCCTTCTTAATTTGTCTGTGTAAAATTATCTTGGCTTAGTACTGATTTACTGGAGGGAAGCTGATTGAGATTGATCTTTGTATTCTCACTGGCCTTTGCAAGAGAATTTTCTGCTACAAAATCTGAATTATTAAAGTTTTATGGAGGAACTGATCTACTAAGAGTTCCCCTGGAGACTTGGCCGGAGAGAGAAATCAGAAGTTAGACATCACATCAAATATCAAATATGATTTTTTTTTGTCTTTTGATCAGAGTACAGAATGAGTGTAACTTATCTGATGATAGTTTGATCAAGATAATATTCATCATGGTGATGCTGGGAAGTGTAAATTTCTCATTTCTTTGATCCAAAATTATATTTCCTAAATGTCTGTTCTCTTCAGAGTAATTACTATTTTCATATGATCAGATTTGATGGTCCGTATGAAAAGATCAGGTTTTTTTCTGTTAGTTATATACCACCATCACACTTGTATCCGTTGTGATTTGGACTTTTGTTTGGGGTAAAAATTACCAGTTTGGCTGCAATGGCAAGCATCCTTTTTGCTAACAAGATAATGACTTCCGCATGCAACCATTTCTTCTCAAAATGCATTTATTTACACACAAGATGCTACGTGATAATAACTTTATTAATTGGGAATTTTCTTTCATCTTCTCCATTCATTAGCATCTAGTTTTTGATACTTGACCAATTAATGCATCACTTTCCTCTTGCTTAAACTTCAATCTTCTATCTGAGTCATATGATAGGAAAGTGTGGGAAACAAGAGCTGTAGAAACCCACATGTGCACATCAATCACCCTGTTTGTCCTACAGGGTAATTACATTGATCACGCATCACTGCTGCAATAATTTCAAACTCACTGAGGTGAGAAAGAGGCAGAAGGAGAAAAAGGAAAGCTAAGGCCAAAGAGGGAATAAAGGAAAGGGAATCAAGAGAATAGAGATATGAATGAAATCAAGAGAGGAGGAGAGGAGCTGAGGCACGACAGGCATTCAGATGTTTTGACATGCAGTGAATCGATTAAAGGCTGAGTGTTGTGCAGATCCAGCTTAGCAGCTGTTAAAAGGGACAGCTGATTCTCTGAGCTGGCAGGTTCAGGATCAGCATCATTGGAGGGGGAAATGACACACATGGTGCTGCCATAGATAATGTATTAGCTGAGGGTAGTGTGTGCTTAAGTGTGTATTTGAGTGCAAATGTTTGTTTGCACTTGTGTATTAAAGAAAAAAAAAAGTAAAAGAGAGCCTGCCACTTATCTGTGTAATCTGTGCCCATGTGTTCATGTATGTCAGCAGGAGTTTACGTAAAGGTGTCCCTCTAAACATATGCATGTTTTTAAAAGTTAAATATCTGTTCAAACCACATCACACCAACGGCCATGCTGGGTCTTCCTTAAAATGCTTTCCGGCTTTGAACAAATGGAGTTGATTGTATTTACAATATCAAAAAGATGAACACAAGTGTTACTCAAGCCAGTGGTGGGAAAAAGTTGATTTATTGAGGGTCAAACAACGAGCAGCTGCTTTGGCTCCACCATGTGATTTTTTTTTTTTTCATTCTTGTCAAAGAAAAGATGATTTTGATCATCCCTGGAGAAGTAATTTATCACGTGACTTGTAAAATAAGAGTCTGCTGACAGTTGCTCAAAGCTCCTGTGAGGAACTTTCAGTCTGTGCCAACTATGGTAGCCCCTCTGGACTAAGTAGTCTTTGTTTAACTTGTCCTCTGCAGCCCTAGGTAGTGTCACCTGACACAAAAATCTCTTCCTGTTGACTTTTGGCAGTCAAATCTAGCAGTTGTTGTGAATATTTTTGTAGAAATTGTAAAAACAGGGTCATTTCTTTAGCTGCTGTCACTGGGCAGCTGAACAGCTAAAGAAATGACTGGTGTAAGGGGTGTAATACTTGTGCATGGGGTGTTATTCCACTTACACCAGTTTCGGGTTTTAATATTACTAGTATAAAAAACTGTCAGTCTTGGTGCTGATGGTCTGGTTTTCTTTTATACATCATAAAAAGGCATCAATATGAATTTCAGTAGAGTTCTTAAACATAAAAAAACTCCTCACTGGAGCTTTAATTGATCTAGAAAACACACATTTGCTGCAACATTGGCACTTTTAGGGGATAATCCATAGTTATAAGTCCCGCTGCTATTCCTCTACACTAGCACTTATGGAATGGCTCTTGTCTAATCACATTTCTTGTTTAGAACTAACGTGAAGTCATATGAATCATTCTTTACATAATCTTCAATGAGAAAAAACAAAACCCAAAGTTCTAAGTAAAAACACACAATCCACTGTTGTCTGACACAAAATCTGTTGTGTCTGTATCATAGACTGTATAAAGAATGGACAGAGTCTGCCTCCTTGCTGGGTGAAGCCACCTCCAAGAACAGCACCCTCTGTTGATAGGCTGCAGTATAGGTCATAAATCCTGCCTCCACCAGCAAAGCTTTTGGAGCTGTGGACAAACTTTAAAAATGTATTACACAGAACATAATTTTTTCTCCCCCCTGCTTGTGGTGTTGACAAGTAGTTACAGCAAGACTGGTTTGTGCTCAAGTCCTCTTTTTTCTGTGAAGCTCCGTTTTTAAAAGTTATTAGGGGGTTCATGATTTCTATGATTGACACCTGATACAGTCTATGGGCGTTCAGGGATTGCATAGCTCTCCCAGGGGATACGCTGTTTGAGCCGAGCGTCATCACAGCGACGCTCGGCAACTGTGCACCTGAATGCGCGCATCGCTACTGCACAGCGCTGGTTTCGGGAAATGAAGAAAAATCCCGGAAATACCGAGAGCTATTTGGCTTCAAATCCGTACACAGGCGGGAGGCGGAACCAAGTTGTCCAAAGTATATACAGTCTATGGTCTGTATTCAAATAGCTTAAATGCAGTGCATAGCCGTGAGTGAGGCGTGACATGAAACATGGGAAGGATTACTTATTTTCCCAAACAGAGCTGTGCCCTGCACAGATTGTTCACCAGCTGTATCCTGCATATTAAACAAACCTAAACATGATATCATGAGCTGAGCTAAAAGTCATCTGTAAGTAACTATGGGCTGTCTGAAATAAATGCTTATGTCTCCAACCCACCATGGAGATGAGAGCTGTTATGGCATCAATGAAGGGTGATTTATACCAGAGCTTTATAACTCTTGACAATGGTGTTTGACACATGAACTGATCGTACAACCAAAAAATTCATCAGCTCTGTCCTTCTTTTTCTCTGCCCCTCTCTCCTTTCATTCTCCCTCTGCCTCGCCTCTAATCATAAACAGACGCATTCCTGTAGAAGTGAAGCAGCTGTAAAGCAGAGCTTTGCCAGGATTCAGGAATGTGTTCAAACAGCAGCACAGAGCTGCAGCTCCAGCCAGCTGATGGTGGAGTCTAAGCTCAAATTTTTCTACACTAACACACAGCTGGACTCTTTACAGTGAATTGAATTATCTGCTTTTGGCACTGCAGACTGTCTAAAACTGACATGAAGCCCCCATTTCACTAAAATAAGACCAGAATGGAACTCAAGCACTTTGTCACTAACAGGTGAGAAAAAAATCTTCTGCTGAGTACACTGTGACCCAGATCATTCCATCAGTAGCTGTACACAAGTGGGTTATAAAAACCTGCAAGAATACAGCTCCATTTGTTGATGTCCTTGTACTACCTTAAGTGGCCTACTTTGATATTGGTTGACTGTCAATGTTCATGTTCTTTTCACCATTAATGATCACTTCTGTGCTCTTGTGTGTATGTGTCTTACTTCAGGCTCCTCGCTGGCACATAGACCTGGAGCCCTGGGCTAGTGAGAGTCATTCTCTGGAGGATGAAGCCAAAAGGTTCCTCAACTACATCACAACACCACAAGTGAGTTGTCCTTGACTTATTTTTGTTAAAACTTCTGTTGTATGGGCTATCATCAATGAATGGATTTCCACTGTAATCCAATGTCAGAGATAAGTGCCCTCTTGTGCAATATGGGAAAAGTGCAATATACATTGCTTTTTTGCTTTTGTGGGTAATTGTTAGGTACTAACATTGTTTTATTCATTCATGTTATTTGTTGGTTCTGTTATTGAAGCAGTTAAGCATTGGAGGCCCTGACAAATTTTCCCAAGATAGCTTTTGGAGTTAGGTTAGGTTAGGTTAGGTTAGGTTAGGTTGAATTTATTGTCCTTGTGAGGAAATTCATTTGCAGTGAGTTGAAAAAAACATATACAAAAACAACAGCCATACACAAATTCTTACACTGTCCAACATAAAAACAAAACAACTCAGGAAAGACAATACAGGAAATACAATATAAAAATACAACTGTACTGTACTTTTTACAAATAAAAAATCATATCATATTATTCTGTATTGTATCGTATCAAATTTAAACACACTTGTTGTATCAAACTGTATCATATTACATCAAATCATTCTGTATCACATTATATTCTATCCTATCATATTGTAATTTATTGTATTGTATTTTAATGTATCTTTCCATATTATTTGGTTTTGTATCATATTGTGTCCTATAGAATTAATTAATATTTTGTATTGTAAAATTTTACGTCACTATGATACTACAATGATTCAATAATATAGACACAATTAGGTTTGTAGGGTCATACTAACAGGGGCCATGATTTGAGTAAGGTACATAAAACTTGTACTTTTTGACAATGAGTACTTTAGGATGTTAATTTTCAAGTATTTCAGGTGTTGTTCAGATTCATTTATGGCACTAGACTACAAAAATATAATCACATATTTTATCAATGACAGCAGTTTCCAACGTCAAAATAAAAGCAAACTTTAAACACAAATCTAAAAGTGTATCGCATGTATCCGCAGTATCACATATCCAGCTGTTGCATGGTTGTTTGCCAAAAGCAGTGATACACTTGCAGAATTTCAGGTATACTTCAGGTATACACTTCAGAGCAACCACTGTTTTAGTTTTAAGAGTCACCTTGTTGATAGGCCACTTTTAGCCATAATTCTGAAATGCCATTTGAAATTTTATAGCACTTACAATATTGCACTTGACAGTACATATACCAGGAGTGTATTTGTAAAATTAAAATTGCAGACTTTCAGGGTTGCCGTTTGCTGAATTTCAAAAGGCATGTGTAAAGAATTCTCAAATATTGGTTTATCATTTTTTATGATATACTTTTGTGTACAAAATATGCACAGGACACAAAGTATGAACCAGGAAACAATGGAGTTATGTGTATGTTTATTCAGAGAGTATGGCTAGCAGTTTTCCCCTGCTGTTGTTTTTCACACTTTGCTAGGCTTATGAGGTTCTGGCACTAGCTCCATGGTGTACGTATATTGAGAAATAAGGGTGGTCCCTATCTTTTGAACTTAATTCCAGCTTCAGTGAAATAAGCTTTATGTGTTTTACAAAGAATACTAAATACCAAAGTACAACAAATTAGAAGAGTAAACTTGGCAGAATGGATTTGTGAAACAAAAGCATAGTTACAACAGTATTAAGAGTATGAAAAAGAAAGGAGCATTGTTAATTTCTGGCTTGTGCAATGTATTAGATTGTTAAGTTTATATTAAGAAAATGTGACCAGTCTTTACAGGGCACAAAAAAATTCACAATAGCTACTTAATGGTGGCATACAAGGGCCCAGTTTGTTAGTTTTTCTTCTTTTTCCTGTTAATAATGAGAGTTTTGTTGTGTTTTAAATCTGTAACATTGGCTGTATTAATGCTTGCCCATGTTTTCTGCATCTTAAAATGTATTATAACTTAACATTGAGACCAGAAATGTGTAGCTTTAAGTCTGTGACTTAAAGACAGCTGACTGAAGCTGCTGTCAGAGCACTGAGTTATTCTGGATGATCTTTGTTCTGTATATTGGACAAGCTGGTCTCCATTGGAGCATGACTGGGCTACATCGCCTCTCTTTCACTTCCAGCTCAGCCAGAGAGCGCTTGTCATGCTCGGCAGCAAGCACATAATTTATCACTCTAATGATTACCATACAGATTGAACTCCCAGTCTTTCTATTCATATTAAATCAATGAGATGTTTTGGTTTGTTTGTTGGTTTATGTCTGGCTCAGATTACCACAAATTGATTATGATGTTCAGAATCAAAACTTGAGAAATAAAGGGATTTAGAAATGTTTGTAATTATAGATCCTTTTTGAGGGATGCACAAAGAGCACACTTCATTTTTACTGCCTGAATCTCAGAGGGACAATTTTTGTGAATGTGGTACAGTTTTTATAATGACGAATTGGCTTGTGGATAAATCAGCAACTTATCTTCCCCCCTCATTATAGCAAGAACACAGAGTGCTACACTCCAAGTGACTAAGCACTTGTTCTGTATCTTTCACAAAGCAGACAGTCAGCTTATAATGAATTAGCCTCAGGATGTGTGTTTGTGTGGGTGGGTGTGTGTGTGCATGCATGTAAAGCGGCATGTGTGTGTTTGTGAGACCGGAAGAGGCAAGGACAATAACAGAGAAAAGGGGATTCTGTAAAGCTGTGTGTGTGTGTATTTGTGAAGGGATGTTGACGGGAACTGTCCGTCATACACAGTGACAGCAGAGGGTGGAGGCAGTTGGAGGGCGCACAGCAGTATCTTCAGCTGTAATGCTGACTGACACAGTGCCTGGTGGAGCTGTTACTCAGAGAGATGGCCCGCGACACAACCGTCCAATCAATAGGAGTCAGTGTTGCTTGTATGCATGCCTGCACCAGTGCACACACACATACAATAAAGAGGTTTTCTTTCAAAATAAAAGCCCATAAAATACATCAAGGGATCATTTGTCCTAATTAGCTTCACAGCACTGAGAAGTTATTGTAAAATCCATTAAAAAGAGTGCCCAGGCAACTTAGGGCAATTTTTGTGTTCTCAGTCAGCAGTTCAGTGTCATTGTTAAGTCTGCAAATAGGGCGAGCATGGCAATCATGATAAAATTAGCATTGAATTGCACACTTTTCATTGTGTGCTGAGAAATACTTCAAGATTTAAGCAATCAGCTAGACCAGGAAGACTAGCTGATTGCTATGGCTTCAGCTAATGGGTATCCTTAACAAACAAATAAACAAATTTAAGCTGTTTATAACGTCTGGCACAATGGATCATGCCCCACAGCTGTTGTGCCTGTGCATCCTGAAAAAAGCTTGCTCTTCTTAAGTTTTATTCTGACTCTCTATGGTGCCGCTGCTCATGACTCAGGTACTCTCCTGTCTGACCTGTCAGTGGAAGCTCTTATCAGAGAGAGAGGTTCATTCCCTGCTCTGAGAATCACCACCTTATTGTGGTAGAGGGGGTGGTGCATCACAGTGACACTGACAGCTGTGCTGTCAGAAGAGAAAAACGCCTGGTTAGGTTTTAAAAGTCAAATTGGCCTCAGAAAAGGGGATAAGCCTCTTTGGAGGAAAAAGATGGGTGACTAGTTTCCTCCTCCTGAAAGTAATGAAGCCAAAATACCCCCTGCAGGGGACATCAACATATCCCACATGACAATAGCAAAGCCCCAACAAATGTTCTCAGGTTACCCAGTAGGCCAGTAATCTGGAAGTATAACCCTTGGAGTCTGGTGCTGTACCAAACCCACTGTCCCCTTTTTTCAGAGAGGCCCAGTGTCAAAGGCACACTGTGTTTCTGGGTATGATCATGAGCTGAGTACTCTTGATCTGCAGAAACCAGAAATGGGGACTCAATTTCCAGACTTGGACTCTAGTTGCACTTAATTTGCACACTAGCATGACTTCAGACCTGACTTGGGCTCAACTGACTTGAGACTGAAGGTTGAACTGCCATGTCATAGATGGGACACAGTGTTTTATCTGAATTGCATATTTGTTTTTAAAAAACCTCCTTTCCACTCTGCAATGACAGTATAGATTTTTTGAGCACACATAAAACTTCTACCTGCTCCTTGCTTTCATCACCTTTCTTTCATTCCCCTCTTTTTTCACCCTTCTGTGAAGAGACTTGGCCTTGCTTGCTGATGAATTGGGCACAGCTGCACATAACGATAAATCAAAATGTAGCACTGACGCAAAAGCACACTGATTAGTAACATTTGCATTTTAACATTTAGAAAGGAGGATGTTAGTCATAACAGCTTATGTGTTCTGTTTGTATGACCTGGATGCTTCACTATATGCTGAGTGTTATCGTAGTCTTACAGATTCTTCCACTGACTGAGTAATATTTAGATTCTACATGTTACTTTGATCTGTCCCTTTGGTTTAATGCAAGATTTGAGTAGCTCTCAAGATTTTTTAGGGTTTTTAATGTGGAAAGTAAATAAAGTGAGTCCTCTGGTGAAAATATGCCATATGTGGTGTATCATCAGGAGGATTCATGTGTAGATGATAACAGGCAGCTGTGCAGTATTGGTAGTCTTGAGTAGACAGGAAGGTAAACTGGTATGACACATCGATGTATCTTATAAGTACCACAAAGACTAGATGGGAAAGTCTGAGGATTTCTGTCATCTGACATCAGTCAATTATTCCCATGCCTCCTTTTGGGTGGGATTTTAGTTAAGTTTATGATACAAGACTCCCAGTTGAAGCCACTTACGTGAGATACATTCACCTTCTCTGTAACACAATTACACTTTAAAAATGTTCATTAGTTTTTATTTCATTTTGGTTTTGCCTTTTCAATCCATTGAGCTTTGATTAGTTTTTAAGGCAGATTTTTAGTTCAGTTTAATTTGGTTTGTGTTCTCTGAAAATGAAAATTTTAATTTAACTTTTGTTAGTTTTTTGACAATTTCACTTTTTTTGTAACATGGGTTACCTGTAAGGGGCAAGAGACCCCCCCCCCCCCCCCCCCACACACACACACAAAAAAAAAGAACATTGTATTGAAATACTCAAACATTTTATTTGTCTGTTTGCTTTGTCACAGACAAGATATCAGTGTGTCAGAATTAACAATATCACTCGTATTGCAATACAGATACAATAATAAATGTTATTTATCAGTGTGTAGTGTCACATACTTCAGGCCACCCCAGAAGAGTCAGTGCCCAGCCAAACAGATTTGGACACACCCCTGCTTGTTAGTGCATACCTTCCCATAGTAGTTGTAGAGTATTTTAGCAACAGATGGATCCATGCTTAACAGTGAGTTCTGTATGTAGATTAGAGGGGACTACAGTAAGAGACAGAGACTCTATGTGCAGGTAAAAGTTCAACTACTTAAGGATCTCCTGAATGTCCATGTAGAGAGCTGTTCTCTCTTTACTTAAATCAGTGGGCTCTATTTCCGTCCGTTGCCGGAGACGTGGCGCAGGCGCGGCATAATCAGGTCTGCCGCGCCGACAAGGCATTCCCAAGCACAATTTGGTATTGTGGTAAGCTGCACAGCCCGGCGTAAGTATCCCCCCTCCCTAACTCAGCTCCTCCTGGCGGCGTAAGTCGTAGTGAGGGAGGAGAGAGGGCGTGGATTGTTTTAGTTTTCTATGATTTCATTGGTTTTCATTAATGATAAAAACCTTGCTCTGCTGTCATTGCCTGGATTGCAGGAAAAGATGTTGCACAGTTTTTCCTTTATTTGGTGTCCTCAGTCTGCAATCACCTCCTGTTAACTGTCATTATTTCCCTTCTCTCTTGACCAGCCTGGAACAATGTTTTTGCCAAATTGTTTTCTGATACATAATGCTAACAGGAAGTTATATTTTTGCCTTGGCGTCAACAGGTAGAGGTGGAATGACTTTATTTGGCATTTGTAAGCAGGTTCTTTCCAGCGTTACTTCGGTTGATGAGAACTTATCACAGGATTTTGGATCAATAAGATTTATCTATTTAGAACAGCGTAGTAATGTGTCAGAAAGCTGAGTAATTAAATGTGGTTATGTTTTTGTGTGTCCAGGTGTCATGTGCATCACTAGCGAAAGGTGACATCACGCAGGAGGGGACCGAAGGAGCCTGGGCTGCGTGTTTGGACCCAAAATACAGCCTGACCCACAGGATCCACAGCAAACACTGCAGGGTTTACTCCTTTGGGTAGGTTTTTACAAACACTCAATCTTAGACGTAATCAGTTCAACAAAAGAATACAGTCTGCACACTATTCAAGACAAGCTGTCATGTTGAGCATCTGTCAGGCAGTGGAATTGTTCACCACATTAATTTTCAAACAGTCAGTGAGTCTTCTTGTACAGATGGTTTTAGAGCAGCTGCTGCTGTGACAGGCTGTGATACATTGAGTTATAATTGCTCCTGTTGTTGCTTCACAAATGACATTTTAGATTCTCTCTGAGATGCAGAATTATTTTTTTCTCTCTCACTATCTTATCTTAGAACAAAGACAATTCTTCATCTCTCAATTCCCTGTTAGCCTATGCTTTTTGTGCCTGATGACTTAAATCTCAAAGAGCTTAAATCAATTCAGGATGGTCCTTTTGTGACGAGTTGAGCTTTTTTCTTTTTGTGTGCTAATCCAGAGTAGTGGTTTTTGATCTGAGAGTAACTCTGGTACTTGAGGAAGAATAGTCTTTTTGCTCTAACTCTACATCCCAGATCCACCTAAAAAGTCACATCAACTCTACTTCTACTTCCTCACCTTGAGTGGCACGTAATCTGGAATAAAGTCAGCCAGGCCACCAAGGTGTTTAACCTTCTTAAGATTGGAGAGTCAATCACTCCCAGTTGGCTTTGTGTCCTGGATCAGCTTGGCCCTGTTTCTGCTCCCGCTGGGTCTCAGCGCAGCAGAGAGGGGATTTCTCAGCAGGAAAGATGAAGTTTATTAATCTGACTGTTGAGAGACAGCCCAGGTGCCCTGGCATCAAGTTAGGCTGTGGTGTAGATACTGAGACAGGAGAGAAAAGAGGAGGAGGTTGCTGCCATTTCTGGCATCCTGCATCTCCACAGAGGGAAAAGGGGTCAAAGGGAGAGACCAGAGAGAGGAATATCTGATATCCCCGGGCTGAGTGATGGGAAGTCACCCAAGCAGAAGGGCTACATGGTTATGCACTGACAGTAAAAGGAACATTCAAATGCTTCCTTTTGTCTGATTTATGCAAACATTTTGACTTTTGACCTGAATATCCGCAAGGGGGTGAATGTGTCTCCCAGATCTGATCATTCAAGTCAAAGAAAGCTACATTATCATTTCTCATCTGTGTTCCTGATCCCTTTAGACTTTTCAAAATGAATTCAATTTAAGCTAGTTAATGCAATAACAGTGAGTCCATGTTATAAAAGATATTCTGTGAAAATCAGATGCTAATAAGAAATAAAAGAGCACAGTGTTGCAGTTAAGCAAAACTAACTGCTCTCTGAAGTTCTCATTTTTGGTATATGCTAAGTGGAATTCTCCTCCTGGTGTCCCCTATCTGACCCAGATTCTAACCCAAACACACACACACACACACACACACACACACACACACACACACACACACACACACACGTCTTGGTCATACCCGTACATCTATTCCTGGCATGCTCAGTTCCCTACACTCCAGAGGTCTCTTTGTAGAGACTCACACAGCCTGAGCTACAGCTCGCTGCTGCACATAAAACTGTCTCTAATAGAAATGTCAAATACTTAAAGTGTGCATGCATGTGCATTGTTAAAATTAGTGCATTGCAGAGTCTCTGTGCGTACTTCTGCACACACCTTTTGTGTGTGTGTGTGTGTGTGTGTGTGTGTGTGTGTGTGTGTGTGTGTGTGTGTGTGTGTGCGTGTGTGTGTGCGTGTGTGTGTGTGTGTGTGTGTGTGTGTGTGTGTGTTTACCCTGGATATGTCTCATTTGCATGCTGTTTAACGAGCCATGGATGGCCGTGCCTGGGCAGGATGAGCAGCTGTTCCTTGATTGGTCCCTTGCATGCTGGTGGATGAGGGATATGGAGTATGTGTGAGGATTTGAGTTTAGGCAGCAGTTGGGGTTCCTGTGTTCCTCCCCTCTGTTTGTGTTCTCCCTCTCTCTCTCTCTCTCTCTTGCTCTCTCTGAAGCGCTGGAGGCACGGCGGGAGGCAGGGCTGGCCTGGACTGATCGCATGCACCTGATTCTCGTTGGTGTCATTTACCTGGCTTTATATGCCGGCTCCTCTGTTGGCTCAGTGCCGGATGATTACCCAGTCATGCAACACATGTCTTGCCACGCCGAACTCCCTCCTCTCCTGCCCGTCTATCCAGCCTACCTCTGCGTTGTTATTGAGATTTTTTGTTACTTTCATTGGATTTTTCCCTTGAGCAAAGGTTATTTTGTGTTCGCGTTTTTTCCCTCCAGTTGAGGAGATTTTTGGTTTACATTTCTGTTGCACTTTGTTCTTTTATACTCCCTCAGTTGTTATTGCCCTACGAGGCTCTATCATTTGAACTTTGTTTTCACCAGCTATTTGCCTACTGCAACGACTTTTCCTTGACTCTGGTTTTGTGTTTTTCAATGGCAGTCCGAGCCGACTGTGCCTTTTCCCAGAAATGGCGATTTTCCGTTGTTGACTTTGTTTTTTGTTTATTGTCAATAAATTTGGACAATTGTCTCTGCATTCTTGGATCCTGGCCTTTGTTCAATTCCTAACAGTATGCATGTGCGTGTGAATGTGGGGTAAGGGTTTGCAGGATGTTTTTCCACATGAAAGACCACCTTTCACCTCTCCTACACAAGCTTAAATCTCTCAGTCTTCTTTCCCAATACTGGAGTTGATCTCTGAAGTTTATTCTTCATAACACATTAATAAATACAGTGTATGTATTTTCCTTCAGTGCAGCAACAGTCAAGAGGCTAACTGATACTAAAGATTAATTCAGAGAATGAATCATTTATAAATTATTAGAAAAAAACAGCCCACACAATTTTCAGTCACAGTGGGTATTAAACCTTGTGCTACGCTTTAGAAACAGCATTGACATGTTGGTTTCTGTTAGAAAGGGACAGCAAGAATTTGATAGAACAACTCTCTTTTTTATTGAGTGAGGTAGGGTCTTATCATCCCCACTTTTATGAGCATTCATTTCTACAATTAAATTGTTTGTAGTATGTATGAGGCTGTAAAATTGACTAGGACAGAGATTATGGCCCTTAATTTAACTTAAGAAACCGTTCTTAATTTAACTTAAGAAAACACAGTTAAGATCCTCTACAACACATTTTAATACCACCAATAGTATTAAAAAATCACCAACTGGACACCATATGCTGCAACTCCATATAACACTGTGACATACAAGCATCACTCATCATTTAAGGTGACTTTCTTGTCATCAAATGCATGTGTCTGACAAAGGGTTGTTAGAAAACCATCTGCATACAGCTTTTTCAAGTGAACTGTACACATGCTGCATGGACTCAACCTAAAAGACACTCTAAACACTCTGTCATTTAGTTATGACAGATACAGAAATGATCTAAAGTTTCTCTAATAAGAATTTAATGAAGGTGTTGAATATTTTCAGTTGGGGTTGGGCCAAATTGAAGACAGAGCAATGTAGATTTATTCAATAGACCTGTTTCACCCTTTTTTTAAACCCCTAAAGTTAACCTGGCAAAACTGGCCACCCAACTTTCCCCCCCTGCATCATCTCAAACTAAAAAGAGCATTCAGCCATCTTGATCTTTTAAACTCCAAAACTTTTCCTGTAGACTGCAGGCCATGTTGAAGTGGTTTAAATTTAGAGCACCCACATATATAGGCTGAAGCACAGCAAGGGAATTAAAAATACCTGCACTTCTTTGCTTGATGATCATGCATATTAATATGCAGGAATGGAATATGAAGGAGGAGGTTTGGGTGAATGTCTGACATAGACAGAAAAAATGAGGATGGAGGTGGAGGGATAAACAAATGTGGAAACAGAAATGTTTCAAGAGTGTAAGATTTGAAATGAAGAAAACAGACATAAGGGAGGATTAGGAGGTAAAGGTAAGAGGATAGGAGGGAGGATTTGGAAAGAGAACACAGAACCAGATAGCAAATACTTTAAAGCCCACCTAGTGTTTGTTAGCCTCAATCTCAACATCCAGACAGGCTGTTGATATAACAGTTCAGCTCTAAGGCAGATTTACAAGCTGGTGTTTTTGTCCCTACATACAATACAGGCCAAAAGTTTCGAAGCAAGATCAGATTTGTAAAAAAAAGGTCAGTTTCATATATATAATTTGCAACACAATAAACATGACTATTGTGAAAAGAGTAACTTATCAGAAGACATTTTGAATATAATTATTAGGTATTTGAGTTATTGTTGCTTAGACTTTGCTTTCTTTAAAGTAACCTCCTCTGGCTTTAACAACAGCTTGGCATATACCAGGCATTCGTTCCACAAGTTTTTTAAGGTATGTTCCAGGGATTGCATTCCAAGCTTTCTTAAGTTCATTCAAAAGATACTGATGATTCGTGGGACACGTTTTTTCTGACCGATCGATCCAATTCATCCCACACAAGCTCAATTGGAGAAAGGTCTGGAGACTGAGGGGGCCAGATCATCTTTTGAAGAACACCTCCCTCTTCTTTTTTGTCTAGGTAACCCTGACAGAGCTTGGCAGAGTGCTTAGGGTCATTGTCTTGCTGCAAAACAAACTTATGAGCCACAAGTCTGAGTCCAGATGGAGCAGCATGGTGCTGGAGGATGGAGTGGTACTGTTCCTTCTTCGTGATACCCTGACTCTCAAAAGCCAAAAAGTTGAAGTGAATAATCCAACTGTGATTCGTTTTTTTGCTTTTGCACTGAAGTTGTGACTCATGCAAATGTTTTCAACCCTAAAACGAAGCCCTTATTATCTTTTGGTGACATATATTTAGCAATGGTCTGTTAACATCAATGTATATATAAAGGTAAATGGAGTAAAATGGTGCATTTCCATGAAAGCAACATCTGATAATGGAGTAAACACATCCCAAAATACATAAAACTCATGCTGGATTTTGAAACAAGCATTGCGAACAAAAAGCTGAAGTTACTACCAACTGTTCGGCCTGTAATGGCCTTGCTTCCAAACTTTTGGCCTGTAGTGTACATCCTTACATCTGGATCCTATGAAAAGTCAACAGAGTCTTACTGCTCTTTCTCTCTGTAATATCAAGAGAGAGGAAATTTCAGCCATCTTTTAACAGAAACATCCATAAGAGCTGCTGGTGCACTGCCCCCTGACTGTCACTGCACTGATTCCTGGTGAGGAGAAAGCACATGACAGCAGGAAAATCTCACTGAAATATTTAAAATACAAAGTGCCCTGAAATGAGAGGTCTTGTTGCATCTCAATATCCCTCATATACTCATGTCTCATCTGCCTGCAAGGGAGATGCACTCAAGGATCCCGGTGCCTCATCTGTAAAATACGTGTGCTGTAAATTGCACTCCCTCTGCCGCAATTACAGAATACAGCCGCAGCACAAACTAGACTCAGGGGGAATACGTAGACAACAACTGAGAGGGGAAGAAAAGGGAGAAAAAATCTGAATTAGAGAAGGGAGGGGTGTGATGAAGGGAGACTGTAAGTGATTCAGAACATGAGGAAGAGAGGGAGGAGCATGAAGAGGAGGGAAATACATTCAATGTGTTTGTCTACTTATAATTATGCAACAAACGACATACTGACGCGGACCCCAGGAGAGGATAGGGGAACAGAGGACAGCAGAAGAGCAATATTGAATAAAAGTGATAACAAGTACCCTGCGGCAAACTTCATCTATTCTCTTGTGTTATATTATTGATTTTGGGGGGCTTTTAAGTGAGCAATTCCAAGTCTTTGTGCAGTCCTAGTTTTAAGGCTTTAGCTCAGTTGACATGGGAATAAAACAAATGACCCTGAATTGTTCCTGTATAAGCTGTTTTCCTTGTTAAGCAATTAGCTAATGGTGAAGTGAATGGTGTCAAAGTTATAAACCTGCATGAATGCATCCATCCTGCTCTGTAGGTCTTGGTGTAAAACTATTATCCCACTATGATGTATAATTTAAAGAGGTATTAAACTTTTATTTTCTGTAAACCATCTGACTACTAGTTTGATCCAGGCCTCATACCATAATAATGATTAAATGGACTGTCATTAAGCATCATTAGATTGATCATGTGCTGAACTTTAGATTACCAGATTACTGAACTTTAACTGTCATCCATAACATCCATATTATCAACAAAGATTATTATCATTATTTTTCAAATGATCATTCGATGTTCCCTAAGGAAGAATATTTATGACTTTGGCAGCCCTTCGATTTTTACTCCAGCATCATTATGAGGTTTGCATTTGGTGTTTATTTTAGATACTCAGGTTCATGTTCCCTGCAGGATAAATTGTGATTACCTAAGGTGGCTTCTTGGGGGATTTCTATCATCTATGTTTGTGGTTCTCAAATCGTGAGGCAGGAACCAAATGCAGAGTTTCAGTGGTGGTGGATGTGTGATAAAAAGATGAAGTAGAAAGTCTTTGCTGTGCCTATTTTGAAGGAAATGGGCTTCCTATGACAGTGCTCATAGATAAGTTAGTTTAGACTTGAACATAGTTGGTGGAGATGATGCATCTCAACAGTGGTTGTCACCCAACAAATACTAGAAACTTGGATCACGATCATTATTAAGTGGTGATAGGTCCTGATCATTGACTGTATAATGAATGGATGCACCCATTTGTATCTGAAGCAGAGTTTGAGGCCTATCACTTGCAGTCGCCATAATGGTCATACTGTATATGGCCAATATGGTGACTGCCAACCTAAGTTCAGGTCAGTCTACTAAAGGAAGACCTTTAGCCTCCTGGCAAATAGCAACAGTGTGCCCACCTGCAGGTCAAATGGGCCATGCCTCTGATTTGTCCGTTTAAAAAAAGTTCATAACTTTGAAAGTTATGAACTTTTTACTTTTTGCTTCTTTTATTTAATTCATTTTTTAGCTCTATCTTCATTTCTCAAGACCAGGGGTTGCCCCTTGGTCCAAATTATAGATCGCAGGGAGAATAGTGATGTAACTGATTTTAGCCAGTGGTCAGAAGCTTAAATTCCTCCATATTGGGTTAGAGACGCTGAATAAAAACTAAACATAGTATTATCAGCGTCATTCATATGTTGGCAAATCAAATAAATGAGAATGATAACCATGGTAAATGTTACACTGTCTTGATTCCTGTTCCTGTATTTCAGCATTGTAATAGTGAGAATTTTGACACACAGGTGTCACATTTAGCCCAAGCAATGCTGTGCTTAAGAAGAGCTTTACATGGACATTTAATGCAACATTCATAATTCAACAATCTATCCTATTTATGTCCCATATTTTGAAAATGTTACAGTTCAGTAACTTGCCATATCTCTGATACACTCTCTCTGTTTGCCTGTCCTGTGTGGGGGGCCAGGTTGGGTGTGGATGACCGGTCCCTGGAGCGTTCTTTGGCAGGAACAGGTTGTGAGGTCCACTGCTTTGACCCCAGTCTGAAACAGCCTCACCTGCAGCAGGATGAAATGTGGCTCCATCGGCTCTCTGTAGACTGGAGGGATCCAAACCCAGCTATTGTCGCCCAACGCCAGTACGCCAGCACAAAGAAACTGGCCACCATCCTAAATGACTTTGGACACAGACAGGTAAGAGGTAGAGTTTATGAGTGAGATTGTATGCATGATCTGAGTTTAAAATATACATTAGTTAAGGACTCTACCTCTATGAAATCACTTAGAAGTGGAAAGAAGTGATTTCTCTTTCAATGTCAGCAGGGGCTTAACTATAGTGTATAAGCTCTATGCATGCAAACAAAAGCCCCATCCTGTGTGTCCAGATTAATACAGCTCATCGTGACTCATTTTTCTGTTATCTGTTGAAGACTCCAGGTGGATAAACTCCCATTTATTATTTTGTTTTCCTTGTTAAAACATTATCATGCTGAATGTTACCTCATCAAAGCCCCCGAGGGATTGTGTTCCACCTCATCAGATATGGATCTGCATACAAGATCAATCATATACAGGAACACACCATGCTTACTAATAGCATGCATACTAATACAGCACACAGCCATAGATCCTGGAAAGATGCCTGTTTGGGTACAGGCTGAATAATATTTCAAGGTCAAGGAGGAACTCTTCAACTCAGGTAGTAAGAATAAAGCTTGATTTTCCTTAGCCTGTTTTTTATTCATCTTGAACAATGTGCAATCATTGTCAATTAAATGTATCAGTGGGGTCTGTTTCTTTGAGCTCTATTTTCGTGTCCGCTGGCAACGCGGCGGAGGGTGGTGGACCCTGCGCAGTGGTATTTTCATCTGGCAGAGCCCGACGCACAGCCAGTTTGGTATTTTCGTGGACTGAGGCGCACCAAGGTCCACCAAGCTGGGCGTGGCAGGGGGAGGTGTCAACAGAATCAACTGGCACAGTGAAATTTTTGTGCTAGCCTGTGCCGTATAAAGTGCGCTGAAAGCTCGCCGATTCAAACCTGGTCAGCTTTCGGCGCAGGCGGAGCGCAGCTGGTCTAGTGGCATTTTGGTAGACCTGCGGCGAAGTGCGCATACGTCACCGATGCCTCACCTGCAAATTTCCACAGTTTCAGGCACATTTCAGTGCAATAAATAATCATCAACAACCAATATTCTGGGTCAGCACATACATTTAGATCTATATAGATATATTCTGATCTATATCTGATCTGATGAGCGTGTTTGGCACGTGTTTAGACACACAACCTGACCAAATCAACACAGCTGAAACCGCATTAAATTAAATTAAATATCTAGTAAATAGACACACATGATGCAGTGAGCAAGATATTTAATTTGTCTCCCCCCTATTTCTATCTTCCTCTTCTTATTATTTCTCGGGCTGCTTGACCTGGACATGTCTCCGTGTCCTCTCCCCGTCCTGCTGCAGCTGCTGCTGCGGCGGCTGAACAGATGATTTATTTTAGTGATCAGATGAGTTATTTACTTTAAGCCTACATACGAATATTATAATATTCAGTTTTGTGAGCAAAATTTATTTTATATGCCAACATCTATGAAAGAAAGAGCCAGGTCACGGAGTGCGATGCGTCATTTTTATGCCATTATTGGAATTTATGTTGTGATCTGTGCACACAATCCATATTTTTCACGTGAGGTTTGAATATATGCAACTTTATGTAAGTGTCTTTATTTGTGGAGAAGGGTGTTTGTCTTACCAGTGGGTCCAACATTACACACACCAAATCCATATGCGCTTATATGGGACAGTGTGCAGGACGCCCTCTGCAGTGTTTACAGTGACACTTGTTGAGGAGCTGCCTTCTGTTGCCATCGTGTGGCATTACTGTCTTCAGACATCTCTTGATCTCTTTGACTACTTCATGAAAATTGTAATATGCTTCACCGGTGGCGGATATAAAGGTAAGGAGAGGAGCGGTCCTGATTGGCGAAAACAGGTCTCGGCTGTGTTAAACCCATTCCACGCCCTCTCTATGACTTACGCCACTGGGAGGAGCTGAGTTAGGTAGGGGGGATACTTACGCCAGGCTGCGCCGCTCACCAAAAGACCAAATTGTGCTTGGGCATGCCTTTCGGCGCGGCGAACCTGACTTATGCTGCGCCTGTGCCACGTCACCGGTGAGGCACGAAAATAGAGCCCTTTGTCCCATTGTAGGGTTCTTCAGAGGATTCTTACGGCAAAAAAAAAAGGAAAATACAGTCAGGTCCAAAAATATTAGGACATCGACACAATTCTAATGTCTTTGGCTGTATATACTACTACAATGGATTTGAATTGAAACAAACATGATGTGCTTCGACTGCAGACATTCAGCTTTAAGGGTATTTACATCCAAATCAGGTTAGCGGTGTAGGAATTATAACAATTTTTTTTATGTGCATCCCACTTTTTAAGGGACCAAAAATAATGGGACGAACAACTCAAACACTATTTCATGGAGATGTGTGGCCTATTCCCTTACTATTTCATCATCAATTAAGCATGTAAAAGGTCTGGAGTTGATTCCAGGTGTGACATTTGCATTTGAAATCTGTTGCTGTCAATTCTCAGTATGAGATCAAAAGAGCTGTCACTATCAGTGAGGTAAGCCATCATTAAGCTAAAAAATCAAAACAAACCCATCAGGGAGATAGCAAAAACATTATGTGTGGCCAAATCAAATGTTTGGAACATTCTTAAAAAGAAAGAACGCACTGGTGAGCTCAGTTGTACCAAAAGACCTGGAAGACCATAAAAAAAAACTGTGGTGGATGACAGAAGAAGCATTTCCCTGGTGAAGAAAAACCCCTTCATAACAGTTTGCCAGATCAGGAACACTCTCCGGGGGGTTGGTGTATGTGTGTCAAAATCAACAACCAAGAGAAGACCTCACCAGAGTGAATACAGAGGGTTTACCACAAACTGTAAACCAGCGGTTACCCTCAAAATCAGGAAGACCGGATTAGAGTTTGCCAAACAACATCTAAAAGAGCCTTTACAGTTCTGGAACAACATCCTATGGACAGACAAGACAAAGATCAACATTTACCAGAGTGATGGGAAGAGAAGAGTATGGAGAAGGACAGTAACTGTTCATGATCCAGAACATACCACCTCATCAGTGAAGCATGCTGGTAGTTGTGTCATGTATGGTCATGTATGGCTGCCATTGGAGCTGTTTCCCTTGTATTTATTGATGATGTGACTGTTGACAAAAGCACACGAATGGAACTCTAAAGTGTTTCAGCAATATTATCTGCTCATATTCAGCCAAATGCTTCAAAACTTATTGGACTACGTTTCACAGTGCAGATGAATAATGACCCCAAGCATACTGCAAAAGCAACTCAAGAGATTTTTAAGGCAATGAAGTGGAATGTTATGTAATGGCCAGGTCAGTCACCTGACCTGAATCCATTTGAGCATGCATTTTACTTACTGAAGACAAAACTTATGAGAAGATGCACCAGGAACAAGCAGGAACTGAAGACAGTTGCAGTAGAGGCCTGGCAGAGCATCACTAGGGGTGAAACCCAGCATTTGATAAAGTCTACATGTTCCAGACTTCAGGCTGTAATTGACTGCATAGGATTTGCAACCATGTATTGAAAAGTGAAAGTTTGATTTATGATTTTTAGTTTGTCTGATTACTTTTGGTCCCTTAAAAAGTGGGATGCACATACAAAACTGTTGTAATTCCTACACCGTTCACCTGATTTGGATGTAAACACCCTTAAATTAAAGCTGAATGTCTGCAGTCAAAGCACATCATGTTTTTTTCAGTTCAAATCCATTGTGGTGGTGTATACAACCAGAAAGATGAGTACTGTGTCGATGTCCCGATATTTATGGACCTGACTGTAAATCAATTCTATTTAATCATTTATGTGCTGGTGTTTAAAGCCAAGGCAACCAAATTTGTCATGAACCAAACCCAGGGACTAATAATTCCTTTCATTCAGGATTAAAAAAGATCAAAGACCCTACTTGTAAAAATATAGAGAGAGTGCTGAATTAAACAACAGTTTCTGATGAAGGTACTTTGATTAGTCAATCAGAACATAATCAGTTTTACATATAGCCCTGGTTATAGCAACAGCCTGACCACATTTCACACAGAATAAGGACTGAAAGACCCACATTATAATTGTGATAAGAGACTAAGAAATAGAGCTTTATTCTATGTTGCAGACTATGTTAATCAACCGTCAGGCTGTACTAGCATTGCCTTTATACATATTATGTATTTTCTTTATTCATAATAATAATAATAATAATAATAATACATTTTATTTAAAAGCGCCTTTCTGAGCACCCAAGGACACTTTACAGGGTATAAAAACACAGCTAGAAACATAATTAAAATAAATAAAAACAACATACAAGTGTGAAAGTAGACAGTTAAAGTGACTATGCGATTCGGAATAGGTGTGTTTTGAGATTGGATTTAAAGTGGGGTAATGAGTCCATGTTCCTGAGGTCCGGGGGGAGAGAGTTCCAGAGTTTGGGAGCAGAGCGACTGAAAGCCCTGCTCCCCATGGTGCTGAGCCGGGCAGAGGGGACAGAGAGGTGGAGGGAGGAGGAGGATCTGAGGGAGCGTGAGGGGGTGGATATGTGGAGGAGATCGGAGAGGTAGGGGGGGGCAAGGTTATGGATGGCCTTGAAAGTGTACAGGAGGATTTTGTACATGCAACTGGACATGCAGCTCTCTCTCTCTCTCTCTCTCTCTCTCTCTCTCTCTCTCTCTCTCGAGTAGCTTGCTCATTAGTGGAAGCATGTTTATCACTTGGAAAAGAACCACAAACTGCCATCTGCAAGTCACCAGGAGAGAATATCTTAGTTTGTGATTTGTAAAATAGTCACAGAATTTTCTGTTTGTTGTGGCTGTCAGAAAAGGTTAGGAACTCCTTCGTTTTAGAAGTACAGTCACATGGAAAATAATTGTCAAAGTACAAAATTATTACATTTTCTATGACTGATGTTACATGGAGACACCACTGCAGTAATGGCAGCTTGTCAGCTTTTGGTTATTTGTGTTGTCTCTTTGTGTTGGTCGGTGGTGTGTTGTCTTTCAATTCAATTCAAGTCAAGATAATAATTCTCTTCCAGAGCCCAGAGCAAAGCAGACTTGCTAATACAAGAGGCTTGGAAAAATATTTATATCATCTCAGTGTGTGACAAGAAATGAACAAATAAACTCTGGCATTAAATATGTTTGTGTGGGTGGCTTTGCATACCATATTGCTCCATTGATGACAAAATCCACCCATTTTAAATGCAGAGCCATGTACATATTCCTGTAATGAGGTTTTAATGTGAGTACATGATGTGCCGCAGGAGCAAGCAGTAGCAGAACAGCTTCTTTTTAACAGTGTTGCCCAGCCACTGTGACAGAAAAAAACAAAGACACTTGGAAAGGTCAAAATATGCATTTTTGCCATTTCCTATCTGCTCTGGTTAAAAGTAAACAGGTGACTCATCCACTGAGGTCTGATGACCTGCTGAAACAGCAGATGCTGTTACCACAGGTAACAAATGGAAATAGCAGAAGCCATGTCTCATTTATTCAAAGCAACTGCATACAGGACCATTCAACCCATCAGTGATCACGCAATGCTTGGCAATAAAGAAAATAAAGTATAAAAAAATAAATAGTGAAAGCAGCTTCTGTCTGATCACATTTTCGTTGCATAACTGAATGGTCCTATCCTGCATACGTTACATTTCAGTGTGTGATGGTTTGGTTATCCCACAAATTCTCCCTCAAGATCCTGCTCTGGTTGCTTTCTTTTCAAAGGAATTTGTTTAGATTGACAGACGTGTTTTTTTTTTTTTTTTTTTTTCTTAACTGGAATTCATAATAAATGCCAGGTCATAATAGTGTCTTTGTGTGGTTTCACTCAGTGAATAGTGAATAGAGCTTGGTGCTAACATGAGCACGCTTCTTGCACGTTCATAACTTTAAAAATGCTAAAAAGAGCTTTCCCACCAAAGTTGATTGAAAAGATGTCTTCACCATACATCTAAACAATGTCTAGATGTAGTTGAAAAGTGAAAGATGATAAGACGTAATTTTCGTGTCGTTGAAAAGATGTTTCTACAGGGACTTCAATAGTGTAACAAGATGCTGAGCCCAAAACATAATAACTTTTTGCCCAAAATGTAGCAACTTGTTGCATTTTTGGGTCAGTTATTACATTTTGGGATTTATTAAATTCTTTAATTGTATTTCGAGCCTCAACATTTTGTAATATTATTGACAATTATCACATTTCGGGCTTTATTACATCTATTCTTATAACATATCAGGTCATTGTTACATATCGGGGTCTAATATAACGTCTCTATTAGGACCTATTGCAAAGAGCCAGTTTGTGCATAAAATAATGTTTTTAGTCCATGCTATTGCCAATTTCTCATCTTGTCTTTGATACATTTTTCATCTTCCCTCCCCCACTGACCAGCATCCTCCTTATATTACAAAACCCCTAGATTTACAAAGTCAGCACTGGCCAACATCCTCAATAAGCCAAAGGTGTACTGCAGATAAATACCTTAAACAGGCAACAAGATTTGGGAGAAAAATTCTTTACATTTATTATCTCAAACATTTTATTTTAAACGTACCATTAACGCTTAATGTTGCACCTTAAATAGCATTTTCTATATAAAAAATACAGCTGAATGTGTTTGTTGTTATATTTGCAGATATTTGCTGAGAAACCAGTGTCTGATGATGACAACCCATAAAAAATAAAGGAATTACAAGTGTTATGATTATTCTGAGGGAAACACAGCAGTCTGTTCAACATGGCAAATCAAATTAGAAACAACATATAGAAACTTAACTCAAAACCAAAATGACTGACCTTGCTGATGGATCCTAAAAATAAGTAAATGTGTTATTAAAATCAATATGACTCATCCTTTGAGGACCATAAATGCATGTGCCAAAAGTTTGTGTGAATAAAAATGTGTACCTTTAGAGATTCTTTTAAGAAATAAAGCCTAAATTATTCTGTTGATGCATCTTGATGAAGGGATAAACAACTCAACAGTCTCTTGGGACTGTTCAAAAGTGACTGTCGAGACCATTCAAAACCTAGCTTGGTGGAAAAAAAATGGGGTGGTTTTTTTATTATTACTTTTTTGTTGTACTTTTTTAATTAACAGGAACTGTGAAAGGATCCAAATGCAAGTCTTTTCTCTGAGATGAGCTCCATGGAGGGAGGCCTAAATATCTGACACACAATCTGGTTAAAAAAAAAAAAAAAAGAAAAGAAAGAAAAAAGCCTAAATACACTCAGCTCTCAAAGTAGTTGAATGAGTATATCTCTGAGATATGTACTGGTACATCTTTTTTTGTAATATGCTCTCAAGTGGCTGGCTTACTATTTAAAATATGCTGTGATGGTTTCTATAAGTTTCTGTTACGTGTCTTGGACAGGGTTAATCATGTGTAACAGAAAGAGAGAGTAAAAAAGGTTCAGTTAGCACCCAGGGTTTGCCCACCATGAGCTAAATAATATTTCAGGCCAATTGACGATTAAATATGAACTTCCACTTAGAGTTATTTTCACAATCAGCAAACTTTTTGATTTACAAAGACTCTGAACTTTCATCAAAAGCATCTGGAAATTGAAATTTGTCCCAACAGGCTGCCTAATCCCAAAGATGCTTTGCAGAAATAATTACCATGGGTATTTTGATCACATACTGTGTGAGTCACTGGGAGGAGAGAAAATACTCACCCACTGGGAATGGAGACTGTGTGCAGCAATCTGACATTCATTCCTGGAATGCAGGTCAGGATTTTCTGTAGAGTGCTAAGAAACTACTCATTTTTTTATTGCAGTAGATGATGCTTTGGGTTTGTGACTATGCTTGACTTTATCATGAGTTCTTAAACTATCTCCACGATTTTCCTTCACAGCACTGATAAAAGATTACACTGGTTCCTGACACTAAAGCTGTTTCAAAAGAGTGCAAAGTTACATTTTTATAACAAATATGAGCCCCATACAGTTAAATGTTGTAAAGCAGAGACTACTGGAAACTGGTTTACTACATTGGGAAAATTGTTGACAGGAAACCAATTCCACTCTTCAAGCCTTTAGCCCCTCAGCTTACCAATATGTGCATGGTCATCAGAGAAGAAAGCTGTTTGGAGCTGGACACTTAGCAAAGCCCAATCAGAGTTTATGAATGGAGCTTGTATGGTTCAAGGGGACCACATTCCTGCTTGTGAGGTGTAAAACAACATTTGCTCTAGTTCTCTTGAGATCTTTCCACTTGTACAGTTGTACAGCAAAGGTAGGGTAACCTCACCAAATACTTGCTGTTGGGTTGATGGTTTTCCATTTGAATGAACAAAGCTCTTTACTGCATTTGTGTGCACCACATCATTGACAATATACAGTGCGGTTGCTTCAGTAATACCTTCCCAACATGTCTTTCTCTTGTCGGATTCAATCCAATAGGAAAAATACTTCACCCAGTGCTGGCTGCTCTTTAGCAGGTGTTTTTGGCTGTGGGAGCCCTGAGCGTCTCATAGTAGGACACATTTCTCCTACTAAGCAGCATATCTGTTTACATGTTGGAATAAATTAGTTCTACAGCTGTTTTAAGCTGCAACAGCCTTTGAACAAACTTTATCATGGACTGTGGCTTATTGACTGTCTAACACTGAAAACTGATAAGACTGTGGCACTGTGCCATTTTGGGGAACCAATCATTATTAATGCCAGGAGCTACACTCTTGTTATAAGTGTCTCTGTAGGAGGCCAGCAAGGAGGGTGGACATGACATTGACTTATCCACACGATGCCAACACCAACAGGTCAGAGAATGAGAGGATTACTCTTGCTTTATTTCTTCCACTTCAAGCACTGGACAGGAGCCTTGCCTCAACTTGTGACTTTTCTTACACAGTAGGCTTATGATGGCAACGCTGAATCAAGGACTGTTGGGGCAAAGAAGCCATTATACAAAGCTTACTGTGGAGAAAAAGACTGCAATCTGTCAGGCAGAATGTGGCTGTATCAACAGCTCAAGATAGCATCAAATATTGTCAAACACACAGAAACACAGTAAGACACAAACTCAGTGAGATCCCCTCCAGAGGCTCAGGGAATACATCACCTCTTGATGATTTCACATCAGTTTCCATCATGAGTTTTCTGTCCAATTAGGAGACTTATTTTCTTCCGGGAGTCTTTTGGTCCATGGGGAGGACTAAGGAACAACGTCTGAATGAGATAGCTGTCTTTTTGAGTTTTTGGGACTACTTCAGTTCCACTAATGAGGGCTGGGAATTTAATAGCCACACCAAAGGCATCAATCTGAGTAAAATGTCCCTGCCACTTTGGTATCTGTTGAAATGTTTTTAGTTCAGTTGAGGAGCCTTCTGCGATTAAAACAAACAAACAAACAGAAGCTTGGGATTTACTTTCACTAGCTCTGTCTTTAAATTTTTACTGTAGTAAAGCATGACACAAGGTTACCATGGACCTCTGTCTGACAATCCTGTAGTCTATATCCATCCTTAGGTTTCATTGTTACCAATTTCATGGCCACAAGATGTTCTTACTGAGAAAATGCTAAATGAGACATTAAGCAGCCTGGGGGAATAAAAGCACTGTCACCATGAGACACTGAAACACCTAAATGTCAGACAATGAGCATCTTGAGCAATTCCTAAGAGGAATTCCAAGGTCCTGAGGAAGTGCATTAAACTTAACACGAGTCTCCTCACATGAATATGACCCAAGGGTGCCATTAACATTCATCATACAAGACAATTCCTCTACTCTCCAGTTTAGCAAGCCATGTAAGGCTGCTCTCTCACTCAATTCATCATCAACACTGCTGGAGGATGGGGAAAGGCCAAGATTCCCCGAGTACTTGCCATCATTGCTCCTCAATAATTCTACAGGGTCAGACATCATTTGAAAGTTATAAAAGCACTCATTTATTCCCTCAAGAAAGTAAAAAAAAAAAAACACATCCTCTCTGTTTCTGTTCTAGGTGGATTTGCTGAAGGCTGACATGGAGAGTGCGGAGTGGAAAATTTTGGAGAATATGATCCTGGAAGGAGTGCTGGACTCGGTAGGTCAGTTGTTGCTGGAGCTTCACCTGCACTGGGCAGGCTTCGAGGTGGGCGGTGATGACCCATCAGTGGTGCGGTACTGGTTCAGTCTGCTCAAGGAGCTTGAGCGAGCAAACTTTCACCTCTTCCACGTTCACAGTGACCCTGCCAAACCTCATCTCTTTCTGCATAAGAATGTCCTCAATGCCAGCAGTGCTTACACACTGAGCTGGGTGAAGACAGAGTGGAAATCTTGAGGGATGCCAGATTAAAGAACCTTTTGGGGCTGAAAAGGAACTTAAAGTGACATCAATGTACAACTTTGTGTTAACTGAGGGGTCTAAATTTGGCATGAATTCCTCAAGGGGTGAATCTTATCTTGTCTGATCTTTCTGAAAAAAAAATAAGACCCTCCCACTTTTCCTCTCCTGGCTTGATGACCTCATGGATATAGAAAGGCAGATTAATTGCCTCCAGACACTCCCTGTGTTCTACCTCACAGTGGCGATGTTTGTTGCTGCAGGTCAGCCTCTGAGTCACGCTCAAGCACCCTCATCATGTTCTTATTTAAGCTCTTAGCCAAACAACCTTTACAGATCACAATGGTCTGCAGAGGATCAGAAACCACAGCCTGCTCAAAAGGACACAAAGGAAAGGAAATGGATACATGATTTGAAAGGGGATGGGGTAGTGCATTCTCAGTAGGTGAATATTTGTGGGAGGTTTGTGGATTACTCACACAAAAAGACTTGAAGAACGAGCAGAGGACTGCGGTCAAGTAGAAGGAAGACGAGGACTGCTTTCCTGATGTTCATCCTTAATGTGACAATATTTATACGAACATGGAGATGAGGAGAAACTCAACAGTAAAGTCAGTTATAAAAATGTTCTCTGTTTTGGTCTGTTGGATATTTGAAAGTGAATGTGTGGGTGAGTAAATGAAAGAAAATGAAAAAATGAAGTTCAGTTATTTTTGAAAACTGCCATTTCCTGGGTTATAATCAAAAACAGCTGAGATCCACACAAAGGAACATTTTGTGAAGCCATATGAATTTTCTCTGGGTGTTCAGCTGAGCTTTTTTTATTCTATCTACTGCTGCTGCTGCTGATACATGGCTTTATTAACAAATATCAACTGAAGACTCAAGGCTGTGCTGACAACCTAAAAAGTAAAGAAACCAAATTCACAAAAAGAACCAGCCAATGTAACCTGCTAAATTGTTTGATACAGGTCAATTGAGAGCAAAGGACAGTCCAAGATCCCTTTTTGTGGTTTCTTGTTTAAACTCATGGATTGTTTACAGAGATAGAAAACACATTTTCACCACCCCAATTGTAAGAAAGTAGACCAAAATATCCTCTGCACCAAACGCAGATGTCTATCTTGTGCTGATTATGTCTGTCAGAGCCGAAGTCAATGCAGCAAGAAGCTGATGAAGCTGTGGTATTCATGCCCACCCTTTCCCCTGACAAAAACACATTTAACATACCAATAGGAGATATAGTTTTGTTCGATGTCCTTATTCAGATCATTGATAAAAAAAGAGAACAGAATGGGTCCCAAAAGAGAAAGGTGCCCCACAGGGTTCAGTTTGGGGAACCACACTGTTCTCTATTTTCATAGATGTTCTGATGAAGTCTGTGTTCGCAGTGCTCCTACAGACAAAAAGATTCATAACTGACATGTTATGCAGATTCATATTGTCAAGCATTCATATAATGTTATCAAGTTAGATGTGCAAACTACACCTCAGCAGTTTCATAATGATGAAATACATTATTGCCATGGTCTCCAGATGTAATTTTTGGGTTCCCTTAATGGTTTCTTTCCACTGTTTTGCAAGACTTGTCCTGAACCTGACTTCAGGCTTTGCCATCCTACAAGGACAATGTTCAAGGTCATGCCCACCTGGAAGCTTGTTTAAATTTTCCCTTACCTGGAAAGTCAAAGTTACTGCTCAACTTTTTCTTCACACTGTACTTTGATTTGATGTGTCAGGGAGAGTTGCTTGCAGGCGTTCTTTTGGTCATAAATACTTTTTCTCTCCCCAAAGACAAAAGCATCAAAAAAAAAAAAAAAATCAGAAGTTATTGTTTTCAGAGCAACAGCAGGTGCCAGTGCTCACAACTCCACTCATGACTCCTTGATAAATAAAAGCCAGTATGAGCGGAATTTGCTTTTTAACCTGGGACTGCTTCATCTATACAGACATTCTATAAGGGATCAGAACCACTTACCTCAAGCACTATTATGATAGCAGCTAATGTATTGCCAGCTAATGTATGCTAATGAAGCTAAATGGGGATCTGAGTACAGTAGGTGCTCACTGGTGCCTCAGCTGTTTTTTCCAGACATAAATTTAGTCTTTTCAATTAAAGCAGTACTTGACAAGTTTATTCACTCAGTAGTATACCACTGATTTTTTAAAAGCATGATTATGACTGAATGACTGAGAATGGAAAAAACGGTGCTGACGGATGGTTCTGGTCCTTCCTTTGCATACAACATGCTTTGTGCAGTAAAGCAGCTGCTTGCTTCTCGGGATGCCATCTATCAGGTGGAAAGCCATAATAAAAGGCCTCTCTCTGCATGTAATTCTCTTATATTGGCCACACTGGTGTAAAGAACACAGCCCACATCTAATGATGATAGGAAATATTGGCATCAAATTCTCTGGCCCATTGAAGATACACTTAAAATAAAGAAAAAATGTGAGAAAACACACACACACACACGCACACACACACACACACACACACACACACACACACACACACACACACACACACACACTGACAGAAAATGAGTTTGAAAAACCTTCTTTGACATGTATTTTCAAGTTGGACCAATACCTCAGTTCATGACCTAAAGTAGAGGGTTCTCTATGTTTAAGTCATGCCATGTTATTAATCTTTTAAACAGTCTTTGGTTGAATCAAAGACATACAATGCTTTCCCCCTTACCAAGTAAATTTGACAGAAGTTTTATTTCCACAAAGTGTTGGTTACACAACAGAAAACTACAAACTTTACTAACATACTACAAAGAACATAAAAAATGCAAGAAAAAACCATCATGTATATTAACGCCAACCCTCTCATATGACTTTTATTAAAGAAACAATGATCAAAATCCTGTTTTCTGATCTTGTGTGTACATGACACACAGGGTTCATTTTGGGGTCTTGACAAAGGGTACAAAAATACACAGCTACAATACGACTGGATACCAGTCCTGTGGCTCTGACTTGAGGTTTTACAAAATCTGTGAGACAGTCAGTCCCTTCCTGTCTGACTTGAGTGGAAAAGTCTCATAAAAGACACACACAAGGATAACCATCTAGTCCCAGAGTTTGATCTGTCCATCCCATCCACAAGTGATCACCTTGGAGGTTTCATGTGGATGCCACAGAGCACTGATGCACACCTTATCATGAGCCTTGATCCTGTGGTAGAGCTTGGTGGTCTTCCAATCCCAAATGTTCAGCTTCCCATCTGCATCTCCTGACACCACATAGCTGGAAAAATGAAAGAGAGAGAAAAAAAAACAGAAGAGGAAGAAGAGAGAGGGTGGAGGGATTAGGACTTTGCAGTTCTTCCTTCTCAACTTTACCTGCCAAAAGGTGGGAGTCATAAATTTGGATATTTCAGCCAAACAAGGAGTTGTATGGTTGCCATGGATATGAAATAAAGCTGGGGCACATGCTCACTGATGTGGGAAGTGGTTGGTGGGGAGTGAGGGAAAACAGCTCTGAATAGGATTTTTGGCTTAAAATAGTGTGCTGGACTGTCCTAGTTAGAGAGAAGAGCGTATACATGAACTCATGAGGGGGCAGGCTTCTGTTTCACCACTTATTTTTTACCTGGCTGCTTTTTAGAGGACAGGAGGCAAGCAGACCTGTTTGCATAGTGGAAATGTTCAGATCTCAAGTCAAAGTGCCTCCTTCAGTTCTAAGCCTGCTTGAATACTTTTTAATTTCATGACATTGACTTTTTTCTTCCCACTCATTACAGCACTTTTGATCATCTCTTTGAAGAAACAGATTTATCAATTCACTGGTAGTGGAGTTTGCATTTCCCCTGCATATTTACCTCTTCCACATAATAACATATAATTACATATCGATCACCTGTTAGAACCTCAGCTGTCCTTCATCTGAAAAAAAAAAAAAAAAAAATACAAAGTCAAGGCTTACCTCATGTCTGGGGAGAAGTCCACTTGGCAGGCATAGCCAGCCACCATATGGCCTTTGAAGATTTTCTTCTTGTTCAGCCTGAAGCGGTTTTGGGCTCCAAAGATCAGAATCTGGTTGTCCATGGACTGACACGCTAGCCATTTACCTGACCAAAGAAACAACAACAAAAACAAGCATGTATTAGCTTAATCTCATCAGCTGCTCAGAAATGATAAAAGCTAAATCATCATCATCATGTTATAGTAGCAGGGTTTCTGTGTTGCTTCTCATTACTCCTTTTTTCCTAGACAGTAGAGGTGTCCCTGCAAAACCCAGTGATGAGATGATGATGAGATGAGATTTAATTTATTGTCAATGTACAGTACAAGTACAGTACAGCAAAAAGTATTTTCGCATCTCACCAGAGTGCAAAGTAAACATGTCAGTGCTAGTGATACATTATTTCATAAGTAAGGAAGTAGTAGACATTTAATAAATAATTATGTGTATAATAGCGATAAATAAATAAATGCATAATGTCACTGCAAAATAAAATAAGAGACCTTTCAGGACCAAAATCAGGTTTCATGCTTTAAAATGTTGCATCGACTTTCAGGATACCCTCTTGGTTCATGACATTCTCTAGGGTAGTGCCTGTTTATTTGTGTTAGGTCTGTCTCTGCTATACTGTGAATAGTTAGCAACACAGAGGCTTTCAAGGCCTGAACTCCATCTTCTTCCACGTGCACAGGTTTTGCTTTCATTAATAGTGTTAACAAGTTCCCAATAGCGCCTCTAATTGTCCGAAAGCAATGATAAATGTTTTGATGATGCTTTAATTAACACTTATACATGTTAATAAGCAGCTTATATGGTCTAATAGGTGTCTTATGAACTCTTAATAAAAGCTTGTCCTGAGTACCTTCACATTAAGTGTTACTAACATATAAAAGAGATAAATTTTCAGCTAAGTTTTGAAAGGCATTCCTGTTTAGTAACATGATACAGCCTGCTTATAAGATCTTAGCTTCAAAGGTTGTCACAACAAGTTCAAAGCACAAATTAGCTTGCTGGTTTGTCTCATGAGCATAATTCTGAGCGGCCAAATGTTAAACACACAGCGTCTACTGTCTTGGGTGTGACATGATATCATACTCTGCCAACACAGTCTGTGTTGGGCAAAAGATGGCAGAGTAACAACTCTGAGAGTCAGATATCTTTAATAGAGGGTACATGGTAATAGAGGAACATGTCCTGAAAGTGAAAGTGAATAGAAAATGTAAAATCTGGAAACTTTACTCTGACTGGGCGATGCCGAGAGGAATAGTTCTTCTCATTATGCTATCATTAAGTAGAAAAGATTGAGGCCATCGTAAGGAAAAAGGACTCTCAGAAGTGACTACTCAGTTGAAATCTCCTTTACAGAGTATTATAGCTGCTGACAAGACTTCACACCCAAACTCACTTTGATGTGATAAGATTCAGCACTTCTGTGTCAAAGCATTACACGACTCGCTGCACTTTTTTGAAAGGAAACATGATGGAAATTATGAATGTGGTATAAGAAAAAAGATCTACTCTGTGTGTGTGTGTGTGTGTGTGTGTGTGTGTGTGTGTGTGTGTGTGTGTGTGTGTGTGTGTGTGTGTGTGTGTGTGTGTTGCAGTAAGTGCAGGACAGTGGAAACAACTGGTCCAATTACACCTGTCTGTTTCATGAGGATGGCAAGAGACTGAGGAGAGGAGAAATGGGAAAGAGACTGAGGATGCAGTGCCAATAGGGGTATGAGTGAGATGCCATTTAAGCATTAGAGCAAACAGAATGGTCTCCCACTGAGCACACATTCATTATTCACACCCTGAAGAAACACAAGCCACGTTCGGACAAATAAAAGGGCCATGCAGTTGAGAGAACAGAGTAGTGGTGAGAGTACATCACAAAGAGGAATCAAAGACAGCAGAGATAAAGGAAGCAGATAAGTACAGAGTAGCTGTTGAGACTGACGGCTGTTGAAGCTGATGGAGTGCAACAGGGAGTGTCTGATTCAAACAGAGTGTAACACATGAAGAGGAAGAACCCCCTAAGTCTGGCATCATGTGAGGTCTTTAAGGATTAGCAAACTTTAAAAACAGAGAGAGCAGCAGGCTTAGGTACACTCACATCCTAATCAATATAGCTGATCAGTCTGAAGTTCTGTACCTCTCGCAGTGCTGCAGTCTCTGGAATTTTCTGCCTTTTTAAATGAGACACTAAGTGGAGCCGAATTCAGACGGACATTTCTCTAAGATTAGTCCTGGACAATAAGGAGGCAGTGACAGCATGATGTCTTAAGGTCAAATGACTTATATTGCATGTTGTGTGATGAGACTGTCAAAACACAAAGCAATTTAAATAGGACTCTATGGTCACTTCCATGAGGCACAGGGGTCTTTTTTTTTTCTTTACACGATTATCTCTGGTATTAAAGACCTTGTATTAAAAGCGCTGAGAAACCTGAGGTTGTCTGGACATGCCTTCAAACAGAAACTGGAACATTGAGATTCCTCTCTCACCAAGATTGATTTTGCTGGTGATTTGTCTGTCTTACCCACTGATAAGATAAGGAAAACATGTTTTATATGGCTATCCCTAATTGCTGGAAGTACATGCATCGCTATGTTGTGGAAAAGTAAAAACCCTCCTACTGCCTCAATGTGGCTTAAGGAAGTTGCATCATACATGCCCTCTGAAAAAAACATTTTTAATATGAAAAAGAAACCCCATCTTTTTGGCAAATGCTGGAATGACTTTAAAATGTATCTGGATAACTTCTCATAGATAATGAGTACTGTCAATGGTGTGGTGGTGGTTGTTGGTTGTAGCACATCTGCAGGAGTAGCTGTGCTTTTCCATTGACCCTTGCTGCATATATTTTGCTGTAATTTTTTTTTAAATTTAATTATTTAACTAATTTGTTTATATCTTATAATTTTTATTATTATTATTATTATTATCATTATCATTTTTAATCCTTTTATATATAAACATTTATATTTTCTTTTATATATTGTCATTATTATTATAATTTTTGCCATTACTATTACTATTATTTCATGGAAGGGGGGGGGGGTGTAGTTCTATTGTTGTTAATAAAGTTATATACTGTTTATGAAAAAATTTTAATAAATAATTACAAAAAAACTGGAACTTTTAGGGGGGATTTTAGGGATGATATTCTCTGCATTGTTCCACTTTTCTTCACATCTTCTCCTTGCAGGAGGAGCATTTTCCATCTTGAGCCTAAACGCTTAACCAGCAGAGATCTATCGCAACAACAAAGGCAAAGTAATTGTTATTTCACTGCAGCTCCACTCTCCTACCCCTCACTGACATGCCATTAATTGAAACCTCTTGCTGCTGTGCGCTCTACAGATCCTCACAACACTTTACATTACAGAGTTTAAACCAAGCTCAGTGGGCCCTATGTGACAGCTGGCACCAAGAGCAACAATCAAAGGCCTGGAAATGAATCACAGCCCAGGTCTGATGCTGGTTACCTGCTCTGGAGGACTGCATAAATTAATTTACTGATGAACTGAGTTTTAATTTGTCTGTGCAATAACCAACCCTGAGGGTAACAATCAACTTCAATCTCGCAATGTGGGTTTTTTTCTCCCATGAGCCCTCTCTGCTGTGCATCTGAGTGTTTTTATGATGCTTCCACTGCTTACCGTTGGGGGAGAGGGTCACAGCTGGCATGGAGTGCATACTTGGCTCAGCGATGTACTTAAAGTCCACAGGGATGTCCCTGAAAGAAGCACAAAGCACAGTGAGTCCACTTGAGGATGGATAAAACACAGGATAATAAGAGAGATACCTGAACAGCCCTAAAGAGTGACATGTGGACGTATCTGATGAAAAACCCTTCATGACTCTTTGGTTCGTTTTTGAAGATGTGTGATATTAATGAGAAAACAGTGAGGGTGAAAAAGCAGAGAGCATCTCTGTTACAGTTTTAGTGTGTAAAACACTTCATGCAATCTGATAGGAACGTTTGATGATGCACTGCAGACTGTACGGACATCAGTTTATTTACTATAACCTTTATCACTCATTTGTCTCTCTATTTGTATGATCTGCTATTTCTCTCGGTTTTAGACAAGGCCAAAAAACTACTATTTAATCAGACTCAAGTGTGCTGTAGCATTACTAAAGAGCCTTTAATTCTGTAGGGCCCTCTGTGGGCATGTGCGAGGATGACTTTTTCACTGACGCTGGGCATACAATGTGAGAATTTAGGTTGATGCAGACCTGATCTTGGAATTGTACAACTGCTTTTGGCCAAATTTGAGTCTTATTGTTAGTTGTTTGCTGTGCAGCGTTTACACGCTGGTCAGCCACAACATTATGACCATCACTGTAATATAATGGAAGCTGACACAACAGCTACCTCAAGGAGGTTTTAAATTTTTTTTGTTAACACTGTCATGTCAGGGAAATTATGTTTGACTAGAGGACAACCAATATTGTTTTTTCAGAGCTGATACCAACACTGATCATTAGCAGTTCATGAGACTGAATATCAATATAGGGAACCAGCATACACAGCAAAAAAAGAAAATCTCTGTCTAAATTTAGGATATACCAAAATGGACAAAGACAGAAAAATCATTTTTTAAAAATGTACTGAAAGTGGTGCTAAAGGAAAAAAGACCCAGAGGCAAAGACATCCCAACAGTAAGGGGTTAGTAGCACGTCTTAATTAATTTTATCGTCCATCTGTAAAAGGCAGATACAGATAATAGTCAAAATGCTAAATATCCGCCATGCTATTCAGCCAAGGTTGATCATAGGTCTTCTTCTTGATTGTACTTCTTGTATTCTCTGACTTCAGCTTTGGTCAATATTTATGACAATAATCACAACAAACATCCTAACTCAACATAAATCTGGAGCGTGAGTTCAATGTCCACCATGACATCTATGCACAGTGTATACCTGAAATGTGCATTTCCTCTGTGAGAGTGACTGCAGACTGAGAACATGAGCGGAACCTGTTGTTTGTGTCCTTCTGTCTCATGCTGTATGTGTTGACACCGCGAAGGAGATGAGGAGCAACAAGCCCGTCCTATCCTGCACTACTCTACTTACACTAAAGCTATATCTCTTCATTTCCTGGGAAGAGTCACAGCTGCAGCAGAGACCTAGAAACTTAAGAGCTTAAAAAAGAGCAAGACAAAAAATCAGAGCCCTCCTACACATAAAAATACACCTGAATCGTTTTTTATTCTGGAGGTTTAGGAATAATTGAGCTTGTATAGTAAAATTTCTAGATGCACTTTGATCCTGCATGAATGATGTCAGCAGAGAGGCCAGACTTTGTAATTGCATGTAGAGAAAATATCAGGAGGAGGAGAAGACTTAAGAGGAAATGAACTAGACTGTTTTTGTTTGTTAGTGGGAGCTAAAGTGGAAAGGCTTTCTCTCAACATAATTAGTATTGACAAAAGGGTGAATGAACTTTGCTCATTAATTTCAAGTTAGTGCAGTTATTTCTGATGAGAAAATATTTACATAATTTTATATGTAGGCTGGCAGCAGAGGGATTGAAAAAGGTCAGGACCCATGATGAAGGACAGTCTGGAAAACTCCTCAATCTGTACTTAAAATAAACACAGGACTTAAGGGACATGGATGACATTGCATTCCAGTAATGTCCTTCACTCTGTCTCTGCCAATTTTTCATTTCCACTTCCTTTTTTGTCTCCATCCATCATCCCCTAAGTCCCTCCCAGCCCACACCCTCATCGCTCTCTGAACAACATCTTAAAGATCAAGAGCTAATTCTCCTTGTTGACACATTGCAGCAAATTTCATATTGATTGTAATCTTCCTGCGATGCTTACACAGACTCTGCTCCCTGATGATGAACCTCAGCGGCAGATAAAGTGCTCTCCCCTGAAAACTTGTATACGTGTGAAAACAGGGACAGAATTTAAATTAGATTTCCATCTCGCTATTCCAGAGATGGGAGGCTGTTCTGGTAGATTCCAGCTAATGCCGCTATGTAGCAGCTCTCACAAGGGGGATGGGTGGGGGGTTAGCCAGAGCTAAGTGCCAGGTGGTATCCGTGGGAGAAATAGGGACAGTAAAGCCACTCTTTGGCCCGGTGTTCAGCCCGCTCCTCCGCTCCCACGCTGCACTAAAAAAAGAGTGCACTCATTGGGGACTCACAGGATGGGGCCAATTCGCTTCACTTTACATTTTGTTACATCCTTAAACTCTGACTTTGAGAGTGGGGAGAGGCTAACTTTGTGTCAGCAGTTAATCCCAATCTCACAAACCCTAAAAGAAAAAGAGCTGAGGGGAAAAACTGAAGAGAAAGACTCTTAGACTCGACAAAGACAAAAAAAGAGGACCCCTGCATGAATCCACAGGAAGCTTCCTTTAGCAACGCTTCTATAAACATTTATCGTTTACAACCAACAAATAGCACAGTTTGTTTATCACCACATGACCCGCGGCCACTCTGCAAGTCACTCGTGGTGGTCTCTCTTGATAGTCAACTGACAAAACGGTAATAGGACAATATCCATGTTGAAGTTCTGCCTTACAAAATTATATAACTACTGAAAATATTTGAAATGTTTTTTTATGAAACTGTTGGCCACATGGTCCAGAGCTCATGGGAGTTTCTGCTGGATCATTCTCAATGTTCAAAACAGGCTCCAGGGAAGAAACGGCTCCCACTATTACAGATGCATGTGAAGCAGACGGAGGCCGTGACTCAGGGCAGATTAGCAGCACAGCTGTCTGAGCTTCATCTAACATAGAGATGTCCTGACATTTGTTTTTTTCTTACTGATTCCAGGGACCAGTGCAAGAGTAGGTCTTTAAAAAGTTTGGTTTTAGTGCCCATTTTTTGTTTTTCTTCTTGTGAAAAAGGTTAAAACATAAAAGCCCAACATGCACTTTAATGGTGTCTTAAACTTCAAATATATAACATTAAGGTGAAAACGAATGTCATGCATTTGAACATATGAGAAAAAAAATTTTGTGACCAGGACATGATAGAATTAGTGCCGTGCTCATGGGTACAACACTGAATAGATGATACCATCACAAACTTAAATCTTTCAGTCTGCACTTACCACTCCCACACTCGAAGACTCTTGTCATCTGATGTGCTGACAAAGCGACGATTCTCATCCACAAAGGTGATGGTGTTGACAGCTCCCAGGTGACGGTCGTACTCCTGAACCACCTCACCTGTCCTGATGTCCCACTGAAAAAAAGAGACACAAAAAAGTCCAAAATTAGGCTGAAGCAGCATAATTTTAATAACTTTCGTTTAGTTTTATTATTTTTGTATGGTGGTTTGGTGGCATTTATCTTCTGGTTGTTACCCAAGCAAATGACATGGAGCCGGAGCAGAGACAAGCATTTAGCCTCTTGGCTACATTATGCCCACCTGACAGTCAGCTTAGTTGTGTCCTTAATTATGCACATTTAAGTTTAATTCTGAAATGAGCTCAGAAGTGCTCGATGACTGAAACCGTGAGGGAAAAATAATTAAGCCACATGGCCAAAAACTGTTTCGGTACCATGCTGTAAACAGGTTTATTTCCAGAGTCAGATGGAGCATTTGAACATGAGAAATACCGGGGATGTGTTTGGCTGTTGCTTCTGACGGACAGTCGAGGACTACACTTGTTCTGCCTTTTTGTATTAGCTTCATTAATACAATGAGGGTTGACACGTGATTGGACTTGAATTTTGGTCTCCTGACTATGAGCTGTTTAACCCATTAATCACCTGCCTGGCTGCTGTGATAGGACTACAAACAGGTGGTAAATAAACACATTAGTTACTGTAACACATGGGGCTGCTGTGGGACAATCATTGCGAACCATATTAATTAAGTGATTAATATAGTAAACCAGCCTGCTCTACTTTCATTATGCAATCTTATTACTCACAGGCTCTGATTTCATTTTTTTTTATTTAATAAAACAATATTCAGACATTTCAGTGTAAAGCAAAGACAATAAACAATGAATCAACCTTGAGGCAGAGACAAATGGGATGCATTTCTGTCCAAACAGATTCTCCATCTATTTCTATTTATGCCCTTGCTGTTTTTTTTTTTTTATCTTAGCCTTGAGCTGCCAACAGGAGGAGCCATCTGTTCCAAAAAGAAAAAAACAGATGAGGGCTGCATGATTTAAAACTAACCCTGATTATGAGCCAGATCCTGTGATAATGACCGCTGTTCATCGAGAAGAAAAGAGACGAATCATGTGCCTGTTGTGATTGAAGATGAAATCCTTTAACAGTATGTCCATGATTATCAGTTTTGAGAAGAAAATTCATACATCCTAAAACAAGACTACCTAGGTGTAGTCTACTTGCTCTGAATTGTTGATTTTTGTTGCTTTGAATTCTTGTTTAACTCACTGTTTTGGGCTCCTTTGTTTGTTAGTTTCTTTTAAATTGTCAGAGTATTTAAAATGCTCTGTATAATAAAAACTTTTGGAAGAATCTTTGAGCAGAAATACATACTTTCATCATGTAGGCTTGAGTTCAGCTGATGAAAAATCTGTTCACTTGATTCTGTGGAAGCACATTCATGGATTAACAGCTTTTATCACAGCATCTTCTTTATTGTAATCCATGATAAATGACCCCCTCTAGTCCTGTCAGCCGCTGAACCCTAAACCATATACACAGAAATACACACACCAATCCTAGAAGATGAGAGGAGAGTGAATTTCATGCTCCTGTGGGCAGCGTTTGTATACACAGAAACTCCTTTGTGCATGTGCTTGCTCAATTGGGAAATACACATGAGGTGATGTAGGGAGCAGAATTGGATTGTAGCACGGTGCGGGCTTTACCTGAACAATCTTCTTATCTGACATGCCGGCCACAAATAGGTTCTGTTTGTCCTCGTCTGGGTTGAACTTGACGCAGTACGGCACCTTCCTGTTGGTGAAGGGGGCGATACATTGGCCTGTGGAGAGTAGAAATAGAAAGTCAGGGCCACAAAAATAATCCTTGGAGTCTTTTCAGAAAGGTGCGGGAAAGTTGTTTAAAAACTTATGTACATAGAAAGTTTGAATGTTGTTTGTTCCCTGTCCCTGCAGGCAGCAGGAATTTAGCTGCGACACACAGACAAATAAATCCAGTGCTTCTTTGTGTTCGTGCAGCAGAGGTGAATCACCACAGGAATGATGCTACTGCTAGAGCTAAGGGAACAGGAAATTAAACTGACAACAAAGACCTACAAAGACTACAAAGAGGCCCTTTAGATAAGAAGAGAGGCTTTTTTACAAACACGATTTCTGCATTTCTTTCAGTGTTTATCGGCAACTGGGACAAAGCTGGAATGAAATGCTAAGATGACCCCCCACTGTCACAACAGTAGAGAAAAAAACGCTGCTGAAATCAACTGTTAAAACCATTGCAGCCAAAGTTACCTGCTTTATTTAACAAACTGGAACTGTTTTGTATTTTAACTCTTTCATGTGTATTTGAAAAATGTGTATCCAAAGGGGATTCCTAAGAACAACTGGGGCAGTTAACTCTTTTCTGCCCTCTGCTGGATTGATAATCTTAGGGTGAGAAGGGTGGAAAGGGAGATGAGAAAGTGAGGGGGAGACTAAAGGGAGCCCTGTGGCTCAACTGAGATCACAAACTAGATTTTTCAAAGACAGTTTAGACTGTTCTTTTTTGGTTACACTGAGACTGTCCTGTACATGTTTTTAGATAAAAAATGACATACTAATACTTTTCATGAGTTTACATTCTCATTTGAATGCCAGGCAGGGACACCATTTATCATTCAACATCACTCAGCCAAACACAGCTCCAGTATACCGACCCCTCAACTCTACCAAACAAACTCTGACTTTTACCATGCAATATAATAACCATAGAATGTACATATTTGTAGAGCAATACATTCAACCAAACAATATTGATATTTTCTTGTGCAATGCAAATATTGTACCTGATTATACACGGTGAAATACAGTTGTGCTAATGTCAAATACTGATATTCTGCTGTGAAATTCTTCTGCGCGATTTTTTTTCCCTGTGAAAAATAAACATTGTACCATGCAATATAAATATTTCCAGAGCAACCCCCTCAGGTACCCTGTACATGATCTACTGAGCAGTCTACATGTGAACACATTCATGATTGATATCATCAGTGAATGTCTGAATGTCATGCACCTGAGATGAAGCACTTTTTAATGTTGTTGTCCAATGGATAATGACTATTGAGACCATCAGTTCTTTTCGTTACAGAAACTAATGCTACTAAGAAAAATTCAAACAGGGAATTCCTTCAAAAGTATTTATTTGATTAATCCCATATAATCTTATGGATACAGCAGTCCACTGAAAAGATTCTGCATATCATTCTTTGTAAATATCATCTGGGATGATTAAGAGCAATCACTACTTTTATTTATTTATATATCTTTTATTTATTACGGGCTTTAAATCTTTATTGAGAGGGACAGGACAGTGGATGGAGTGGGAAAAGTCAAAATGGTGTATGAAGGACTGCAGATTTGAATCCCATCTGAGGACTGTAGCTTAACATGTTTGTGGACCTTGTGCATTACGAGTTTGAAATGTGCAAGTCCAGTCTATTCTATAATACACCAGTTATTTAGGGGACAAATGCTGAATTAACCCACAATTTTTCCTTACCTGAAGCTTCTGTAGATACCCAGTTTACTCCCTACCTATTACCATCTAGATTGTCAAAGTGTGCCAGACAGTTTCCTGAAGCCAAACTTTACTCCTTCAGCACTCAAAATGTCATTAACTACTGTTACTAACCTCTAGCTTGCACTAACCGTTCCTTGTTTATTGAGGCTGATGTAACTACATTTTGTCTCCTTCTCCTGTGCTGTACCTTGTGTCAAGATTTTGCAGAAAACTGTTGGGTTCAGTCAGCTTAACAAGAAAGTTGTGCCTTGCACTGCCCTCCTTTATGTAATGTCTGGTGAGATCAAGGTCAAATCGGATAGAAGGAACAGTGTGTCATTATCTTCCCACATCTATACTTTACAAAAGTGCTTCTTGCAGAGAAAATCTGTGCGCTTTCTTCTCATTCCATGTGCTCTCACTGAGACATTAATAGAGATGTTCTGTATAAGAGACATACTCATGGAGAGTACATCTCTCTTGATTCAGTCATTTTGAAGAAGCACAGCACGAGGCAGGGAACAGAAAAGATACATCAGAGTGGCGGAGCGTACCTGTCTCAGTGTCCCATAGTTTGAGGTAGCGGTCGTAGGCAGCGCTGAGGAACTGGGTCCCACTGTTGTTGAAGCAAATGTCTCGCACTGCTTTGCTGTGGCCTGACACCAGAGGAGGAAATTGACAGACAGTTAAACAGACAAACTTGAATGTATGTATGCATGCATGTTTTGTTGGCTCCCCCCTGCTGCCTTTATTTCATAGCCAATGTATTTGAGGATGTGGGACCTAGTTATAGAAACTCATGAGGGAAAGATGAGGGAAACTCAATCTGTAAATAACAAAAAAATACTGTCAATCTTCTCTGCTCCTCTCCACTTTCTGTTTTTCTCTTCTAAATTTTAATCTATGCAGCCTTTTGCCTTTCTCCTCATTCAGTGCAGGTGATGCCAGCTCCCTGTGTGTTTCAGCGAACTCTAACGCCTCCCTTGTTAGAATCAGCTTTTATCAGTGCAGCACTGTTTCCACGGCGATAGTGGGACCCAGTGAGGTTAAGTGCTTGCCTGCTCGCTTGCTCTAACCAGGCTCACTGGCATACCAATGCGATACACTCGTGCTGCTGAAAGCTTTGCTCACTCACTTTAGAGTGAATTAAATACAGTATATTCACTCTATAGATACAATTACACTCTCTGTGATAAACATGCTGAATTATTTACATACCCAAATGTATTCTTAGTAACTTTTTCTGACTGATGAACTGAACTGGCTGATGAGGGAGAGCAAATACCATCAAACTTGAAACAAATGCAGTTTAAGCTAGAAATGGCTGATACGGATATCCATGCAGTGAGAACCCTTTTCACATTGACTGCTCTCCCTGATGGCTTATTGAAAACAGTACAACCCCAATACTGTCAGTTTTCAGGTGTGTGAAGTGTGAAATAAAAATCAGAACAAGCAGCAGGGAGACACTCCTCTATTGATCTCAAGAGTCAGAGAAAAAGTTTATATCTATGTAACTTTGGTCTGCTGAAGACAGTGAAGGAGCCTAACAGTGTAGTGGACAGAGAAAACTATCAACCTTACGAGAGAGTGAATCAAAGTAATTGTGCATGTTATTCCAAACCAGTGAGGATATTTACTTCTGTACAAGACTAGCTGTAGAGATACAAGTCTCAGATATACAGTGTGTCTATGCCAATGAGCTACAATGAGTAGGAAAGAAAAACAGAGCTCTTTGAATGTAATCGGCTAGGGGTGCTGTGCAGACACTAGAACCCTCATATTTGTTTGTTATTATAACCTTATTTTAGGAGTGCAACATGTTTCATGCAGGGTAATAACTTAGTTGTTGATTTTACAATGTGCTAAATCCGTGCAAAAACAATGAAACTACCTGCAAGGCTTCAGTTAAAATCTAACGCTGTTCAGTTTAATAGCAGATGTGGCTCATCCTAACTTTCATGGAGATTGTTCGGCATCGAAGACACACTCGTTGCTCAAAAGACACCAGTCTGCAAACTGTTGGGAAGCTGTTGGTGTTTAAGATAGCTTGACTACTAACTTGTTTCACTATCTGTCATTTGCACGAGATATGGAGAATATGAAAAGCTTCAGCAGACAGCTTTGACAAATTAATGAAGGTATCAGCAAACCAAAAACAGAGACAGCATACTTGGTATGGCTTACTTGTTGATGACTGCTTGGTTGCATTTACTGTTGCAGTGATTTCAGGGGTTTGTTCTGTGTTGACTTGACTGATTCTGTTCAAGTTCATAAATCAGAACTCTTTTTCTTATGCAAGTTGTTCTAATCAACATATTAACAACATCTAATGTACTATTAAGAAGACATGAAAACACTTGTTTATTGTTTTTTTGATGATTTGTGGGAGACTCCACACTGAGGTGCCACGCTTCAGATCCCCCTCAAACATATGGCACACCATAATGTGAGTCGACCCTTATCCTCTGACCAGTACACAATCTTTCATTTTTATCCTCATTTTTGGGCAGAAGTGAAAGTTCAGCTGAATTATTATCTGAAGATCAACAGACGAGTATCTTCCTGCTGCTTCACCTGGATTTTATTCGTCAAACTCAGCAGGGTGGCAGTGAGCTGTTGTACTAGTGACACCAGGGGGAACAGTAAAGACAACATGTGGCTTTTGAGTGTTTGGTTCAAAAAGGTCAAATGCTCCACTGCATGATCAGCTTGATGAGCTTGATTTGATTTGATTTGTCAAAACATGCAGCTACGACTTGCTTGTAAAGGGGCATGGACTTTGGATCAGAGTGACCTCTACCTTAAGTTAAATAGTAAATGCCGGTGAAAGCCCCATAAGAAGACACATGCCTACACAGCACTCATAATGAGTGATCAGATCAACAGAGATTTCTCTCCCTCTTCCATTATCAAACAAGTCATCCATAGAGGAAATTACATTTTAAAGTCTAACTGAGACAATAACATTCTCAGAGGTTGAGATAAACTTTTTGCTTTTCCCCACCTTTGCCCCACAAAGAACTCAAGGGTGAAATCAAGATGAATAAAAGCTTGGGTTTATTAACTGAAATTTGAGTTTTTTTATTCCACCCCAAGATTCAAACAGTTGGACGTCCTCTCTAAAAGATCTGAATGTAAAAACCTCAGAGATTAGAAAAAAAAGGAATAATTTATAACTCTTGTCAAAGAAAAGGGAATATATGAGCTAGCAGATGAGAGAACTGAAAGCAAAGCAGCAACAACAAAGTGAAAAGCTAATATGTTGTACTTACCTGACACCTCTCTGATTTTTGAAAAAAATGAACATCATCTGCACCTCTGCTCCTTCTTCAACTCACAAACTCCTCTGCCAGTCACTCTGTGTCAGTTCATTCACACCTGAACCATGCTCTGTCTTCCCACAAGTCAACCCCTCCGTGTGCCCCCCCCGACTTCACAGTCTGTCACCGCTCAGTATTTCCCAAAAGACCCGGAGCATATTTCATATCAGCATGTTTGCTGGTGATCCATGGTTGATCATAAAATGATTAAATTGTATTGTGAGTATAATAAAATACTGTTACTACTCAGCACAATGAAATATTTCCAGAGTTAGGCCTATCAGGTAGTGTAGTCACTTACCGATGAATGTCCGCATGCATCTCCTCTCGTTGTAAACCTCCCATAGCTGTGCAGAGAAGAGGAATACGATAAAGTCTGAGTGAAGAGTTTCGAACAACACTGAACCCCAAAACCACAACTAATTGAAAAACAAAAATCCTGCCTCAATTCAGACTGTCATCATCTTATGCTAATGATGTATTTTAGCACAACTTAGCTGGAGACATACTTAACTGGGGCATTGCAGCTTCACTGGTGTCACAATTCGATTCCATTGCATTTATTGTGTCTCCAATTCGGTTCGATTCGATATCACGATTCATTGCAAATGTTTGCATCCTGAATTTTTATGTCACTGGTGATCTACTTTTGCATCAGAGGAAAGCAAGCAGGCCGATAAATTTTAACTCCCTTTCTCTATTATTCAGGAATGCTTTAGGAATAGACATCAATTTCAGCATAAATGCCTTTACACTGTAAACCAAAGATTAACAGCTCTAACCTCCTTGTATTTGAGAAACTGTTCTCTCCTTCTCACGCACAGAAAAAAAAAACAGTTCACCCTGCAGTCCAACCACAGCCTCTCAGCAACTGTCTTCTGCTCCAAGAACACTTTTTGGATGTGGCAAACATCATCAATATGAATTGAGCCTGAACACATTAAATGCAACATGGTCTAACAGTAGTGTTTAGCAGGCGTAAGCTTCTCAGGGTGGAAACAGACAGGAGAGTTTGTTTATTGGCTGCTCTTGAATTTGGCAGCTCTCTGCCATGTTCCTTGTGTATTTGCTATCACTCTTTGCAGTAATTTGTCCCTTCATGGTTACCGTCGGCTGCCGTAAAGCTGCTGTTGTTGTGATCTAGCTAGCTATATGCTTGTATCTATGGAATAAAGACAAGACCTGTTGATCCTTATTAGTAGTAGTAGAAGTAGTAATAATAATAATAATAATCGATTATAAGCTCTGAACTCCTGTTCCAACTGGAGGGAGAGAGGCTCTGTATCTTACATTTCAGCTAATCACCAGGAGAAGCTTTGTATAATTTGACTTCAGTTTTGAGGAACGGCTGGGATGTCAATCCAGTGTGGTTTGAAGTCCCTCTGATTTTAATCAATTTGAGTTTTTGCTGAGCAGCTTTCACACACAGGGCACAAGGCAGTGATTACAGTTTTTGAATGGCCAATGCCAATACTGATACCAGCTGCATTTTCTGTGTATTTACCTTGATTTTGCAATCCATGGAGCATGAGAGCAACAGATGACCAGATTTGGGGAATAGCCGGATAGCACTGACACCCTGGAAAACACACAGAAAAAAGGAAATGATTCAAACCTGACAATATTTGTCTTTCTTAAAACATTACTCGAGGACTAGGAACCAAATTATACTTTTCATAGTCAGGATTGTTATGGATGAAGATGAAACTGTGTTTGTGAATTACACATCTGGCCTATCTGCACAACATCATAATACCACAGTTGTGCAAATTTATAAAGGATATCCATTAGTGTCTTCTTAATTTCTATAATATAACCCTTTTTTTAATATGGGGGCATTTTTAAGTTGTTTTTGTTCAGGTGTTGCCCAAACTATAAATTTACAGAGTCAAAGACAATGCAAAATCGAAAGAGAAAGGATGCACTAACCACCTTTTTTTTTTTTTTTTTTTTTTTTTTACATACCTGTATATAAAACTGAATGTTGATGATGTTGGCTCAGTAAAGCCTAGCTATAGATATCTGCAGAAAGTTATCAGCTGGACCATATAGTAAGCAGAGAAGATAGAGAGTTTGTTCAAACTGTGCTGGCACTCTAATAGCTATAAAAGTTGTATTGGCTTCAAACTTTCCCCCAAAAGATAGTTTTAAAACTTTGGTGACACAATATGGGCCGTTCTATATCTATTACATCAGCACTTCCACATGCTTATTATCTCTTCATACCTCTTTGTATTTCAAATTAGACTCCTGAGGCTCTAACTTCCTGCACAAAGCAGATAGAGCCAATTTAAAACTTGAGTGATTTCTTCCTCCCTCAAGCACAAAGGCAGATCTAAGGCTTGGATCAGATCTTTCTCAGAATAACCCAGCGTTTGTCGTTATATTTGAATATAAAAACAGTGTTTTGAAGGTGACAGAATAATTTGGAGATGTCTGTCACAAGTGGAGCTTTCTGTCACTGTTATCATTTTATGCTACAGAATCCAGTATGTTTTTATGCATAGCTCGAGAGATTCTAAAAGGACTGCTCAACAGAATTTCTCTTTTCCTATTATGTTTTGCATTTCGGAGCAATTTAAAAAATACATTTCAAGAACATTTTCTTAATTGGTACACAAAGTACAATTAGTATAAACATGTCTCTTCTACTCACCTTGGTGTGTCCAGACCAAACATGAATCTGTTTTTTAGGCAGGTAACACTTGTCTGGAGAGTCGGCTGAACGCAGGTTGATGCCCACGTCCTGTGGGATGTGGAGGTAAGACCTGCCCTGGTAGTCATACATGTCTTTAACTGAAGAGAAAATAAAGAGACATTTTAATTGAAAGAAAACCTTGCAGTATTCAGTTCTTAGAGTAAACTAGACTTCTACAAGCTCTCAGCAGTTACACCCCTTCCCTCAAAGAGAATTTTCACGTAGGACTGAATCCCTGAACAGCGAGGACAAATGCGACTCCACAAACAGGGGTCCAAACAACCAATCATCGCTTTAACAAAAAGCCCCTTGAAGTGCAGCCTCTGACCTTAAACTCTTGTGGTTGAGTTATCTATCATGCCATGACTAGTGAACAAACATTATCTGTCAAAGAAAGCTGTGTGATATGATAAAACTTTCCTCAACTTCAAATCTTTCACTTTACCCACAATGATGAGATTTCATGAAGAGTCAAGGTTGATTTTCAAAAGATGTATTAGCTGAATGAATCAGTCATAATTTGTTTAAATTCTTGAAATGAAAGACCAGTGTACCATGCAGAATGGTCTTCTCCTCAGAAGGAGCCTCCTCCTCATTCCTTCCCTTCTTCTGCCTCTTGGCTGTGATCTCATCCAGCTCTTTCTGCTCTTCCTGGAAATAAAATGACACATGAGTCATCAATTACAAAACCTTAATCTCTAACAATAAACCAGTTACAGAATACCGAAAATATACTGCTATTTCTATTTATACTACTGGTAGCACATTAAGTATGCCTCAAGAAACAACTCAAGGGCACTTGTAATGCTTTGGATGTACATAATACATGAATACAAAAGCCCTTATTAATGAGATTAGCACAAAAAAAAAGAGTGCGTGCACTTAACATTTGTCTTATTTAAAAAAAAAATAAAAAAAACAATCAGCCCTAAAAATGTACCTCAGATGGTTTGGCCACATCTTTCTCATCTGCATACTTCGCCCATGGTCCCAGGAAGTTGTCTATCTCTCCTGCATCCCCACCTTTGACCTTTTTCCTTTTGTCTGCTTTCTTGGTTCCACTCTCAAATACAGTCAACCCTAGAGACAAAGAATCAGGTATCACACCTTTCAATGTAATTCATCAAATAATCATGCAAAATAAATCTAATTAATGCAGCTATTTACAAAAACAAGCATCAGAAATAAGATGTGGTATGTGATTACCTTTATTTTTCTCAGCCTCATCCACTGCACCAATGTAACTACTAGATGATACCTGGTGTGTATCGAGCGATGGATCTAATGCATAACCTGAAAGCAAAGAAGACAATGTGCACACAGATTTGTAAAAATTCAGGTAGGATATTCTGTCCACATCATTTAAACTCCCTGAGGTCACAGATCAGTTTACCATAGGTGGAGAAGGTCCTCCTTTGCTGTTCAAACATGAAGTCATTAAGGTGAGCAGGTTCTGCGTAGCCTGATAACATGTTCCTTGGGGCTGCCATCTGCTGGGATTTGAATGGGTTAAGTGGTCCAAACTAAAAGGAAGAGACAAAGGTTGAATAATAACACTGGAAAAAAAAGTGTTTTGCAATGATTTTCTTTCTTTTCATTAAATGTGCAGCAAATCAAGAAAACTGCAGGTGATTTCTTTTCTGCAAGCCAGCTGCAGGTTGTGGCCACATTAGACAGGAAATGATGTGCTACAGCCTTCATTGACATTGTATCAGCAATTTTGATGTCATGAGCATGAAAACTGTAGTATGGTTGTAATCGTAGAGGGCTTTTCAAAGCAAAAATAAATCTGTTTGTTTGACTGTTTTCGTAACTAGTCTTGTTTTCACACATGGCCATTATTTTTCAAGTCGTATTTATGGCAGTTATTTGGTAAAAGAAACATCTTTTTCCAACCTGTCTAGAACTTTCATTTAACTTAAGTTCTAGATAGGTATATATAGGTTGTGACGAATTTACAAACTATATACACTACAGGCCAAAAGTTTGGAAGCAAGGCCATTACAGGCCAAACAGTTGGGAGTAACTTCAACTTTTTGTTCACAATGCTTTTTTAAAAATCCAGCATGAGTTTTATTTTGGGATGTGTTTACTCCATTATCAGATGTTGCTTTCATGTAAATGCACCATTTTACTCCATTTACCTTTAGATATACATTGATGTTAACAGACCATTGCTAAACATATGTCAGCAAAAGACAGTAAGAGCTTAGTTTTAGGGTTGAAAACATTTGCAAGAGTCACAACTTCAGTGCAAAAGCAAAAAAACAAATCACAGTTGGATTATTCACTCCAACGTTTTGGCTTTTGAGAGTCTGCTTACAAAAATCCTAATAAATCTCAACTGCGTTCAAACTACCGCAAAAATGGCAAGAAATAAGCAACTGAGTAAAGAACCAAAAGTACAGATTTGTACATCGAGGAAAGAAAGATACACAGAAAGAGAAATTGCAACATGCCGAAAGGTGTTTAAGAAAGGAGTCCACTACACTCTGAAGAGACTAGAGGAACCTGGAAGTTATGATGATAGAAAAAGACCTGGACGAAAGAGAGTTACTACAAAAGCAGAGGATAAACATAGCATTGTCACCAGTAAGAGAGATCGGCAAAAGACAGCACCACAAATAAGGGAGGAAATCAACATGACAAAGTCGAAACCCATATCTCTGACAACCGTGAAATGACGTTTGAGAAAGGCTGGTCTGAAGGGTTGTGTATCTGCAAAAAAACGCTACTTCGTCCACAGAACAAGAAAAAGAGATATGAGTGGGCAAAAGCTCACAAAAATTGGACTTATGATGACCAGAAACAACTTTGCACTGTTTGGTTGAAAAAAGCTGAGTCTATGTCCGCAGACAAACTAGTAAACGTCTGAAAGCACCATGTGTTACACCCACAATTAAGCAAGGAGGTGGTAGTTCCATGGTATGGGGATGTTTTGCAGGTGATGGAGTAGGAGCTTTGTTTGAAGTAAAGGGTATCATGAAGAAGGAACAGTACCACTCCATCCTCCAGCACCATGCTGTTCCATCTGGACTAAGACTTGTGGCTCATAAGTTTGTTTTGCAGCAAGACAATGACCCTAAGCAGTCTGCCAAGCTCTGTCAGGGTTACCTAGACAAAAAAGAAGAGGAAGGTGTTCTGCAAAAGATGGTTTGGCCCCCTCAGTCTCCAGACCTTTCTCCAATTGAGCTTGTGCGGGATGAATTGGATCTATCGGTCAGAAAAACGCATCCCACGAATCAGCAATCTTTTTTTAATGAACTTAAGAAAGCTTGGAATGCAATCCCTGGAACATACCTTAAAAAAACTTGTGGAACGAATGCCTGGTATATGCCAAGCTGTTATTAAAGCCAGAGGAGGTTACTTTAAAGAAAGCAAAGTCTAAGCAAAAAAAACTCAAATACCTAATAGTTATAGTCAAAATGTCTTCTGATAAGTTACTCCTTACACAATAGTCATGTTAATTGTGTTGCAAATTATATATATATATATATATATATATATATATATATATATATATATATATGAAACTATGATCTCTTGTTTTACAAATCTGATCTTGCTTCCAAACTTTTGGCCTGTAGTGTATATATTATGCATAAGAGAGCAACAAGGATTGTTAACAAGGTAGGATTCTTCCATCATCTTAGGATACTAAGAGTATTAAAATTTGCCAATCTAGTTGAATTTAGAACTGCACAGAGACTGTATAGAGCTAGTAACAATCTACTCCCTAATAATAAACAGAAATGTTTGGTGGAAGAGAGGGAAGGTATGCATTAACAGGGGAATGCAATTTAAAACAACCAGGCGTTCGTACCACACCTACAAACATGTGTCTTTCTTTTGTGGGGGTGAAGCTGTGAAACAGCTTGCCCAATGATCTTAAACAAAGCAAAACTAGAGCATAGTTTAAGAGTAAATTAAAGCAGAGTATGATTCACAAATACGAACAGATGTGATTTTTTGTTTTGCCACACTTATTATATTGTATATGGGTATGGTACATATGAGAGATTTGAAGTATTCTAGGTGTATGTATAAAGTGTATATTTGTGTGTAGGTATGGATGTATATGTTTATATTAGGTCTTTGTTTTAGTATTGATGATTAGTTACATATTCATGTTAGACTTTGGAGCTTTGGTTATATTTTGGCATTATCTGACATTCTAAAGACATGTTAAGGTAAACAAATAGGAAGGAATGAGGGTAGGTACATGTAAGCTAAATAGCTTCAACCTACTCCTTTCGAACATCAAAAAAAAAAAGTCTAAAATTGTATTATATGTATATTTGATCGAATAAACAATCTCAATCTCACACCTGCTACGGGTAAGTCATGTTGATAACTAAAAAACCATCAGACTACAGGAAATATTTCTTCCTGTGTGAGCTCCATCTCTCTCTTTGCATCCATCTCTGTGCCCTCTTATGCATCATCCCGTTTATCCTGATGAGACTAATCTTAACCACCGAAATCAAACAGTCTTTTTCATAAGGTACACAATTTTACTTATCCAATAATATCTGGTTAGGAGAAAGGGGATCCAGCACCGTTACATCTGCCCTCCCCTCTCTACAAAGTGCTTGCGGAGTGTTTAGCTGCACCTTTTCGGTTTGAACAGGCACACTTTATAGCTCAATAAGAGGGTCCTCAAAAAGCTCTTTGTTGAAACACAACTTGATGATCAGACAAGGAGACTTACTTCGGGTGCGAACATGGTGTCATATGTAGGATTGTAGGCGACTTCTTTCAAAGCAGGGTCCAGATGTGTGCCAGTCTCAACGGCCTCCTACAATGCAGATACACACTGATGACTGCCGAGTACAACTGTTCAACGGCATAGAACCCCTTGACAGTAATGATAAGCCCCCGCTGATGGTGCAGGAAGACTATCTGGCAACCTCCGTCTCATGCGATAGTTAGCTTGGTTAGCTTACCTTTACGGCAACTTCAGGAGCAGAATTGAGAACAGCCAAAGACATCGTCTGTCCAGACTGCAGGGGTTTAAGATGAGCCGTTGCATCCGGATCAGCTGGATCCACTTTCCCGACATTAACTTGTGATTCAGACTCATTTTCTGAATCGGAGTCGCTGCAGTATGAAGCGAGGGAGGAAATGGCAGCAGACATCTTGGATGTTGTGAATTCACCGGAAGCTGGGGGCGGGCTTTCCGGTGTGGCGGAAAAGAAGATGATGAATCCACTTCAAATTTTGTAGTTCTGCAGTCAGATTAAGAGTCTATCGAGAAGAGGGAAGAAACAAATAACGTAAAACATCAATTCCTTGTACATAATGGTATACAAAAGATAACGAACGTGATATATCCCGTATAATACTGTCTGAAGAGAGGAAGAAATGAATGAATGATTCCAACGAATGATCTTCGAAAATCTTTAAAATTATGGGCTGAAAGAGAAAATGCATATATATATATATATATATATATATATATATATATATATATATATATATATATATATATATATATATATATATCAACGTTCAACGTGGACCTTTGATAGATTATTGGACTCTCAGTATTTCTCACTTTTTCATACATAGTCATCAAATCATTAAACAGAAGTGAAAACTATAGTATGATTTTTATTTATTTTGTACTAAGTGGGCGTTAAATATATCCACGCCCTTCAGTGAAATTGATTGGACATCATTGCATGACCGTCTCCGATAACTAGCCAATACCATTAGCGTGCACGCTATCCGCTAGCCCTCCACGAGCACAGGAGCAGTTGCATGGAAGGCTTTCTCGCGCCCCGACAATAGAGTGGTAAGTACCATTATCGCGGATGAAAATAGGGGCAATGTCTTAAGAAATATAAGTCAGTGTCTGTCGTTTAAACTGAGGAAAATTTGTGTTGCATTTAAGTCAGACTAACGAATGTTTTTCTTCGTTACGAAATCTGTTGTAAGCATCACTGGACCAGGGTTAATACCTTTTCCATCTCTGTCCACCCCGAGATTCCCTTTGGAAAAAGGTGCCTGGGTTCCTCTCCGCCGCCGCCTCTTCCAGCAGGAGTACATTTGATATCAGAGACAGGACAATCATGGATCCGACCCGGGGATTTAAATGCTTGGACACGGTAGCACGCTCTGCTGTTCAGTGAGGATGGGAAGAAAATAAGAGGAATTTTATCAAACGTATCAGGTAATTTCTGAACACCCCAAGAGTGTCACAGTTTTAACTAAAAGTTGGACTTTGGAATGATTACGATCATGTTATTGATAAACTCGTTAAAACATAGTATCATGATGTAACCAGAGATTTTATGAACCCCATAATTGTAAAGGAATACTTAATAAGAAGCTGCTTGGCTCGTAACGGTCTTGGTAATTTAACACTGTCTGACCATCACTGACTGCCACATTAACCCTGTGCACACTACACAGGTAACTAAATGTTGCCGGAATGACAACGTGAGGGTACACAGCAGACAAAAGCATAACAGCGGGTGTGGAAAATGCAAACAATATGACGACAAACCATATGAAAGGACTTGCTTGTTGGTTGATTTCAAAGCTCAACATCTGTACGAGCTACCGCTGCATCGTTTTGACATACTCGGTCCAAGAAATATCACGTTAGGGTGAAACCGTGGAGCAATGATCTGAAATGCGACACAATTTACCCAGAATTCATCCAACATCTCATGCATTAAGTTTTCTTTACAGTCCTGTTGTGGTCGTAGACTTGTTGGCTGATATCGCGTGATTAGACAAAGCCTTTAAATCTGCACGGTGTGATTTAATTCTCCCACTAAGAATATATTGACTTGTATCTCAGAGGGAGAGAGAGAGAGAGAGAGAGAGAGAGAGAGAGTATAGGGGCTGGGGTCTACTCCAACCAGCTTGGTTTGCAGTCATGGGGGATGGTAGTCTTCAGCCCAGTGAAAATCATGCTTTGTGAAATTCGAAACCTTCTTTGTACTACTTCAAGTGCAGCAGAGAAAAGTGGGCAGAATGAGGGACAGTGTGGTTTTATTACTGCAGAGTGCAGACGTTTGTTGCATTTGCATGATGCAGGGTCATGTGGACTTACATTAAACTGCATTTATGACCAGGCTGAAGGTACAGTGTGAGGATGATGCATGAAAGGGTTTTTTGTTCACAGTGCAACAAGCATCATGTTTCATTATCAGCCTGTCAAAATAAAGTAGTAAAGTAGGAGCAGCCTGTAGTGGAAATTTGTGTTAAGAGCTGAATTGATGAATGAAACATTAGCTGCAGAGTCATTGATAAAAGTCTGTTTACGCTGCTGCTTTTGACAGCAGATTACTGGGTCAGCTTGTGTCACATGTATTTTAACAACATTCAAGTGCAATGATAACCCATCACAGAGAGACAACAGGGGTCAAGTGTTATGTAAATGTGGCTGCTAGTGATGTGCATGAGCCAAAGGGTGCCATGTTTACTCTAATGAGGCTGAGGAAGTACTCTGTCCAGGTCAGTTTGGATCAGATCTTTGTTTTTGAAGAGCAGGAATTAAATCAGCATGAAGAAAATCCAAAAGATGAGCTTCTTAGGCCTTTCTGATGACACTGCCAATCAAACACTGGAGACGTTATGGACTGATTTGATTAGAAGTCCCATTACATTCATGATTCAAATTGAGTTGATTTTGTGTAGATTGTGTGTGCATAATGTGTCCCTTTCCCTTATAAATTAGGGAAAATATTTAGATTTTTCTGTGTGAGAGCAGTCCTGACTGCATGTACAAAATAATCTGAATGCCTGTGCAGCTGTTAAATTTATTTTTATGACTTTCGAAAAGTCACATGATTCAGCAAAGGCTATATGCTGAGCTTCAAAACAGCTTACTATTATATATTATCAGTACAAAAACACATATACTTCCACTACGCCTGTGTATATTATTTTCTTCAAGGCATGCCCAAGGGTCTTTTCCTTGAGTGACATCTGCAGAAGCAGTGATCAATTTCACCTTTGCACAGCTCGGATTGGATATTTCCTGTGTTATCAAATCACTACAAGTGTAGTATGAGAGGAGTTGTTTTTCCACCCAGACTTTTGTGGAACATTTGAGTTTGCAAGAAAACAGTCAACACAGGTAAAATAATACAAAAGTGTATCTGAATAATCTGTCCATTGATACTTGAGTTTTATTAATAGTACTCAGTTTATCCAACAAATGTCCTTAGCCACAGGTATACTCTCGGAACAGTGCAAAACATATTTCTTTGGTTTTATCTGTTGTTGTTTGTGAACTATATTGCTGTGAGGGATGACATTCCTGCACAGTTTGCACTTCTCATGTTTTCCTCTGCGTTTCAGAGGCCCTCGTGACAGAAGAGTTTTGGCAAGCATCCTGCGGGGGCTTTTGGACCTCTCTTTATTTGTTGACATGACTCTGATGCTCTGCCAGTCTCTGGTTTTCTCATACTAGAAAGAAGAATATCGTTTTTTTTCTGGTAGCTCTTCTTTGAGATTCTCTACAGAGGTGGTGAGGGGTGACAGCAGGACACACAGAATCACATAGGGCATAATAAAAGGGCATGTAGTGAGAGGAAAAGAGGGGAGATGGGAGGAATATGAGTGATGGCTGCTTGGCATAAGGAAGAGGAGGTGGGAAGAAGGTGGGCCAAAGATTCTGGGAACGGCAGAAATTATATGTGTATGTGCCATTTAGTGGCTCCACAGACAGACCTCCTATCTCCCAGCTGTTAAGATGTTCTAGAGGCTTCAGCACACAGCAGCTATTGTTCTCCCTCTTGGCAAGGCTTACAGCTCTATAATACTGCATCTGTCCCCAGGCTAAACTGGACTGACAGTGGACACAGTTAGCTGGGTTGACTGGTGCTCCTTGTGTCATTTTGCTTCTGCCTCCACTTTCTCAACCCATTTTTTAAATTCAGGATACTGCTGTAGTTGTCCTTTTTTTTCTCATCCCATCTCTTGCTACCCTAGTTTCTCCAACTTTACAGTGCTGTGTGCCACAACTTTTACCCTTATCCTGAAACAAAAGGAAGTATTGACAATATTGCATTCTTACAAAGTGCTTCACAAGGAGAATGCAGTGGAACCAATCAAAGAACTGTACAAGATATAAGACACAAAATGAGCCACAACTCAAGACAGGGGTCCTCAGATAGGTCTGTCAGATGGAGTTATAGAGGCTTTCTTTACTCATTTTAGTGTTTGGCTTTTCCTCTGTTCTGCACTTTGTTGACTGAAAAGGTCTCAAAAGGTTGTGCATGAGTGTTATTTAGCTTCGAAGAAGAGTCTCAACAATTTTCTCTTCCTAAAAATGACAGCACCAGAAAACAGCAGCCACATGGTCTGCTTGTGCTTACCATTTTACTGATGACTCCTTTTTAAGCACAACCCATTACAAGCTGGATTTGATCACGACTGTTACTGAAACTTGGGATTGTTTCATTTATGAAAACCTTTTTGATGGCTTGGGATCACAAGCTGTAATTAATGTTTTAACAGCATATAATGTTACAATAGCTAATGTATAATATTGAGCTAATGTGGACACTAGCAGATGAAAACCTCAGATGGTTTTCATAAAGGCAAAACTCTCAGATTGTTCTGTGATTGCAAAGCTGTGTAAAAAGTAACACCCACAAGCTGTGTCTATCTATATAGAGCCACAAAAGCAAACAAAACAAAGTGTTGATGGTAGAGTGCTGAAATTAGGGGTTCTACTCACACTAACAAGAGTTAAATGGGTTCTTTCTTGGCTGCAAATCATTCAAGCTCCCTCTTAAGGTATCTCAGGCTGACATAATGAAAGGTGGAAATGCATATAATAGATTAACTTTTTAAATATGTTTTCATCCTAAACTGTTGGAAAAATATTTCCGAAAACTACATTTTGTTAAGGTTAATATACTGGGTAAGTGACACCAATTACTTCAAGTAATCTGTGTTCAGGTGGGTGTTTTTTAGCATTTTGATAGAAGGCCCTGCCATGGTCTCAACTTTATCTCAGGAAGCAAGGGGCAACCTCCTGACTTGAAAAATTAGACCAATGTGGAACTGCAAAAAACTGCAGTTCCTTTGAGTGTCCACTAGAGGCTGGCTCCAAACGCAAAAGAATCTCTGTTGGATCCCATATTAAAATGCTCATCTGATTTCCAGACTGGCTCAAGAACAGGTTTTAGTCTATTTAATTTATTTATTAATTCTTGCGCCGTGTTTGTATACAGTGAAAATTTATGATGCATCTGTTGGGAGAATACAATAGTGAGGGGGAGTTCTACACATTTGCATAATTAGGGGTATATGGCTGAGTGTACTGATAGATCAGTAGGCTGTAATCTTTTGCCAGAAGGCTAAATGCCTGCCTTGACTCCACCTCTAACCACAATTTAGGGTAAGTCAGAATTTTCCATATAGTGACTGCTGTTGTTGGACTTATCAATCTTGTACTTGGTCCTGTGGCACTTTCTTGGTTTTAAGCTCTCTCTGTCTGTCACCTAAGAGAGAAGAGGGCATTGACAGGGTTTCATGCAAGTTGACAGGATATGTCTCTGAAAGAGACCTGTCTGACCATGAGTTTGCTGCTGCCAACAGGTCAAAAACAGTCCCATTGGGGCTCAGAGCTTCCCCTGCTCAACTGTACTAACAAAAACGAATCTGCTCTCTTTTATCACTTCTGACTCACTTTTTCTTCCCTCCTGTCACATGCTTTGTAGGGTTTTATTTGGTCCATTTGCCTCCATTTTTATACAGCAGGTTCTTTTTTTACAGTGATGCAACACCTCTGCTGCCAGCTGCTTTAATCACAGCTGTTGTATCACTCAGCACATCATGGCAGGCTCTGTTGGGTTTTGGAAAGATTTGTCTTTCTTTTATAATGTTCAGCCTTGCAATATTTTCCACAGCCATAAGAAGACAGAAATGCTCATGGTTCTCATTTGCAAAGTGTATTTCTTCAGGCTACATCATATTCAGATGTTCTTCTTTGTTCTCAGCAGGGGGAGTGTAAGTGACGCAGTTGCTGCATTGTCGTATCATATCATACATATTGACTAGTTTAGATTGAGTGTTGCACAGTTGAAAATAAATCCTCAATAGTGAGGGGAAATCTTTGGTGTCTGAATAAGGTTAAGAGTTAGGAGTGCTTAGCTTATGAAGCAATGCTGGCTGAAAATGAGTGTGTTAACTGTCAACGGCCTCCTTGGTGTCTTGAGGCTGTTTTCTTGCAAACCTAATAAAGACCCTCTAACTGACTGGCCTGTCAGCAACAGGCAGGTATTTGTGAAATCAAGCAAGGTGGTGTCCTGTGACTGACCCAGCTCTTTGTCTGAGCTGACAGCCAAACTGAACCACACAATGGGCTAAACGATGGGATGATGAGGCCACTCCCCTGGTGTCATGTGTGCCTTTAGATGATAAACATAGTCTGATAGCCTTCTCAGCACAATGGAGCCTTGTATTATTCTGCTCCAGGAGTTAGGGAATTGGATACAGGGATCTCCTCAGTGGCTGCTGGCTGTGTGTGTGTGTGTGTGTGTGTGTGTGTGTGTGTGTGTGTGTGTGTGTGTGTGTGTGTGTGTGTGTGTGTGTGTGTGTGTCGTTGCGTTTGTGCAGAAATTGGGGAATTCTGAGTGTTAATAGTAGAAGAGCAATAACAAAGTGTTGTTCCTGCCCTTTAAGGTTACTGTGTTCTCTATTCTGTATAAAGGCTCCCTGTAGGCTTGAAAACTATGGCTTCGGTTGCACAAAGATCATCTGGCTAAATTTGAATTTGTAAATTTACGCAAAGCTCCATGATGATGGCCACAACAACCTGCAGTGTGGTTCTCCTTTTTCCTGTCACTCCCTCTTTTTTTGAATATCAAATGGGATGTTTCCGTCTTGATTCCTCTTCCCTGTTCAGCCGTCTTCACCGCTGATGGGTTCTCATCGAGCTGGAACGGCCGATATATGCCCCTGGTTGTCGTTGTGGCAGTGACGTTTGATGATTGATGAGAGCGTGGGAGAAATAAATGGGAGAGGTGGCAAGTTTATCCCATCCTCAGCTTGATTCCCTTCATTTTGGGACTGCGTGTCCGTATTCAATTACAGACAAGCTGCATTTTCATTAGGATTTTCATAAGCTCCCATTTTTCTTTTCAGTCCCTCTCCATGCACTGGGTTGAAGCACAAGGGGGAAAGACAGTGAAGGATTAGAGGCGAGAATGAAGCAGAAAATAAAGGATACGATAGGCTCTTGGTTCAGACACATACTGCACTACAGTTATTTAGGTTTGCATCTACTCCAGACTGGTTTTGGAGTGGACAGCCTTTCTTCCCCCTTTTTTCCCCCTGTTTGTTTATCCTAAACTGCCCCCCCCCCACCCCCAGCTCCCCGGAATGTTCTGTACATATTATGTGGAAAAAAGAAAAAAGCGAGGGCACAGCTTCTTAGGGATGCTAAAGTGATTAGAAGAAAAGTGCTGCAAAAAGAGAGCAAGAGGGGAAGTAGCCTCTTAGCTTCCCAGTGTGTTAGTCCACAATTTCACAGCGGGGTTTCCGTGCACACAGAAAACTACTGCCTTCAATTAGGAGCCAATGTTTGGCTGCTCATTTACTGCTCACAGCAAGGATCCAGCTCCGTTTTCGATTTGCATGAAGCTTGTCTGATATGTGTTGGATAAAAGCCCAGCAGAGGCTGTGAGCGAGTGCTTCTCTCTCCTCTCAGATGAGGGCATCGGAAGCGGAGACTAGCTCGCCCTATGCTTGTCTTTGATGGTAAGCGGGGAATGCCTGATTTGCTTAAATCCTCAGCTAGAAAACCTACTCAGCAAATCACTAACTCAGTGTCATCAATGTCTGTTTGTAAGGTAAAGCTGGTGGACAAATCATTGCTGCAGAGCGAGGGTTGGAAAGAGGTCATGGGATGCTTCCAGGAGAAAGAAGCATCTCCTGGAAGACAGACAGACAGTCAGTGGAGGGAGGTTGTACTCCAGTTTAGTCTTCCTCCTCATGTTCAGTGGTGTGCCAAAACAAAACAACAACACGTGGGCTGGAGCTGTTGTACGCTTACCTACTCTCAGGCCTGATCAAAGTGGCTTTAAGATTCAAACTGCATATGTAGAGAGATGGTGATGATGAATTCAAAGACAACATCTGACGTCAACAGTCAGAGACACAGCAGTCCCTTACATAACTGTCTTTCATTTATAGACACACGCCTGCTGCTCAAGTATGTTGGGCTTAAGATTATATAAGAACAGGAAACTACTGGCTGCCCGGATCTAAGATGTGTGCTTAAATGTGCTCGCGCTGAGATCGGTGTATGGATAATCGACTTATCTCAGACTGTGTCTTCAGGGCAGGCATTGTCTCTTTGTCCTTGAGCTGGAGCAGTGCTGCACTGCTGTGTATATGTATGTGTGTGTGTGTGAGAGAGAGTGAGATCACATGTGCATCCCTCTGCATCTCTTTTAGCATGGTAGCAGCCAGTGAGTTTGGGCCATTCTCCACATGACACAGACGATCCAAACCCCTCTGTTCATGGATTACTGTTCTGCTGGGCCTGAAACAGACAGCTCAAATACATAAAGCATAAACAGCGTTTTCAGCCCAAATCCGCTGTAGATGGTGCATAATGCTGATAATGATTAGAATAAGTGCTTGTCACTGATACCTGAACAGTCGTTTTCTTTGATGTGTTGTTTTGATAGCTTGTGTTTAAAAAGTAATTTTTTTTTCTCAGTTTTTTTTCTGGGTGGTGGTCTGGAAAACCTAATTGTTTCTGCATGCACATTAGACCTTTATTGTCAGTGGTACTGTTACTGCACACAAATATGGCACCAGAATATGTGAGCTTTGCACTTAAGTTTGTACGTATGTGTAAATGAAGGAGTAAAGGGTTTCATGTAGGCAGGCAGAAATAGTAAGACACAACGACACTGATGTCATCAACACCCACTCACCAGCCTTGAATGCTTTGGATCTATTTTGCTCACATATCTGCCCCAAAGGACACCACAAGGACTTGATAATAGAGAGCTGGTGGTGGAGGTCAGTTTCATGTCTGTTTGAAATTCAGAGTTCAGACATCATTTTACCCTCCCATGACCTGAAATATCAGCCAATGCAGAGTACTGATCTTGTATCAGCTGAAAAATACAAACCCTGCCTGACAACAACAATGCCTCTGGTTGACTATTTAAATTTTTTTTGTTTGTTTGTTTGTTTTTTTGTAGGAGATCTTCGTCAAATTTTATGATGACAGACAGAGTCTCTTCAACATACTCTGGTTCCCAATCGTTCAGAACTACACCTCTTTAGCTGGTACCTTTCATTCTTCTTTTGTCATTATATACAACAAACAGCTCTCAGATGGGCTGCCACTGTGCGTAACAGCCAGAAAAGGGCCTCACTTTTGTACAACAGGAGATGGTGGAGATGTGAGCTTTATCCTTTCGTAGTCAACCATACCCAAGTGACAACCTTTGGTCTGCTGAAGCTTAAGTGTCAGCTTGAGGCTGACTACAAAAGCACCAGAAGCCTCATTAATACCATTTCTAAAGTGTCCATCTTGACAGCAATTATGCACATGATAACAGCCTGGTACATGAATTGATCTTGGGCTGAATATTTCATTTCTCTATCTGCACATAGTTAGGGAGTCAATTTGTGATCATACATTAGTTTTGAAGAGATTAAGGTTATGAGCCTTACATTATTGATCAATGGGCAGACACACTGTAGCTGTTAGGGAGGAAGCTCCACCTCTTTGCGTCATGGTAGGTCTGTTGAAAGTTAGACTGAGGCAGCATTAGCAATATAGATACCACAGTGGACAGGGTCTGCTTCAGAAACCAGTGGCTGATGTTACTGAGACAACATCCATGTTTTGTGCAGTCTTTTATCCCTGAAGGGAATTTTAATTGTCTAATTTCTTTAATTGCCCAGTTATCACTGAGCTGTAGTCTTTTTGCTGATGGGTCTATGACGTGACGCCTCAATATTCTGTCCGTCTGTATTTTCTTTAAGTTACAAAAAGTTTTTAATGTAAAAAAATATACTATCTATGTGTCTTATCTCTCTAATATATGGAGCCACTTCAACTTTTCAAAAATCAGGAATTTTTTTGTAATTTTTCTGAACTTCAAAGTGTCAAAATATCATGTGGTGCGACCGTCCAGCCATGACCTCTGTTTTGAAAACTTCTTTGAAATTACTCTAGATCTATTACAATGTAGTTTCTGCAATATTCTGTATAATTTTCAAAGTGTTTTTTATTCCTGAACAAAATTGCAAAGCTTTTGCAGTTATATTTTTTTCATAATATACAAACGAATTTTGTCAGATCATGTCCATTTCATTAAATATCATGTGGTGCGACCATCAAAAAATGACAATTTTTGACACTTTTATGCTGAAATTTACTCAAGGACAGGATGTTGCATCATTCACCATTTTGTCATAGAGCTATGGAAGCAGAAAGAGGGTTGGTGGCTCTCTCATTTCTTTAAAAAAAAAAAAGACCTTTTCAACTGCTGTAATGGTGTTGCCACTTTTGGATATCATGTGGTATGACCGAAAAAAAACCCCAACTAATGTAAGTTATTTCCACAAATATGTATTTTAATTATAAATTTCATAGTGACCTTTTGTGGGTAGCTAGTGAGCTTTGTTTATGTGACTAATCCTGTATCAGTAAAATTTGACTGAACTTGAAAATGTCATGCGGTGCGACCAATCATCATGTGGTGCGACCACTGCAGATTGTTTTCCATCGTAAATATATGCCCTAGATTGGCAGTATTTATGCTTTTTATATTCAATTGACAAATGATAAACACTAAGTATTTAATTTTTAGTATTATTTTGATTTTTTTTTGTTATTTGATGAGTCAATTTGCTAATATATCTGAAATAATGGTTAGTACATCTCTGTACAAAATAAGAAAAAAAATATTAAAAGCATGCCATTTCACTTAGGGTATTTATGCCGTTGTTAGCAATTTATTAACTTTCATGTATCAATTTAAGTCATTTTAATTTATTTTACCAGACACCACTGCCAAGCAAAGTTAAAAGCGTTCGCTATAGGCAGCGTGTCAACTCTGACCCCGCAGCATGTTGTTTATGCCAGGGCTGGTCAAAGATTGGGCCAAGATTGTTGACATCGTTGCACTGATAGTGAGAGGAGCGCTTCGCCGAGAGCGTTATATTCATGACCGTTCAAATCCGTTTGATTTACCTGATGACGTTCTCTATGAACGTTACAAGTTTTCCTCGGACGGCCTTAATATTCAGGTAGCATGAAGTCGAAGCAATGCACTAATATTTGCCAAGCTCCAGGTTCAAGTTTCATGCGGCATATCAGTCATCATTCAGAATTTATTGAAGCAGATTAGAAAACTCTTAACCTCAAATGTGTCTGCAGATGACATGTGAGCATCAGATGATGGAGAAAAAAGAAAAAAAGGCAGTGTGAGGAAATCACTGTTTACGCGTTGAAATATGTACAAATAAAATCTTCCAGTAAACCTACTAACCACTTTGACAGATGTTTTTAGATTTATTCTTATTTGCTCCCACGTACTCTTTTCCCCACTGCTGTTGTATCTGAAATAATGAGGTCAATGATGGTGGTGATCACACACGCTGCATGACAACATATTAGGGGGCCATAAATTTATGAACGCACAAATGTAATTTACACAATCGATGATTTTGTTGCCAGCAGTCCCTCCGGCTTTTAGCGGCTGTGGCTGTCCTGCTCCTCACTGTTATAATGTTGCGGTACTCCTCGTATTTGCGTAAAATAATGCTCTGTTCCTCGGCTGTGAAGTATGACGCGCAGCCTTCTCTATTGTGGAGATCGGTCCGGTGGCATGACCCCGCCCCCTTTACGTGTGCGTGCACAGATCTAGACTGGCCACAACTGAATTTAGTTAGCGAGTTGATATCCTGCCTCGTAGTACAGCAAGGACCTTCGCTGTTACCTTCACGTTACGTTACATTACGTTACTCGTGCTACTCGCTAGATAGACCGTGTATAAGCTTGAGTGTTACCTTTCATGTTGATTGAAGAGGGTCCGACAGGTTTTGATGTGCTGGTTGATGACTCAAAACAAGTCGAAAATAATGTTGTTTGTTGTGCTCACACAGCGAGTAGAAATCGTTAGTGGCGCATTGATATTAATGATCATGTGAAATTTCAGTAGCAGTGCATGTAATGCTGCTGAATGAATGTGGGGGGAAACACTGAATATATAAAAGTAAAAACTGATAAATGTTGTGTAGCACTTGATCATACTTTTGCATTGAAGAAAAGAGTGAAGATGTCGGCTTCACTCACAGGCCTCTGCATTAGTTTTCTGCCATAGAGCCAGCCTTTGATCCCTGGTCAATTCAGCAGAAAGCTCAATCAACCACACTTAGTAACTCCTGTTTCTTGCTCAGTCCTTCCACCAGAGCATAAGCAGAGAGGTGCACTTCACAACTTTGTTGAGTCTCAGATGACTGATGTGCAGACTGATGCACCTGTTTTGATAAAGAACACAGACATCTCTGGGGAAAGAATCTGAAATAGAATCTGAACAAGGAGAAGGCGACTCAGTAAACCCCATCCTGACTGTTAAGGTAGGAGGTATACTTTTTTGATCTGAACTAGAAGATCTTAAAAGCGTTGGTAGGGTATGGTTTTTGTTTTTGCAACTAGAGTTTAAGTCTTGGAACAAATTTTTTTACTCTTAAATGAACTGCAAAAATGACAAACCTGGTTCATTTGAATTTGGTAACACAATCTAGAAATCAGCACAGCTGAAAAAAATGCAGCTATTGGCCCACTCCAGCACATACACCATGTTAAGCTTTGACAGCAACGCAACATGAACCCTGTGAATAGCAGCAGCTGAAATGCAAAAGAAACCAGGCTGTCGTTTGACAGAAGATAAACAGAGGAAGGACTTAAAGGCTACAATGCACAAAACAAGTCTGTCTCACAAATGTTAGTTTTTGTGTTTTTTGTGTGTGTTGGCTGGTTTAATGCCAGATCAGTGGTTGGAGTTAAATGAGCTTGGCGTGAGCTGCCTGCAGGAAAACCTCGCCGCCAGCCAAACAGAAAAGCTGCAGCCCGCTTGGGTGCATCCTGCAGTGTAGGATAAGGTCAAAGGTCTGTGCACAATTCAGCTTGGTTATATAAATGTTTTTAGCCACTTGAGGCAAGAGCCTGTTCTGTGAAGCTGAGCCTCAGAAGACATATAGGTGCTGACAGACAGTCCGCTCTGCTGCTGCAGAGCCTCTGCTTTCTCTATCACTCTTCTATTATTCTTTTCTAGCTCCTTATGTCTATTCTCCGTCTCCTTCTTTGTGTACTTTACTCACTATCTCTTTCTAACATGTCTCTCTCTCTCTCTTTCTCTCTCTCTCTCTCTTTCTCTCTCTTTCTCTTTCTCTCTCTCTCTGATGGCCTTCTTTACATAAGCAGCACAGTCAGTGCTGACATCCTGTAATGAGGCTAATGATGACTGCCAGTCCTGTGGTTGACATTATGTCTGAGCCAGGCATCAGCAGTGTCTGGGGCTCGACCAGAGTTTTTTTGGGACTGCAGTGAGTTCAAACAAAGGTAACATTGCAGTGGAATAGAGCAAACAGAAGGAGAGGGGCAGTAGCTCACTCGGCCAGATGTTGCCTCAAGGTTCAAATAAAATTTTCCAAATGCAGCATGGTTAAAAAGACTCAGAAAGTCTTTGCAGTTTCACTTCTTCGCCTTTTTTTTTTCATTTTGGTTGACTTATAGAATCATTTAGGAAGGACTGAAGATTTGTTGTTGATATATTTCCATTAGTTATCTTATTCTAGAACAGTGTCTACTCTCACCTGTCTCACACTTACTTGTTTTTCCTGTGCACTCCTCAGCCACAGGTTTGTCACGATGCATCTGTGGTAATCATCAGAACTCAGCCTGCATGTTTATATGACATTGTGCCTTTTAGAGTGTCAGTGGTGTTGTGCTATTCAACACCAGTTTATATTCCTCTCTTACTGGCTCCTATTATTCCCAAGTGGTCTTCTCATTGAAGGCAAAACACCAAAATACAAAAAAGAGAGGGAGATTTCAACCACAGTAACAAATAGATTAGGTTGCATTTTTGAGATCAGTAGTTGAAAGGACTCCAAGTTAACTCAGTCACTCTTTTTAAGTCATGTCATTGGACATGGAAGAATTCAGGAGAAAAAAAACTTTGCAGGCTGGGAATTTAACCAACCAATAACCAGAATTACCCTGCTTGTGAGAACTTTGTCAGGAAGCAAATCATCTGCGGAGGTCTACTGTTTTACAAACATTTCATTTAAAAGTGAGGATAGACCGATTTTAAATGAAATCTATGTTTTTTGAATGTGTACACATATATATGTATATATATGTGTGTGTGTGTATGTATATATGTATGTATATATATGTATATAGATGTATATGTATATATGTGTATATATGTATGTATATGCATATATATATGTGTGTATATATATGTATGTATATGTATATATGTGTATATATGTATATATATGCATATATATATGTGTGTATATATGTATGTATATGTATATATATATGTGTATATGTGTATATGTTTGTATATGTATATAAATGTATATAAGTGTATATTCATGTATATATATATGTATGTATATATATGGGTATATTCATGTATATATATATATGTATATATATGTGTATATTCATGTATATACACTCACCGGCCACTTTATTAGGTACACCTGTCCAACTGCTCGTTAACACTTAATTTCTAATCAGCCAATCACATGGCGGCAACTTAGTGCATTTAGGCATGTAGACATGGTCAAGACAATCTCCTGCAGTTCAAACCGAGCATCAGTATGGGGAAGAAAGGTGATTTGAGTGACTTTGAACGTGGCATGGTTGTTGGTGCCAGAAGGGCTGGTCTGAGTATTTCAGAAACTGCTGATCTACTGGGATTTTCACGCACAACCATCTCTAGGGTTTACAGAGAATGGTCCGGAAAAGAAAAAATATCCAGTGAGCGGCAGTTCTGTGGGCGGAAATGCCTTGTTGATGCCAGAGGTCAGAGGAGAATGGCCAGACTGGTTCGAGCTGATAGAAAGGCAACAGTGACTCAAATAACCACCCGTTACAACCAAGGTAGGCAGAAGAGCATCTCTGAACGCACAGTACGTCGAACTTTGAGGCAGATGGGCTACGGCAGCAGAAGACCACACCGGGTGCCACTCCTTTCAGCTAAGAACAGGAAACTGAGGCTACAATTTGCACAAGCTCATCGAAATTGGACAATAGAAGATTGGAAAAACGTTGCCTGGTCTGATGAGTCTCGATTTCTGCTGCGACATTCGGATGGTAGGGTCAGAATTTGGCGTCAACAACATGAAAGCATGGATCCATCCTGCCTTGTATCAACGGTTCAGGCTGGTGGTGGTGGTGTCATGGTGTGGGGAATATTTTCTTGGCACTCTTTGGGCCCCTTGGTACCAATTGAGCATCGTTGCAACGCCACAGCCTACCTGAGTATTGTTGCTGACCATGTCCATCCCTTTATGACCACAATGTACCCAACTTCTGATGGCTACTTTCAGCAGGATAATGCGCCATGTCATAAAGCTGGAATCATCTCAGACTGGTTTCTTGAACATGACAATGAGTTCACTGTACTCAAATGGCCTCCACAGTCACCAGATCTCAATCCAATAGAGCATCTTTGGGATGTGGTGGAACGGGAGATTCGCATCATGGATGTGCAGCCGACAAATCTGCGGCAACTGTGTGATGCCATCATGTCAATATGGACCAAGCTCTCTGAGGAATGCTTCCAGCACCTTGTTGAATCTATGCCACGAAGAATTGAGGCAGTTCTGAAGGCAAAAGGGGGTCCAACCCGTTACTAGCATGGTGTACCTAATAAAGTGGCCGGTGAGTGTATGAATGTATATATATGTGTATATATGTATATATGTATAAATGTGTGTATATATGTGTATGTATATGTGTGTATATGTGTGTGTGTATATATATGTGTGTATATATATGTATGTGTATATGTGTGTATATATATGTATATATATATACAGGGTTTTTCCTGCGTTCAAAATTGCGTGGCGGCCGCCTCCACCTAATTTTGTGCCGCCCCCAGCCAGAGCGATTGATTTCGCTCAACACAGCGTAAAGCTCCAGCTGTGTTGATTGAGCGATTGATGTCCCGATGCAGCAGCAACGTATTTTAACTGCAGTTGCAGGGTTGCGCCACTATAGAGGCGCTATATCAACAGCAGTGCACCGGAAAGACCTGAAGCATCTACCGAAGAAGAAACGGATCGAATCATGCTTTTTCAAGTTTTTTTCCCGCTAGTTGGTGCTGTCGGCGTCCTGATTTTCCCTGGCGGATGGTACAAACAGGTAAATACTGCTTCTCTTTTTGGCATCCAAGCATGTCGTGTTTATTTAAAAAAAAAAAAAGTTTACTCCGTTTTTAGCGTTGCAGTTATGACAGGCAAAATCAGCCAGTACTTTAAAAAGCGACCTCGCGAGGAGGAAAGTCAAGAGTCCAGGTGAAACACAGCAGAGAAAAAACGTAACAGACAGTTAAAATGCTATAATTCATGTTGGTGACAACGTGGAAATTTGTGTCAGGTCTAAAAGTACTCCACAAGGGACTGGTGATCGCGAGGGTCAGAATGCAGGACAGGACGAGTCGGCGAGGCGAGGGTAATTAATTAATTAGTTTCCAATTAGGAGCATAACAACGCAAAGCCGACGTGTACGTGGTTTTTATTCCTCTTTCCAGATCTTCTCAAAAACACAGAGCCAGTGGCTTTGACAAGCAATGGCTCAATCAATTTACCTGGCTCAGGCATACTGAGGAAGGCATGCACTGCTATTTATGCCAAAAGCACTGTGCCCCAACACAGCAGGTAATTGCTGCCTCCTTAGTGAGACAGCCATCAACCAACTACAGGCTGGACACATTAAAAAGACATGAGGTGACAGCCATTCACAAAGCAGCAGAAGAGAAGGAGAAATATATTAAAGATGGTTGTACCTAAAAAAACTCAACTAATAAAGTTACAAAAAAAAACAAAACATAGTTTAGATAGTTTAAGAAATAATTGGTTGTCGTTTTTTTTTTTAGGGAGGACACTCCAGCGTATACATATATATAATATATGATTGAAAACACTATCACTCTTCATGTCTGTATCAGAATAAAAACAAAAATACTTAATGCATGATGAATTGTTTTGTTTAAGGTGAAGACACCTCTGTGGAACAGACTGAAGGAGAGGCACTTGGATGTCTGTTGTAAGGTGGCCGTTGATGGACCAGACCAGGAGGCCTTGGACTACAAGGGGTGCATGAGGAGGTTCTACAGAATGAAAAAGAGGAGGCTGAAATGTTCTGTCTGGTTGCGAGATGTGTGGATGAAGTGTACTTTCAATTTAAAGTTGCCAGCTGATTTGTGTATGTATATAGTTTTAATAAATTAATGCTTTAACATAATAATGGTCACACTCTTTTTTGAACTCTTAACTTAAAGTATGTTGCCTGTAAAAGAAAGTGAATCGGTTGAATTTACAAATACATGCACGTCGTGGCGCATGGTCAGGATGGTGCCACCTCTGCCTCAATTTGAGCCAGGAAAAACCCTGTATATATGTGTGCGTGTATATATATATATATGTATATGTATATGTGTTGAAGTTTGTTGAGGGTGGTGGAGGGGAGACTGTAGAAGAGGCTATTGCAGTAGTCCAGTCTGGTGGTGATGAAAGTGTGTATTAAGGTTTCGGCAGCAGATGGGGAGAGAAAGGGGCGGAGTCTTGCAATGTTTTTCAAGTGAAGGAAAGCGGAGCAGGCAAGTTGAAGGATATGGTGGTCAAAAGTGAGGTTGGGGTCGAGATGGATACCTAGGTTGCGGACGAGTGAAGAGGGGGTGATATGGGATTGGTCAACGTGGATGGAGATGTCCATGGACATGGTTTTCGGGCCGATGATTATGAGGTCTGATTTGTCACTGTTGAGTCTGAGGAAATTGTGGTGCATCCAAGTTTTTATTGCGTTGAGGCAGGAGGTGACGGTGACGGTGGCAAGGGTGGTGGAGATGGAGCGGGAGGAGATGTATAGCTGTATGTCGTCGGCGTAGCAGTGGAAGTTGAGTCCATGTTGCCGGATGATGTTGCCAAGGGGGAGTAGGTAGAGGGTGAAGAGTGGGGGACCAACCACCGATCCCTGGGGGACACCTTGGGGGAGTGGGGAGTGGGGCGGTGGAGGAGGAGCACAGGTTGATATGGATGAATTGTTGACGGTTGGAGAGGTAAGATGAGATCCATGAGAGTGCGGTGCCGGTGATGTGGAGGTCGGTTGATAGACGGTTGAGGAGGATGGAGTGGTTGATTGTGTTGAAAGCGGCAGACAGATCCAGGAGGAGGAGGATGGTCAGTTGGTTAGAGTCAGAGGCAAGCAGGAGGTCATTTGTGAGGGAGTGGTAGATGGAATTGACTTTATCTTGGAAGTATTTGAGGAAGGTGTTGCATTTGCTGGTGGTGAATAATGAGGAGATATGATCCTGGGGTTTGAGCAGACGGTTGACTGTGGAGAATAGGTATCTGGGATTTCTGGAGTTTTTACATCATAATTGTGTTTGTTTATTTGTATGTATCAGAACACAGACAAAGAAAGACAAAAGTCGCTGAGGATCGGTAAAGTCTCCGGAGCAGTTAAGAACAATGGAATGAATAACTTGGAAAATGCTTTGGTAGATGTTTTATTCTTCAAGATCGCTGATTCGCTTGTTTAGCTGTCAATCAAAAAAGGATTTCGCCTCAGACAGCTCATCCAATCATGGATGCAGAGGCTCGGAGTCCGGGAGAAAGTCGGGACCGCCCTCTCGCCATAGAACTCCAGAGAAGCTGAGCGTCCGATGGGCGGGACAAAGCCCAGCATTTATCCAATGAGCGTCTAGTTTCGCTGCTGGAACAACCCACTTTGAGCTTCCACATTGAAGTCAGCAGAAGCTGGGCGTCCTGCTGTTTAAAGCGCTGAGGTGCTGCGAGGATGAATGAGAACGAAGTTGTGCAGAATCAGCTTCTTATCACACTGTGATAAGAAGCTGATTCTGAACAAAAGATGAAGGCTTTCTAGCACGTATTTAGTTAATGAAATGTACACACAGCAGTACGTATTTCACCACTTTGTCTTTTTTTTGGGGGGGTGACATTTTAAGGGAAGCTGAGCTTCCCTTGCAGTCTTAGAGCAATCGCCACTGATATGTATGTATGTATGTATGTATATATATTTGTGTGTGTGTGTGTGTGTATATATGTGTGTGTGTGTGTGTGTGTGTGTGTATATATATATATATATGTATAGTAAAGAAGGCAGTATGTTTTCAAGCCCTTTACTGATGTCAGAAACTGATTAAAAGTTTCATGAAGTCTGAAGTCTGGACCTTTAGTTGAATTTAGGCTTAAGCTGCTGGAGAGTTCTGAAGCATTTAATGTGTCGCAGTTAAGTCAAGCAAAGAGGCAAATTCAGTATCTATCTGATCTATATCCAAAGCTGTTTCAGTACTTGGGAGATGAAGGGCTCTCCTGTCTGGAAACAGTAAGAGATGGACTATGAGCAAGCTGAGTAGGTGTTTATCTAATTGTAGCAGCACTGAGAGGGCTCTCAGTTGCAGAGCAGTGCAACAGTAACTGGGACTGACAGAGCCATGGTGACTCAGATTGCCACACACACACACACACACACACACACACACACACACACACACACACACACACACACACACACACCAATGCGAGGGCTGTAGCAATGAGAGGGACAACAGATCCGCTAAAGTCTGACTGACCAGGATAGATAACAAGGAATGGTGTGGGAGAAGTGATAACAAGTGCTGCAGATTCTGTCTCTCTCTTATGCTCACACGCCACTTAATACTGCAGAGAAGGCTTGGGGGCTTGAAATATGCCCACTGATAAGAGGAAAAATAAAAGAGGCAAACAAGAATAGAGAATAGAAAAGCGGGAGGCTTTGTACCGGCTGGAAGAATTGGATTTGCTTCTTTTTTTAAGACGTGTCGATTGGAGACCAGCAGAGAGTCACACAATGCCCGCTGACAGCCAAACACAAGGCAGAGAGAGGGGACTGAGATGTGCTTTTGTCCCCGTCCTCTCAGTGCCATCGTCATCCTTATCACCTTCGACAGTGACAAGACACCACGTCGGGTTTGATGTAATGATCAAATCTATACAGCCTGGCTAAATATGAGTGTGTGTTTGTTAGTCGTGTGGATGTTTTGTCCTGCATGTGATTATCTTGATTTACAGCCACTGTATTTTTCCTCTCTAAATTTACCAAATTGAATCATGCACTTTTAAGTAACAGTCTGCCTCATTCTCAAAATCTCATCTCACTCCTTAGAAAATGTTCCTGGCAGGCACTGTGAATCAGCGTCTTTATCATGGTTCAATATAATGGTGGAGTAAGTGGATGGCGGAGGCTTTAATTGAGTCAATCTTCCACAGTGCCGTTAATACCAGACTGTTAGACTACATTTTTCTTCTTGAGCCCCCTCCTCTCCATCCAGATTCATCCTTTCCTCCTACCCTGCCTCTCACTCCATTTGTATGCAGAAAATGTTCCCCCACCATTTTGCCTAGCAGTGGCATTTTTATTAAGCATAGCTGTCAGGTCCATGTGTGGGTGCAGTGTGGGGGTGCTGAGATGTCACAAGACACAGGTCACATGATGCCTGCAAACTGACCTTTTGACCCCTTGCTAGATAGCAGTTTCTAAAAGTGAAAAAAGGCCCTGAGGACCGCTGCCTGCTCTCCAGCCATTGAGGCACCACCTAACAGGCTTGGGCCTTTTTTAGGATGAAAACTGTCCCATCCGAAACAGCAAAGTCTTTTCTGTCTTAGAAAACGTGTGGGAACAATATAGTGAAAACAGTCTGTGCCCTGAAGTACGCATGCCAGGCCAGTAGTTGGCAGTATTATTTTGTTGTTGCTTTCCTACTTTAACACTGCTATCTGACTGGGAAGCTAATGTGCATGTGTGAATGGATTTCTGATGTCATTGTTTTCAGAGGATCCCATTGTCACTAGTTTAACTGGTGACAGATAAGTTGGCTTTTTTAAAAGATTACACTCTGGAACCTGGTTTGATAAGTTTGGGTTTGCAGCCACCTAAAACACTGTGTCCATGGAAAGAAATGAAAAAAATGCCAGAATAGCTCACAGTTTTCTACGATATAGGTTTTTGCATATAAAGTCTCTGTGTGTACAATGGACTGTATAAAAAGAAGGATGACATGCCTGCTCCCCCAAAGCAAAGACATATTTTGAGCCATCCTACTGAATGGCTTCATTATAGGACAAAGAGCCCATTTCGTTCATGTCAACAGATGGGTTTGAGGTCAAACTTAAACATTCATCTTCTCCTCAAAGAAGTTATATTTTAGCGTGGTATCTGTCATCATTCCTTTCATGCTGACTACTTGATTAAAGGGTTATTTTTCGGAGTTTAGAGTTAATTTGTAATTTGATGCTAAAAAAGGACTAAAAAAGCCCTTTGATTCCTATTTCTGTCTTCAATTGCGACCCCTGCAGCACCGTGTGAGTTATTGAACTTTCCATAACTGTGCGCATTAGCATTGCATTCAGTTTACCTGTTGCGCTGTGGACTGAGTCGGCCTGAGGGTTCACAACATAGACTGTATATAGAATGGACAGCGGCTGCCTCCTCGCTGGGTGAAGCCACTCCGAGAACAGCACCCTCTGTTGACGGGCTGCAGTATAGGTAATAAATCTCGCCTCCGCCAGCAAAGCTTATGAGGCTGTGGACAAACTTTAGAAATTTATTACACAGAACATAATTTTTTCTCCCCCGTGCTTGCAGTGTTGACGTGTAATTACAGTAAGACTGGTTTGTGCTCAAGTCCTCTTTTTTCTGTGAAGCTCTGTTTTTGAAAGTTATTAGAGGGTTCATGTTTTCTATGATTGACACTTGACACAGCCTATTTGGCGTTTAGGGATTGCATAGCCCACCTGGGGGATATGCTGTTTGAGCCAAGCGTCATCACAGCAACTCTCAGCGACTCTCCCGCCGATTGCGTACAACGCTACTGCACAATGCTGATTTCAGGAAATGAAGAAAAATCGTGGAAATACCGAGAGCTTTTTGGCTTCAAATCCGTATACAGGCGGGAGGCGGAACAAAGTTGTCCATAGTATATACAGTCCATGGTTCACACATTAAAAGGCTATAGTATAAAAAGTAAACCTTGTTGAGAACTTGTTGGAGTGTACATTAAACATAAATCATCACACAGTTGTAACAATTAGGCTCGGTCAAACCCCAATTTTGTGTTGTTTTAGTCCTCAGTCCTGCTGTCTGACACCCACTGGCATCGCCTTCTCACCCAGCAAGGGCACCTTCACTGACTTCACTAACCATAACCACACTGGTCTGCCAGCACTTTGTTCCCAGAACCGTATTTCGTGCGCAGACACAGGCTGTGACATCGCACACAAACTCTAGGGACAGCCTATGAGAGGTTTGCACAGCTGCCCTGGGCACTGTCTGATCCATCCAATTTATCCTACAAATCCTCCTCGCTTTTCCCTCTTGTCTGTCTTCCTCACATATTCAACCTCCAGCTGCTGCTGCCAAGTTCCTCTCAGATGACTGAATGGCTGTGAGTGGGCTGTTTAATCTGTATATGGGGTGCAGTTACTCAAGCAACTCCATCAGCAGCATTAAACATGGTGGCAATGACTGCCACGTCCTATTATAGATTTTGGTTTGATAGTTTTGGCATGAGGAAACGTGTCTCAGATTAATTTTAATGTACGATTTGAGCATTAGGGATTCTTCCTCTTGTAAATATTGATGATAGGATAGAATGGTGTTGTAATTTTGATGTTTACAAGTCTGCCACTGCTCTTGGTAGAGTCTAGAAGAAACGTCAGAAGGTTGTTTTTTGTAATACTCAAGTTTTGATTCACATGTCCACTCATGGTGTGTGATCTCTTTGTATGGATAATGATGTCTTGTTTTGGCTGGGCATATTAGTTTAAGCATAAAACAGTAATAAAGTCATATCTATAATCATTCATTCACTTTGTAGCAAAATAGTCTTGATTTGATGTTATGCTTTCAAAGCTTGACAGTAGAGAGTTTGATCCTTTTAAGGGACAGATTTGATGGCATTTAAACTTTTTTGACCTTTTTCAATTGATATTTTTTCTTAGCTTCTGAGCATTGACTGTTACTATGGACACTGTGCCTCCATCTCCTCCTGTTGTAAAAAGTAAAGCCAAAGTACCACTTCAGTGTCCATGCTGATTGGCTATCGTGGCATGAATAATTAGCTTGAGATCTGATTTCTCGACTCTTGTGAATAATTGAATCATGCAAGTTGCAAGTAGCACACTGAATTGATACGGCAGCCAGTCACTTGAGCTCAGAGCTCTGACTTAAATCTGAGTTGTAGGGGTGTCCTGATCTGATGTTGTTATAGGATATCAGTCCGATATCAGCAAAAAAAAACAAAAAAACAGAATATTGGATTAAATTGGCCTGCATCTAAAATCTCCAATGTCAGCACTCCAACACAAGCAGTCCAACACAAGCAGTCCATTCCAGACTCCAATCCAGCACCTCTATCTAGAAGTGCCCAGATCTAGCATGCAGAGCCCATGTAATCACAACAACAGTGTGTACTAAGGTACTAACAAAGTAGTAAGGAGTAGGAATGATGTTGGCTGTGTGGCAGTATTCTTTGTTGAAGCCCGAAAAAGACTTTGAAGCTGAGAGCAAAACTTGTCATGCAAAAGTTTGTGCCAATATCAGATCAATGTCTGTATCAGCCAATACTGAAGGCTACAAAATCGGTATTGTATCAGAAGTAAAGAAGTTGTATTGGGACACCCCTACGAAGTAACTGTTGTCCTTTTTCTTGTTTTATGTAGCCTGTGGTTGAGACTCAAGCCCCTTCTACATTGCCAGTCCAAGGACTTTTACATCGTTTTAACATCTCACCTTCAGTATAAATCTAACTGAGGTGTAATGCATGACAAAGCTGACGTACACATAAGCAAGCTTCATATGCAGCAACAGTGTCGTAAGAAGAAAAGATGGGGTCAATGAAGGCCTGGATGATTTGGCAAAAAAAAAAAGATCACGATATATTTTGTCATATCGTCCGATCTCGATTATTATCACAATTTTTTTTTTTACTGCCAGTTTTAAAGTATCTGTACTAAAAACAAAAAAAAACCTAGAGATTAGTTCAGCATTTTATTAACATACAAAGTAAATAACAGAGCAAATTGAATAAGATTCGTGTAGAAAAATATTTAAAAAACATTTTAACTCAAATGTAGTTAAATACTAAGTAAAACAGAGAACTAGTTTACAGTCCTGAGTGTTTTTGCAGGTACGCAAGACCCAAAATAAACAAATCGCCCCCTCAGGGATAATGAAGATGCTTTAAAATGGAAACATTAGGTGATGTTAACGTACAGTTGAGGCCAAAATTATCAGCCCCCCTCTGAATTTTTGAGTTTTTCTCCAAAATTTCCGAAGTGCTGTTTAACAGATTAATGAATTTTTTACACAGCTTTTTCAAACATCCTAGTTTTATTTTGGATCCTAACATTATTTTACTTTGCACAAAGAAACAAAATTATTTCACAAAAAAACAAAAATTACCAGGGTCAAAAATATTAGCCCCCCTGAGGCTGATAGTCAATTGTGTGTCCTTTTTGCTGGATAACAGCATGCAGTCGGTTGCTGTAGTTTGTAACAAGGCTCTGGCACATCTCCTGAGGAATCCCAGTCCATTCCTCTTTGGTGAATCTTTCAAGTTCCTCCAGATCTGATGGTCTGCTAGCATGAACCCTGGTCTTCAGTGCAACCCACAGATTTTCAATGGGATTTAAGTCAGGGCTTTGTGCAGGCCAGTCAATAACGTTCACTTTGGTTTCCTGGAGGCAGCTCCTCACCAGGGGCCTCATGTATCAACACTTGCGTGGGACTCATAACAGAAACGAGCGCACGCAAGGTCCGTCACGCTGAAAAAAATCCGTATGTATCAAGGTGTGCGGGCGCCGAAAGCAACGTGTGTTTCCTTGATAAATCCCAATCAGCTTGGAATTGAGCGCAGATGTCGGAGTGACTGGGCCCGCCCCCGTTACGCCCTCCTATAAATATGCAGCTTTATTTAAATAGGGTCTCCCTGTCCTCGCACGCAGACAAAATGACAAGAAAAACAATTTACGGCGTGCGAGGTGGAGGTGCTGGTGGCGGAGGTGGAGGAGCGACAGCGTGTTTTGTTTGGCAGCCTGTCCAGTGGCGTCAGTGCAAAACGAAAACGCTTGGAGTGGGAGAAAGTTTGCAAGAGGGTGAACGCGATGGGTTCCGAGACACGCACCCCCGCGGAGATGAAAAAAAAGTGGTCGGACCTCAAGATGGAGGTCAAGAGGCGTACAGCTGCCCTCCGGAGGAGTACCGGCCAGACAGGTGGGGGTCCGGGCGAGGAGACCCTCACACCGTTTGAGCAGCGGGTGGTGGCGATTATTATTATAGGGTAAGTGGCGTGTCACACAAATGTCCACATGCTTTGCCATCCCACTGAGCAAAAGACGTATATTAGACGTCTAGTCTAAGTTTATACTTCATTTCAACGTCGGGATTCAGTCTATTTTTAGACGTGACTTATACTTCGCCCTTAACTTCATTTTTCGATAACTTTTTATGCAATAAACAACTGTAATGTGCATAACTGACCTCTAAATACTGGATTACATTACCTATGATACCGTGGAGAGAGATGTAAACGCAACAGATACACAGAAGCAGGAATTGAAATGAACCAATATTTTTATTGTGTCACAGAAATCAATGTGTCGGCCGTGTCGCCGGCTTGCGGAACCCCGGCCCGTGGCAGCCCGTTCGCCGGCTCGGAGTCGTCGGCCAGGACCAGTGGCATTCGGGCCACCCCGGCCCCCGGCCCCAGCACCAGCATCAGCACCAGCGCGCCGACAAGCGGTGGAGCGTCCACCAGCCGCGGCGCTTCCGCTGGACCACCTGGACGCAGTGGAAGGGTCCTCACGGAGGCGGTCCTGCAATCACAGGAAGAAATCACCAGGGGGATCGCGGGGATCAACGAGCGGCTGGACCGGCTCGTAAATGTCCTCGAGCGTCTGGTGGAGAAAATAAATTAATTTGGCTCATTGAACTGTGTATTCACTTCTTACCCATTCACACTGTGGCGATGAGATTCTCCCGCGCGAGGACGGCGGCCCGGCAGGGATCAGCTCGCACCCCTCCGTCTGCTGCTGGTTCGTCATGTGGGGCGACGTGCTGCTTGGCCACGGGGATGTGGTGCACGCTTGTCACATAGTGAGTCACCAAACACCGCCACACAGCGTCGCCAAAGTGCCGTCAACGCAAGTATCGGCTCAACGCCAATTCTACACCACCTCCTCACTTTGCGTTGATTAGCGCTGGAACCGACGCTCGTGTCGCGATGATAAATCCGGACGTGTGCGCCGATCTTGGCGGACGCAAGGTTTTCTGGCGCCGCCAGCGTTGATACATGAGGCCCCAGGAGCGCTGTATGTTTTGGGTCGTCGTCATGTTGGAAGACAAAGTGACGACCCAGACCCAGTTTTGCTGCTGACTCCTTCAGGTTTCCTTTAAAAATCTTCACATATCCTTCTTTCTTCATTATTCCTTCAACCTTGACAAGATTCACAGATCCAGATGCACTGAAACATCCCCACAGCATGATGCTCCAACCGCCGTGTTTAACTGTAGGGACAGTGTTCTTGAGGTTATACGCCTCTCCCTTCTTTCTGCAAACATAAGCAATGTCTCTGTGACTGAAGAGCTCTAGTTTGGTCTCATCTGACCAAAGAACACATCTCCAGTTTGAACAGTCTTTCTCCAGATTGTCTTTAGCATACCTCAGTCTGATTTGAAGGTTTCTCTTTTGTAGAAGTGGAGTTTTTCTTGGCCTGCATCCTCGCAGTCCATTTCTGTTCAGGGCTCTAGAGACTGTCTTGTTTGACACCACAATTTCTGACTTGGCTAAGTCACCAACTTCTGTTTTGGTGGTTGTTCTAGGTTGTTTAGACACATCTCCCACCAGTTTTCTTTCCAGTTTCTTTGAAATTTTTCGCTTCCTACTAGAGCATGACACAGGAGCAGATTTTCACTCCTGTCTCGTCCCACTCCCAGAGAAAAAATCCCGCCCCGTCCCAATCCCGGACTGGAGTAAAAAAATTAATCCTGTCCTGTCCCACTCCTGTAGAATGACTCCCACTCCCATCCTGCTCCCACTCAAAATTACTCCCACTCCTGTCCCGCTCCTGTTTGAATAAAACCAAACATGTTGAAAAAAACGTTGCATTTTTTATTTTAGGTAAAAGCGTTGCCTTTAAGTTTCACATGCCTGACATTCGGTCGGTGTAAACAAAGTGCATATGCATACAGTGGCGGTTCTAGACTAAATTACTCCCCGGGCGAGACCCTCTCCAAGCCGTCTGAGCTGCGCCTCTGAAATCCTGAGGGCCTTTTTGAGAAGGGCCCCCAGATCCTGAGGTTTTCTTAACTGTTGAGGTTTACAAAAAAGCTGATATCTCAGCCTCTGCCGCAGATAGAAACAGAATTCAAAAAGTTTTTGAGAGCTTACAGGTGTGGCTTTCAAGAAAGCTATCCATCATCACATCTTCAACACAATTTTGAAAACATTGAAGAAACAAACTTAAATGAATTAAAGCGGCTGTATAAATAAAAGTAAAGACTCTGCACTGGAGAATAATAAACTATTTGCTTTCTGTAAAACAAGTGGCAGTCATGATAAAGTGTCCATTCAACACAAATGTAAATATAAAGAATAAAGTGTTGAAGGGTATGCAGCTGCCCTAGTATAGTGCCAGTACAAGACCAGCGCTTAAAACTAGAAAAATGAATAAATGAATACGTGGTTGACAGTGTATTCATCTCTGTGCTCACCCAAAGTCATGCAACACTCACAGAAAACACTGATCGTGTGAGCCAAAGCACTCCATATGAAGAGGTTGTTCACACTGCTGGATGTTTTTCCTCCAAAGCTACTCTCTGCCTCCTTCGTTGTTTACTTTACTCATGAAGCACGTAGCAAGATCTGAGCATGAATCCGAGCGCTATATTCGCCTATCAGAGGCAGACGTGTATGATGTTTTGATTCGCCACGACTCCAGAAATGATTAAAAAACTACAGAATGTCACAAAATGACATATCCGCGCTCCTGGCTTGAAGGGTAGAAATGCGCAGCCGCACTCCCGGCTGACAGGAAGTCAAACCACTGTTGTAGTTCTTTTGTGTTGCTAGCGTGGTCAAGAGTGTTGGCTCTCACTGAGAGATAACTACAAAAATAGACGCATCTGTTCATCTGGTTGTTTAACACGGCTGAAAATGATCATCGATTAATGTTGTTCCCGCTCCTGCCCGCTCCCGTTGCTTTTTTCCCCCCGTCCCGTCCTGATCACGGGATTAATTAAAAAATGACTCCCATCCCATGGGATTCCCGCGGGAATCATGTGACCCATGGGAATTCCCGAAACATGTCATCCTCTACTTCCTACCTCTCCCAGACTTGTTCTGTGCTGTGTGACTCTCCTTGAATTTCTTGATGATACTTCTCACTCCACCTCCTGATACTTGGAAACGCTGTGATACATTTTTATATCCTTCTCCTGCTTTGTGAGCATCAACAATTCTTTTTCTCAAGTCTAAACTGAATTCTTTTGTATTTGTCATGATGCCTTCTCAAGTGACAGCTCAAACGCTTAACAAGGTTTTTATACAGTCTGTAAAGTGTAGGACAACCCTTTGTTTTCACTTAATTTATTGATTGATTACACGCTGTGAGCACTCGAAAGTGAAAGCACATGATTGCACATCAGTGGTTTTTGTTTTGGCTCAATAAAAACATCAATTCTTAAGGGGGCTAATAATTTTGACCCTAGTAGTTTTTGGTTTTTGTAAAATAATTTTCTTTCTGTGTTCAAAGTAAAATAATGTAAGGATCCAAAATAAAACTTTAAAAAAAAATCATTAATCTGTTGAATAGCACTACGGAAATTTTGGAAAAAAACTCAAATTTCATAGGGGGGCTAATAATTTTGGCCTCAACTGTAGATGATATGCATACCTGCCAACTTTTGGGTTATAAAATCCGGGCGGGAGAAAGGTCTGAAATACGGGAGAGTCCCGGGAAAAACGGGAGTGTTGGCAGGTATAGATATGATGGATTGCTGCTTTGGTCAGCAGTGACAGGCTGTAAAGACTCTGCTCATATTTCCATGCTTCCCGCATACTCACTCGTGAAGAACATCTTCAAATGATTAAACAGATTTGTTATGTTGTCGGTTTATCGGCTTAATTGCTCAACATCACTTTGGAGAGATGTTGAATAACTTCTCAACAATAACATCTTCGGAGGAGGACTCAAAGTCACGGCTCTATTTTGCTGCCCTCAGCTCAGCCCAATGTTCGGTCATTCTGTTTGCTTCTCCTGTTTACTTCTCTGGTAACTTCCAAAAGTGAGCAGGAAAAGCTCGACTCTGATTGGCTGTTGTGACACACATTTCCGCCATGTTTGATCAAGTAAATATACTCACAGCTGATCACCGTGATCGAACTGAAATTTATCACAATCATCGATCACGATCATATAATCGCCCAGTCCTAGGTCAATGCAAAAACAGACGTGTGACCTCTGATCACCTTCCATTATTTGTATCATGATGAAGACGCTGAGCAACTTGAGCCTGTAGACTTCATACAGTTCAGTGCAACACGCAGTTTATTTGCCGTTATTGTTTTCAAACTGGTCACTACTGTCGCCACTTGTAGTGTGTCACATAACGACTTTTCTCTGCTACACACCGCCGTCGCCTCCCATTTAACACTAAACACACACCAACACCATTGCATTGTGGTTGAATGAATGGAAAAGTACAAAGTAATGTTGTTAACATGCAACTCTAAAAGAGCTTTTGACTGTTTGGTTTTTATAACCTTTGGAGTCACATGTACAGTAAAAAGAGAGGTTTTGATCATGGTCAGTCACCAATAAAAGCTCTCAGGATATGGCCGGCACATAAAAGATTTAACAGGCTTTTTTTACCCCCTGTGTTAACACATTATCTGCTTTACAAGAAGCAGTGGTGCATGAGAGAGTGAAACACATTCTGCCTCTAAGCTATGTCACCAGACTTAGAAACCACTTCTTCCATCCTCTGACCATGACATATTTTTTAGATATGGATCAAAGGAAGTTGAAGGAAGAACAATCCTCCATGGTATGCAGATCCCCCCCCCCCCCCAGAAGCAGTAAGAGGGTTGATTGAGGGGTAATGAAATGACACAAATGAAAAGGTGACAGCTTTAAAGGGCACTTCAGACGTGGAAAAGCTTGGTGACATATCTTGTGATTCATGTCTTTGCTCTCAAAGTGTAATTGCCTTTGACATGCTCGCCTTTAGAAAATTTACAGCACTCAAATGGTTGTGAATCAGTATTTCATGTTGTAGAGAAGTGAAATATCTATACTGCAGTACGCTGAAATATTGCAGGTTTCAATGAGCTCCCACTCACCCACAGAAAGCCTCTCTGAAGCTTTTTGCTTTCTCTCTGCCCTCAAACACAGAGCCCCTGGTGTGGACTCAGGCATTGATCTCAATGAGAGAAGATCATCTCCCTCTCTGTTTCCCCCTGATGCCACCCACGCTGCTTTTTCGCCTCTTTTATACGCCTGAAGCTCTTTTGCTCTGTCTCTTTCTCTCTCTTGTGTACTTTTCCCCCAAACCCCTGGAGTACCCATCTATTGCCGCACAGGAGCTTGAAAGTATTCTACAAAGAAGCAGATGGTCTTCAGGAGATTTTTAACTCTCTTTGTACTGGTGCCCTAGGATGTTATGCTTTAGTGACGGCACTCACTCTGTATTGGCAACCAGATGACAGGATTTAATAAATGAGAAATGCAAGATGTATTTGGCAGAAATGTCCACTTTATTTCAGTGTTTTGCCCTACTAGCAGACCCAAAGGCTTGTTTGAGTACTTTCTCTCCAACTTTGAGCTTGTTGTGTTGGATGGGTGTTTGCTTTTTGGTCAATTTCCTCCCCTGACAGTGCTGCCTAGACTGAGCTGACAGAGGTTGCTGCAGTGGTTAGTTTGTGTGCATGTCCTTCACGTCTGTATGAACAACACGGGAGTTAGTATAATGAAACTTCCCTCACGGGCCAAACAAGTGCAGCTGCAGATAGCGAGCATGCAGACATTTATTATTGAGCAGCAGGCTTTCATTATTCATACCAGTGGCTTTCCGTGCACTCAGCAGATAAACTTCTTTTGAGTCTGTTTGTTCATGAGACACTCTACTCATTGATGTTGGCACATAGACATCTATGAATATTTAGATGTACTCATCTACGGTCGGATAAAGCGTGTTTGCTAAATGAGTGTCTGAAGCAATCCAAGCCTGTGGTGACAAAGTACAATGCAGGCTGTGTCCGAATGCTCACTCAGTGTAGGGGTCGTTATTGATCATGCTCTGAATGTAAAGTATAGTGGACAGACAGGCACTGTTTAATCACAGGGATTTCTTGTTTGATGAATGGAAAACTGTGGTGCTGTGCAAAAGAGCTGTAAGATCAACAACAGAGTATTTTAAGGATTCACAAAGGCGGCATTCCTGTAGCTGTTTTATTTTTTCATGAAGCGTCTTTGATACAATACAAAGGGCTCATTTTGAAAGGATAGGGTCCAGTATTTTCCAAAAAGGAAAATATCTAACTTTGTACAACCAAGGATCGTTCTATGACAGCAGTGCCATTGGTTTTGCCTAAAGCAACTTCTGAAACTTGTCGGCAGCTGCTTGGCAGCAGTTCAGAAATCCAGCCACCCCATGGACCCATGCCATCCAAGTACCTGATCACCATCTGAGTGCCAGCATGCAAGGAACCACACTTTGATCAGTGCTGGCTATGCCAGCAGGAGAGGCAGGACGCAGTGCTAAATAGCTGCCTTGCTTCACACCCCTGCTTGATTTGAGATGTCTCACTGTTTAATTCATACATCTGAAATAGGAGCAAACAAATTGAATTGCTGGAGTGTAGGGATGCAAAAATGGAGATGTTCAATGTGAAATTTTACAACCCTGCACAGAGCAGCTTTTGTTTACCCACAAGTCAGGCAGAATGTCAAAGAGAATATCATGAGTAGTTCAGTGTAGTCAAAAATACAGAGTTATTGAGGTAAGAAATAAGTTTATAATGCACCTGAATCCCTGGCCACAAACACTGTAAAGTTTCCTCCTACTGGCAAACCTAGTTAGCATAGCTGCCTGAGCCCAGCCTGACAGCACCACAGCTGCAGTTGTATTTTCAGCCTCATAAAACCAGAATTGTGTGTGTGTGTGTGTGTGTGTGTGTGTGTGTGTGTGTGTGTGTGTGTGTGTGTGTGTGTGTGTGTGTGTGTGTGTGTGTGTGTGTGTGTTGAGGGCCTGCAAGGTGTCACTGCACTGCTGAAGGGGTGCCGTCTGGTACAGAATTTTAATTGGCAGGAAGGCACATTGGCATGTTTAGTGATTTATTTTGCCAACATGATCAGCTGTGAGGGGTGGGGCAGTCCAGGTGGATGGGGATGATGTAGTCTCAAATGGAGGTGTGTGTGTGCATATGTGTGTTTATTCGAGGAATATTGGCCCACTATTTGCATAGAATTCTGTTGAGAACATCTTTCAGCCTTGCTGTCAGAAATTTGCAGCTTGTTTGGTGTGTTGGTGCATGTTAGTTCTTTCTGCACATGTGCACCAGGGACCCCTTCACTATGCAGAAGCACCATCTCTCCTCTGCTGTCAGATTTGACAGTCTGTTTTGGCTGAGAGCAGCAAAGCTGTAAGACAGGGTTGACTCCAAATGAACCACTTTTTCTAAAACATTACCAGCCTAGTCAAAGGCCAGTTTGTTAATTGTGTGGCCAAAATGGTCCCCTTTTAAAGAGGAATAAAAGTACCAACTCCAAGAAACAACTGATGGATGTTTTTTTTTTTATTCTTTAAAAGGATTCTTTACTTTGAATGTATTTAATAGTTTAAATAGTAGTGTAAATAACTTTAACAGGAATGTATGCCTTTTCTCCTTCTCTTACACATGTAATCTGCTTTCACATCTGAGCTCCTTGTATTTTTCTCATAATTACAGGCCCTGATATTCTCAGGAATCATACATGTATCTCAGAAATGTTAACTGTTGGACTCTACTGTTGGACTTTACTGTTGTTACTCTCACAACTCTATACTCTGTTTGGTTTGGAGGAGCTATGGAGTACATGCAGGAGAAGGAGTTGGCTATTGTAATGGTGATTGACTGGTCCTGCATCAATACCAGGACAACATGAACAAAGACATTTCCACAATATAAATGTGCCTAAGTCACATCGCTGCATCTTGACTTGTTGAAGCTTTCTACCATGGATAAGCATTTCAAGCAAATTTGGTTGTGCTGCAGCTGCTGAATGGTACTGTTGCAAACTTGTTATGTGCATAAGAGTACTTGGAACTATTTCCTGTAACTCAAGTAATATAACCTCAATACACACATACAGACAAACGTGTATTTTCATGTCAAAGTGTGTAAAAAACAAAGTATATTGTTCTTTTCTGTTATGGTGAGAATCAGCCTGTCATGCTACAACTGGTGGTCTTTTAGATGATGCAGTCTGGAGTATACAGGTCTCCATAAAAAATGATAAAGTCCCACATGCAGTCTCGTAATGACTGGGCAGCTCACCAAATGTCTCCACTTTTGTTTAGTTAATGTTAATGAGAATGTACGCTCTGAATGAATGGATCACTTAACTCCAAAACTACAAAGTTGATAGAAATCTAGGGCTGGGGCGATTCGTCGACGTAGTTGACTACAAAAATTAGTCGACGCGTCGCATGATGACGTAGACAATGGCGACTTCAGGTAACGGTGGCGGCATGGGCGGCAAATGAGCTCCACAGCAATCTAAACATACACTGTTGCCCATAGCCATATATAAGAAAGGCTAGATGAATCAAGGCTGAGTCACCAGTGTCCGTACACGGCGACCATCTTACTTTAGTATACCATTCTGGTACATTGTATGGTAGCTGACGGAAGGTGAGTAATTTGCATTATCAAAAACACTCTTAACTCGCTGAAATCTTGACAGATTTACAAACGTTTTTTTTTATTACATACCTTAACGTGGCTATGAGTTGGGATGCTTGGACATATCGTAATGGCAGCTTTTCTTAGAGAAAAAAAGACTCAATCGTGCAGCACAGTTGTTTCACGGCTATTTGCACACGCAATGGCTAACTTTGAGTCGCTTCGTGATCAAGGCTGAGACCACAATCATGCTTTTTTTTTTTTTGTATAACAGCATATTTTTTTTGTCTAAGTGATGGTCTTTGTGGATGTGCTTGTGTTTATCAGCTGTCTAACTTGGCTAACAGACTGGCTGTGAGTAAGACCACCTATTACAAAGTTCACTGAGCAATTTTACATTAGTGGGAGAGGCAGAAATGCTTGTTTGTTTCAACATAACTTAAGTTTCACAAGATCTCCAAGCTGTTTTGGTTTGTTAAAAACATTTAAAATGTTGATACATTATGATACAGGAAATTTCTGACTTTGTGTTTACACTTGAGCACATTTTAATTTTTGCACATGCTTCATAGATAAAACTTTGATTTTAAATACCTTTTTAGATTTTATTTCCAATACAGAATCTGTGATTCAAATTCTATTTATCTAATATACACTTTTTCAATAGCCTGATGACTTCACCCCAGGCTGATATAAAGGAATATTTTTATGATAAGTAGCCCAGATAACAGTGGTAGTATCAATCCTGATCACCTGTGCATCTGTTTTAATTATGTTTTTCCTAGACTTCTTTTGTTCCACCCTTGTTCTTCACTGTTACTTCAATAAAGATATGAGGTTGGTGCATCAGTTCTTTTCGATAAATGTAGTGTTGTTTTCTCACACTGCCAAATTTAGTTACAGGGCCTCAAACCAGTTGTATTTACCCACACTTTCTCACTAATCTTTTGAAAATACTTTGAAAATGTCATTAGTGCTTAAGTCAGTCTGTAAAGTAGCAAAAGATTTGCCTCCCAGTAAATTAAAAGAAAAAAAAGGAGTTATATATATATATTTAGATTATATAAATAAAATAAATAAATACATATATCTTAATTATATATGTTATTGCAGTTATCCCATAATAGAAATATTACCAATATAACATAAATGGAATGATTAAATGTTTCCTATATAAATAATTTAATGTAACTACCGTTTGTGTGCAGGCCTATAGCTATTGCTCTACCTATCTGCCTAATGTCTATTTTTGTAAGTCCATGGTTAAAATTATTCTCGAGTATGCAGGAATGTCACTAAAACTCTGAGGTTTGTTACAAACCAAACCATTTGAACATCAGTTTAAATTAATCAATTTATAGTTATTTAAATGCTACATGCACCATAGACTGTAATTTTATGAGCCGGCGAGCTGCCTGTCGCAAGATAGCCGCCATGTGCGGACGTTGGTCTCCATTGGCTAACATTGTGCATAATCCATCTAGCAGTAATACATACATACATACATATATATATACAGTACAGGCCAAAAGTTTGGACACACCTTCTCATTCAACGCATTTTCTTTGTTTTCATTACTATTTAAATTGTAGATTCTCAAAACTATGAATGAACACATGTGGAATCATGTGCTTAAGAAAAAAGTGTGAAATAACTGAAAACATGTTTTATATTTTAGATTTCTCAAAGTAGCCAACCTTTGCTTTTTTGATAGCGCTGCAAACTTTAGCTGTTCTCTCAATGAGCTTCATGAGGTAGTCACCTGAAATGGTTTTTACTTCACAGGAGTGCCTGAAGTAACCCTGACAAGGTACTTCTGTCATCAAGAGCAAAGGGTGGCTATTTTAAAGAAACTAGAATATAAAACATGTTTTCGGTTATTTCACACTTTCTTTATAAGTACAAAATTCTACATGTGTTCATTCATAGTTTTAATGCCTTCAGTAATAATCTACAATGTAAATAGTCATATAACAAATAAAGAAAAGACATTGAATGAGAAGGTGTGTCCAAACTTTTGGCCTGTACTGTATATATATATATATATATATATATATATATATATATATATATATGTACTCTAGAGGCCAAAAGTTTGGAAGCGAGATCAGATTTGTAAAAAAAAAAGATCATAGTTTCATATATATAATTTGCAACACAATAAACATGACTATTGTGCAAAGAGTAACTTATCAGAAGACATTTTGACTATAATTATTAGGTATTTGAGTTTTTCTTGCTTAGACTTTGCTTTCATTAAAGTAACCTCCTCTGGCTTTAACAACAGCTTGGCATATACCAGGCATTTGTTCCACAAGTTTTTTAAGGTATGTTCCAGGGATTGCATTCCAAGCTTTCTTAAGTTCATTAAAAAGAGACTGCTGATTCGTGGGATGCGTTTTTCTGACCGATAGATCCAATTCATCCCGCACAAGCTCAATTTGAGAAAGGTCTGGAGACTGAGGGGGCCAAACCATCTTTTGAAGAACACCTTCCCCTTCTTTTTTGTCTAGGTAACCCTGAGAGAGCTTGGCAGACTGCTTAGGGTCATTGTCTTGCTGCAAAACAAACTTATGAGTCACAAGGCTGAGTCCAGTTGGAACAGCATGGTGCTGGAGGATGGAGTGGTACTGTTCCTTCTTCATGATACCCTTTACTTCAAACAAAGCTCCTACTCCATCACCTGCAAAACATCCCCATACCATGGAACTACTACCTCCATGCTGAATTGTGGGTGTAACACATGGTGCTTTCAGATGATCACTAGTTTGTCAGCGGACATAGACTCAGCGTTTTGAACCAAATAGTTAAAACTTGTTTCTAGTCATCATAAGTCCAATTTTTGTAAGCTTTTGCCCACTCATATCTCTTTTTCTTGTTCTGTGGACGAAGCAGTGTTTTTTTGCAGATACACAACCCTTCAGACCAGCCTTTCTCAAACGTCATTTCACGGTTGTCAGAGATATGGGTTTCGACCTTGTCATGTTGATTCCCTCCCTTATTTGTGGTGCTGTCTTTTGCCGATCTCTCTTACTGGTGACAATGCTATGTTTATCCTCTGCTTTTGTAGTAACTCTCTTTCATCCAGGTCTTTTTCTATCATCATAACTTCCAGGTTTCTCTAGTCTCTTCAGAGTGTAGTGGACTCCTTTGTTAAACACCTTTAGGCGTTTTGCAATTTCTCTTTCTGTGTATCCTTCTTTCCTCAATGTACAAATCTGTACTTTTGGTTCTTTACTCAGTTGCTTCTTTCTAGCCATTTTTGCGGTAGTTTGAACAAAGTTGAGATTTATCAGGATTTTTGTATGCAGACTCTCAAAAGCCAAAAAGTTGACGTAAATAATCCAACTGTGATTTTTTTTTTTTTTTTTTTTGTGCTTTTGCACTGAAGTTGTGACCTTTGCAAATGTTTTCAACCCTAAAACTAAGCCCTTATCTTTTGATGACATATATTTAGCAATGGTCTGTTAACATCAATGTATATCTAAAGGTAAATGGAGTAAAATGGTGCATTTCCATGAAAGCAACATCTGATCATGGAGTAAATACATCCCAAAATACATAAAACTCATGCTGGATTTTTAAAAAAGCATTGTGAACAAAAGGTTGAAGTTACTACCAACTGTTCGGCCTGTAATGGCTTTGCTTCCTAACTTTTGGCCTGTAGTGTGTGTATAGTGGATATAAAAAGTCTACACACCCCTGTTCAAATGCCAGGTTTTCGTGATGTAAGAAAATGAAGGCAAGATAAATAATTACACAGTTTTTTCCACCTTTGATATGACCTATGACATGTACGATGCAATTGAAAAACAAACTGAAACCTTCAAAGTGGGAAAAACATAAAATAAAAAAACTAAAATAACCTGGCTGCATAAATATGCATACCCTTAAACTAATACTTTGTTGCAGCACCTTTGGCTTTTATTACAGCACTCAGTCTTTTTGGGTAGGAGTCTACCAGCATGACACATCTTGATGTGGCAATATTTGCCCTCTTTCTTTGCAAAACCGCTCCAAATCTGACAGATTTCGAGGGCATCTCCTGTGCACAGCCCTCTTCAGATCACCCCACAAATGTTCGATGGGATTCAGGTCTGGTCTGGTCACATTCAGGTCCAAAGCCTCAATCTTATTCTAGGAAGGCCATTCTTTTGTTGATTTAGATGTGTGCTTTGGGTCATTGTCATGTTGAAAGATGACATTCCTCTTCATCTTCAGCTTTCTAACAGAAGGCCGAAGGTTTTGTGCCAACTCTGACTGGTATTTGGAACTGTTCATAATTCCCTTCACCCTGACTAAGGCACCAGTTCCAGCTGAAGCAAAACAGCCCCAAAGCATGATGCTGCCACGACCACGCTTCACTGTAGGTATGGTGTTCTTTTGGTGATGAGCAGTGTTGTTTTTGTGCCAAATATACCTTTTGCAATTATGTCCAAAAAGGTCAACTTTGGTTTCATCAGACCATAACTGATCCACGTGTTTGGGAGATTTCTTTTTGCAAAATTAAGCCGGGCTTCAATGTTTTTCTTTGTAAGTCTGTCTTGCCACCCTATCCCATAGTCCAGACATATGAAGAAGACAGGAGATTGTTGTCACCTGTACTACACAGCCAGTACTTGCCAGAAATTCCTGCAGCTCCTTCAGTGTTGCTGTTGTCCTCTTTGTAGCCTCCCTGACCAGTTTTCTTCTTGTCTTATCATCAATTTTGGACGGATGTCCTGTTCTTGATAATGTCACTGTTGTGCCATATGTTTTCCACTTGATGATGACGGTCTTTACTGTGTTCCATGGTATATTTAATTGCTTGGAAATTATTTTGTAGCATTTACCTGACTGATCTTTGAATAATGAGATCCCTCTGATGCTTTGGAAGCTCTCTGCAGACCATGGCTTGTGCTGGAAGATGTGGCTACAAAAACATCAGGAAAAGCCTACTAGAAGGACATCTCTACTTAAGGTCAGTTGTTAGATTCATTCGTGATCGTAAGGGTGCCGATGTGATCCAACAGAGGCTGCCACGTTTTGGTAAAGGAATCTAAGGAGCCGTTAAGGGAGAACCTTATTTTCTCAAGTTTGATGCAATATAGAATTTCATGTATCCACCTATTGTGGGAAGAAGGGGATGGTTGTATCCAATTAAGGAGAATAAACCTCCTAGCTAATTAGGTTGTAAATGCTATTACTCGACGTACATGAGATGGGCCATCGGGATTAGAAAAGATTCTGAAAAGGGCAGTTATGGGGTTTGGGTCAATGTGCATTTTCAACGCTTTACCCAAAGTGTCAAATATTGCAGCCCAAAAGCCGGTTAATTTGGAGCAGGACCAAAACATGTGCATATAGTCTGCAGGTGAACGTTTACATCTATTGCAAGCATCGGATCTATCAGGATATATCCTAGCTAATTTAGCATTTGTAAAGAGGACCCTATGACGGCGGCGAAGTTGCAGTCTCATTGTCCAGTGTAAACAGTCACCTTCGGTCAAAGCAGCCATTATCTCAGCAAGCATGTTGTTACCTTCATATTTCAGGTCACCCTGTTTCTTGCGTGCCTCCCTGATGACTTGCTCCTTTACTGGAAGGCTGGTGAAGCACATAATAACATGCCTTGGTTTTTCGTCGGGGCCGGGTTTGTCCCTGAGGGCTCTGTGAGCTATTTCCTGTTGAGGAGGCTGTGGTAGAACTTCGGGTCCCAAAACTTGAACCAGGAGCTTAGAGATGAATTCAGCTGGACAAGGGCCGACCTGTACTGATTCTTTCATCCCTACGAGGCAGACGTTCCAGCGCTGGCTCCGTGACTGTTGGTCGAGGAGTGCTCGTAGCTTAGCGTTAGCATCTTTTAGCCCCGCACAGGTAGTCTCCAAGGCTTTAATATGGTTGCTAACCAAGTTGGCATTAGACTCCAAGGAAACAATACGTTGTCCATGATCAGCGATCGAAGCTTGCACCGAGTCCAGCTTTGATTCCAACATTGCAATGCTAGTCTCAAAGGCGGCTACGAGAGTTTTTCTGTGGTCTTCTAGCACGGAACGCAGCGCCGACATGGTAAAGTGGTCGCCATCACCGTCGGTGTTTGGCGGAGCCGGTTCGGGGTTCCTTGTTGTTCTCGTGGAAGGTTTAGACCAGTCTTTCCCGGGCATTTCGGTGTGAGTTTAAGTCATACACTCAAATACTGTACACTGTGTGCAGAATTATTAGGCAAGTTGTATTTTTGAGGATAAACTTTATTTTTGAACAACTGCAGTGCTCTTGGTCAATCCAAAATGTTAATAAACCTCAAACCTTAATATTTAAGGGAGTAAAAGTGAGATTTTGGCTTCCTTAGGAGAATATCTATGTGTGCACAATTATTGGGGCAGCTATTAGTGTGCAGAATTATTATGCAACTAAATTAAAAATGAAAAATTTCCCATCTCACTTGTTTATTTTCACTTGTTCAGGTGAGAATGATAAACAACTCAATTTACAAATAAAAATTGTTGAAATTAAAAAAAAAAATCAGTGACCAATGTAACTACCCTTCTTTTCAATAACAGTCATAAGCCTTCCATTCATGGAGTCTTTCAGTTTCTTGATCTGTTGACGATCAACTTTTTGTGTTGCAGCAACCAAAGCCTTCCAGACACTGTTCCAGACACTGTTCAGAGAGGTGTACTGTCTTCCTTCACTGTAAATTTCCTGTTTAAGAAGGGCTCACAAGTTCTCAACAGGGTTTAGGTCAGGTGAAGAAGGAGGCCACGTCATTATTCTTTCGTTTTTAAGGCCTTTATTGGCGAGCCACATAGTGGAGTACTTTGTTGCATGCAATGGAGCATTGTCCTGCATAAAAATCATGGTTTTCTTGAAAGATGCAGACTTTTGCCTGTACCACTGCTTGAAGAAAGTGTCTTCTAAAAACTGGCACTAGGTTTGGGAGTTGATTTTAAGTCCATCTTCAACTCGAAAAGGTCCAGCTAGCTCATCTTTAATAATACCAGCCCATACCAGTACCCCGCCTCCACCTTGCTGGTGTCTGATTCGAAGTGGAGCTCTGTGCCCATTACTGATCCAGCCACGGGTCCATCCATCTGGTCCGTCAAGAGTCACTCGCATCGCATCAGTCCATAAAACCTTTGAAAAATCTCTCTTCAGATATTTCTTGGCCCAGTCTAGACGTTTCAACTTGTGTCTTGTTCAGTGGTGGTCGGGTTTCAGCCTTCCTTACTTTGGCCATGTCTCTGAGCACTGATCATCTTGTACTTCTGGGCACTCCAGGTAGGTTGCAGTTCTGGAATATGACAGCACCGGAGGATAAGCGGTTCCTGGTAGCTTTACGTTTGAGTCTTCTCAAATCTTTGGCAGTTAATTTGCGTCTGTTTTTCTTAACACATTTCTTGCGACCCTGTTGACTATTTGCATCAAAATGTTTGCTGGTTCTGTGATCACACCCAAATATCTAAGCAATTTCAAGAGTGCTGCATCCCTCTGAAAGACTTTTTACAATTTTTGACTTTTCAGAGTCATTTAAATCTCTTTTTTGGCCCATTTTACCTGAGGAAAAGAAGCTGCCTAATAATTATGCACACCTTGATATAGGGTTTTGATCTCCTTAGGCCCCAGCCTCCCTCATTACACTAATACACATTACCTGATGCTTATATCCAATAAACATTCAAGTTTATACAGCTTGGAGTTGGAAAATATGCATAAAAATGATGATATGATCAAAATACTCACTTGCCTAATAATTGTGCACACAGTGTAGAACTATATCATACTAGGTGAAAAGTAGTGAGATGTCTGATGAAAAAAGTCGTACAACGAGGGAGCAGAGAGACGAGCGAGTCACTTATTACAAAGTTAGTTAGTCATGGTATGGTTTGTGTGTGATTTTAGCAGCTGCTCAACAGGTTGAAGAATGAACCAAAAAAAGTCCAATAGTTATGAGAAATGACCGCAAACTTAACTTCAACATGTGATCCCTCAGTTTTAGCAAGACTCTAGATAACAGCAGATTCTGTGTCAGGTTGATCCAGAGATAAAGTTAGCTTAGTAAGTGGGCAAAACATGATTTTTTCATTTTCATTATTTCTTGACAGCACATTTTTGCTATCAGCTCTAGACTTGGACCTGTATCAGTCTGCCCAAAGAAGTCTGTTAGTTTGGATGTCATCTTGTTTAAGCAAAGAAAAAAGAGGTAAAGTGATGAAAACAACAGAGAAAGAAAAAAAGGCTGGGCTATTACTGAAAAAAATCTACAAAATTAAAAGTGGCACATTAAGTAAAAGCCTAACAGTACTGGATGTAATGGACTGATAATTTATAAGATAATGTCACACACTGACAGGGGCTGAGTGGAAAAACTCAATCAGGTGCTGCAAAGATTTCTGTGGTCCTGTTCATTTAGTTTGACTTCAGTATCAGTGAAAGTGTCAAGTTCAGTGTGAGTAATTGGAATAATTGGAAAAAGGCTTTTGGACAGACTAATTCAAGATGGGCACAAAAACAGAAGTGTCTCTAGATTCTAAATCAAAGAACCATCCTTTGTGTGCAGAGTGTGTCTCATCCTGTAAGAGGTCCAAAATGAAAACGTGTTTGCTAAAAAGTACTGAAGAGGGCTGGTCTTGTACAGCTGCTTGAGTGCAGTCTGGCTGCTTTTCCTGGCCCTCTGTATGAAAGGCCCTTGACCTGCTCTGTATTGAGAGTCCTGGGCTGCATTGTGTGGCTGTGTGAGTAAGTAAATGCTCCATTAGGAGTCATTATAGCCTCTTGCCGGACATATTGTTCCGAGTGCAGTGAGGCGCACCGTTGGAGGCCCCCTGCTCTTCATCGGCACGTGTCCTCTGTACACTGCTTTGTGCTCAGATACAATAGATGTGCGACCCTCGCTCCCTCTTTTCCTTCACCTTTCCTTTTTCTTTCTCTTTCTTCTTCTTTCCATCATATAATATTCATTTATCAGCTGCTTGTCACTGTTTTGATCCATCACCACTATCAACCACATCCCTGTCCACCTTCAACCAACCTTCTTCATTGTCCACCATCTTAGCCTTTACCTCCCCTGGGATAATATATAGTGACCAATGACATCCCGCTGCAGCCGTTGCCATGGTGATCTGTGACAGTGGGAAGCACCACCCAAGATGTATGGACTGTAAAAGCGGGAGGTTGGTTTTAAGGATGTGTGAAGAGAGAAATGAAGCTAGCTAGCTGGTAGAGAGGAGGAAAAACAAAAGGAAAAGGAGAGGAAACGGCAGGTATGTGAAGTATTTGACACTCTTACAGGTAGTTTGGTTACATTTGGTTTGTTGCAAAAAAATCTAATTCTGCCAACTTTTGACAGCCATGTTTATCATTTAATTTAACTATTTGATGTAGAAATGGTGATAACAGGGATGTTTCTGCAGCTGCTCAGTGAGCACCTGCTCTCTCACATTATTTTCAGAAATTTAAATTTACAATATAAGTTGCACATCTTTTTGTCAGTGGTCTTGTTTTTTTTTTTTAATATTATAAAAAGGCATCAGTATGAATTTCGCTTTATTTCATATAAAAAAAAACTCATCAGAGCTTAGAAACTGTTTCAAAACTCATAAAAGTAACTGAACATTTGACATACAGCCATGCTCACTGGTCTCATTTTATTAACTAATTAGAATTAAAAAGGAACAGCACTTTGATATCAGCTTTGTCAAAGATAAACGACCTGAATGGACTTTTAAAGGTGGCAATTTCTAGGTTCTTTTTTATTGTTTTTACATTTTTCTGTGAAAAGTTTCCTCACATAAAACTGTTGGTGTAGTTTTTCATTCGTCTCAAGTAACAGTTTCAATCCTGATCCAACAGCCGCTCCACCATAAACACAGCGACATCTCTGCAGCTATCTGTATCTGGATCCTCTGAAAGGCCTTTGGTTTCACAGATATGTTAAAACTTGTTCACTGGATAATCCACATAGTTGGAGCCAGTTGATATTAGCTTGCTGGATGATTACTTTTATTAACTGTAACTAGATAGTTGTGTTAACCTCCCACTAGTATCTCAGCCATGGTGGCAGTAGACTCCTCTTTAATATCATATAGCTGTGGAAGTGGCTGTAAGTAATGTGATGAATTCCCCTGCAGCAGCTCTGACACACCCCAACTATATTGTCTCTAAATGTATTTACTGTCTTGTTAATTCACACCTTCTAGACCTTTAATTCTGCTGCTGCACTCCTGTCCTTAATCTCATTTACTTTAAAATTAAACCTCTCTCCAGAGCTCATATTTAATTACTTTAACAAGGCTCAGTGTGCTGGTTGTGCTAACATTTCTTTACTACATAATAAGACAATTATTCCGGTGGATCTTCCACAGGGAAAAACACCTTGACATTAAATAGTCATGATGAACATCCTGTATTTATCCGGGTAGAGCGCACTTTGTGGAAAAAATCCTTTGTGGAGTAATTTCTCATTAGGTTTAGTGTGTTGCTTGCTTATTCAGCCCTTTCACCTGTGTTTTCTAATAAGTCCACCTTGTTTATTGCTGTCAAGATTAAGGAATTTGTGTTTACTGTTTTGTTTTTTTTCCTCCCCTGGCTGTCCCTTTCGTTTTCTTTTTCTGTCCCTTTAAAGAGTGAGGTGATGTGTTAGCAGTTTCTCATGGGAACCCTGAGAAATGACAGCACTCCTCTCATGGGAGCGCCACTGTCATATGTTATCATATGTTATGTTATGTGTGTGTGTGTGTGTGTGTGTGTGTGTGTGTGTGTGTGTGTGTGTGTGTGTGTGTGGCAGAGAATATCTACCCTCCCATGGACAGCAGTCTGGAGTTTACTTGTGTCCAATCACCAAGGCAGCAAACGTATGCTGCAGTCATTAATCACAAACACACACACACACACACACACACACACACACACACACACACACACACACCTAGAGAGAGAGAGAGAGAAGCCAGCAAAGGCTTTTTTTTAAAGTGATGCAAGTTAACTGTGTTTACTTACTAATAATGTGTCAACAAATATCAAGCAAATGGAATTGAGCCAGTGATACAGCAAAGGAAGAGATGTCGTGTTTTTCATACATTATGCAGTAAAACAAACTCGCTGGCACTCACAGGAATAAAGAAGCAGGGCAGAGTGAAAATCTGCCTTCAATAACACAATATTTAGAGGGAATACTCCATTGATTTGACTGTGTTTCATCTGTGTTCACAACATGTCACGTGTTTTTCTTTTTATTCTGTGGAGTGTGTTAAAACACTGAGTTTTTTAACTGCCAAATACATCTCAGCAGGAGTTTTTGGTCATGCTTTAATCTCCATTGAAACCAAAGAAAACTGGTGGCATATCTGTTTCTCCCTGAGCTCCTCCCACCTTGAGGAGTTCAGGCTGGCAGTATCAGTATTATCACTTAACACCTTCTCAGTGCTTTTATGCTCTGGAGGAGAAGCAGAGAAAGAAGAATCTTTTTCATCTCGCACTGCTGTGACTATGGCACAATCAGCTTTTTTTTCTTGTGTCTTTGTCGTTAATGAAATATTTTTGTTTGCAACAGTCACGTGGTGTTGGTGAAGAAACAGTAATTACTTATTTATAACTTTTTTTAATCTAACTCTACACAAGACTGTGAAGATGTGCATTTCTTCGATATAGTGACCTTTCCTTGAGTGCTGTTGGTGAATTATAGCCTGATATCACTTTTTCATGCTGTTTTGGCCCCTTTGAACACACTGTGGGTGTTTCAATAAGTGGTGTTGTAGCTGTGAGTAAGAGGTCAGTACAGTAACAATGGAGTTTACACCTCTACGATGGCGAGCTGGAGTTCAGGGCCAGCCTTCCATTACTGAGACTTTCAAGGCTGTAGCAAATGTCAACGCACATTGGGTCAAGAGGTCTTCGCAATCTGAAGGATTTGTGTGTGTGTGTGTGTGTGTGTGTGTGTGTGTGTGTGTGTGTGTGTGTGTGTGTGTGTGTGTGTGTGTGTGTGAGGCGTGCACTTAAGCATGTGGGTGACAAAGAAGCTGTGGGAGGAAATAAAAAAATGAAGAGCAGAGAGGCTTGTAGTGGGTAGAGATTGAGTGCTATTTCCTGGTTTGTGTTTCTCTACTATAACCCACACGTTAATTCAGACATCTTCTCTCAACAGCTTACAAAAGTGTGAGATCTTTCTTCCTTTTAATGGATGCTCTTGCCCTCATTTGTAACATCTCGAGGATGAATTACCTCAGAAGTCTTTTCACTGAACTCCCTATCTCTCCCCTTTAACCATCCTTAGCTGGTCCACCTCCTAGAATAGCTCTCTCTGGCCGACATTTTTATGGATACGGTCAATAATCATGTTTATTCCTCAGTGACGGCAACAAGGCTGAGAATTCAGTCTGATATTAAAAGTACTAGATGTCAATTTAATGTTTAAGCAGTGCTGTAAGCAGGGCTTCTTCCTGTCAGGCCCAATCAATCAGTGGGTCCATCTGAGCTGCACTTTAACTCAGCATCATTACACATCATTACTCTCATTAAAAACAAGCTGAGATGAGGTGTTGTTAGCATGATTAAGTGGTGTTATCCAAGAAGGAGGTGTTCAGGAAGGTGATGTATTGCCCTTGACTGTCAGTCATGAAGGTTTTATTTCTTTAAAATTGATATCAATCTATGATGTTATAACCATGCAATCAAAGAAAGTCTGACGTTTTAGCTTTTAAAATCTCAGACGTTTTCACTAGTTTTCTTGTATGAACATAAACAGCTGTCTTAATGTGTATACGGAAGAAATGCTCCAGCACCAGTTTTCACTCCTTGATATTGATTATAAATACTGAAAACTAAGGGCTTATACTAACCCAATTTCATCTTGCCTGGTAAATATTTATACAAATATGTACCCTAAAAGCAATAATACAGCTTTATTGCATATTCCAGTTTCATGAATATTTGAAAAAGAGCATTTATAAAAGTAAATCTAGAAAAAAAAGGAGAAACCATTTTAGAGAAGTTCTGTTCACACCATAACAAACACAACCTTTGATTCATAGTTTTCTTTGGTTTTAGTGCCTGGATCTATTTCCTTCCTTCGTTGATAATTTTGCTCGCATTACAGACTCAATGATAAACACTAAAGGGTCTCCTAACTCTGAAAAACACAGAGCACCAACAAAGAAACTTAGCTGACAGCCCCCTTGGATATGATTTTTCCGCAGAAACATTCAATTTAAAGGTTAAGTTTGGTAAGTTTTATTCTGTAAACTGGGAGGAAAAAGTCTGATGATACAACATGCTGCAAAGGAGGACTACAGCCTCTTCACACCCTTTAAATCTGGCCCATCAGAAACACTTCTTTTCACTGTGAAGCACCTGTATTAGCTCTGACTAATCGGTATTTTCTGTTTGCACCACTCTCATTTAAATGCATTTGTTACTTGATAATAACCTTGCCTGGCTTAGCTTCATCTGTTGACATGTATTTCCTTGTTTGTACCAGCCTCAATGCATTTATTGTGATTGTGAAGATGTAAAACATCCCTGGTGGCAGTTCTAGTTAAGATACTTGTGTAGGCTACTGCTTGAGGGGGGGGAAGAACTCATGTATAGGGGATAATTTTTCAGGGCTAATAAGTCTTAAATCGACAAACATACATCATGATAATCAACCCTGTATCTTGGTGTAGCGATTTGAATTTGTAATAAATGTCTGAAGATTAATAATCTTAATTGATGACATTTATGCACTCGTTGAAAGGGGCACCACCCACCCTTAATGGTGGGAAAAATAAAGAAACAAAAGTTTAATTCAGAAATCAAACATTAAGTCAATCTTAAATTAATCAATCTCATATCTTAAGCCGAAATTCTCATTTCAGGGACTCCACTTCTGGAAGAACACTAAGAGACAGGAACTTAGAAAAATAATGATCTGTTTATCACAGGATAAATGATGGTACAACATACATGCAATAAATGAGGATAAGATAATGAGGATAAATAATAATAGGTGAATTATTAAAGATTCTGAGTCAGGCTAGGAGCACTTAAGTTAATGATAGTGAGTGAATATGCTCTAACATATTAACCTACATTAACTTTGGTGTCAAGCTAAATTTGGACATGGATTTGGATGAACCTAGGATTACCAGAATAAGTGAATGTCTGAGTTATGACCGCATGAGACAGCATCAGCCCTGTTTGGAGCTCTGGAGGTTTGCATACTTAAGTGAGACTGGTCCTTGGAGAAGAGGGAGCAGGTACCGAAGGTCTGGGGCTACCGGCTGTTCGAGAGGTTCGGCTCAGAAGACGACCAAAGTCAGCCGAAAGAGATGGGCCAGGAGTTGCAGTACTCGGGCCCGAAGCAAAAGCCAGCGCTGTGGATCCTTTGGATGCTCGTTTGTCTCACTCAAAAACGTAGGCTCACAGGATGACTTTGGGCCTGTTGGGTGGCGTTTAGAGGTGACATTGAAATTACGCAGATGACTCAGAAAAAGAGGCTCGATGACCAGTGGAAACTATTTTTAAAAAAACTTGAATTGCTATGCACACAAAAGTTGAAGTTTCAAAACTTGAACTAAGACGATGTTAAAGAAAAATCAATGTGAATGAACATGTGGGGTGAAACTTAGAAGACTAAGAAAAAGTAAGGCTAAGTAAAAAGTTAGAGCTAAGAAAAACAAAGAGGGCTAAGCAGTAGAGTAAAGAGGACAAGAGGAATAAGAGCGTAAGAGAGACTCAGCAACCCCATTTTACTGGTTTTGTCTCCTTCACACTGGGAGTGTCTCTGGCGTGTGTGAGGAGAAAGAGGAGGGGTCGTGGGATCTCCAACTGAAGAGGAGACCTTGGATCTCTGATTATTTGATCTAACTTATACTTTTGGCTGGTAAAGGTGTCAGATCTGATATTCACTCAATATGATTAATATCATTGAATGCTTGGTTTCATGATGAATGATTTGATACTAAACACATATGAATGAAATGTAGGATCACATCAAACATTCTCATTATGTTTTAAGTATCACATTGAAGATGCTAAATTACTCTGAAATTAAACATGAAAAACAAATGTGAACAACAAAAGAGTAAACACATGTGAATGAACTTCATCATGATTAATAATGGATTCTAAATACTCACATTCAGATTATTCAATAGCATTATAACCACCTAATGGTTAAAATACTAAATAAATGATAAGGATATAAACCAAACCTTTCTAAACTATTTCTGTCACTTAGAGTAAAGTTATGATTCCTGGTCAATAAATTAAACTCTTAAAAGTTCATGAAACAGTCTGAAAAGCTGTTGGTCTAAAGAAACTAAAGAATGAAGGATTTATTCTGTTAAAGTGATAGCTTGGCTTTTGGAGCACATTTTAACACAAATTTCATGATTAGACAGATTAGTACATTGCTGAATGCATAAGATGTCATGATCAGTCATTTGTATTATTTCACCAAAGGAATGCAGTTCTTATCAGAACATGGTTGAGCAGGGTTTTACGACCAAGGTCTGGAGGTTAGTGTCCTGCTTCTCAGACCTTTTCTTGGGGTCCGTATGTTCACACACTTTAAAACTGTAAATCTCAAATGGGAGACCTGGATTAAGGCATGAATGATTATTTTGATGGTCAGTGATGGAGTCAGTTTGAAAGGTAATAAAGACTCCGTCTCTGTTCTCCGAATTGACCAATCATCAAGAGCCAGAGATTTCGGTCAACCTCCGGTGGGGTCAGTTAGGTAACCTGAAAGTGCAAACAAGTCTGGAAAGATTTATACCATCCTGTGTCCTGGAACCAGATAAGAAACCTTTCCTGCGAGGAATGTGTGAGTTTCACCCACAGGGTTGTCTTTATTGCTGCAGTCCCCCCTTCATCACGATGGTTCTGTCCACGGAGCATTGGGACGACGAGTAGACAACCATAAAGCAGCAGCAGCAGGTGTATGCAGATAGGACTGATGCGTCTCATCGTCACTATGTGAATTACTAATATCTGCTTTACAATAACATCAAGCGTGCATTACGTTATCAAATAAAATCATCTAGGTGTTAGACTTAACTATTGGTAGACTAATGTGAAAGAAAATCTCCAAATGTTCAGTATTAGTAAGATTTAGAAATGCACTATTTAGTGTGAATGCTAACTGGATCTAAAGATATAGCTGTTATTTATGCCTGCTGGAGAAGTCTGAAAGTTCAATTTCAGTTTCAAAAATGGTTAAGACTTAGGTGGAAAAGAAATGTCTGCTATAGACATAATAATCAGCTGTGTATGAGCATAGTCAACCTGAATCACAACCTCAAAGAGTTTCATGCACAAATATTTTCTCTTAAACTTTGTTAAACTTGAGGATGATGATTTTTTACGCTGCGATTTGTGAACAAGAATTTTGTCTGAATTCATTCAAACAAAGACCTCCCACTGTTACAGTGGTTTCCTGTGATAGGTAGCTAATCTGTCAGGGGAAAGGAGGAAATCTGAATCACATATAGTTACTAGAACCTCGTAGAAGACTATAAGGACTTCAGGAGATGGAAACCACGACTCGGAGCATCGCGAACACCAGGTTCAGCCAAAGGCCTTAAATACAAGCGTACGATGACGCCAAAATCGTGCACTTAATTATTGGACAGTCAATACAGAGCAGAAGAAGCAGTCTCACTGCTACCAAGAACAATGATGAGTTTGTGTGAGTGAATGAATGTGTGAGTTTCACCCACAGGGTTGTCTTAATTGCTACATTGGACACTAACGTTAGAGTTAAAACAACTTTAAAGTTAACAAAAATACACCGCCTGAAATGATGCTAAAACCTTCTGCAGATATTTTGTCTCACTTTTGTTTGGCTTGGTGCTTCCAACAGATGCTCACCAGCACACTGTGGTTCTGGATCATTGTAACCTCTGTGTCCTCTGCTGGTTTCAGCAGGCATCCTTGCTTCTGCTGCCAGTGTGCATGGAGGAGAACTGGGCCGAGTAGGCCCAGAACTGCATGTAGCCTTAATGCTATTAGCATGGCTGAGTGGGCAGACAAAGTGCTACGGTTTGTTAGCCCGGATGTGTATGATGGAAAGGACAAGACAGCACTAAGTCAGTGAAACAGATGAGGTAACATGGCTGTTAGCAATGTCAAAACAAGACTTCCCTGCTATTCTGTTTGTATTCTATATTCTCCAGGATCCTGTGTAAATGAACCTCACATTTTGTATTCCTCCAGTGTACACTCTTCTCACCACTGAACTCACATTGTGTTAGATCCTCTTGCCCTCCTGTGTTTCCTCCTCTTATTTACCACATTATGATAACACTAGTGTTAGCAAAGCAATCAGGAAAACAAACTTTTCTCCTTGGTATTACTCGTCTATTGAGCTCAGTTTGGCAGAAAGCAGCAAGATCGCAATGTTTGAATCAAGAAACCTTATAATTAATTAATTCTCTCCCCATATTTTAGGTAGAGGTGACGCAGCAGAAGGATGCCGCTGGTGAAGCGCACCATCGAGCCCAGGCACCTGTGCCACACGGTACTGCCAAGGAACATCAAGAATGAGCTGGAGTGTGTGACTAACATCTCCTTGGCCAACGTGATCCGCCAGCTCAGCAGCCTAAGTGAGTCACACAAAGACACACACACACACACACACACACACACACACACACACAAAAGACTAGATAAAAACATCCAGTATAATGGCTTGTCAAGTTTTTATGGTTTTCTGCTCATTTCAGGATTCTTTTTTATTTAAATGTACAATTAATCTTGAGTTACAGATTCTACAGAAAACTACCTGGCCTCCATCTGTGATAATCTAATGATGTTTTATTTCTATAACGGATACCTGCATGTACGTGCACCTCATCATTTGTGGATAAAAACAAGTTTACTGCAGATGCTCGCTTGTGGAAGTGCAGCACATCTTACAATTAAGCAACCAGTATGTGTTTGTGTGCTCTTTGGAGGGTAAAAATGCATAACCAACCTCTTGGATTCTCAATTAACATCAGGATTATAAGAGGAAAAGATGTTTAATACTTTGCAGCAGGGGTCATTATTAAAACAGAAGTGCAACTTTTTTTTCTCAAGTGGTTAAGTCTGAATGCAGGACATTGTCAGGCCATGGTGTTACCATGATTGGTCAACCAAAAAATTACATAGAGGTGGAAATTACAGTAGGTCTGCAGCACATAAACCCCTTATTACAAAGATGAATGCACACTTCAGATTTCAGCAGTACAAAGACCACAGGTGATGCTACAGAGATGTGAAGAAGTCCTCCTGGGGAGATGAGTCATACTTAATCATATTCCTGCCAAGTGAGAAGTGCATGTATGGCACAAACCAGGAGAGCAGCACAAACCCAGATGTTTGACCCCTGTGCAGAAGAGGAAGTGGCGGCTCTGTTTGAGAAAAATTTGCTGTCATGTAATGGGTCCATATCAATTCTTGTCCTGGGTGATCCCCTTTATCCTGTGATCTGGATGACAAGAGGGTTTACTGGGTGGTCTGATGAGAAGTAGCGTGAAAGTAGGTTATCGTTTTCTGCTGCCTTCAGTCACCTGATCTTAATCTAGTTAAACAGAATAATGAGGGATTTAATGTCCAAAAATGAGACAAAATTCAACACCACCACCATTATCTCAAAGGTGGGGTAGGCAGGATCTGAGGAAGTGCCAGTTTTGGGGAGAAATCCTGAATGTAAACACTACCCCTCCCAACCAGTTTTCTCCGCGGCTTCACCTCTCCCTTCTGTCTCTGCTCGAACAAGCCCCACCCACAAACAGACGCTCCTGCTTGCCCGTATCGTTTCAGTTAAATTCAGATATAACGCAGACATACTTCAGATAATTACAAATGGTGCCCAGTCAATGTGAAAGTAAAAAGCTTTGGTGCTACTGTAGATGCCAACAGACGACCAGTAAACACAATGTTTTAAGGACTTCTACAACTAGGATAAAGTGGCATACCCCAGGACCCGAGGTCAACAGTTTAGCAGTGCTACAACACACAGCAGGTCCCGTTTGACAAAAAACACTTCTGTTACAGACACTTGGCTTACTTTGTTAAAGCAGTTTACCTGTCCAGCAGAAAGGTTACAGGGTCCGTAAGACCCGAAGCGTCCCTCATCATTGTTGACCCGGCTTCTTAGTTCTTGTCCGGGTGATCTATCTCCTTTTTAAGCACCCGTTATTCTGCCAGAGTCTCCGGTATTTACTTCTGTGGACATGCTGCTGGACACAGAGTAGACTCCAAAGTTCAAACTGTATCACAGTTTTGGATGAATGGAACAAAAAAGTTAGACTTCTCCTCTTCCAGTCAATATGCATTTTTCTTCTTTGCTGACTCTGGTATCAAACAGCTCTCTGTTCAAACATCCTCAGCCCTCACATCTCTATCAGAGCAGTCAGCCTAGTTCTCTTGGGGTTTCCAGTCACAGCTGCACTGACAGCCTTTCTTCAGCTCTTAATATCAGTAATAGCACATCATTGGACTTTGATACTTGAAACAGAGAAAGAACAGCACTGCTTATCTGATTGTGTCTGACACTCACTGCAGTTTACTTTACCTGGTTGTTTAGGAATGGCGAAATGAAACTTTGGAATAAGGTCATGAATTATCTCTGCATATAGACCTGTTAAAGCTTTGGAAATAAGCATAATTGGGGTTTTCACACTTTCACTTCAGCACAAAAAAAAATGTTTCACTTAAGAAATCCATCAGTGTAAATAAACATTTCACATGTCGTGCGTGCGTGCTTGCGTGCGTGCGCGCGCGTGTGTGTGTGTGTGTGTTTGTGTTCATGCAGGTAAATATGCAGAGGACCTGTTTGGAGAGCTCTTCAATGAGGCCCACACCTTCTCTTTCCGGGTTAACTCCCTGCAAGAGCGCGTGGACCGCCTCTCCATCAGCGTCACACAGCTGGACCCCAAAGAGGAGGAATGTGAGTCCACTAACTTCAGACACACACACATGCACACATGCATGCACAAGGTCTCACGCTTTTTCCTTTCTCGAGTGAGAACCTGAGCTCTACAGATTCTCTTGCCTCTTCATTGCACCAATTGTTGATGTGCCTCTATGTGAGTGTGTGTCTGTGGGACTGTGTTTACTGTGTTTGTTCATGTTTGTGATGGAGCTCTCCTGTCTGCCCCCCTTTAGTGTTAACGGTTGTTATTAAAAGAGCAGGCAGCAGAAATGGTGTCCTTTCCTCCTGGAAAAAGCACAAACACTTACCTCTGTTTAGTCAGAGATTTGCCCAGGCTGGATGCTTATTTAGCCACTAAAAGAGAAAGAAATCAGACCCGTAGTCAGGCTGTGTTAATAATCTGTGGGACTGCCAGGTAAGCTAGGCTATCCTGAATGAGGGGGAAAGAGGTAGGGGTTTGACAGGATGGTGTAGCTAGAGGAGGCTGAAAACTAAAAAGAGAGAGAGTCACAGCGGTGTAATACCATGCTCCAAGGCGTCGCATCGATTTCCCACAGGCCAGCGGTGTGTTTACGGCTTTGCACAATGCTACTCTAACTGCTTCCTTGTCACTGACACTAAGACGGAGGAATGCTCACTGGATCGTGCTTCGCCGCTTGTGGCTTTTTATGTGAATGGATGCGTGAGCTTTGCTTCCTCCTCACAAGCCTATGAATACAATTTTTTGCAGAATCATGGGTTTGTGTTTGGTTTAGGAAAACAGCCCTCCAGGTCCAGATTACTCACAGATTGCTCATCCTTATCCTCTTTTTGGTTGCATCCTCTATTTTCCCCCCTGTCTGTGGACCTTCCTCTTTGTAGCCTCTGTTGTTTTTCTGACATTTTCCCCTCCTTCTTGCTACCTTCGGCCTCAGCACGCTTCCTTCTCACCCTGTCCCCATTCTCCAGCCATGCTAATTGAATTAGAGTGTGTTAGATCAAATAGTGGAGGTGTGTTGTGCTGTGTGCCTCAGTTTGAGAGTCTATTTTATCCTTAAGAGGTTGAAGGTTGAACACTAGTTCAAGTGGATCCTTCCTGTGTGGATCCTTTCTGTATTTCCTGGATCGCAGATTACCTGACAGGAAGGCCACAGTTTGTCAGGCTTGGGAACTGTGTTTCTGGGACATTAATGAGCAGTACGGGGGGCTCCACAAGGGACAGTGCTGGTGCCATTCCTGTTCACACTGTACACATCAGACTTCAAATACAGTACTGAGTCCTGCCACATCCAGAAATACTCAGATGACACCGCTATTGTGGCATGTATCAGGAATGGACAAGAAGCTGAATACAGAGATCCGATAAGAGCCTTCAGTGACTGGAGTCACAAAAACTGCCTCCTCCTCAACACCTCAAAGACAAAGGAGATGGTCATAGACTTCCGTAGATCCAAACCCTCTCTTCTGCCAATGAACACCTGTGGAGTGGACATTGAAGTGGTGACATCATATAAATACCTAGGTGTACATCTGGATAATAAGTTGGACTGGTCTAGGAATATAGACTTCATCTACAGAAATGGGCAGAGCTGCCTCTTTTGCCTGAGAAGACTCTGATCAATAGACATCTGTAGTAAGACGCTGCAGATGTTTTATCAGTCTGTGGTGGCAAGTGTTCTGTTCTACGCTGCAGTCTGCTGGGGAGGAAGCATCAAACACAAAGATGCAAGACGTCTTAACAAACTGGTGAAAAAGGCTGGAAGGTGGAGACTATTCTCAAGAACATGGATCACCCACTTCACAACACCTTGATGGACCAAAGGGCAAATGGTGGTGGACGGCTCCTCTCTCTTGGCTGCAGGACAGAAAGATGTAGAAGATCTTTTGTACCAACAGCCATCAGGCTTTATGACTTTTATGTAAATTGGAGATAACTTTAATAGACATATTACATGAGACAACAGACAATTGAATTTCCCTTCAGGGATCAATAAAGTTCTTCTTCTTATTCTTCTTATTCTTAACACATTCCTCTCACACACAGACAGTATTTCTTCTGCACAATTAGACTTGATCTTTTTAGACACACATCTCTTGGACAGGAGATCTTTACCTCATTCCAGCATAAGGCGTCTTGTTCATATTCATGGGATCTCTCTGTGTTTGGATGCAGACTTGGAGGGATTTTGTGAGTGTACTTGTGCATGCATCTGCTGCATTCGCTCATGTGGTCTTAGCATTTTATCTCCCTTCATAAATAAGCCCTACTGTCCCCCCACTTTTAGCCTCAGGTGCCAGTGTGGGAGACAGTGGATAAGGATCAGCTCAGTTGCAGTTAAAGTGTGCAGTGGGGGAGGAGGAAGAGAAAGAGAAATGGAAGGATAGAGAGATGGGAGCATAAAACAGGGCACTGCAGCAAAAAGCACCGAAGTGTAAAAGGATTGTACCGCAGAATTTTCTGGGCCAGGTTGAGAAAGCCTCCTCTTCAGGTTACACAGATTTCCGACTCAGTTCAACTCCTCCACATGCATTTACAGCCAAATAAAGTTGTCTTTGAAATGGAAACCCTGCTACTCCACTTCTCTTTCTCTTATTCATTGAAAATCTATCAAATCAAGCGGCAGCGGGGGTAGTGTGGTCGTGTGCATTTGGCAGAACTTTACCAGAACAAGTCAGATAAATGCAAGAAAAGATGGTCAGTTCTTGGAAAAGATGGTTTCCTGTTTTTACCCTCACACTTTCAAACACACACTCTACTGTACACAGTTTAAAGTGTATGCTTTTAGCACAAGCATATGACCGGCCTTGTAATTGTCTGTGTGGGTCTGTGGTCAGCCATTGAGGAGTGAAGGAGAGGGGAATGAGTGCAAGCAGGGGGAGGCCATAAATCAGGACCATGAAGGGATAGAGAGATAGGAGGATGAAAGTCGGGAAGGCAAAAGAAGAGTGGAGCAAATGATGAGAAATTCACAAATACTGCTTTTTAGTTCCTTAAAACCCCTGATGACATGGAAGAACTGGTTACCAGTTGATTAAACTTAGTCCAACTTAATCCAATGTAGACTGAATGAAATCATGAAAGCTAATCGCTGCAGATTTGTTTTTTTATTCACAGGACTGTTCACTCTTATAGCAGGAGATAGCAGTCACAAGTGCAGCAGTGTTTTGATTTGTTGTTTATAATATTCAATAAATTTACAACCAACTGTTTGATTTTGTGCTGTTGTGCAATATACAAGCAACAAGTCCTTTTAAGTCCTTGTTAGAGTTTTGCTGGTCATAGCTGGTTTTAACATCAAAAGTATGACTAAAATAAAGACATATGTAGTGTTGCCCACAATAATGACACTGTACCAGTGTGGCAGGGCAGGTCTAACATCAATGAACACTGCACTCCTCTGTCTTTTTGAAAATGACTGCAGGTTGATGGTTCTTTTCATGTGGTAGTTTGGAATGTTTTCTGCAGCTTGTTGCTGTCCTTGAACTCTGCACTCTCTTGGTTTAATGATGTCTTTGATACTGAGCCCACATACACCAGGCTCACCTGGCAGGAGACAAAACTGCAAGTTGAACTGTCTCGTTTTTCCAGTACCCAGATATCTTGTGATCACCTTCATTTCTTACATAAACTTGTAGCTGTAATTACAATCATAATCACTGCAAGATTTAACTCACAAAAGGATATTTAATCCACTAACTTTTATTCAACTTTGGCGTGCATTTTACTGCCTCTCCATTATTTCTTCCCCAGCTTGAGGGACTCTTGAGCCTAAAAAAAGTCCTTTTCACTCTTCATAGATTTTCAGCATTTTCAGCCCTTAAGAAAGCAGCTCTCTGAAGGGGTTAAGTGTTTTGTGACAAACTTTTTTTCTTAAAAAAAAGATCCAGTGTTGATTTGCAGGAGAAGGTTTTGGAAAATGCTGTGATTCTTAAAACTCTACCACAAGGCAAAGTCTGACAAAAGTAAACATGCCAATGAGCCGATGCAACATCAGCCATCGTTAGAAACTAGATTATCGTATTGTAAAAAAAAAAAAAAGACAAAATATCAGGTGATGGGGCCACTGTGCAGTTTAAATTGTTGTTGGTAGTTAAATACAACTGGAACAAAGTTTTTAAGAATGTGCAATTCTCAGGCGTCTCTACACTTAAGAGCTCAATTTAAACTTCCCTGTAAAATCAAAACTGCTGTGAATGAAGGAAGTCTGATCCTGATTCCAGTAGTTGCTCTAATCCCACCCTGTACCCCCTCAACCATCAGACAAGCCCTGTGCAGCTTAGCTGTGTTTGATCAGAGGTAAAATACTGTTATAGACTCAGAGGATTCAGACTGGACTCTGCAGTGAAATATCTTTTCTTCGTTGAAAGCATAAGGACACACAGTGTTGGGTGATGGATGATATGACAGATGTGTAGCTGAAGGTTGCAGAGAGATGAAGAGATGGCCCGATGATGAATGCAGTGTCATTGGTACTGCAAGGGCTGAGGTCAAGAGTGTTTTATCACATAAATTTATACATGTTCAGTCTGATGAACACACATTTAATGCACACCCAAACCTTGTCCACATCCTATCTACCTTTAAGCCTTGAAACAGGATAGTCCCTCTCTTTTTGCCCTTTAGACCCCCAACTCCCCCTTTTCCCCAGCATTGTTGTCCTCTTCTGCCCACCCCCCTCCCTCTGATTGATCTCTGTGCTCCCTCCATCTTCATCGTGGATGCTATTTGTTTGCTGTCATCAACCCCCCCCCCCCCACACCCCACCCCCACTTGGAGCCGGCCAAACTAATGGCCTGTATCCCCTATTTAATGGCACCGTTATATCACTGCACTGGCTGCAGGCCATTGTGGAAGGCCACAAAGCCCCTGCCAGTCCCTCAAAAATTTGCTCTGAAGTCAATGGGACAAGACAAAAAACAGCAATCATTAAAGTTTTACAAATATTCACTGCTCCAATTCAGTTTTTTGTTTTTGTTTTGTATTTTTGTTTTTTGTATAAAAAAATACTTGAAAAAGGAATGTTTGTTGTGGGTGTGCTCCCTGTTGATAAAATCACAATGCTACCAGTATTAATGATAAATCTCAGGAGAATCTCTTCATAATGTGCGCACCCCCACAGTCGCCGTTGTGGTCCTTTCAAAATTTCCTAGAGGGAATTTTCTCTGTTTTTGTCCTTTACTGATTGTTGAACCTCCTTGACCCTTATTTCCACAGCTTTTCTCATTTCTACTCATTTCTTTGTCTCATTTTGTTGGAGTCTACTGCAGTCAGGAAACGGTGACCTTACTAACTAAATACAAATGTACAAAAGTGCTTCAGGCTCTCTTCTCGGCTTAGACTCTGTTCTTTTTCCATTGATTGACTGTAAAGTTTGTACTGTGCTGTGCTAAGATGTGTCATTATTTGCTTTCAGAATTTCAAATGATCTACAGAAAAGTGTGCTCAGAAGGGATCCAGTTTAAATGCTTTCTTTTCTCCAACATGTAAATGGTAGTGACATCCTGGGTTAAGGTAAAAACTAAGATGAGATTTCTGTCAGCCTCTCCAAACGTAGAATAATAATAAAACAGGGAACAAAAGAGTGTGTCCTTGGGTGCCACATGTAGACAGTGAGAACAATGAAAAAGAAAGAGAAATGAACAAAAGTGCTGTCAGTTGTGTCCAGATGCACCACATACAAGAGGAAATATTCACTTAGACATTGATTCAGTTGAACTCCGGACGAGCAGGGGAAAATGAAAGAAATAAGGCAAGGAGCATCCTTGGCCTTTAGCAAATATGATTACACATGCTTTACAAAAGCAATTAAAGAGCAGCAAGCTCAACTTTATTTAAGAGTACTACACTTTTTTATGCTTTGAAAAATGCTTGAATTGCTCCAAAAAAGTCTTCTTAAGATAAAAGCACAAAAGCTTCACACTAGGAAGGATTGTAAGCAGAAATTACTACAAAAAGTTAGTAAGAGTCATCCACTTTTGATCTTTTGCAGTTAATGTTCAAATTTTTATTAATCTTTAAGGTAATAAAATGCCCTGATTTAAGGTGCCCTTTTAACTCAAAACAAAGTGAACGAACCAAAAACTGTAAAGCAGTGAGTTTGAGGACGAACATTCATGACGTGTCCAAGAACGATACGGTGTATGGAGTCAGGAGAAAACATAAAGGAGAAGGCCAATCATGACAAAGAAGGATCTACCCCCATTCTATGTTTGGACTATGAGCCATATCAACCAATGTTCTCATGCAAGATGTGTGTAGAAACTCAAACCAACAACAATGATTCTCAAGGCACCATGAGTCACCTGAAGTCGAACACTTCCAGTGAAGATGAGGCCCACGGCTCAAATCTGGACTATATATTCTCCTGAAGCAAATAAAGCTTTAAAGTTATCTCTTTAATATCTTTGGGTGTGAGTAGATACTGCAAATCAATGTGCAGAAGAAGGATTTTATTCCAGTATAAAAGACACAGTCTCGTGATTTACACTGTGTTCAGCAGAGCCCCTGTGTGTAGTCTCTCTGCAGTTGTGTAGTTCTTTGCACTCTTGCTTGCCAACAGCAGGATGGCAAATTTAATTGATATAGAGATGTACATTGGTCACTAAGGTATACAGGACATTGCTCACCTCGTCAATGAAATAAATGGTTTTAAAATCCAAACTTAAACATCAATATCACACATTTTTGCCATTTGTATGGCATCGTGTGAAAGAGAGAAACTCAAAACGAATATTTTCTGATAATCATTCATCCAAACTAATTTCCCTTTTGCTGGAGCATATTTATAGGCTTATTTGTGTACTTGGTATCATAATGTGAAATGACATGAAGGCTGTAGGGACAGAGGATTTAATTCAATTCTTTTACTCCTCTATTATGTGAAGAATATGCCTGTTAGCTCTGCCAAACCATTTGGCAACCAAAGTTTCAATAGTGTGTCGCAAAGTTTCCTCATGAAGACTCTAGCAATTATGCAGATGCAGAAGGCTATAATTTGACAGTTATGACAGACATCCAGAAGCATTGTGGGTGATGACCGACAAGCATTTGTGAGACCACAGTGATGGAGGCAAATATTAGTCAAAGAAAAACCAAGATGATGACAGGGTTGTTGCACACATTACATGTTTTTACCTCACATAGTTGCAAACACTGAAACAAGTTTGCTTTAAAGTTAAGGAGGTAATCTCTGTACTTTGTTTTTGTCATGTTCTGTCAGCATAGAATTACATAGTTTATGCTTACTCTGGTGATTTGACAGAGTTTGTGAATACAGGAGGGGGAGCACTTTAGACTCTGTGCAGATAGAAAAGGAACAAACAGCAATCAAGCTTACACAACAAGGAAGAAGAAAGGAAGGAAAAGGTGGAGACTGAGAGGACTTGATTTAGGGCTGCAGGACGGGAAATATAGGGCAGCATTTGCATTAAAGTTCAACAGGAGAAAGAGGGCGATGCATCTGCATGCTAAGAGGCAGCCCAGCCTGCTCCTTTTCTTATCTTCAGAGTGTGGGACTGCATCTCCAAGAGGAGGGGAGAAGAGGGGGGAACATTTCATCATTTCATTTCCCTGAAACTTTAAGGGAAGCATAAGGTGTGTGTGTGTGTGTGTGTGTGTGTGTGTGTGTGTGTGTGTGTGTGTGTGTGTGTGTGTGTGTGTGTGTGTGTGTGTGTGTGTGTGTGTGTGTGTGACAACAACTCCTTCACCTCTATTTGCTTGAGTGTTTTTCTAGTGAGATGCCAGAGAGATAGATATGAAAGATATGAAAGAGAGAGAGATAGATAAACTCTCTACCACTCTCTGACTGATAAGGAGCTTCACAGGCTGAGATCAGAGACTGCTACACACACACACACACACACAGCCTTACAGCCTCTTACAAGCTCACTTATTCATTCACAAATGCATACTCTCACATTTCTCTCATTAGCTGAATGCCTTCACTAAATGGATGTAATTGGTAGTTCAGCTGAATAAGTGACATTTTGTAATTAGGGTGTAGAACATCATGTTAAGATATCCATCTGAGTGTGCGTCTGAGTGATCCTTAGTGTGTTTTTGTGTATGTGTGTGTGTCTGCCCACATTGATTAGTGCCTCTCTCTCTCTCTCTGTGCTCTTGCCTGGCAGAGGTTTACAGCCACCTCACTCTGCCTCAGATGCGTCCTGACACACACTTATGCACTGCCGCTCTTGTTTGTCGCCTTTGCACGTACTTGTCACATAACATGACAGCTCCTCCGCTGTCCAAAAATGCATTTGGGCAGCAGGACACAGTGTTCCTTATGTCTAACACTAAATGATGACTCACAGGTCAGCCAGTGGTGTTTTCTGGCCTTGTAAAGATGTTTAATGTGTAAAGCAGTTGGCTTGAAGATTTACTCTCATTTGTAAGCAGATTGGAAAAGAGTGTCGGTGTCAGCTTCCCTGATCTTCATCCTGACCTTCGAATGGACAGGAAGTGAGGCGAGAAGCAAAATGCCCTACAGGGATCCCCAAAGCATCGCTTTAATGTTCATATCTCCTCTCACACATCTATATACCCAACTACCCATAATCCTTAACCACTTTTTCTTCTTTGATCTCACCTTACAGAGTGAAATTCTCCAAAAATCGTTACTAGACCTTAACTGTTTTGATAGTTTGATATAGCTTCCCTTTCATTTATTGAGTGTTTGTACTTCACAAGTTCATTGCTAAAATTCAAAGCCTGACTAAAAATGAGACAAATAGTGTAACACCAAGAGCTTCAAGTTTTAAACCAGCTAGAAAAAAAGCTAATCTAGTAGATACAAGTTTCAATGAATAGTTCAATGACAGCATAAAGAAAACACAGACTAACTTCATCTTTCAGCTCTGACGTAACAAATAAGTAATTATGAGGTACTTCTCTTTTGCAGGGAGAGGGTCGTAATAACTCCTCTTAGTTTTAGCTTGGAACCTCTTCTTCCAGACTCAAGGACCCTGATTTTCAAGTGAGATACAAATTTAGCTTTCATCTGAAAAGAGGACTTTAGACCACTGAGTAACAGTCTAGTTTTTTCTTCTTAGCCTCGTCCAGATGCTTTAGACATCTTCTCTGCTTCAGGAGTGTCTTGACAGTAGAAAAACAACACTTGTAGCTTATTTCCTGAATATGTCTCTGAGTGTAGTGGTTCTTGATGAAGTCTACTCCTTGTGGAGCTCCCCGAAGTTCTTGAATCACTTTGTTGGACCATCCTCTCAAAGCTGCACTCATCCCTGTTGCTTGTGCACCTTTTCTTCCCACACTTTTCCATTAACAGGCTTTGTAACAGCACTCTTTGAACAGCCAGCCTTTTCAGCAATGACCCTCTGTAGCTTACTCTCCTTGTGGGGGGTATCAATAATTGACTTCTTGACAACTGTCAAGTCAGCAGTCTTCCCCATGATTGTGGTTGTGTGTACTGAGCCAGAGTGAGAGGATAAACTTTAGCAGGTGTTCAGAGTTATTTAGACGATGACAGCTCTGCTTAGGACTGAAATCACCAACAAGGATATTGGACTTTCCACAATATTCTGATGTTTTGAGATAGAATATTTTTGATTTTCATAAACTGCAAACTGTAACAATCAAGATTAAAACTAAGAAAGTTTTGAAATATTTCACAGCATGTGTGATGAATCTAGAATATCTTGAAGTTTCTAAGTTTTGAAATTAATTATGTGGGGGGGGGAACCTCTTATTTTTTAGCTACACCTGTTGATCTGTGTAATCTCAATACACAAAAATTTCATCCTGCTCATTTTAACAGCCAAATCTTTCATAATAAAGAATCTTTGCTGTGGAATGTAGAACAAACAGACCATATGAGCAGCATGCAGCTAACCACGGTCTGACCCCTCCTGCCCCTCCTAGACATCATCAACAAAAAGTCTTTCTTTTCAAGGTCATAGAAACTTTAGTTTTGATTTCAGTCTGTTTCATAATGAGATGAAAGCTTTAAATTGAGCTTCAATGTAAGTAGAACAGAAAGTTCAGCAGACAGACAGACAGAGTTTTTGCTTCCATATTTGTTTATTCATGGATCTTTGTTGTGACGGAGCAGCAGCATCACTGACTGCAGGGAGCACACACACTATCAGGCACATTTGTTTCCCCCTCTCTGCTGGTGTTTCTAATCATTCAGTAAACTTGGCCTGCACTATGAAACAGAACGATATGGAAAAGTGATGGCAAAAGTACAAACTTCAGGGCTCTAGTTTGATGTCAGCATGCATGTTCATATGTTCACAACATCCCCTTGGCTGCAGGAGATGTACACCTGTGGTGTGCCATGTCCTGTTTATGTGTTTAAATGAGGAAACAGAGATATTTTTGTGTGCAGCATTGCTTACATGACAGAGGAGGAGATTCATTCTTTTGCTTATTTGTTGTCTCTGATCTCATTTTTAATTTGCTCTTTATGTATAATGTTGAGACTATGGGGCACAACAACACAGTGTAGTATCAACCCTCTGTTAGTTTCCTCTTGTCATTCCAGTAAAATACTGTATGTATACAGTAGTATGTGCATGCCTTTGACAGTATGTGTTTGGTGTTTAAAATGCAGATTATATATTTCTCCCTTGTGATGTCTTCGAAGTTAAATCCACCCTCAAACTCCTCTCAGGTTACCTCAACGCTCTCCTCGCTCCTGCTTTCTTTGATTTCCCCTATAGAGTATCATACTGTTTGTCTGTTTGTTTTCTGCCACACCTCTTTCTTGTTGTTTCTTTACATTTCTTTGTTTTTTTTCTGTGTTCTTGGCTTTTCTATTTATGACAAAGTATCAAAACCCTTCCCTGCTCCTTGATTATGTTTTTCCAACTATGGATCAATCAACACGTCAGAGTAAAGTGGTGTGATTTCTTTTCAGAAAAACACTCTTTTTCCAGGTTTGTTTCCTCCTCTATATGTGACTTCAACCTTGGAGAATTTTTTTGCTATTTTAGCCAAATTTGTAACATTGTGATCTCAAAGAATACCCGGTATTTTTCCTTTGAATTGACCATTTTAATCTCATTACATTTCCAGAATTTGCACAACTTTAAACATACTGGTACTACTTTTGTATCTCAAACTGCAGGTTCTACCTTGCTTTATTACACCCTGAATCCTGGATATTTTCACCTCTTTAACCTGCACAGTCTGTCTTGCATTACTTCTAAGAGTTTCCCAGGGTGTTACTTCCTAAACCTTTGCTCACCGTTAAAACCTCATTGCCTCAGGTGCCTGACCTTTATTTCAGTGCCTGTTTGTAAGTCATTACCCACCCGTAGTGCTGACTAAAGAGATCTACTTACTGTATGTTTCAGGATATATTTTCATTTTCTGTGTGTGTTTTTTGTGTGTGGCAAAGCTAATGACAGAAAACTGTAACAGTACTTGTCTATATGCTACATGACTTTGTCACTCTTCCCTCTGGGCAGAAGAAAAATGTATCCATTTGTCTCTTCATGTATAATTCAGCTCTGGTTGCAGCACTCTGAATTTCTGTCCAAGACTTTTCTCCTTGGCTTGAGCAGATTGAGGGTTAGCCTGAGTGTGGTTGTGTTTCCTCCTTCCCCTCAGCTATTTCTCCAGCCTGTTTTTCTGAAAGCTTCAGCTGTGCTGTGAGGATTTCCTCCTGTTACTAGTTTGCCCCATCAAAGTTTCAGCTCTCTCTGCGTCAAAGTGTCAGAGACATGACCTCAGCCTTGTGCTGCCAAACTTGTTTAGCTTTCTGTCCGTCACGCACTCTGCAGAAATAAATCATGGGATGAAATAACCCTCTTTTCTGTTTTCTCCATCTTTCCCTCTTTTCCTCAGTGTCTCTACAAGACATCACCATGAGGAAGGCTTTCAGGAGCTCCACCATTCAGGACCAGCAGTTGTTTGACCGCACCTCGCTGCCTGTCCCGCTGCAGGAGACCTTCCAGACATGCGAACAGCCGCCACCGCTCAACATCCTGACGCCATACAGGTCTGAATCCTGAGCAATCCACTACCTCTGAAAAAAGTGTTTTTTTGGGGTTTTTTTTGTTTGTTTTTTAGTGTGTTGGAGTATTTTATAAAAGTCTGTGCTGATGTGCATCTCACAGTTCCATTTTCAGGTGACACAGTCTATTTAAACAGTGTACTGCATCAGCTAGAACAGCCCACTAGTTCACGATTTAAAATTGAGTCCACAAGGCCTGTGAGGATTCACAGTCCCCCCTTGTAATCTATGACCTTTTGTATATTATGCTTTTTCCTTATACAGAATAATTCATGTGCAGGTATGGATGGCTGTAAAATGCTGAAAAGATAGCACAACTTGACTGGCTTTCAAAGTGTACAGAGAGGAAGAGTCTGAGGTCTGAAAGGGTCAAAACAGCGGGAATACTTGGAGTATAAAGAACAACTTCATTCTTAGGCTGGTGTGTTTGTTTGTGGCCTTCATCAGAGTCGAATACTAAAAAGGTGCTTCAAAACAGTCTTTTAGTTTGCAATCTCAAGGCTTGACTGGGAGCTGAATTATCCATGAAAGACTCTTCCTCCTGATTTCGAAACGGTGCTTACATGTAAAAATTAGCCGACACTTTTTGTTCGATACAAGACATCAGGAGACAAGAATATTTGCTGCTCAGAGTTTGTTTTTTTGTTTTTTGCTTTTTTTGTTGCTGTCAGTTGGATTTGGATCCATTTTCTTTAAAAGGAAAATCATCAACAGAGGTCTCCAATCACTCTACCCTTTACACAAACAGCTTAGGATGTTGAAACCAGAACCAGAGAAGTAAATTTCCTTTAAACTGGGCTCTGTGACACGCTTTGGGATCTTCAAGAGTAAGTTAAACTGCCTCTGTATGTCATCAGTGTTTTCTGACAAAGTGCTCTACTGATTTGTTTTAACAGCCCAACTGTAATTGTCTGGCCTGACATCTATACCCTTAAAGCTGCTACAACAATTTAAAACTATTATAGTTATAGAAAAAGTTGATTCTGTTGCTGACAGTCTTGTTTACATTTGTAGGTCAGAGGTACAACTGTTTATTTCACACTTTCATAACCAGCTAATAACTCCTCAGAGGAGCTTTAAGGACAATAGTGATGCTCATCATAATGCACAGTCATCTCCTATGGATTCAACCTTTTATTTATCTCATACTTTTTCTATTTTGGTGTGCTGGTTGGCAAGTTTTTACCACTGGCAGGTTTATGACCCATCTCTCCTGACTGTTAAGGTTGAGTCTAGCAAGAGGTGGCGTCCTCTCAAGATAAATAATCCATCAAAAACTCCTCTGGCTAGCACTTTCCCTTTTGACATCCCAGTCTTCTGGCCAGCAGCCCCCTCACACCATTCTTTTTCCCCCCTTTTCTTCTCATACGTTTTTTTTTTTTCTCCTGCAGCACCTTAGCTGACCTCCTTCTGTAATGCTGCTACCCTGACCAAGCCAGTTAGAGAAGGTTACAGCTCAAAAACAACCTTTGTGGTATCACACACACACACACACACACACACACACACACACACAAACTTCAGAAGGACAGGTGCAGGTGTAGGCCGTGGTATTTAAATGTGTCGCCTCAGTGTTTTTTAACCTCAGGGGCTTGACATGGCCCAGACCCAGTAAAATGGCAGGTGAAAATGTTGTACTTGCTGAATCCCCAATCTTACTGCATATTTCCTCTGTGTGCCGCCTGAAGGACAGGGAGCTTTTCCTGAATAAAACATGTTTATTGTGAGCCTAAAGGTCAGTACAGCGTTTGGCTGGGATTGCTCTCACCTTTCTTGATAACAGCTGTGGGATCAGCCTTTAGCCAGAGGTCCAGATGAGAGGATTAAGTGTAAGCACCAATATGAATATGAGACAAACAGCAATACTATGTCTTTGTGTGTTAACTTCAGGGCTGCCTCTGGTAAGAAAAAAAAAAAAAGGGGGAACAAACCTTACAAAAATTTGTTATTTGATCCATTTCCAGCGATAATAACACCTTTTTTTTCCCATTGGAAGACAATATAAAGAGTATTGAACTGTTTATCTGTACAAGATGGACTGACATTGACCAACAAAAGAAAACCTGGCCATCAGTAACATCGTTTTTTTTTTTTTTTTTTAACATTTTACACAGCAAATATTCCCAATTAGTGATAAGTTTAGCTACTATACAAAAGGAAGGATTACTCATGTACAGGACAACATCAACAAAGTAAAAAAGTATGGCTTTGTCCATGGGGGGGGCGCCAGAATCAACATAAACTCAAAGTTCATCACAAGAACTTAAAATACCATCTACAGCAGAAAGTGCAGATTTACCAGACTTTAGAAACACCAACTAGCAAACATTGTATACTGAAACTGATTTTAACACTTACTGTATTTATTACAATTACCATTTCAGAAGTGTTATGACCCTATTTCATAAAACATTACTAGCATGAGCATAAGAGATCAGCTGGAGGTCTAGACTGAAGCGAAGCTATGTGCCCTGGATCAGGGTGGCATGACTTATGCACTCACACACATGTACACCCAAGTTTTATGTTGAGTTAGTTTTAAGATGTATTATAGAAGGGTGAACAGAGCTAAGCTAGGGCTGGGCAATCAATAGAAAAGTAATCAAAAGCAACATCCATCCTCTAATCAATGTTCATTAGTTTTTATTTTTCTATTGTATTCAAATCCATTCTTCAAAACTACCACCAGGTAGAGGTTGTACTATGTTTACTCCTCCTTGTTTAGTCAGTGGCATGCACACAACATGGAAATGAACTCAGACACTGAGCCAACTGTTCCTTTTCAACTATTGAATTTCATCTGTGTGAACCGATTAACCACAATCGCATCACCAAATATCAACAGTGCATACTCCCAAAAAAAAGAGAGACTGACAAGCACTCAGCAACCAGTTGTAATCAAGGTTAAATGTTTGGTTAATTGTGTTATGGTACTCAGAGCTCAATAATACCTGGAATTAACAATGTTGGTCTGAGGTTGTTAGCGGAGTACAAACTTTACTACACTCCTGCTCTCTGTCCAGCTGTCATAATTCCAAACTGCATTTTTTTTTAAGCAGTGACACCCCCCCCTTCACACACACACACACACACACACACACACACACACACACACACACACACACACACACACAAACCCCTAACCCTGTCCAGTGAAAAAGATGTGAGATATTTTTTCTCTACAGCATATAAAAAACCAACTGTAGAAGCTAAGCCATGCTTTAAGCTACTGAGGCATTTCAAACAGGAAACCTTCTTGATGTGCTGTAACTTTACCTTATGGATGAATGAGAGTCCAGTTGATTGCTGTTTAAGATGCAAATAAGCCCATTTATTTGACATCTGATGCCTTGATTCACATTCTCACACAAACATTTCAAACATGCTTCACCGCGTCCTAGCGTCAGCGTCAGCAGTCAAAAACTGTTTCCCCTTGCTCCGGTAGGAAACACCCTTAGACTGTATATACTATGGACAACTTGGTTCCGCCTACCGCCTGTATACGGATTTGAAGCCAAATAGCTCTTGGTATTTCTGGGATTTTTCTTCATTTCCTGAAACCAGCGCTGCGCAGTAGCAATACGCGCATTCGGCTGCGCAGTCGCAGAGAGTCGCTGTGATGACGCTCGGCTCAAATAGCGTATCCTCCGGGAGAGCTACGCAATCCCTGAACGCCCATAGGCTGTATCAAGTGTCATAGAAAACATGAACCCCCTAATAACTTTTAAAAATGGAGCTTCACAGAAAAAAAAGGACTTGAGCACAAACCAGTCCTTCAATAACTACATGTCAACATCACAAGCAGGGGGGAGAAAAAATTATGTTCTGTGTAATAAATTTCTAAAGTTTGTCCACAGCCCTGTAAGCTTTGCTGGCGGAGGCGGGATTTATGACCTATACTGCAACCCATCAACAGAGGGTGCTGTTCTCAGAGTGGCTTCACCCAGCAGGGAGGCAGACTCTGTCCATTCTATATACAGTCTATGGAAACATCTAACAAGCCCCCAAAGGTTCCCACCCTATATAGGCTGACCCGTCACAGTTTACCGTAGATCTGCTCTTACACCAACAACAGAAAATGTATCACATTAAAATTCAGAGCAACAGTCCAAACAGTTGATTTTTCAAACATTTCTCATGGTTGTGAATTGCACCTGGCTGTAGGCACAGAGAGATCTGGAGTGAAACAGCGTTTCATTTAAAGTTGTGTTCCCACATACATGAATATTTTTGTCCCTTAGATGACTTTCCTCTCATCAGAAAACTGCTCTCTGCCTTTGAGAATCATGAGGTGTCAGACAGACGTACCTACCTACCACTCACTCTATTAGAATCTGTTGGATGTTTTCACAGCGAGGAGCCTCCCAGGAGACTTTTCTGCATACCTCTCCTCCCTTTTCCTCATTTTTTATCTCTCTTCATTTCCTTTTTTTTTGTGTTTGTCTCCTCTGTTCTTTCGATTTTCTTCCACCTCCTTCTTGCCTTTGCTTTCCTCCCCCCTGTCATTTTCATCCAATTTCAGTCCCTCCTCTTGTCATTTTGTCTCCACTCTTATACTTTGCTCTCCTTTCCCAACAATTTTCCTCTGCTTCCTTAATTTTCTTCTTCACTCTTTTACTTGATTTTTGAACCTCTTCTCCTTTTTTTTAACTCTTTTCCTTTTAATTTTCCATTCATTTTATCTTTATAGCTGTTTTCTCTACCCTTGCTTTCTTTGTCCCTCCTCGTCTTATTCTCCCGTCCCTTGCTTATCACCTTATCCCTCTCCCCTCCGCTCCTCTTTTCTCTCCTATTTATACTTCTCTCCTTTCCTTTGCTGGGCTCTCTTAATCTTATTCCCTTCTTTTTTTTTTCTTTTGCCCTCCTCTGTTTACTCTTCCCTCCTCTTGTCATTTTCTGCCCTCCTCTCCTCTTCACACATCACACCAGGAGGCTCCCTGGGACACCTCCCCAGGCTGTTTGCTCAGATCCTCCCCGAGCACAGCTGCTCAGCCCTCTCTCCTTCTATCTCAGTTTGTCATACACAAACTGGCAAACACACACACACACACACACACACACACACACACACATGCACACACCGCCTTACCCTGCTGTAGGATTCTCTTTTCTTGCCTTTGTTGTTGAATATCATTAAACCTTTTGCACTCTTAGTTTTTGAGGCTCCTCCTCTTCATATCATTGGTCCCTTTTTCATTTGAATTTCATAATTTTATCATTTGTAGAAAAATTGCTGGTGTTTTGTCTTTCCTTTAAGAAATTTGAAATTCTTGACTCAAGATTGAAGCAGAGCTTTTTTCAGGACATGTCAGAAGTGATCTGAACATGTCACACAGGGTTGTGAATGGGTTAATCTGAGATGGTGGTTACTACAGGAAGAAGGCACCAGCAAAAGTGCTCACACTGAAACTCTGTTGGGTATTTTAACAACAAGAAAATCCCCCAGTGGCCCAGGACACATCTGAGGAACTTTTGAAAAGGCCTTTTTTAGCCCTTTTACCATAGGTCTTGGAGTTTCAAAAGAATTGAGATTTTTTTTTTCTGTTTGTTGTAGAGGTGGGTCCTATAGCTACAGCATTTGACAACCATGCAACATACTATATCAATATTTTAATAAATATAAGTAATACCAGAATGCAAAGAGGGAAAAACATCAATAAGCAGTTTTCACATCGTATCTATGTATTGATTTAAAATAATATATCTCTGAGCTGTATGTGTGTGCTGGGGGACACTTTCATCAGGGATCAGGGACTACTGCAGCCTGTCAGAAGCATTGTTGGTATTTCCTTCCTGACATCATGCTTTTTTTTCTCTTTATAACCACCAACTCTTAAGGTTCCTCTGATGCAAATCAAGATGACTGAGAGCAGAGCATAGTAAAAGGAAATGAACAACAACCGAGGATCACTGCAATCATTCATCAAACGATTGTTTGAAGGAAATCAATACATGAAATGATAACTTCAGAGTTCATCTGTCAATCTTGATCTTTTGGGGGGTTGTCCAAATTCTCTGGCTCCCATCTTCTATATTTTAAGAAGCTCTGACAAAGAATGAGGACAAGGTACCCAGTTATGGCTGCAGGATTTTGTGCTGATGTCAGCAGGGCTAAATTGGCTGAAAAAATCAGGCACCCAATCTATCCCATGATCTTGCCGATATGATTAACATGAAATAACAGTTCTGGTGTTTCTTCACAGGAGATGCTGAGATTAAAATTTTCAACTTAAACATTTGCTTCCAGAAAGTGTGAATGCAAGAAATTTCACTCTTGGATGCAAGAGGTTTAAATACGTTTAGACAGACTTACTCATGTAGAAAAAAAAAAGGGGAAAAAGTGCAACTGCAACAAAATTCTTAATGCAGACTTTAATGTGACCAGATGTCTTGGTTTACTTTGCTCGTCTGCAGGGATGATGGAAAGGAGGGACTTAAGTTCTACACCAACCCCTCTTACTTCTTTGACCTGTGGAGAGAGAAGATGCTGCAGGACACAGAGGACAAGCGGAAGGAGAGACGGAAACAGAAGGTATGTCTGAACAGCTTCAATCACTGAGTCCTGACAGCGCAGAGTACATTTAACCTCCTTTACTGGACTGACTGCACTGATTCTTTGGTTGCTGCAGTAGATTGACACTGAGGTTAGTGAGTGGGATGACATGGAGAGAGACACTTCCTATATTCTGTGAGGATCCATAGACCAGTGTGTGCTGCTTGAGTGAACTGACTGGCTGATTCACTGACAGATTTAGTGGCCTGGCTTCATACAATGTCGAGTGTAATACATTAATTAGCCACCACTCAGAGATTAATCAGTTCTTCCTCCAGTCAGCCCCCTTAGTTATTACTTGTGTCATCATTACGTCTAATTAATGGGAGCATCTGCTGTTCACTTGCCCCCACACTGAGCATCTCACACACACACACACACACACACACACACACACACACGCACACACACACACACACACACACACACACAAGCTGAAGTTGGATTTTAAGGCACATGGACCCACACAAATGTAAGAATAGCTCCTGACAATCATGGAAAGCACCTCTTTCACATTGAATGCAAGACTAGGGGGTTTCCCACCCTCAGCCCCAGCAGCTCTAATCAGCACCAGCCTGTATTTCCACATGTGGGAAGCAGGAGGAGCTTCTCGATAGGCCTCCTCGCAGTCAACCAAAGCTTATTAGGGTGGCATCAATATAGAATAAGAGAGTGATTTCCCTCCAAGGGTTCATGTGAACCAGGAAAAGGATGTTGTTTGTTGGTTATGAGGTATTTAATGATTGTGAGAATGATGCAGAGAAGACAGAGAGCAAGTTCAAATAAGAAAAAGTACAAAGTTTGGAGTTCAAAATTAGATGTGTTGTTCGATATTTTCTTGTGTAGATATTATTAATCAGCCAGGAAATTAGCATTGATATTCTTCTCTATTCATGGAAAACAAAGCTTATTTGTGACAGCACTAGCTTCACAGGGGTTACACTGATTGCTGATGGCCGCTTGTAGAAGGAGTTCAATCTTGTGATTTTATTCTAATTAAAGCCCTGGGTGGGCTCGGCTTGTAAAGCCATGTTCATTTCCCTCAGTTACTCAGACCCCATGCAAAGGCCTCAAGGATGTTCGCAGGGGGAGCAAGATGGATTAGAGGAATTACACACACATATTTGTTGGTCTGTGTAACCACCGTGGTGTATAAATGGTCTGAATGAGGATCAGGATAAATGCAGTGTGCGTGTGCGTGTGTCTGTAAGGTGCATGGAGAATCTGCTGTTCAGAGGTTTAGGGATAGAAAATGGGGGTCATGCACATACACACATAGATAAAGTGTGTGCATATAAAGCCAGATGAGTTAAATTAAGCGTGTTAATCATTGATGGATTTACCACTTAGCTTATTGAGTGGTTCTGCCACATTGTCTTAAGGTGCCTCTCTGTCACTGTGTTCATAAAATGTGTGTGCGTTTGTGTAAATATTCTTAATTTTCCATCATTGTATTGTTTCTTCAAATTATTTCACTTAAGGACTATAGCTGTGATGTAATACAATTTCTCTTTTTATGTTTCTTTTTAATGACAATTTTACCATCTACAGTATAACTCACATATTAGCATGGATTTGCTGATTTACTAAAAAATGAAAAAATACTTAGCTAAAACTGTATCTAAGTGGACTGTGCTCTACCATGTAGCTGCAGTGTCAGGACCAAACAGGTCATATCATCTAAAAGTCAATTTGGCATTATTGTAGATTGGCTGAACATATTTCATTCTGACTGCCCTCAAACTCTTCCACTCTTCTCCAAGTTCATACATAGTTTATCACAGCTGAGCATTGGTTAATACTGTCAGAGTTACAATCGTTATATTACTTGAGTAGAAATCATCATAATGCTCTTAATAAGCGTGAAATATTAACACAGAAATCTCACCAAGCTGTTTTTCTTCAGAAAATGTGCTCATTTAGGTGATTGAGGGCTGAATAGGATGAAACAGAATGTAAAATATCTCATTCAACCTCCAACCTTCATACCTTAGAACACATTCAAATAGTCAATTCATGAATTGTAAAAGGAAAAAATAACCGTAAAGAATGAGGATGAAAAAATATAACCAAGAGTTATTAGCAATAACTAAGAACAGTAATAAAATGACTTTTTAGATAGACATCCACTTAAAAATTCAAAGTTTCAACTGCATTACTGCACATTCAACTCACTGATAAAACATCAGAGGTCCCTCAAGTAAGCACTGTCCACAGCAGACCATCCATGTGTTAATTTGAAACATTTGGCAAGGGAAAATTCAATGAGTTTACTGTCTTCTACTGTTAAGTGTGTCAGGGATAGTCTACGACATGCATTCATCATGATTAATTAGAGGAGATACATGGTACCAGTTGTGGCTACTTAGCTTGATCCCAGTTCCTGGGCAGGTAGACACACAAGCAATACAAAACACAATGTATGATTAGACAACATGAAGACTAGATGTAATAAAAATCAGGTACCACCTCCTACCCTCTCTTGCCTCCTTCTACACACACAAAGAGTATACTAGCAGATATTTCCACATATGAAATTGTAAAACCATGGCTGTTTCTTCAGCCGCTTGGCTGACACCTACCTCCTCACACCCATTACAGTCCTTAAAATAACAATGTCATCACTTATGGTTTGTTTGCTTTTGGATATCATTAAAAGGCATCAATATTAAGCTGAGTCTATTTCTGAACCTTCAAAAAACTCCTCACAGTAGTTTCATAAACCACCTGCAATGACAGAAACCGTGTTTGAGGAAAGGTTATTTGACGTGTACTTGGATTCCTAGTTTGACTCATGTTACTTCTGATATCATGGAGGCTTTAAGATTTGTACTGCAATCAGACTGTGAAGGGAACTAAATGTTTTGGCTCCACTTCAGGAGAGCTGTTGTGTTGTCCATGCTTTTATTCAGTCTATGATTTAAAGACACAGTGAGGACTTTTTTAGTGTTTAACAGACAGAAATGTAATGGTTTTATCTCTTCATAATCTACAAAAGAAAGCCATTAACAACTGATAACATCAAGAGAGGATTTTTTTAATGACTACAACTGCTGCAGAGTTTTATGTATCAGCCAAGTCAAGGACAAGCAACTTCCACTTCAACAAAAGCCTTTTTTCACTTCATAGTGAATGTTTTTTGAATGAGGGATATGTTTGTCAGTTATAAGAAAGAATCACGATTCTCTTTTAAAGTCTGGAAGCTTTTTGCACTTCATTCTAAGAAAGATTTTCTCATTCCTTGAATGCATCTTGGCGGGGAAAGGGGGTTTGGATAGCTTCCAGTGTGCAGCAAAAGCAATTGACCTCTGCTGTAGAGCAGTGAGACACAGTTCATGATTTAGGTCAAAGTTTCTACTCCCATCACAGCGAGAAGACAACAAATCAAGTATTTCAGCCCAGGGAGTCAATGAACCATAATGAATGTCAGTAAGCGAAACTGTGACACAGGACGATTGGCTTCAGCCACCTTTGACCTCTAATAGGATAAGTATTATTGAAAATGGATGGATGGCTGTCACAATAGACAAAAAACATTGACTGTTGTAGCAGCACAGCAATGCAAAAACTTATTTTTAAAATAATTTACCCAAAATCTCTCTCATACCCAAGAAACCTAGATTTTTTCCCCTCCTGTCAAGTCTCAGCATTCTTGATAAAATCATACATCACATAAAACTTTTTTGGGCTGATGTTTAACGTTCTGGGTGTCTTCCTTTATAGAGTGTTTAGGAATCAAAGTTACACAATAAAACATTTTTAAAAAAGACAAACCCTCACAGTATTCCTCGCAGGTTGAAACGTAGTCTGAAAACGTCAATGCTTCATTAAATCATGACTGAGTGAAAATGTGAATTTTGGTGTTTGAAATCTGAAATTAACTTGGTCACATTGCAAACAGTTTAAGTCCAAGAACAGATTTACACTCACTATGTTACACACACACACTGACACACACACACACAGAGATAAGCAGCCAGTGATAAATGAAAAGCATCACAGGGCAGAGGGAAAGGAAGAGAAGCTTTCAGTGTCCTAATCTCATTAGCTCCTGTGTTAGCCGCACCCTCAGTGGATTAGCAGCAGACTATGTGCTGAGCCAGTCAAAGGGAGACAGAAGAAAAGCCCAAAGACTCTGCAGAAAGAGAGAAGAAGAAAAAGAAGAGAACCAGAGAGGGAGAGAGTGGGCAAGGGAGGAGAAAAGATAGCATTGAGATCAGTTTTGACTCTACATTAAGGTTTGTCTCCTGAGTCTGGATCCCCTACAGAGACTCCTTTTTGCCTTTTCCTCTCTCAATCCTGTCTCATTACAGCACACACAGGCACATGCAGCTGGAAGAGTCTTATCATCATCATGGAATATATTGACATTTAAATTTCTGAATGTTTTTTCTATTTTGCAAGAGTTTGAAAAATCTGTTCTTGATATATTTAGATGTAAAAGAAAAGCTGCCAGTCCTCATTAACAGCAGTAGATTTCCATCACTACCAAAGATAGTTAATGTATGGTATCAGAAGGGAGCTGTAAAAGAACAGACTGAGTTGTTTGTTTTGGCCAATAAAACCAGAGTAAATGTTTCAGAGGAGATAATTACGGCCCACACTCCAAGAAAGACTAAAGATGTTTTTGTTATTTTTATTAGCTAAACTCATGAGACACCAGCGTAATTATCTTTTGTGTTTAGGTATTCTGATTAGAGTTATAAGGAAGAAAGCTGTTTGCCAGACTATCCATGGTGCATGTGCTCCTGAGCTTGACAATTATAAACAACTTCTGTTTTGGGGGGTATTAAATTTCATTGAGGTACCATAAGATAAAGATGAGCTTCACCAGAGCTCCAGTGAGACTGCAGATTCTAAACACACTTGACTGACATCATTTGACCTGCTTTCTTCAGTCAGTGGGGACTTACAGTTTGACTCTTAAAGATGATCTTAAAAGTAAAAAGAGACACTTCATGAGAAAAGCTGCTGGTAAACCAGAGTATTTCATTGACGTTTGTTTTTCAATCTTAGAAAAAGTGTGAAGAGTGTCTGTAAAGTTTCCTGTTTGTTTTTATGTTTAGTCTTCTTGATGAATGATGGGATTCATCACCTGGATCTTTGAAGTGATACATTTTTCTTAACCTGAAAAATCAACCCAAGTTGACAGATTCTGCTCTGGATCCCATGACTGAACATTGTATCTCAAGTCAAGTCACATCATCTCTGTTGCACAAACATTCATCTGTTGTCTCTTAAAGATTTTGAAAAAAAAACAACAAAAAAAAACAGTGTTTCTTAAAAACACTAAGAAGAATTCTGGTGAGCTGCAATTTGTGTAGAAGTCTGAAGCACAAAGTTAAGGAAGAGTAAAATGCAAGTTCAAAGAAGGACATAGCCTCTATGGTCAGGCACTTTAGCATTGTGCTTTGAATTAAACCAAACACAAGCTGAAAAACATCTTTGGCTGCCTCTGAGGGACAGTCACTCCCAGTAATTATAGGCCATGCAGACCAACAGCATTAGCAACACGTATTATCCCATATTTTTCATGAACTGGGCAAATCTTGGCAAAAAAAATACATCTACAATAAGTCATAAACTTTTGATCAAATAAAATCAGATAAGGGAGATATATAGTAGTTCAGAGTGATGTCTCCTTTCCCTCTATCTTCTTCATCATTGTACTTTAGGGTCAGATTAATACACCTGGAGCCTCAACTGAAGGCTGCAAAAAATACTATTTGTGTTAATAACATCAGGAGAAAGTCTTGGCAGTTTCCTCAAGGTTACAAAATCTGTTCAAGGTTTGATCAGTAAAATTAAGCAAGGGTAAGTATATCACCATCATGGTGTATTTTAGGGTAATCTCGGGAAAAAGAAACTTATTGATGATAATTTTTCCTTCAACATAAAACATATATTCTCATATATAATACACCAGTGTTGTTACAAAGCCATTTTCCTCTTGTTTTTACAGCAAATGATAAAAAAAAACTTTTAGTGGTAGAATCATTAAAGACCTGAATAGTTATATACTTTTAATGATTAACGATTTCAAAATTAAAGAATTGTTTGATTCCCATTGATGGTCACAGTATTGCAGCAAGAGTACCAGCAACAACAAAAAATAGTCTGTTTGAATTTATTTATTTGCACATACACTTTTTTACAGCTCGTAAAAGCACTAAAGACACGGTAGATAACCACTAGTCATAAAGGTCAGCATTTTGTCATTGAAAAGTAACCAGAAAACCTTGAGCTCACTTACCTATATCAAGACTAACAACACTTAACAAAACCTAACCTTTGTTAAGTCCATTTTAGTAATAAAAAAAATCATTTTAATTCCAGGGAGTGTTTACTTCTTACTTACTTCTTACTACATTAGAAGCCACAACAAAAAGAATTTTCCTGTATTTCTGTTTACCAAAATTTCATAACAGAAACTAATAGCACCAGTCTCACGGTCATAAATTTCTTTTACCCCCCTTGCAACTGTTGTCATGGCAACTACCTCGCCCATTAAAGAGACTGAGACAGCTTTCTTGGAGCTGTGAGATGCATGGTTGAACTGAGACTGACACCCTGATCTGTGCCTCGCCACAGGCCACAGCAGCTGCACACATGCCTGTCATGAGGCACAGTTCATCTCCTGGGTTTTTGAAAGGCTGTTACCAAAGAGTCCTGTGAGCTGGAGCACACTGGTTGCTCAGAAAAAGAGGTAGCACATGCGTATGCAATATAGTGAGTTAATTTTTCTATTGTCAAAAGTTGACTTTTTAACTGTCATGCTTCTGCATAACCAGCCTCGCCTATTATTACTCGACCATTGTGATCTGAATACAGCTTCGATTAAAAAGTAATGTTTACTGAATTAAATTACTAAACATGACATAAACATACTAAACAATTATTTCAGCCTGCATGCTCCCCCACAAGTGACAGGTATACGGCTGATAATGTGATTGTTTCTGTTCCTCATGATTGCACCTTCACAGATACAGAAACACCTTACCATAGAAAATTTAAATACATTATTCAAGAAGAAACTGAATGTAAACAGGATATTTTGTGAGGGCTTTTTTTTGGTCATAGTTTTCCTTGTCAAATTGCAATAAGCAAATCCACCTAGCTGCAGATCAATTTCAACCAAATGTTTGACATTGAGACACAAAGAAGTGGTAACTTTTGGATCTTCCTCAAACTGGGGTGCAAGGTGTGAGATGAATCCTAAATAAATGATGAGATGTGAGTATATAAGGAAAGAATTGTTAATGGAGTTTAGCTGTTGCAAAAGGCTCATTTCAGGTGCACGAGCAGCTACAAGCATTCATGTACTGCATACACAGTTAGGCTTTGTAGTAGTACCTCCATCTTGTACTGTTAGTATATGTAAAGTGTGTGTGCTTTTAGTGGTGCAGCTTAACACACTCGCCGTTCTTTAAAAACAGTCATTTAAGTCACAGGAAGCCAATCATAACGTGCCTGATACGTTGTAGGTTTATTTTTGTGGTTGTCTCTGCTCCCCTGAAATGCCATTGTAAAACAGTACTTGTGGAAATACATTTTTCTAGTATTTTCATCTGATTGTTCATCTTCATCTGTTCTTTCAACCTCTGCTTTAAATCCTGAACCCTTAGGGCTCTATTTTCGTGCTTCGCTGGCAACGTGGCGCACGCGCAGCGTAGGTCAGGTCCGCTGCGCCGACAAGGCATTCCCAAACACAATTTGGTATTTTGGTGAGCAGCGCAGCCCGCCTATAGTATCCCCCCTCCCTTACTCAGCTCCTCCCAGCGACGTAAGTCGTGGTGAGGGAGGAGAGAGGGCGTGGAGTGGGTTTAAGTGGGTTTTATTTAATACAGCCCAGACCTGTATTGACCAATAACATCAGCTCCTCTCCCTGCCTTTAAATCCGCCACCGGTGAGGCGTATTACTATTTTCGTGAAGTAGTCAAAGAGATCAAGAGATGTCTGAAGACAGCAATGCCACACGATGGCGACAGAAGGCAGCCCCTCAACAAGTGTCACTGTAAGCGCTGCATTGGGCGTCCTCCACACTCTCTCATATGAGCACAGATGGATTTGGTGTGTGTAATGTTGGGCCCACTGGTAAGACAAACACCTTTTTCTACAAATAAAGACACTCACATAAAGTTGCACATATTCAAACCTCACGTGACAAAGGTGGGTTGTGCGCACAGATGACATAAATTCCAGTAATGGCATTAAAATCGGAACCATCTGTGCATAATAACGCATCGTGCTCCATGGCCTGGCTCTTTCTTTCATAGATGTTGGCATAAAAAATAAATTTGGCTCACAAAACTGAATATTATAATATTCGGATGTCGGCTTAAAGTAGATAACGCATCTGAGCACTGAAACAAATCATCTGTTCAGCCGCTGCATAGATCAGAATATATCTATAGATCTAAATGTATGTGCTGACTCAGAATCTCAGAACATTAGTTGTTGATAATTTATTGCACGGAAATGTGCCTGACACTGTGGAAACCTGCCGGTGAGGCATCGGTGATGTATGCCGATATGCCGCCGGTCTACCAAAATACCACTAGACCAGCTGCGCTCCGCCTGCACTGAAAGCTGACCAGGTTTGAATCGGCAAGCTTTCAGCGTACTTTATACGCCACCAGCGAGCAGGAAAATGTCACTGCGGCAGCTGACTCTGTCGACACCTCTCCCTGCCACGCCGCCACGCCCAGCTTGTCGGACCTCGGTGCGCCTCAGTCCATGAAAATACCAAACTGGCTGTACGCCGGGCTTCGCCAGACGAAAATGCCACTGTACGGGGCTCGCCACCCTCCGCCACGTCCCTAGCAGACACGAAAATAGAGCCCTTAATCTTACTCTGTCTAACTCTGTGCAGCTGGAAATGCCTTATCTTGTGTGTTCCAATGGCCTCATAAGGGTCCTCTCTGAAACTCTTCCTCCTTTCCTCATTCCCTCCGAGGTAAGACTTTCTCCCTTCCCTTCGCACCAGAGCATCTGCTTCCCATGTGGTGGTAGCCTGCAGCCCTCCCTCACTCACCCTCCTCCTTATCTCTACTCACCCCCCGTCTGGTTTTCTATGGACAACTGAGCCCCATTACTAACAACCCTGCAGTGTTTACCTGCCCTGACCGCATCCCGCTCCTTCCCAAGGGATGGCACACTTAGCCCTGAATAGTTTTTAACAATTCTCCAAAAAAAGGGAAAACTGTCAGACTAGACTCGACCCCCCTATTAAGCAGTGGTTCTAATCCTTGCCTCCAGGATCCAGACTGGATGCAAGTTTAGCCTGTTTTACTTTGTTACAGCATAGGGTCAGTTTTGTACATCATGATTGATTTCCCCAGTCCAACTACAACAATACCAGACTTCAACTGAAAACCTTGTGTTTGCTAGCTTTAATAAGACACCTACCCAGCATTAACTGACATGCAGTCCATTTACGACCCAAAGTGAACAGGTTGGCACTAGAGATAGCTGCCAGGTAATTTGGGAGTATCCTTAAAGTGTGTAGAGCATGAATGCAGTCTTGCTGGGATTATTAATTAGTTTCTTAAGAGTTATGAAACCCAGCTATGACAATGGATGTATTGAAAATCCAGTTTATCTAGAAACAGGTTGAAAGGTGGAGAAGCCTTTGGCCTCTTTGGAAACAGCTACCATGCCAGCACAATTGTCACAAATAAAGATGAGGAGTGGGAGACACTTTGAGCTTCTACAAATAGTAAACAGTGGGTCAATACATAAGATTTCATTAACCGTTCAATATGTAAATAATATTTAGCTCATTTGCTTGGAATTAACCTTTTTCTTATAGTGTCCATTTTCCATTGAACTCATGCTCAGAGTTTGATGCCCAAATGCTGAACAGCAGGGTTACAGTTTATGATATGTGACATATACATTTTGGTAACTAACAGATAATTAGCATTTAAATACTTCTCAAAAAAGCAGCTGCTGCAAAGAGTGACTTGTGAGTATTATTTTTCTCAGCATGTCTCACTAACTTTCCAGCACCTGCAGTGTCAAACCAAGCATTACATAAATTTCCAAGTGATCAAGATTCTAAAAAGTCCTTTACATAGCATGTCTATGGATCTTTGGATTATGATAGATGTCAACTTCAGCGGTTAGTTGTGGTTTTGAGCTAACTGCATATTGAAATGGGAGTTTCAATGACTTGTTTGCCTTGCTGACCTTGAAAAATATATAACAGCTCAGTTTCAACTTTGTTTAATGATACAGATATCTTTCTAAGGGCTCCGATAGAAGATAAGCATCTGTTTGAGTTTGTTATGCAAACAAGGCATTTTTGAAATTGCACTGTTCCCATATTATTTCCTCATGTATTGAGTGTTTTTCTTAAATGTACAATGATTATTTCATTACATTCATTAGTAAAATCAGTAGCTGCAGATAATTGTACAGTACAAGTTCCCCAATCCAATATATTGCCATCAGCAGCAGCAGCAGCAGCAGTAAGTAGTGTAATGCAAGTGGGTTTTGTGTTATTGTCAGCAGCAGGGTGGTCCAGCAGCGGGCCTCCCTGTGGGGGTTATTTACTCAGGAACATAGCTGCAGTTCTGCTGAGTCTGTCACATTCACATTCATATTCACACACACACACACACACACACACACACACACACACACACACACACACACACACACACACATGATGAGAGTATGAATGTTACACACATGTTCTGTACATAACATAAATCCACAGCAGCTGTACTAGCTGCCAGGCCATTCAAATGAAAAATGTGAGCCAGCAGAGGCACACAGCCCCCTGAAATTATCTACATTTGTTAGAACGTCTGTGACAAACACGTGCATGCACACACACGCACATAGGATTGGACTGTTTCTCATTTTCTTACACAGTAAACCTCCCACCCGTGTTTAATCTGCATTTTTCACATTCACATTGCAGCACTTGAACCTGCTCTTTCCCTCACTCTTTCTTGCCTCTTTTTGTAATGTCAATGAAATAAAGACAGCAATAGTCCATTGACTGCTCAGTATTGCAGTTTAATCTTTTCACATTACAGTACATTTTTTAACTCTGCTAAGACACTGTGACAGCAAACCTTTAGGGAAGTCAGAGGTTAGTTGAACAAAAACTAATTCTCTAAATTATAGAGGAAAAAAATCAGTTGCAGTTTGGAGGTTCAGCACAGTTCAGAAAAAAAGGCAGCTCAGGATGAGTTATTAAATTTTTGACCTTCTGCTGCAGCTCCTCCAGCCTTAGCAGATAGTGTTGTCAGAATGCATTTCTGTCGTGTGTGTGGAAGAAATGATATTCAGTGTGCAGGACCAGTGTAGGAGAAGTGCTAAAAGGGTGTGTGTGTGTGTGTGTGTGCGTGTGTGCGTGCGTGCGTGCATGTGTCTTGTAGAGGCCAGCACTCAGCCAGTGCCTCATCAGGGGTAATGGGCCATGATGAATCAGAAGCTAATCAATGTGCATTAGCATTAGGATTTATTCCCACGCTCGCTCACAGCAGCCTGGACGCAGCAGTGGCCAGGCAAAATCAACACCGTTTAACCAAACTAGAGGATATGCTGTATACAACCCATGCTGTGTTGAATCAGACGCTTGTCAGACAGCTCACACACACACACACACACGCACGCACACACACACACACACACACACACACACACACACACACACACACACACACACACACACACACACACACAAGGTTATTGAATGCGCAGGCCTGAGTAGGCCTGGCCAACCCAATGATCCAACCAGCATGAAAGAAATCAATAAGTATTGGTTTTCAAAGGGAGTCCCAGTGTCACCAGCTGGGATTTAATGCTTCACAGGCCTTGTCTTTACCTTTTTTAAAGCATTTATAATTCAAACTCACTGCCACATAGTCATGCATGTTTACACTCACAAACTGTATTATGGTTCAACCACTGGTCAGAGGAATGCAATAGTTTTTGAACCCTTAAAATTGAAAATGTATTGTGTTTGTTTTACAGCGGTATGAGAATTACTTTACAGTTTTGCATATTAATTGGCATCATTACAATCAAAGTTTAAGGATGTTTCTATTTCACTTGCTGTCAGCACATCCCATTCATAAACACAAAAAAGAAATAGACAAATTCTACTCAGAAGTATTGTAAATAATTTCATATAGATCCCATTGAACCACATTGGTCAAAAAATGTTTAAAACACACCCATAGATATATAGATATATGTGTATGTATATGTGTGTGTATACATTCATATATATATATATATATATATATAGATAGATAGATAGATTGATAGATTGATATAGCTGCACAGTAGAGCAAGATATTCCTTAGGAGTGGATCAAGAAAATATCAATTATTATCAATTTAATTTTACCTTGTCTGAGTGATCTGGAGATGCTGGTTCATCACTAGGTAGTTAACAGAATGGTAACATGTATTGTCACCTAACGGGCCAAATAGCATAACCAAGCTAAATCTGTGTGTTATCAGACCAGTTGGATCAGTAAATCAATAGCTACTACCTGACTAACAAATGTTTGTAGAAAGGGGTTTTGCTATGGAGTCCAGTCTATGATGATGAAAGGCAGTTGTTGACAGACGAAGCAAATACTCTGGAGAAGAACAGTGTATTCCTCACTGCCTCACAACAAATATGGAGCAGATGGTCCAAATTTGTCTCTCCATCAAGTAACCAGGTTGTTGATACTGATGTCCTATCGGTGGCATTGAAATCAGGGTTGCCTGGTCAGTTCAGTCCTTTCTGGATGGTTTTGTCTGTATGTTAGTTTCTTCTTAGCCTTTGTTTGGTAGGAAAGCTTGAGCTTGATTCACAGCAAATGCTGCAGAGACCATGAATCAATCATACAGCCAGTGTGACAGGACGGCAGCCTCTGTGCTTGTAGTTCCCATACTGGGGGTGATGGCCAGTACACAGTATAGTGTTACACTTAATGTTCTCTGGATTTATTTGTTAGACACAGTCTGAATTTCACCATGAAAGGGAACGCTGCCAGCACTATCCTTACCTCTGCTTAGGTTTTATGATAAGACAAGAACTGTATTTATTGAGCTTTGTTCTGCCCATTACAATAACTCCAGTTTTGGACAAAGAAAAAAGATGATTTTTTTCATGGGATTTGTTGACAAAAAAAAGTGAAATAGTAGCACAACAACAAACTATAGTGTTTCTAAATATGATCTTTTTAAAAATTAATTGAATTCAGTGTGTTGAGATCATGAGTGATCTTCTGATATAAGTCAAGTTTTTCATGATAACTGATGTAGAGAGTGCTTTCATGTATATCAGTGTTTAGATAATCTGTGAAACATGTTCATGCTGTAATCTTCATTTTCAGTTGTTTCCTGCATGTGTATGAGTGTGTGTGTGTGTGTGTGTGTGTGTGTGTGTTTTGCTTGTCATTCTTCAGTCTGTGACGGTGTTGTTGTTGTTGTTATTGGTGGCAGTGGTGGTGGTTTAAATGTTGTCCCCCCACATGTAGAAACACGTATTTGTAGTCCGTCCTCCTGTTCCAGTGGGATCTGTCTCTTTCTACCTTGGTCTCTTTTCTATTTGCTGTTGTTACTGTGAGTGTGAATGAATGTGTGTGTTTGTGTGTATTTGTGTTTTGGCCACTGTGTCCTACCTCAGGGTCTCACACATCATTTTTTGTTTAACAGCACTTTTCTTTCCCCCATGCCCCCTTTGTTTTGTTCTACCTTCCCCTCATTGCCTGCTGTTGTTTTTTTTTTTGGCCCTGTGAGTCAGTGCAGCGATGTCTGCGTTCAATCCTGTGCCATGTTGATTTTTTTCCTTTTTTTTGCCCTCACCCCAGTGCTTCTCTTGTGGTTTTTGTTTTTGTTCTTATAGTTGCAGGACCCCCGCATGTATGATCAGGTCTATAGGTACTTAGACCTTCCAGGGCAGGTATGTGAAAACACAGCGATTTATCTAAAAAAACAAACTGTGATTTTTGCTGTGATCCATTTCTTTACAGCCCTGTGTGCATTCTTGTGTGTGTGTGTGTGTGTGTGTGTGTGTGTGTGTGTGTGTGTGTGTGTGTGTGTGTGTGTGTGTGTGTGTGTGTGTGTGTGTGTGCGTGTGTGTGTTTTTTTTAACCACTTTTAGCAGGGATACAGACTTCTATGATAATTTGACTCGGTCCAAGTCTGTCACAGAGCACCCCCTGTTTCCAAACTTTGTTTAATTTATTACATTAGCTTAAAAAGCCCTTCTTCTTAAATATCTGTGTGTTATTCCTCCTTAGAAATCTCATTGATTGGTATATCTGTTTGAAAAGTCCCTTCATGTAGTGAGAATTGAATGAAAACACACTTTTTGACAGACAGTAGCTGCTATGGGAGATGTAGGTGTAGCAACAGAGAGTGAATAGGATAAAGCCAAAAATGCAGATCCATTTGTAAACTGTGGATCTAAATAAGTGTGTGTGTGTGTGTGTGTGTGTGTGTGTGTGTGTGTGTGTGTGTGTGTGTGTGTGTGTGTGTGTGTGTGTGTGTGTGTGTGTGTGTGTGTGTGTGTGTGTCATGTTTCTTTCTTTTCTGTAAATCAAGTTAGCCTGTTCTAACATTTTGTAACAGACTGTCACTGTTTTAAAAGCGTAACAGCAGCTGACCTGTGGTCTTTCCCTTCTCTTGTCTCCTTCTTGTCTCCTTAAACAAACCATCCCACCTTTATTCTCACCATCTCCCTCATCTTCCTCTAAACATTTCCTCCTTTCACCATCACCTCCTCCTCTACCTCCGGATCAAAGCTGAAGGCCATAGACCGTCCACACGAGCCAGAAAAGGTCCCGCGGGCACCTCACGACCGTAAGAAGGAGTGGCAGAAGCTGGCACTGGGTGCAGAGCTCGCCCAAGACCTGTCTGAAGACAAACACAGGGAGGCCAACGGATCTGCGGGCTACCACGACAACAGGTACCGCTGTCTGAAGCTGAGGAAGTCAGAGGCCAGAGAGTGCTTCTTTCTTTACTGGCTCGAGAGGTTTAAGCAGGTGTTTGATCGGTAATCATAAAATACAACACAAACAGAGTCTCCTTTTTCAGTTCAAAGATTTTTGTAAGAAACTGCTAAATGGAGTTGAAAGTTCAGTGTTGCCCGCAACAGATTTTTTTGTTTATTTGGATTATAAATTGAAACCCTTTGCTAAATTTCCTCCCAACCAATGAAAGTTGTTTCTAAGTTCTCAAAACAGTGGATTGTTTTCCATACTTAACTGTTAAAACAGACTGAAATGTATTTTCATGGTTTTTGACTGAATAAGTCTATCATGCTACAATAGAATTTGATCATCCTTTCAGTTTAGGAAATGTCAGTGATCTGGAATAATGGACTAACAACATGAACTAGTTAATTTTAATCTTTGTGAAATGAACTTATGCTATCATGCCACTTTGACACTCATACATGTTACTCATCAAAAACCTTTCAAAAGGAAAAGAAAGGCTTTGTGCGCCCTGCGGTGCCCTTTCAGTCACTAAGACAGACGTCCAACCCCAACAGCTGTTTCAGAATTACAAAGACCTACATAGAAATCGTCATTTTTCATATGACGGGTCTCTTATGCTTTTTGAGATGAAGAAGGGGTATTTCAGGTCATGAAATAAAAATAACAATAGCTCCATCTTCTGGGTAAAACATGTAGTCTTAATCCTGTCCACGTGGTTCTCTTTCACCATCGATTCTTCACTCTTTTTCTTTTGAAATGATGGATATTCTCTCTTTACATACCAGCTTTAACTGATTCTATGCAGGTTATACAAGGGCAGTTATTATTTTTTAAGAGTATTCACCAAATACTGATATAAGCAGTAAAAATATTCACATCCACAGGGGTCATTGTATGATCGTTCTTTTAAAAAAGGTAGAGTAGAAAATACTCCTGTACTTCAGCAGTGGAAGTGAAGTGATTTATTCTGCTCCTCATACATTTGGTACTACAGAAAACCGTTGAAGAATCAGGATCTGTTTTATGTAGCAAAGCAGTAGTCATAGCCGGAGTAAAACTCTAAAGTTTCTTACAGAGGACTGATTTGTTGACACTACACAGTAAGAAAATGAAAGTAGAAATCTGCTTCAACCGGGAATCAAACAGCTACCACAGTAACGTGATGTGTCTCTGCTCAGGGCTCCTCTGTACATGGAACATTTAGATGGGCCCTTCTCACTTGCCGCGCTGCCCTACACCCAGATGAACGAGCTGCTGAACCGAACTGGGGACAGAATGTATTCACGGCCTGATGGCCCTCCACCTCCTCCACCTCCCATGCACCCACTGGGAGAGATCAAGCCCCCCTCTGTGATCAGGTGAGCCGAGAAAGAGATGGCACACAGTAATTCAGTTTGTATCGGTTTTTGAAGCTTTTTAATCTTCCTATATTTCTGCGAGTGCCATTCCATTACTTTTTCTTGTTTTTAGTGTTTATTGTGTTAGAGGGGGGCAACGATTTTTCGCTCTGTATGAGCTCAGCAGGAAAACACATAGGAAGGCATGGCTGGAGGGACAGGTAGAGGGATAGATGGGGGTTTTGAACCAAAGAAGAAGGGAGAAAAAAGGGAGCGGCTGAGAGAAGGGCAGGATCAATAAGGCGTTAGGGCCACTGAGCGCATTACAGGTTGTTTTTCTGCTGCATATGTCACTGTTTGAAGGGATGGAGAGATCAGAGGGAATGATTAAGACTGTGGCTGCAGCACCACAGAAATATAGCATTGATTTCAGGCCTGAGTCCCTGCAGCTATCTCCTCTTTTTTACTCTTTCCATCCCTATCTTCTATTTTTACTTACTTTTCCTGAGCTCTGCTTTTGCTGTTTTGCTGCTTTTTCTTTATAAGGTATTTAATATCATCATTTTCCACATGTAACTTTACCCCCTCTGGACTTTAAATAAGCCCATTTGGTGTATTTTGGTTGGGACACAGTCTTAAGCGTGCTCAGGGGAAATACTCAACACATAATTTTACCCTCTCTACCTCATGCTGAGCACTCGAACTGCAGCTGCTTTCTCTGTAGGGGAAAAGCATGTGGGTCTTTTTCCTGTTAGCAGCTAGATCCACCCACATGGCTTCAGTATGAGTCAGTGGTCAGTAGTCAGGCTTCTTTATAGAAGAGTGGCAGTGTGAGATCTCAGTGCTCTGAGCTTTCTGTCATGCAGGGTGCGATACGTTCTCACTTGGCAGAGAAACTTTTAGTGAGTCATTCTTTTACATTGTTGATTTTGAGTATTTTGTGAAACAAAAGTGGAAAGAGAGAGTTCAATATCTCTACAGTGGTGTTGCTCTTTCATCCATTAAACCTAACAAACTATGAAATCTCAATGTATGGATGATTATTTTATGGATGAAATGTGTTATGTGTCTCACTTTAAGGCCTTGTCCACACACAGCTGGGTATTTTCATAAATGAGTATCCAACCCCCTCTGTATATATATATATAAAAAAAAAAAAAAGTCATGTACACACATCATAGTTTTCAAATGAAATCCCATCCACACGAAACCTCATAAGTGTGCTACTGATCGCACTTATAAGCATGCCAGACCTGGAGTTGGTAGTATTTGCCAACAAGTTAGACCCATTCTATCCAACCAGAGCAAGCTTCCCTTTCTCATCGTCACTTTGCCGAACATGAAACAAAGCGCTGTGTAGTTCGTTTGTGTGGACCAACAAAGAGGTGGAATAGCTTTTAAGCATCTTTTTAGAGTATGAAGTCAACAAGACACAATAAAGGTGGAGGAAGGGTTATTTGGAGTAGAATAACCGACTGCAAAGCACTCCTTCTCCTTTACTCCTCACAAAAATATATATTCTGTACATATCTGTGCTGTCCACTGCCTGACATAAACAAGGGTGCATAGTATATGACATTTATCAATTAGTTGTCACGGACAATGACATTTGGGAATTTAAAACTCTGGTTATCTACGTCCACACACAAACACAAAACTGGAGTTTTTCAAAATCTTTTCTTTGGTCGGAGTTTTCCCAAAACAATGTTTTTAATGAGGAAATCCTGCAGTTTCATGTGGATGGCAGGACAAAACGTATACAAATATATTCGTTTTAGAAGATACCCGAACAAATGTTGACAAGGCCCAAATCTGGAAATTCATTCAAACTCTATTCTCCCTCTAGTTCTGGTTCAGGTTTCTCCGACAGCAGACCTCAGTCCCCAGCCCGGACAGCAGGCCTCAACTCCAACACTCCTCCTCCGCCACCCCCCCCCCTCCCTCCTCCACCTCCCCCATTACCCTCCTCAGGTATGCGGGGCACCCCTCCTCCCCCTATCCCACCTCTACCAGTCCAGCAGCAGCCTCCAGCCATCCCACCCCCTCCTGCTCCTCTCCAGATCGCCCCAGGTGTGCTACACCCAGCACCTCCGCCTGTGGCGCCTCCCCTCCACTCCTCCTCCCCGGCTCGTCACCTACAGGACAGAGGCCAGCCCAGTGGCTCTGGGACTCAGACAGACAGCACCATCCTGCCCCCTCCTCCACCACCTCCTCCTCTGCCCCTCCCAGGAGCACGAAGCTCCTCACCGTGTCCGTCAGGCCCTCCACCTGTGCCGGCCTTCCCATCAGCAGGAGCCATGGCCTCCCCACCTCCCCACACCATGCACGACGTGGGGACCAAGAGGCACCATCCAGCCAATCTGCCACCCATCAGCGATGCTCGCAGTGTTCTGCTGGAAGCCATCAGAAAAGGTGGGCGGTGATTAAAATCCAGCTGTCTCTACTGAGCGGCAGAGGTCATTGGACACCCCCCAATAACTTGAAAGATACCAATTGGTCATTGGACATCACTGGTCAAACTAATGCTAAAGTCATTGCAAGTTCACATTGAAGCCACAGCGTATAGAAATGAAAGATGTAGTGATATCTAACATTCAAATCTGGATTGACTGCTCTAGACTGCTCACCTTACCTGTTGACATTAAATACCATCAATCCAAGTCTGCTCTGTAGACTGTCATACAGAAACCATTAGCCAATCCCAGATCTCTTCCATTCTGTTAACTTTAGCGAGAGTTATCCTCTTGTCCAATCAGGCTTTTTATTCTCTTTGACCTGATAATAAACAGATTTGATTTGGGAGGAGGCTGATTGTTCCTGCTTGAGTCAATATATTGACTTGCATTCTCACTGGATACCAGATTTTAAACAAAACAGTCAGAAAATCTCTTCAAAATGCTGAGAGCTGATTTTATATATTTTCTGTGACTTACAATGAAACATGTTTTTGATATGAAATCCTGGGAACACAATATGAGTCATGTAAAGACATTGCATTGCAACATCTAAGCTAAAGTATTTCTCTGTCTCTAGGCATACAACTGCGCAAAGTGGAGGAGCAGCGAGAGCAGGAGGCTAAGCACGAACGCGTGGGCAATGATGTGGCCACCATCCTGTCCCGCCGCATTGCTGTGGAGTATTCTGACTCTGAGGACGAGTCTGAGTTTGATGAAGGAGACTGGATGGAGTGATGGTGATCAGGGAGAGATATAAGGAAAAAAAACTTACAATGTTGGATGCAGAGGACAAATTCGTTCAGGTGCCCCGCCCCCTCGACTCTGCACTCCACACCTTGCCATCAAAGACTCCCTTCTTCGAAAGAAGAAGCACAAACGTTGTTGTGGCCCACTTTCCCCTCCTGTCGAGCTTTTTTTATCTGTCTTGTTGTGGTCTGTGTCAGGAGGAGAACCTCTATGTCGCCCTCGTCTGTCTCTGTAGTGTTTTGCATTCATCCTTTTCTGCACTACCACATGACTTTGTTTTCTGATGGATTTCTTGTGATGAAATTCTCAATGTTTACTGTTGGTATACATGAAAATAACATTGATGAAGAACCACTTGTTTCTGTTTCTTATATGTATGTCTATGTGTAAAAAAAATAAAGGGGGAAACATGAGGAAACAGAAAATGAAAAAAATGAAGGCATGTTGCATTTATCTTGAGTTCTACAGCACTGTTTTGCCACCCAGTGGTTGAACATGGCATATCGAATGAATGCTGTTTTAATTTGATCATCTTTTTATTTACCTTTTTCTGCGGAGACATTTTGCTGTTTTAATAGGCCAGTGGTTGCTGATACTGACTTCTACAGGAACAGTCACTCCAGCTGAGTTGTCTTTTTGTTTTCTTATTTTACCACTTAGAGCAAGCTTAGGATTGTGTCTGTGTGTATTGTGATGATTGCTGTATGGCTGAAAATGACAAAGGGGGAGAATATGGCTGCTTCAGCCATTAGTGTGCATATTCATCCATTTAGATCCAACTTTAATGCCAGGGAAGTGTATGCCAAGAGATTTTTTGTCCGTCTGTCTGGGTTCTGGGGAGCCATTACTACCATCCTTTTCTCATTTCTTTGCCACAGAAATGGACTCTGGAGGTGAATTTGTTCTGTAGCTGTCAGACTTCCTGCCTCTCTTTTTGTCCCTGATGAATATTCAGTGTGCTGAGAAAAAAAACTGACTTTTAAAAAGGTACCCATGATGATGAGAGTCTGACCAACACCAGGTACAAACTATTCAACACCACTGATGGCAGCTCTTTCCTCAGATGTGTTTTTACTTTGTACCCGCCCGCTAACGAGAAGCCTTACCTCGTTAGCTTCAATAGCTAACTGTCTTTCAAAAGAATCCATTCTGTGTTTCTGCCTTTCAAAGAGAAGGATACATTCTGCCTTGTTTTGGCTGATTTAAAAGAAAATGTCTGCCATTCTTTTCTGTTTGTTCTCTTTCTTCTACTTGCCTTATTGTTCCTACAAAACGTAACGTTGAGTTCATGAATGTATTGTGCTGTTACTACTTAACTTGCCTGCGCTTGTATGGATTTGCTGTCTCTATGTTTGGGGGGGGGGGGGGTTCAAAGGGCCGGGGACAGAAACCCTGGTTTAAAAAAGAAAAAAGAATCGATCGAAACTGTATAACATGTAACTTATGTAACTGTTGACTGTAACAGTTTGCTTGAATTAATAAAAATCTAATGTTATGTTTCAGCCCTAAATGTTACAAGCTATGTCTGTCTCGTTATCTCAGTGCATGGATTATCTTTTAATATATTATGGTGATTGTTGATTTCCAATATGATGTAAAAGTCCCATTCTAATCGTTTTTTGTTTTTTTTTAACACTACTTAAAGTGTTGTCAGTGGTCTTTAAATTGTGATTATGGTGTTTTTAGCCAAAATCACATTACCTGTGTCATTTTCAAGGGCTTTTCTTCTCCAGAGCTCCTGTAGCTCATTAGTGGTTCACCTCTGACTCATGGGCGGAGACAGCGCTGCTCTGAACTCTTCTCCTCGAGTTAGTTTGCAGCCTAACATTGCCGGTATAGTGGAAGTAGCAGGTAACATAGGAGCTATTCAGCTCTTGAGCACTAATGTCTTTGAGGACATGATAAAAGCTACTATTATGATTAGCTTTCTTATGAGCGTTGTAATCCGCTAACACACATGCTTGTTCCATGATCGTCCTCTCTATTCCATGATCGTCCTCTCTATTTCTCCGAGTGTGGCCAGCATAGCATACGAGACAGCATAGCTCCAGGGGTGGAGCTTGGAATTGCTATGTAGGAAATCTCACTGTATCTGAACCTGCCATTTGGGTCTGCCAGAGATTCACAGTGATTTGGATGCAGAAATACTCCGAAATGCAATTTTGCACTTATTTTTCTCACGATATGTCATGTAGCATCAGAAAAATGCCATATGAAAATGATGACAACAAGAACATGATTTTCAGTGCAGTGGGTCTTTAAAGCATTCGTGAAGTTTTTTTAATAAATCAGATAGTTATTCAGTTTTTTACTGTTCAGATAGATGGTTAATCATTTTTTTCAGAGGACACTACCTAATCATATAGATGGAGCTGTAAAATGAGGTAAGCTCATAAACTTTCCAACTTAATGTTGGTAAGGTTAGCTGAATACAACCAGAAAAGAAAAAAATTGTGAACAAGAACATTCTTTTCAGGTTTGAAAACTAAACAAGAGCTTTAAAGTTGCTTTGAGAAACTTTAACTGTTGTCTACTTTGGCGTCCTCTCTGGAAAAACTTAACTCTTATCTTTTTTTAGTCTTGTATCTCTCACTATGTTTATAGACACCAAAAACAACGTGGCAAAACTATCAATCTTTTCACCAATGGTCTTTTTTGCTTTAGTGAACCATGGATATTCATCTTTGAACATTTCTGCCTTTTTTGTTGTCCAAGAGCTTCAGTATGACAGTTCCTGTGAAGGATTGTGATGGAGAGAATAGGCTTAATGTTGACCATCTAAATTCAGTCATAAACTTCTTATGTCTTGTAAAGGTAAGAGTTTAGTTGTACCTAAAGAGTCCTTCAATATGTACATGGCATTTTACTTAAAAATCCTTAGGTGATCAACAACACAGTGAACAGTCCCAGGGACATTTTTAAAGCACTTTTGAATGACAAAGAAATAATCCAGTCCAACTGACCTACTCCTCCATTAAACAGAGCAGGATTTTGCAGTTTAGCTGAAGGCTTCTCCCAAATAGTTCACATCTGGCTCTGTGATGAGAAGTACCACTATGACAGAGAACAGTCTCAGATTTGGTTTCACCAATAGTGATACAGAAACTTGGTTAGAAGCAGAATTTCTCAGTTTGATATGCAGTCACTGTTTCATTCTCACCTCCTTCTCCTGCCTCTTTTTCTCACTTGTATTTATCAGTTTCTTCCTCTCCTCACACTCCCTGTCTCCTCACCTCTGTTCTCTTCCTCCTCTCATCTCTCTAAACAGAGGATGCTCAGGAGTCTTTATGTTTATTATCTTGTCACTCTGACTGTAATCTTCTTTCTGGTCCTGTCATACTTTATCCTTTAAGCCCACGCTTTAAAAGACGCTTTGGGCCTTTCGGCTTTCATGTCGGGGTGGCACATAACATCAGCATGTCAAACACATGTCAGCTTTGGGACTGCATGGATGTAACTTCAATACATAGTGCAGCACACTGGTAGGAGTCAGCTTATTTCAAGTGTGGGTGTGTTTCTGAGGGAAGCCAATATAAAAAAAGACGATTACCAGATATGCTGTGTTATTATACTCATGCTTGAAAGATGAACATTATAGTATATAGTTAAATGGGTCATAACACAAACAGACGATTCCTACAGCCAAACAAATCTGCATGAAGACTGTTTATTTTTAGATAAGTTCTTTATATTTCTATCAAGGCTATTGACAGGTGATGATCACAAAAACAGAATTCATCAATTAAGATCAAATGCGGCTGCACCCAAAGCTCTTTTGAGGAGAGGAAGGTGTAAACAGTGAGTACTGAGGAGAAGTATTTACATCTGAATGCATGAAGACTTTTTCAGTTATGATGATTATGATTCAGTTTATGGTAAGAGTGTAAAATACAAGATTAAAGTGAGAAAAACAGTGAAGAGTGAAGTGAATTCTGATTACACAATATTTGTGTCAGTCATAACTACATGCTAAATGCTGCATGGGGTAATGACTCCCTTGTAACTCACATAAGCACCGACACATTATCATAGCTTAGCTTCATCAATGCAACTTAAATCTATTTTAAGCTAAATAAACAGTGGTTAAACAATTTCTTTTTTCAGTTTGGGTATCAAGAACAAAATACTGAGCTATAATCTATTACCGTGGTTACAGTAGTTATTCTCAAACATTTACTAAAAATACAAGCCTGCAGCATCAGGTTTGCCTAATTGGTGTCAATCAAAGTCATGTCATTTAAGGCTGTATACTGGAAGATGTCAAGTCTTTTAAAGGGCACACAAACTATCAAATCCATCACAACAAATCTTCTGAAATCAGTCCAGGTCACATGACTGATGCATAAATCAGTGTCTACAGAGTCTGTAAAGGACAACATTTTTCTCCTCCCTCTTTTCACTTAACTCTGAGGGTGTTACCCTTCCTTCGAGGCTGCTCCTTTTGGACCTGACGGACTCGAGTTCCCAAACCTAGACACTGCAGTGACTCAGTGATGAATTTCTGTGTGGGGGAGACACAGAGCATGAGCAGCAGCTTAGAGTCACCACCTGGTGGACAAAATGAAGAACAACAAGAGGGGATTCAAGACAGGGTCAGCAGTGCGAGGATAAGACTGAGAATTTTGAGCATTTTTGTGTGTGAGAATAGTTCTGCAGTGTGTGACTTAGACTAATAAAAGTGATGTTCAGTCAAACAAGGGGACAGTGCATGTATTTGTGTGTGTGTGTGTGTGCGTGCGTGCGTGCGTGCGTGTGCATCACCTATGGCATCTTGCAGCAGATGAGTGAGTTTGCTGTTCCTGTAGGGAATATGAGGACTCTGCTCGGCAAGAGCTCCCAGAACGTCAGCCAGAGCAGAGAGACTGCGGTTTATACAGGACACCTCCCACAGAGCAGCACCTGAGACTCCAGACATACCTGAATACATGAGCAAGGGAAGTGCAAGCAAGCAAAAACACACACACACACACACACACACACACACACACACACACACACACACACACACACACACACACACACACACACACACACACACACACAGATTAACAAGAGATTAACATTCAGTGTACATTTATTTTCTCCAAAGCTTATTCATCTGCTCAATAATTTCCTGATGTTTGGTGATCTTTTTTTGTGTATATGATGGTTAAAAAGTGTCATTACTCATATCTGCATAATAATAGTTTTGTTTTTACTATAATCTCCCTTTTTACCCAAACTGCTCATCAGATTGATTTATATTTTTGCTTGAAACACTGGGAAATAAACTAGCAAGAAAGGAGAAATCCTGCTTCATTTGGATGGAGAACTCAGTGCTGTGATCAATAGAATTTTGCTATTGAATTCCTCTGGGCAAGATGATACCCACTTGATACTAAATTTGTTGAATTTTACAAATTGATTAAATAATTAATTCATGATTTTTTACAATTCCACAAACACACAATGATTACTGCAGTGCTTAAGGTCATCATACCGACACACTCGCTTCCTGCTAGGTCCACCAGCTGCAGCTTGGTCTTGAATGGAGCCTGTGAGATGCTTGGCCTGGGAGAGGGGCATGGAGAGAGGGAGGGAGAGAGGCAGGGTGAAGCAGAAGAGCTTGCAAAGAGCTCATCAGAGGAGAGCTGGGCGGTTGGGTTGGCACGGCGACAGCGTGGACTCCACCACTCCTTTTGAGTGGAGCGCTGCATGTCCTTCTTGGCTCTCTGTAACCTGCGGGCTGAGTGACAAAAAGTCATCAACGTTTGGAGAGAGCTGTCATTTACACTCATACGTATGTGTGTGTGTGTGTGTGTGTGTGTGTGTGTGTGTGTGTGTGTGTGTGTGTGTGTGTGTGTGTGTGTGTGTGTGTGTGTATCTCACCCAGGGCCAGGGCATTGGGGCTCTTGGAGGAAATGGTGAGGGTGACAATGAGGTGTGAGCGTGAGGAATCAGGGTGAATGAGGGTGGGGCAGTGAGCTCTGAGCTTCAAAACACTGCTGATGATCTGCATCACCTCAGAGGCGTTCCCCACGGGACTGTATAACACATGGCGCATGCATAAGAGCTGATTTCATTTATCTGTTTCATTGATCTAAATGTTTCAGTGTATGTGCTCAGTCACAAATCACAAAAACTGCTGAATCCTAATTTCATATTTCACTTCAGCTATATGGACAGGAACATCTTGAAATTACCCAGTTTTGCTGTAACTACAGGCACTTTAACCATTTGCATCACTTTCATTTTTCCTTGTTGTCCAAACAAGAAAAAAAGGGACATTTAAAGATAGTATAAGTCAGCAGCATGCTGAAAAACATATTTTATTTACATGGCATCCAGTGTATTGAGTTTTTGGCTTTTTCTTTTCTGCACTTTGTGCCTGAGTAGAAGTCAAGTTTTTCTACATCTGACTGTAAAGTGTGAAATGAAGTTTTCAGGGCAGTAGTAAAAAATAGTCAAACAGCCCCTTACAGATATAAATGTGCAAGTTCATTTGAAAAGTATTGATCTGTGACGTGTTTAAAAAACAATTCCCCATGCAAACAGCTCTGCTCTTGCTCTACTCACAGGTGTGTGAGGGAGGTGACCTGAATGGTGCCAGAGGAGGTGGTGATGATATCCCTGCGCTGGCCCACAGCGCTGCCAAGCTCATCTCTGGCCAGGAGGTCAAACACTTCATTGTTGTACACCTCCATCACTGACACCTCCACCGTGTGGATCTCTGCAGGCTTCTCAGAGATTAGTCTGGGTCACACAGGAGATGATAGGAAGAGAGAAGGTTGAAGTTCAAACCAATTATATCCTATTCCAACTCTCCAAGCACATGAATTTATGGTCTGATTCTTTTTTTTTTTTAGCTTGGTCTGGTTAAAGGCCTGAATTAGAAACTGTAATTGAATGCCCCCTCAATAATCTACTTTACAGCAAATCTAGTGCAAAGCATAAACACCACTTCTCTGTCTGTCTCACCTAAAAAGCTCTTCAGCAGCCTTAGAGATTATCCCCTGCTGTGTCTCCTGCTGCATCTTTGAGTTTCCCACCTGTAGCTCAGGGCCCATCATGGTATGAGTCTTCCCGCTGCCCGTTTGCCCATATGCCATGATACATACATTATAGCTGCAGTGTGAGAGGAGAATCACAGTCAAGGTGCCTGATGTTGCATGTGTATATATTTTACTACTTTGAGTCATTGCAGGATTAGTGCTGTTTAAACCGTGTGGTTAGAGTCTTGTGATTTTTCCCTCTCTTACCCATCAAGCAGAGATGTGAGGAGAGGCTTGACTTCCTCAAACACAGCATCCTGGGAATCCTCTGGTCCGTGCACTCTGGAAGAACCAAAGTCACAAGAGTATTAAGATGAGTACTGAAAATAACCAAGCACACTGTTACATGTTTATATCTGAGTCTACCTTTCAAACTCAAACATCTTGTTGTGCACTGGTAACCCTGTTTTTAAGCAGTTCACCATCACCGTGTCCTAAAAGCAAAGAAAGCAGAAATAATACAACCACACAAGGACCCTGAAGCAGTTTGCTCCTGTTTTGAGAGTTTTGACTTACATCACTGAATGCAGTGACCACTTCTTCTGAAGCTGCAGATCTGAAAGAAAAAGATGATTATTGAGTATCATTCAGTATTTCATATTGTGGTGTTGGTGGATTGTGTACTGACCCACCCTGATGCAGAAGTGGAGGACTCAACGTGATCGAAATGAAGAACTGGTCTCACTCTGCAGTGAACCCTGATATTCCCTCTCAGTTCCTGCAGCCAAACAAATAGTAGAGCTGCAAATTACAGATCCTTTCAGATGTGTTACAACTGTGTAAAGCATTGTCTCTTTCAATAAACAACTGTCCTTACCACCAGTGTGTTGTGGAGATTTTTCCTCCTCTGCCTCTCTGCCCTGCATCTCTCCCTCTCCTCCTCCAGAGAGCGCTCAAGGGCTGAGACATGAGCTTGTAAGTCTGGCCAAGAAAAACATGAAGATGGAGATGGTAAGATTTTTGTTACCTAACTTCATAAAATTTGTATTCTACAGCATTATAAATGTATAATATATCACTTATTTTGCCCTCAAAAATGTAAAGAAAAAAAAACAAAACAAAACAAGGAGTGTTCCTGCAGCATGATGTCAGTCTCTTTGATATCTTTCCTTGTGGCAGCATTACACTTTTTAAAAGTTAACTGTAGAGGAATAGGGTTAATCCTGATGGTCCTGTTTTTCCTGAGTCAGTACTCATTTCAGCCTATTTCATAAGCAAACAAAAACTCCTCATGGGGACGTAAATGTAAAAGAGAAATACTTCCTTTTGATGTATTAGTCAACCCCAAATCCAGAAACCCCTGCTCTCTCTGATGATATGCTTTGAACACTCATGAACACACCAAACACCTTCATTCACAAAGGACAGCCTGAGACATTTGGACATTTGCTGGAACATCATAAAGAAAAGGTTTGTTGAGAAAGATGAGAATTTTTTTGTCATTGTACGGTCAAACTGTCAATAAAGTTAAAATACCTCAGCACTTTTAACAGCTGACTGTATTCGGTGTGAACTTGGGCTGGGCGATATGGGAAAAAAGTTTATCACGGTAGATTTTTTTCATATCAGTCGATATTAATATATATCACGATATAAAAAAATCATTTGTTAATCTTAAATGTTCCTTGTTACTCTTGTGAAATTTAAATGTATAAGAGTGCTTATTGGTAGCATGTCTTTACAACACAATAAGCTGCTGCATCTGTGAGGTCTTTGTGTCTCTTTGATGTTTTGTCGTAAGGTATTGGGCTAGAGAAAGTGGACTGAATGGACGGCTGTTTTGACTGCACAGGCACCATGGGCTCCTTGTGCCGCTCGAGGTTTGTAAACTTTTGCATTGCGTGTGCTCTGCTTCAGGTGGTGAAAAAGATTTGAGGTATTCCCCAACCTGTGCTCGACATAATTTGCAGTGCACATTACTCTGCTTCATTCATATAGTCTACCAAAACATGGCAGAATGCCTACTATCGGAGAGCATATTGACCATGTTTTATATCAATATCGAGACAAATTAATTTTCGGTATATGCTGTTATCGTTATCAGCCCAAGTGTGAACTCGCCCTTGTTTAATTTCTCTCCCAACTACCTATTTGTTTATTCCAGCATGTTCCTGGTTAAAAATTCAAGTACAAGTTTATGTAAATACATCTGGCTGATTGATTTTGAAAATAGTAGGGGAGTAGGAGGGGACACATCTTACAAAGAAGAGAACCAGCCTCCTACACAACCAGCACATTATACAGTATAAACTAGCTAACATTTCAGAGGTAGATGCAAAGTACATGTACATCAACAGCATGTTATTAACCCAAGGTGTTGATTTATGCAGTAAAAAGGAATCGTTTGTACTTCATATGGGAAGAGATATACAAAACCAAATTCCATTGAAGTTGGGAAATTGTAATAAATGTAAATAAAAACAGAATACAATAATTTGCAAATCCATTTCAACCTATATTCAATTGAATATACTACAAAGACAAGATATTTAATGTTCAAACTGATAAACTTTTTTTTTTTTAAATAATTAACTTAGAATTTCGTGGCTGCAACACGTGATAAAGAGGTTGGGAAAGGTGGCAAAAAATACTGAGAAATTTGAGGAATGCTCATCAAACACCTATTTGGAACATCCCACAGGTGAGCAGGCTAATTGGGAACAGGTGGGTGCCATGATTGGGTATAAAAGCAGCTTCCACAAAAATTCTCAGTCATTCACAAGCAAGGATGGGGTGATTTGCATGAGCAAATAGTCGAACAGTTTAAGAACAACGTTTCCCATGGTACAATTGCAAGGAATTTATGGATTTCAACATCTAGGGTCTATAATATCTTTAGAAGGTTCAGAGAATCTAGAGAAATCACTGCATGTAAACGGCACGGACGAAAACCAACAGTGAATGCCCATGACCTTCGATCCCTTAGTGTATCCCTTAGTGATCCCACTGTATCAAAAACTGACGTCAATGTGTAAAGGATATCACCACATGGGCTCAGGAACACTTCAGAAAATCACTGTCAGTAAATACAGTTCGTCACTACATCTGTAAGTACAAGTTAAAACTCTACTATGCAAAGCGAAAGCCATTTATCAACAACATCCAGAAACGCTGACAAGCTGTCAGCTTGTCTGGGCCCGAGCTCATCTAAGATGGACTGAAACAAAGTGGAAAAGTATTCTTTGGTCTGACGAGTCCACATTTCAAATTGTTTTTGGAAATAGTGGACATCATGTCCTCTGGGCCAAAGAGGAAAAGAACCATTTGGACTGTTATCCACACAAAGTTCAAAAGCCAGCATCTATGATGGTATGGGGGTGCATTAGTGCCCAAGGCATGGGTAACTTACACATCTGTGAAGGCAACATTCATGTTGAAAGGTACAGGTTTTGGAGTAACATATGCTGCCATCCAAGCAACGTCTTTTTCATGGACGCCCCTATTATTATTATTATTATTTCAGCAAGACAATGCCAAGCCACATCCTGAACGTGTTACAACAGTGTGGCTTCATAGTAAAAGAGTGCGGGTACTCGACTGGCCTGCCTGCAGTCCAGACCTGTCTCCCATTGAAAATGTGTGGCGCATTATGAAGCATAAAATACGACAACAGAGACCCCGAACTGTTGAACAACTGAACCTGTACATCAAGCAAGAATGGGAGACAATTCTACCTTCAAAGCTTCAACAATTAGTCTCCTCAGTTCCCAAACGTTTATTGAGTGTTGTTAAAAGGAAAGGTGATGTAACACAGTGGTAAACATGCCCCTGTCCCAATTTCTTTGTCATGTGTTGCAGCCATGAAATTCTGAGTTAATTATTATTTGCAAAAAAAAAAAAATAGTTTATGAGTTTGAAAATTGAATATCTTATCTTTGTAGTGTACTCAATTGAATATAGGTTGAAATGGATTTGCAAATCATTGTATTCTGTTTTTATTTACATTTATCACAATTTCCCAACTTCGATGGAATTGGGTTTTGTATTCTGGTATGCTAACTTTATTAATATCAGCAATAACATGTCAAGAAAAGACAGCAAATATTAGATCAAAAGAGTTTCACAAGAATTTTCACCAATGATCAGCACCATGCTGACCTGCCAGACTGTGCAGACAAAGACAGTCAAACTGGAATCTACTGTGAGGGCAGGATGAGAGTGGAGAGCAGGGAAACAGCACGAGAGGATTACCGGCAAACACACCTAATCAAGGAACAGCCAACACGTCACATGTAAACCACTTTAGCACTGAGAGGGACTCTGTCAGACAGAATGTGTGAGCTGAAACTGAGGAGAAGTGAAGAGACTTCAGTGGTGGGAAAAGAAAAAAAACGAAAGCGGGTAAAAAATGTAAATTAATGACAGCAGTTTTTCACTGCTAATATCTGGGTCATTTTCTTTTCAAAGCTACACAGTTCTACTGTTCTTACAATGAGCTCTCCTTCAGCCCTCAATCCACCAGGATACCAAACTTTGGATTATTTTACTGAAAACAACCTCAATTCCAGCTTCCAGGTATAGCCCTACAAAATCCTAACCTACATCTACATAATGCCACACAGAGAGACTCACCCTGAACACCATCTCCATGGTGTCCATTAGGAACAGAGCTGACTTGTTCAACTTTTTCCAGCAGCTGCTTGCTTTTCTCCTCAAGCTCAGTGGCAAAACTCAAATATACGGCAAAAAGTTCACTTAATTCCTGCTTCACAGCCTGCCGAAGCACACAGAGGAGATACAATTATCATGCAGGTATTTGTATGTTATTCAAAGTTTCATCACAACATTAAAGCAGATATACTGTACAGCAGTACCTGGACCCCTGAGAGGAGTGTGAAGAGAGCTGAGCGGGTCATCTTTTGTGCATTCCTCTGGTGCTCAGGAAGGGTCAGGGCCCTGACGTCCTCTTCGGGTTCTCGACGAAGTTTTCCCAGACACTAACAAGAACAGAGCACCAATATAATGATTGTAACTGTGCCACTTCATAACAGTTTTACACTAAGCAAAGTTTCACTCAGGCAGACATAGGCCAACTTGATCCTTCTTTGTAAACAATGTAGATTTGCTGGTATATAATATAATCGACTATTTATTGCAGGCTCATGATTAATTATAATACTCCTATTTAGAGTTGTAATGCAGCCTTCAGTACTTAACATGTCCCTTAAGACTACAAAGTACTTGTAGTCTTAAGGGTTTTTGGTTCTAAAATACTTTATTAAATATCAGCTAACAAATATGATTTTTTGCCGGTTAGATAATGCAGAAGTTTACTTTTTTTTTATCCTCTCATCCCTCTCCTGTGCATCTGTCTTATGAAATAGGTACATAGCATATTTTTTTCTTAATTTGATGGTTCAGGCAGATTCTACAAAAATTGTTGGACAGGAGAAAACTGGGACACAAAAATGATGTCCACCACCACAAATGAATCAGATGTTACGATTACAAAAGTGCTTTTACTCTCATAACTTGGCTTTTAAGATTTCATTTACATGCATTACTACTTTAGGTTACTAATATTTCCCTGTGTATAAATATTATATGCAAAATGATATGGTAATTATGTCAGATTTGGAGGAATAGTCCCCAAAATTCAATTTCCATTTGGGGATCAATAAAGTTCTCCTTCTTTTTTTTTGTACCTCACAATCAATCAACTTGTCTCTTTCATGAAAACAAATAGCTTTGCAAATGTTAGCTATCAAATGTAAGTTTTGCTCCAGTGCAGGCTGACACACGTCAAGTGACACACAAACTGAATGGCTTTGTAAGGACAACAGACTTGTTTTTCTGAGGTGAGCAGCAAAGTAAAAAAAAAAAAAAAACAGGCATGAATGTGTTAAATTCTGTAAAGTACATACGGGCAAAAATTCTCACCTCAGCAAGTCTTAAATGAAGAATAGCATTCTCTGTCTCCAGTTCCAGTATGCGCTCCTCTTTGCTCTGGAAACAACACGATCAAAAGGCCGTTTTCTTTATCGTTGTGGGTCAGTGTAAAGTTAACTAAAAGAGCATAAATGGACTGAATGCTTATTTCTAACTTACCCTCAGCTTGTGCTCCAGAAGGTGTACCTGATGAGCAAACATCTGGTCCCGGTTAATGAAGAGAGGCATTTTTCTCCTCACAGATAAGTAGCCAGTGGCCAAAATGGACAAAATGGAAAGGCTCGTCGCTTCTCAGCTGATGAAGACGTGTCCTCTTGAGTCATTTAATCCGATTAGCAGCGGTCAGCAATAACCTCTTCACCTCTGCTCACCTGTGTGCCTCTCATCCTTAAGCCTGAGAGAGCGCTTGCGCAGGCCGTTTTTCATTCAAACCCATGCTGTCTAAATCCATGTCCATAGCTTAGACTCCAGAGCGATTCCTACAGTTCATCACTGCATGCTACTACTAATTGTGAGGTCAATGACGACTTTTTGCAATAGCCCTGCTTGTTTTTAGGATGTTTTTGAATAATTTACCATGGTTGTGTTTACATGGGTTACTTTAGGGAGACAATGGATAATACGAGTGGGGAGCGCACAGGTAGCCTGTTGCCGATTAACCATCACACAGACAGAGGGCAGTAAAGCCTCTGGAGTGGAGTCCAATAGCAAGAATAAAACATAGTGAACAAGAAAAACACTTCCGTATAGTCACAGTTTATCTCGGTGAAGCTGGATAGACAACAGTCCCAAAATGCCCAAATTAAAAGACAAAAGAAGAGAGAAAATCAGTGTTGCCACTGAGGTAAGAAGTCAGGCTTCAGACTCGTTTGCTTGGGCTCACTACTTGCTTAACGTTTGCTTTGTCAGACATGTCACTTTCTCATTCAGTGTCTTTAGTTGTCCTCTAGCAAAATCAGCCCTTACCTGCTGTCGTTAACCACAGACTGCGTGTTGAACACATTGCATTATAGATTGACCGTTTGGAGGAGCGCAGGGCACGTTGTCAAGACAACCTGGAGAGGGCTGAGTTCAAAAGCAGGAAGGACAAGCTATCTGAGAAGGAAAGGTGAGGAAGATTATGGAGGTAATATTATAACAGTGTTTATCGAACTGTCAGCATCCCTGCTTTCAGGGTATTACACCTAAATCACTGTGTGATGATGACATTTCTCTTCTTCCTCAGGCAGGAACTAGAAGATGAAATGGCAATAATGAACGAGAGGGTGCAACAATTAGGTAGGCTATTTTGTAATCTTGATACACTTTTTACTTTATGTGTCTCACTTGTATGTAGACATCTGCTGCTCAGTGTTGAGGTAGAAAGAAGCACAATAATAAACATTGCTACACCAGCCACAGGGTCTCCTTCTGGTTTTGATAAGATTCTTCAGTGATCTCAAGTAATTAATAAGCTACTAGTAGTATTGTGATATTATATACAAAAAGCACACCTACAACAAACATTCCTTATTATACCTATAGAGTATCTTCAAACACTCTATACCCTTGCCCCCTCACAAACAAAAAATCTAACCCCAAGCTTAGTTCACATCTTGAGAGCCTTGATCTTCCGAATATAACTCACACTGTCATTTCTATATACTAAAATGAGTTTCGCAGTAGTATACATCACTGTAGTTTTATTTTGCTTGAATTTTATGCATTTATGTAGTTTATTTCTTTGCACAGATACACAGAGTAAATACAGTTTAGATTTAAAATTAGAATAGCATAAAAGAGCTGGATAGACAAAACTGAACATTATAGAAGTGATCTGAGTTACCACAAAAAAGTGAACAACAAAAAACACATTATGTAAGCAACAGATAATGTGACTTTATATGAAACTCATTTCTAATTTATTGTTCCAAAAAAAGAACCAAATGTTACAAAAGTAATGAAAAGTCTTTTTTTCCCCCACCCCTAGACAAGGAGCTGGAGACATTGCGAGGAGAGAATCGGAAGAACATGCTGCTCTCAGTCGCTCTGCTGCTCATAAGCGCTCTCTTCTATTACGCCTTCTTCTACAATGAAGACGGTTCATGAGCTATCCAGAAATGTAAAGTTCCTTCCAGAACAACTTCAGGACAATGTTGCTACATGAAGAAATATGAGGCCAAAGGGGTGTCCGTACACAGAAAGTCAAACTGCCTCTAGGTGGCAGCATTATCTTTTTGTTTTCTTCCTCTGGTCCCCACACAGCCTTGATCCTGCACGGTAACAGCCCCACCTCAGCCTCTTGCACTGTAAAGTTTGTGTTTCAAGCATGCTTTATAGGTCTAACTCTACAAGTTGAATGTTTTCTTTTCTTTTCATACTTCCTTATTCCTCTGCTTCTGAAGCTTTTTGCAAATATCAATGCCAGCAGCACACTGTATATTTCTCTATCAACAACACAGTCTTAAACATATTCGTACCAGAACTGTTGAGCCATGAATACCAGTTTACAGTCGTAATCTGTCTTCTCAGTAGGACTTTCTTCCTGTATGACTCTCGATACTAAGAGTCAACCAGAGTTAAAATACATTTCCCTCCTGAATAATCATTGAAATACGAACCAGTTTAATATATTTGTGATATGTTATAGAATAATATCAGTAAAGTCAGCTTAAGCCTTTCAGTAATATGATGAACAGTGTGTAGTAATGCATGTTTCATGTTCCATATTTAAAGTTATCCTGATGGAAATGTTCGTTTAACAAACATTTAGAAGCTGACTGTTATGTTTGAATATTTTAGCCAACAGGGCACCTGATGAATGTATATTGATGTTTTGATACTCATTTTGTCTTTGTACCTGCCTGTTGAGAAAAAAAAAGTTTTATATACAGCCCATGATTTTAACAAAGCATTTTGTAAATCTATGTTTTTCAAGGTGCTGTATAAATAAAACCATTATTGTTATGACTTATATATATACACACACATATATAATTAAATAATGATTCTGCCAGAACACCAAAATGCCAGATGTCACTTTGAGTTGTTTTGGTTCTAAAGCAGAAATATGTTTGAGCTGGGCTTTGCTGTCTGTGTCTGCTCTCAGGTCAGGAGTTTTTATTCAAGGTCTACAGCAGTTATACACATCCAGATATGAACCGTCTTGTCTGACCTTTTTTGACCGGTTTACTTTATCAATGTGACATCACAAAGCAAATGTCCCATCACAACACATCACATGATTGGGCTGTGGTGGTGGGGTCCAAGTGGTATTGTTTCATGGGGCCCAGAGTTATGAGCATCACCCTGATAACGCAGCTTATCATCATGTGTTAGTTTTTTTTTTTTTTTTTTTTTTTGCAAGGTGTAAAATTGTTTGTTCAGAATGTGGCACTAAGTTTTTTTTTTATAACTTTATTAGTCTTTCAAAACAACAAATACCAGTAAAAAGTATTCATATGACCCAAGATGGCATCTTTATCCATCAAATTTTATTTCAAATCAGTAGATTACATTCAAAGATTGTAAAGATTTGTTATCCTTGAAATGGAAAGCTCAACCATTGAATTGTTCTGCCTTTCGCAGCAAAAAAGCGGGTATACTGTCTCAGTACTAGTCAGAATATTTCATTGCTCATAATATAAGCCACATTGACCCAATTAATCCAAAAGTAACTCAAAATTTGCCATATTAACATAAAAAAAAATCCTAAACAGATGGTTATGAGTGAAAATTGCTGCCAATGCCTTAGTGGAGGTTTTGGATTTTTTTTTTTTTTTTGGGGGGGGGGGGCTATTGCATTTTGTTTTGACAAATTTACCCCAAAAATATTTCATACTGCACAGGTGGTAGTGATTACTCATCACCACCTATTCAGAGCTTTTTTTTTTAGCTCTTGAAATAAGACTTTTATGTGAACCTATCAGGCTAGTGTGCCTCATACCAAGGGTAATGATATCATAGCAACAACCCACACAAATACATTTTTAGTAAGCTTTGAATGTTTGGAGTGTGTGACCATAGTAATTTATTTGCTCACTATTGCAGTGCTTTAAAACTTCTTTATCCAAGAGTCAAGTTTGTCCCCACTTGTCCTGTTTTAAATGTATGTGTCTTTAGGTTTATTACCGATCAACCCTGACTGTCATTAATTTGAAAAAGAAATCCTTCTAACTTCTGTTCGTCTTGCATCCTCACAAACTGCATAAAAATACAAAGTGAACATCAGTATTTTTATACTTTAATGATAAAAAAAATCTTGACATATTCTTGGTCAAGATGCCTCATAATTTCAGGTTTAAAGTGCTACTTTTGTGCTATTGGTGTATTTACATAACTATATTTTTTGTCACAGAGGCAGTGAATGTCTTCATTAATAAACAGGAGTTTCTCTTGACGGGATCACAAGAGTAGAGTCAAGTGGAAAGAGGAGGGAGATGGATGTGATTCACAGCCTGGAGGAGAGTTGATTTTCTGCAGAGGAGCCTCCTCAAGTTTGAGCTGCAAGGTCATGAAGGTTGGATCCAACTCCTCCATCCATGCAGACTGGGATAAGAGGGTTCATTGAGTATAAAGGAAGGATAATAATGCTAAATAATTAAATGAATAAGGGTTATTAGACAGTAGTGAATAGTTGCAGCTAGGGCTGGGTGATAAAATGATAACGATATATACTGAAAATTAATTTCCCTCGATATCAATATAAAACATGGTCAATATGCTTTTCGATAGTAGGCATTCTGCCATGTTTTGGTAGACTATATGAACGAAGCAGAGTAATGTTCACTGTAAATTATGTCGAGTACATGTTCGAGCACAGGTCGGGGAATACCTCAAATTTTTCTCACCATCGAAGCAGAGCACGCGCAATGCAAAAGTTTACAAACCTAAAGTGGCGCAAGGAGCCCATGGCGCTGTGCAGTCGAAACAGCCGTCCATTCAGTCCGCTTTCTCTAGCGCAACGCCTTACGACAAAACATTGAAGAGACACAAAGACCTCACAGATGCAGCAGCTTATTGTGTTGTAAAGACATGCTACCAATAAGCACTCTTATACATTTAAATTTTACAAGAGTAACAAGGAACATTTAAGATTAACAAATGATTTTTTTATATCGTGATATATATTAATATCGACTGATATGAAAAAAATCTACAGTGATAAACTTTTTCCCATATCGCCCAGCCCAAGTTCACACCGAATACAGTCAGCTGTTAAAAGTGCTGAGGTATTTCAACTTTATTAAGACATGCTACCAATAAGCATTCTTAAATTTCATTTTTTTCAAGGTATAATATGTTTAGTATGCAGTGGTGGACAGTAACGGAGTAAATTTACTTGAGTACTGTACTTAAGTACAGATTCTGAGGATTTGTACTTTACTCAAATACTGGAATTCTTTGATACTTATTACTCTTACTAGAATACATTTCCAAGGTAAAGATTTTTACTCTTACTCGGGTAAATTTCTGAGAGGGCTCATGAGTACTCTTTACTTTTAGGTTGCTGTTTTTTTTTCATTCCCTAAAACGCAATTGGCCACACGCAGTGTTCGTCAAACGGGGGAGGGGGGTTGTTTAATAAATTGTGAAAATGACGACATTGTTCTCTTTGATGATCCCATTCATTTTATTTCCATTTTTATAGATGTTTGTGCAGGCTTGGTACAGTATAACATAATGGTTCTACAGGCAAGCACATCAGTGCAGGTGGTTTCAAAGAGTAAATTAATACTTTCACTTTAAGTACATTTAAAAGCAAGTACTTTTTTACTCTTACTCGAGTAACGTATTGAGTGGGCTACTCTTACTTGTAGTAGAGTAAATTTTCACCAGGATTATTTGTACTCTTACTCAAGTACTGGGGTCAAGTACTCTGTCCATCTCTGTTAGTATGACTGTTTCACTACTTCTGCTTAGTATTTACCCAATTAAAATTTACACCAGGGGTTAAACAACACATACATTTGAATTTCATTTAAGAGTAACAAGGAACACTTAAGATTAACAAGTGATTTTTTTTATATTGTTATATATATATATATATAATATTGTGGTTTATATTAATATAATATTGGCCTAATATATATAGCCTTTGAAAGGAAGAGGGCCACATATGAGGAGCTGGCAAGGGAGTGCCGACTGAATGGTTGGATGACCTGGTGTGACCCCATTGAGGTGGGGTGTAGGGGCTTCGTGGGCCAGTCTCTCTGAAGGCTGGGAGTGACAGGGCTGCACAGCAGGATAGCCATCAAGGCCATCTCAGATACCGCAGAGAGAGCATCAAGATGGCTGTGGATCAAGCGGGGTGAACCATGGACCACTAAAGCTACTTAGACACAAGTCGGGGCTTGATCAACCCCGGCTGGGTCACCCAGGTGAGGGTGTATGATGTTGAAAGACCCGAAACACCCGAGGACCCTGGGTTACATCACTGATGATGTGTCTAAGTATGCATCGCAAGATGTCTGAAAGAACCAGAATCAACTGATATGAAAGAAATATTCTGTGATAAACTTTTTCCCATGTCGCCCAGCCCTAGTTGCAGCTATAGTCATTTATGGTCTAGGATTTAAAAAAAACGGATTCGGTTTATCTGCTTTTCAACTCTCCAGACCTTATGTCAAATTAACCTGTTTGGACAGAATTGACAATTATATGAAACAAAATACATCAGTGTTTTTGAGGATTTTTTTTTAACTGAAGCACAGAGAACTTGCTCATGACTGTTTGATCACAATCAAAAAGAGTTGGAAAAGAGTTGTATTTTCACCAGATCTAAAGATGGCTCTTTTTAAAAGGGTTCATCTTTGCTTTGTATGTGTTGTTTAACCCCTGATGTGAATTTTAATCGGGTAAATACTAAGCAGAAGCAGTGAAACAGTCATACTAAACATGTCATACCTTCAAAATGTTTTATGAATTATGCAAAATTATGTTTTTGCATGGGCTTTTCTGAGAGACTGTGGTAAGAGAAGAGTTAATGTTCTTGGTCCTGGTCAAGAGTTGTCCTCCCTCTCTGAAAAAATCTCTCGCTCACTATCCTTTCTCTCCCTCCCTCTCTCTCTCACACACACAAACACACACACCTACATACACGTCTACAGATACATCATATTCACAAGTAACTTTGCACAGCATGACAACATGTAGGTTGCATATACATCACACAATACAGACAGTACAGGCAGTACATGCACTCATCGCCCACTCACAATCTGTTAAATTAACCATGACAAATCCTAGTAGGTACCAGGCTACTAACAAGCACACTCGTACAATACAATCTTGTGCCAACACCTGCATACTCACCCTTGCTTACAGACTGACACACACACATGCACGTACACCGGTGTTTGTGCAGGCCACATGCAGAGGCAACAAGGCAGTACAGCTTTTACTGCAAAGCAGATTTCATGTAGCTAACACTGGCTTGTGTCCGCTTATCCAAAAGATAAAATGTGTGTGTGTGTGTGTGTGTGTGTGTGTGTGTGTGTGTGTGTGTGTGTGTGTGTGTGTGTGTGTGTGTGTGTGTGTGTGTGTGTGTGTGTGTGTGTGTGTGTGTGTGTGTGTGTGTGTGTGTGTGTGTGTGTGTGTGTGAATACCCCAGCTCTCTCCAGAAGAAGTTTGATCACAAGTGAACCTCACCACTAATTTTTCAAGTGCCTGTTTTTTTTATTTTTTTTATATTCTAACCATTTGTACCTCAAAAATTCCTGGAACTCAGCCTTCACGTGAATATGAAGTGACAGCCCAGGTGGGAAGCAACAACCAGCAATTTGCATGATTATGCAATCAATAACATCAAAGTCATTTTCATCGACCTAATGGTTAACTGAGTAATAGTTTTGTTTCTATGGAAAGCATTTGCTACACCACTGTAATTAATGTTATTAATGAGGGAATCATTCGACTGTGTACTTTGGTAATTGCCTGGAGAGCTGCCCAGGTCTACCCTGATCAAGCATTACATAATTCAAACACCGCTACCAACCCCTGTTTAGTCTAATGGATGTGATTTCAAAGTGAGAGCACAACTGACAAATTTCTCTGTTATATTAACGTCTGCAATAATCCACTTGCAGCTGACACAAGTTGACAGAGATGACACATACACAAATGTATCCATTGACTTTCTGAGCTCCACTGAGTTCCTACACATACAGGTAAATGTATTCACTAAACCAAAATAAATAAATAAATAAAAAAGGACAGATTTTGTGTCCTAACAACACTGGCAGGTAAAACCCTTCTGCTTTCTCCTGTTGGATATCAACAAGTGAGATTTTACAAGTAAGAAAAAATAAAAAAAATCTTGCTGAGTAGTGTTGGATCTTGGTTAAAATAATCAAGTTTTTTCAAGTTCTGTTTGTAGATGTTGACTTGATATAGTTAGACCAGATTTTACTGGGTAATCAGCTTTTGTCATAAGAGTCATTACACAGTCACACACTGTAGTTTACAAATCCTATGTTCAATATATGGTGGCTAACATAAGGGGGTCAGGGGTGGAAGAGCTTAGATGTGTGACATTAAGGTGAGCCCTTAACAAGCATGATTTCATCAATTTAAGAGGCATTTTCCTTCGACATGAAGAATGATTACAGGACCTTCTCAGGAGCTGCTTATTGACACTCAGCTGCCCGTATTGTGCAATATTTTTGATTTTTGTCTGAAAAATAAAAATGCATTAGAATTACTACCCCCCGAATTTCAAAACAGCTAGGATGTGTGTGTGTGTGTGTGTGTGTGTGTGTGTGTGTGTGTGTGTGTGTGTGTGTGTGTGTGTGTGTGTGTGTGTGTGTGTCCTGAGATAGTTCAGATTCCAAGCATCTCACTATAATGAAAGAAAAGCATAATGTGATACATGTTTTTGCATCTTTCAGCTTATCAGTTTGGGTTTCAGGCCCTCAACTGTTATTGGTGATCGCCGAGCCAATTTTTTTTTAAGCCAAAATCAGCATTTCCCTGCTTTAATAGCCAAATTTGGCAGGTACTGTATATTGCAAACAATTTCTATTTTTTTATGAAGCAGCTGGTTTCCAACAAGTTCAGCGAGTCATTTTCTAAGGTGGCAATATGTCAGCATATGTGTCAGGTTTGTCACTAGTTTCTCATAGTTGGGTGTAAAAATTACAACAGGCTTCATTCAAAATCATTTTTCCTTCTAAGTTAAAGAATTCATGTAAAAGCCAACTTTAAATCAACAAGAGTGCATGACACATACAGCCATGGGCAAAAACTGATGTGCTCCCAAAGACCTGCTGTGCTTCCATGTTTCATATCATATCATATCATATCATATCATATCATATCATATCATATCATATCATATCGTATCATATCATATCATATCATATCATATCATATCGTATCATATCATATCATATCATATCATATCGTATCATATCATATCGTATCATATCATATCGTATCATATCGTATATCATATCGTATATCATATCGTATCATGTCATATCATCTTATTTTGTTGTAACAACAGATTGTGTTATGTCATTATAACTTGTGGAATTGTGTTGTTACATATTGTATTATAAGGTAACATATCATAATGTTGCATAATGTAGCATAATGTGCATATCATAACATATATAGTGCCATAATACATTGCATCATATTGTATTGTATTGTATCATATCATACATGATCCTGTTTTTATACCATCTTCTATCAATTACAGCTTATACAATCAGCATCAACAATCCATTGAGCTGTCTATGAAAAATAGCTTAGTTTATACAACTGGGCTGTGACACATAACTATTATTAATTAATTAATTAATTAATATTTTATTCGAGGCCCTTTGTACTCCAGTATTGGCCACAGGATGACATTAAACCCTGTGTATAATCTGGCAGTTGCCTGCCTTCCTGGGTGACCAAAAGCAACATCTGTTGAGGTAGAGAAAAAACAAGTTGAACAAACATCTCCTGCTCTCAACCGCCTCAGTGTGCAGTCCATTAGTGGCCTTCAGGGTCCCTCACCTTTCCCCCAATTTGTACACCAAACTGAGGGCTTCACAGCTTTAAACGGGGGATTATTACAGTTGATAGTCCACACGAGGAGCAAGTGCAGTGACCCCTGTTTTGCTGCTGTGAGAGAGCTGTTTTTGAGACGTGACTGGGAAAGAGCTGCCCTGTAGAGAGAAAACAGGAGTTATTAAAAAAATGTAGTCTGAAGTCAATGTGAAGAAAGCCCCCCTGAAACACACGTGTGGCTGCTTCTAGGAACCACTGGACAAGCATTATGTTTTTATTTTTGGCCTTTTCTTATGCATTTTCTGAGAAAATAGGAAGGTGAAAAGAGTATGCAATGGAAAGAGAGTGGGAAATGAGGCATGAAGTTTGGATTGAGTAGATGCCCTCCGTAGGTCTGAAGTAATCTATCGATCTTTATTGGTATAATGTATATGGATTCAATCTTTCAGTGGACTTAGGGGACCCTTTCTGTTGCAGCAGGAGGGGCATTTCAATCTGTTTTTTTTTTTACCATATCAAAATTTTATGTATTTTACCACAGTGAAATGAACCATTCTGTTTTGTATTATCTTGTTCTGTGTCATATTGGTGATATATATGGTGTAAAAAGTTGGTTAATATGAATGTGTATACTCAAACCCACATTTGTATTTACTATTTAAGGTTGTGTGCTGCTGATGTTGTTTTATTGAGGTATTAACAGGCAGGCAGAAAGTGATCTGTCTGTATCCCAAAAACTCGTGCCTTCAACAGTGGTTTACAACAGTATCTACTTGTTCCTGCTCTGCTCTCTGATTCCTGGGGGTAAAACCTGTTTAAACAGCCCAACAGATAAACTGCAGTGTTTGCTGTGGCTGAGTCTGCCAGGTCCATCCGTTCAGTCTTTACAGCATAGCAGACGGTGCAGCAGACAGACTTATTATTACCATTGCTCGTGTCACACAAGCATACACGTGCCTGAGGCTGCTTTGCTCTTGAATCATAATTGTGGATGCTGATGAGACAAAGAGAGATAAGGCGCCCGTCTAAACAGTCTTTTCCCGCTCATGCAGTTGCATTTTATCTAATCAATGCAACCATATGCCAAGGTCAATAAGGAGTTATAAATGTAAAACACTGCAAGACAAGAATGCTTGTTTGACTAAATACAAGTGTATTAAGTTGCATTACCCCTGTTCTTCCTGTGGGGGAGGCAATGAAAACAGGCACACAATTTGACCACATGGCACATGTTTTCACACGTTGGTGCTCTCTCTCTTTTACTGTTGGTCTTATTCGCTCTCTTTCACTTTATGTCTCACAGGTTTCAGAGGCTCCTGGGTGCAAATTGAAGCTATTTTCTAGGGGCAGAACACTTGTTGCTCTCTTAATATGCCATTAGTCTCCTCAAATAGACCCGCCTGAGCTCTGGAGGAAGAGGCTGGAATGAGGTGATAGAAGAAATAAGTGAGGTGAAACACAAAAGAAACGTGACACAGCCACATATATATTTCACACCTTTATTCTCGTAGAAAATGTACATTAAAGACATTACCATACAAAATAGAAAAAATGGCACACAATACTCACAAGTCCGGACTTTTTAAACACAACAAGAGCTTTACAATACTGCTTTGGCATTTCAAAACAAACAAACAAACAAACAAAAAAGACTAAAGTGCAAGTTTTTCCATTCCTTTTCTCAATTTAAGTACATTCACAGGTTTTGTTTTGTCTTTTTCACAAAGGTTTCTTGTTCACAGCATTTTCCATAAAATCTCATCCTAGCTTGTGTTGAGACAGTAAAGTGCAGGTACAGTATGCATGAGAGACACATTTGTAGCATCAAACTCTCAGCTGTAAGCAGATTGTCGATGGTCACAGGATGGTTTGTCTTTTTGCTCTCTTTTTTCACCCAAATAAAAACACACTCATACCAATTTTAGACCTCACTAGGCGACCTGGACCTATAGGCTTTATTAGCCTGAAAACAGCCACAGAGAAGCATGTAAATGGAGCGCTGGATCTCTGCGTTCCTATAGGCATAGATGATGGGGTTGATCATGGAGTTGTAGGTGGCTGGTAAAAGTGTAGCATAAGTGTACACTGATGGATATTCCTTCTCACCAACCAGGCAGTAAATGGCGAATGGCAGCCAACTGGCACCAAATGTTCCCAAAATTATAGCCAGAGTTGAAACCCCTTTTTTAGTGGCTACATAATGGGATGTGGCAAAAAAGTGCTGCTGGAGGGCTATCTGGTGGGCGTGGTGGCAGACAATCTTACAGATCTTAAAATATAAGGTTAGCATTAACATAAAGATGGCGAAGAAGGAGGTTGCTAGAAGCATAAGGTTGCTACGGGTCAAAGGCCGGACAATGCTGCAGGATGAAGGCTCGTCCAGGCAGTTCCAGCCAAGAACAGGCAGCAAACCCAAGAACAGAGACACCCCCCAAGTCCCCAGCAACATCAGGTGTACATACTGCAGCGTCTTCTCAGAGAAATAAGTCAGGGCATTGTAGAGGGAGAAGTAACGGTCCACTGTGATTGCCAAAAGGCTGCTTATAGATGCTGTGAAGGAGGCCACCAGGAAGCCGACAGTGATAAGGCTGATAGTCTCAGATGAGATCACATACTGGAACACAAAGTTCAGAATTAATCCCATGCCGGCAAGCAGGTCCGCTGTGGCCAGGCTCCCAATCAGCACAAACATGGGAGTCCTCAGTGTGGGAGTGTAGAAGATGATTGCTACCACAATGGCATTTTCACAGGCGATGACAGTGCCAGACATACAGAGCATAATGTCCCATGGGTTGATGGGGAAATCTAGTGGAGCAGTGGAGAACTCCAGGCTGCCGTTGTGCTCTGCAGACTCAGCCTCCAACCACGGGAGAGCTTCCCCTACCACAGGGGTTGCGGAGGAGTCGTTCACCACCAGTGACTCGTTCATATCTCCACACTGTTGCCCTTTTATCCTATAGATAGAAGAGAAACAAGAAGATTGGCTTTTAAAAATAGTGAAATAAAGTTTTCTTTTTCATTAGAGTTTAAATGAAAAGGCACTGTTCCTGCATCTTGCTTGATGGCACCTGAGCATAGATGTTAACAACAAAATGGGCTTAAATTGGCAGGGGACAGCGAGTCTAGTTACACTCTGATTAAAAAAAGAACCCAATGCAAAATCTTGTACAGAGAAAGCAAGTGAGCTTCCGTATGGTTTAATAGAAAGACGAAAATCTAAAATCTGTCCCAATCTGTCTGTTGTTACTTTTAACTTGTAAAATTAGGTTGCAATGAAGACAAACAGACTGTAATGATAATTTATATATTCATACACCAGTTTTGGGCTGCTCAATACCTGAAAACTGCAACACTTGTATACAATGTACTTGTCTACAAAAGCCATATGTCCAATTTAACTCAGTAACTCTTACACTGTTATCAATCAGACCAACTCCTATTTAAAAAAATCAGCCTCAACTCAAAGATCCTCCTTGGGTGTTGACTTCACTGTTAGTTCATTAGTTAGCCGTATATGTTTGGTTTAAGATCGTTTTTTTTTTACTCTCTCTCTTTTGAAGTTTAAGAAAGCTTATAGAGCAGCAGCGACTACATACTGTGAAGCTGTCCGTGGTGCTGAAATCACTGATCACTGCAACACTATGCAAAACTATTGTTCGTAGGCTTTCAAGGAACAAATCTACATTAAGAATGACAGTTTCCAAGTTCAAAGACATAGGAAACGTTTTTTACAGACATACAGTGTGCTTTTTGTGTGAAATAATAACACGAGTAAATAAAGACCTCATATGTTACGTTGAACAATTGCAAACAATAGGGTTGCTTTCTCTAAATTCAAGAGCTTTCACTCTGACGGACAGCTCCTGACTAAACAAAGTTCTGTTTGCAGAAATATTCCGTATACAATTTTTCATCGTTTTTAAAAGTTAGGAGTACTTACCTCGGTGACGAAACGGTCTGAGCCGAGATACGCGCTGAAATCAGCCCCTTGTCCGAAGGGAAGAGGAGTCAAAGTAAAAAAGACGCTGGAACCGTCCTTCTTTTTCTCTCACGCTTGTGGACCCTCTCAAGTGAAGCCCTTGATTTTGTTGTGCTTCCCACGCATGGGACAGACGCCCAGGGCAGGGGTGATGTGAAGCATTGGCCGGTGTTCAGCTCGGTGAGGAAGGTGCATGTGAGGAGGAAGAGGAGGAGGAGGAGGAAGAAGAAGAGCACGAGGAGAGGGGCCGATCGGAGACACGCGAGGACAGCTTTAAACGCGCCTGACGTCATAATGAGTTTGTGTGTGTGTGTGTGTGTGTGTGTGTGTATGTGTGTGTGTGTGTGTGTGTGTGTGTGTGTGTGTGTGTGTGTGTGTGTGAGAGAGAGAGAGAGAGAGAGAGAGAGAGAGAGAGAGAGAGAGAGAGAGAGAGAGAGAGAGAGAGCTCCTTGGCGTCAAGGCTCCTGCCCATTTCAGAGCTTTTTTTTGCGGAGAAAATGAAACCACAGTGAAACTACAGCTTCTTCCTCCTGTCAGCATGTCTGTCCTGCAAACACGTGATGAATAAATCATCTCAGGCAACCTGTTGAGCTGCCTGGTCGAGCAAAAGCAACCACTTTGGCTCAAAAGAAAAAAAGGGCTTTTAGATACTGCGTGAAAACGATGAGACTACCGATAATAGCATTGCAGGCATGTTAATAACCTTGACTATGCCAACTTTTACACGGATGAATACACTGAAGGCAAATAATGACAAGACCACTTTAATCTGCTCTTTTTAACACTTTCAGCATCAAAACTATTCACTATCCTAGATTAGGATCGAATTCATCCCTTATTAGTTTTGTACATTAATAATCTTAAAGTGATGATTGTCCAACAGTTTACACCAGATAAGGGAGGCAAATTAAAGTTGCAGCACTGTGAGAGATGTCTAAATCATGATCAATGTTTACCCACTCCTTTCCAGATCACACTTGCAGGCAGTGAACAGGTGCATTTTGCCTTCATATGCACATATGCACTACTGCATATATATATGTTTATGTTTATTTTTGCACGATTGCAAAATAAACATATTACTTACACTGGATTGAACAGTCATTTCTCAAGCAAAAGGTGATGTCTATTTTGTGGTTTCACATTAAAAGTACTGGCCCTAAAATGGACATGGTTTTTTGTTAAAACCCAGACTGAGCAGGTCCCAAAATACCACCTGTCAGACAAGTAGTCCTCCTTTAAAAGATTGTTCACCAAAACCAACACCCTGTGAAGTCTGTGAAAGCCAGCGGTGATGGATGGTGTCAAACGCTTTAGAGGCCAACAAAGGTGGCAGTGCAATTATTCTTGACATTTTTGTAGCGATTTGAATTTATGATAAATGTCTGAAGATTGATAATCTTAATTTATGACATTTATGCACTTGTTGAAAGGGGCACCACCGACCCTTAATGGTGGGAAAAATAAAGAAAAATAAAAGTTTACTTCAGAAATCAAACATTAAGTCAATCTTAAATTAATCAATCTCATATCTCAAGCCGAAATTCTCATTTCAGGGACTCCGGGGACAAGAACTTAGGAAAATAATGATCTGTTCATTACAGGATAAATGATGGTACAACAAACATGCAATAAATGAGGATAAGATAATGAGAATAAATAATAACAGGTGAATAATAAAAGATTCTGAGTCAGGCAAGGAGCACTAAAGTTAATGATAGTGAGTGAATATGGTGTAAAGCTAAATTTGGATGTGGATTTGGATGAATCTAGGATTACTAGAATAAGTGAATGTCTGAGTTATGACTGCTTGAGACAGCAACAGCCCTGTTTGGAGCTCTGGAGGTTTGTATACTTAAGTGAGACTGGTCCTTGGAGAAGATGGAGCAGGTACCGAAGGTCCCAGGCTACCGGCGGTTCAAGAGGTTCAGCTCAGAAGACGACAGAAGTCAGCTGAATGATGGGCCTGGAGTCGCAGCACCCAGGCCTGAATGCAAAAACCAGCACCTTGTCTGTCCTTTGGATGCTCCTTTGGTCTCACTCAAAAACTCTGGCACAGAGGAGGACTTTGGGCCTGCTGGGTGGCATTCAGAGGTGACTTTGCAATCACGCAGATAACTCGGAAAAAGAGGCTCGATGGCCAGTCGAAACTATTTAAAAAAGGGCTTTGCGAAATTAAAGAAAATTCAATAAAAGGCTTAATCTCGAATTGCTATGCACACAAAAAGTCGAAGTTTCAAAACTTGAACTAAGACGATGTTAAAGAAAAATCAACGTGAATGAACACGCGGTGTAAAACTTAGAAGTCTACGAAAAAAAGTAAGACTAAGTAGTAAGGTTCTAAGAGAAAACAAAGAAGGGGCCTGAGAGAAGACCCAGGAAACAAGAGGACGAGCACACAGAAGACCATGAAGAGAAGAGCACCCCAACTTTACTGGTTTTGTCTCTTTCACACTGGGAGTGTCTCTGGTGTGTGTGTGCGTGCGTGTGCGCGCTTGCTTGTGTGTGTGTGTGTGTGTGTGTGTGAGGAGAGAGAGGAGGGGTCATGGTCTTCAAGATGCCTTATGGTTTGATCTAACTTATATTTTTGGCTGGTAAAAGAGTCAGAGCTGATATTCACTCTCTGTAATTAATGTCATTGAATGCTTGGTTTATAATAAATGATTTGATACTAAACACATATGAATGAAATGTAGAATCACATCAAACATTCTCATTATGTGTTAAGTATCACATTGAAGATGCTAAATTACTCTGAAATGAAACAAAATGTAACACATAGAAAGTGTGAACAACAAAAGAGTAAACACGTGAATGAACTTAATAATGGATTCTAAATACTCATATTCAGATTATTCAATGACATTATAACCACCTAAAGGTTAACAACACTAAATAAATGATTAAAATATAAACCAAACCTTTCTAAACTATTTCTGTCACTTAGAGTAAAGTTATGATTCTAAGTCAATAAATTTAACTCTTTAAAGTTCATGAAACAGTCTGAAAAGCTGTTGGTATAAAGAAACTAAAGAAACTAAAGAATAAAGGATTTATTCTGTCAGAGTGATAACTTGGCTTCTGGAGCACCTAGAAGAATGGGACACATCTTATTTTAACACACATTTTGTAGTGTGGCTGGTTCGTGGTGAGGACCCAGAAGCAGACACTGAGACTGAGATCAACTTAAAGAGAATTTTAATGTCCAACAAAAGGTTGTAAATGCAAACGAGGATGTCCGGTAGGCTGGTTGGCTGTCTGTCGTGTGGGCTGGAGACACTGCAGGAAAAACCAGAGGAGACGGGAGTTATTGAACATGAAAAGAGTCACGAGGAGCAAAGTTCTGATACGGATACAAACGAGGTCGGCCAGGAGAAGCGTCTTTACCGCTAGGAAGGGTAGACAATATTCAGGCCCTGAGGCTGAGGGCTGCAGGCTTCTTAAAGTGCCTTGATTGGAGATGTGGAGCAGGTGTGTAGTCTCACTCAGCCTCAGCGACCGGGGGAGGGGCGGAAGCTCTGGAAGAGAGTGAAGCCAGACCAGGCAAACAAAGAAACACAGGAAGTCCAGCCAAAATAAAACAAGAGAAGGAGGCATCTCACCACACATTTCATGGTTAGACAGATTAGTACATTGCTGAATGCATAAGATGTCATGATCAGTCATTTGTATTCTTTCACCAAAGGAATGCAGTTTTTATCAGTACATGATTGAGCAGGGTTTTACGACAGAGGTCTGGAGGTCAGTGTCCTGCTCTTTTTTGGAGTCTATGTGTTCACACTCTTAAAGACGATAAATCTCAAATGGAAGACCTGGGTTGAGGCATTAATGTTTATTTAGATGGTCAGTGATGGAGTCAGTTTGAAAGGTAATTAAACTCTGTCTCTGTTCTCCGAATCGATCAATTGGTAAGAGTCACAGGTTTCAGCCAACCTCTGGTCGGGTCAGTT